ATAATAGTTAAAACAAGCCTTTTATAAACTATTATATAATTATTTTTTTTTATAAGATATTTAACAGTCCTTATATAAATAATATTATTTATTTATCTAATAAAGATTTATCCAGATCTACTATATATTATTATCTAAAGCTTATTTTTTATTAGTAAACTGTCAAACCCTAGGATCGCTTCTCCCTGTTCCTGTTAGCTTAGCTTCTGTTCCGATACGTACCTTCGAACTGAATCGAGGTAAGTCAGACTGATAACTATCTAAGGGTGACTGGTCCTGAACAAGAGAAGAGAAGTAAGGCCAGATAGTGCCGCGCAGCTATCCGTAAGTAAGTGCGGACGAGTGTTGTCGCTAAGCTTTACCAAAACGTATGGTTACTTAAAGACAGTGTTATTGAGCACGAAGAACAGAACTAGCTAAGTACATGAAAGAGTGTCCTTATATCCTATCCTTCGTTATGGCGTCGCTATGATATGTCATGCCACTGATATGTTATTTCATGTCGCTGCCATGTCCTGTCGTAGCGCTGACATGTTATAGCGTGTCGGTGACATGTCCACCGTGGTCACGTGTTGTGTAACCGCTTCGGTCATCGGTTGCTCAGATCGGGATTCTACTCGATAAGAGTCCTTGCTTTTCCGGACGTGGCCTTCTGCCTGGTGAGTCCGCCTCACTAGTTCATTCAGCTAGCAGGGGTTCGTAACATAAACATACCTTATCTAATTTTAATCACTAAGCTTGAGAATAACTATAATAAAATAAACAATATTAATAATAATAACTTACTCTATCTGAATGAATTGTTTTCCAAAATATGGAAAAAAGTAATACTGAGAGCGGTAAAGCTTCTGTAGTCTATAAAATTATGGATAATGGTTTTGAAACAAGTTCAGCTACATCCAAAGTTTGTGGGATAGGCGTTCCCGGTGAAAGCCACCCTAATGTTATTGATAACGGCCGAAATGGTCAGATTAGCCCAATGATCCCGCTTTCTGATGGAAGCAAGAGTGGCTTGTCTGATATATTAGGATCAGAGAATTTGATGGCTTCCTGCCAGTTAGATAAAGAATCAAGATAACGTATTCGGTTAGCGAGCTGCGCACCTCACGCGTCTTAGCTCCAGTCAAAAACCTCACTCAATTCAACCACCAGCCATGCCTCCAAAAGCGCGTCAAAATGCTAGAAATTAAGCTGAGCAGGAAGGGAGGATTCTATTAGCAATTTCAGCTATTAAGAATAAAGATTGTCCATCTATTCATCAAGCAGCACGATCTTATACTATTCCTGAATCTACCCTACGTACAAGGCTCCGTGGAGCAACCTTTCAAGCAGAAACACGCGCCAACTCTCATAAACTGACTCAAAATAAAGAGAAATCGCTTATATAATGGATACTATCACTTATTCAACGTGGAGCACCTCCCCTACTGTCTCATATACGAGAAATAGCTAATATTCTTCTTGCTGCCCGTGGTACTACATCTATTCAATCAGTTAGAGAGAAATGGGTCTATAACTTTGTTTAAAGGCATGATGAATTAAAGACATGCTTCTCTAGATGATATGACTATCGGCGTGCTCAATGTGAAGATCCTAAGGTTATTAGAGAGTGGTTTGACTGTGTATAAATCACTATAATACAGCATGGGATTGTACCTGAAGATATCTATAACTTTGATGAGACTGGCTTTGCTATGGGTTTAGTAGCTACTGCTCGAGTAATTACTAGAGCTGACTACTATGGAAGGACATCTCTTGTATAGCCAGGAAATCGGGAATGGGTTATTTTTATTAAGTGTATTAGTGCCTCTGGATAGGCCCTTCTACCATGTATTATCTTCAAGGGGAAGGTCCATATAGAAAGCTGGTATCAGAGTGATCTACCACATGACTAGAGGATTGAAGTTAGTCTAAATGGCTGGACTAGTGATGAGATAAGTCTTTACTAGCTTAAGAATCTCTTTATTCCTACTACTACAAGTCGTATGACTGGGAAATACTGTCTTCTAGTTCTTGATGGTCATGGCAGTCATTTAATACCTCAATTTAACAAGATATGCAGTAAGTATAATATAATTCCTATCTGCATGCCTGCTTATTCTTTACATTTACTGTAACCTCTGGATGTTGGCTGCTTTTTACTATTAAAGCGTGCATATGGATACTTAGTGGAGAAGAGAATATATCTTGGATTTAATCATATTGATAAGCTTGACTTTCTTAAGGCTTTCCCTGAGGCTCGTACAGCAACCTATACTACTAGCAATATCTGTAGTGGTTTTTCTGCTACTGGGCTAGTTCTATATAACCCAGAGCAAGTGCTCAGTCAGTTGAATATTTAACTAAGGATTCCAACACCACCAGGCAGTCAGTCAACTCATTCAGTGCCTAAGACACCCTACACCACCAGACAACTCGAAAAGCAGGCATCTATAGTGAGAAGAAAGCTCCAAAGACGTGTACAAGAGCAGGAAGGCTCCCAAAGCCCTACCTCTTCTTTAGAGGTACGGCTGGACAAGATTATCAAATACAGTGAATTAGCCTTAAATGAGGCAGCTCTTGCGCGTCAAGAAATTCGTGATTTACGAGCTGTAAATGAGACGCAGCTTCAAAAGAGAAAGAAGTCTACTAAGCAACTTACTGCTATAGAGGGTCTTTCTATTTAGAAGGGCCAGAAGCGATTTCAGCAGGAGAATCAAGTCTTTGAAGCTCAAGATACTCTATCTAGAGATCCAGAGCTTTCTACAGTTAGGCTTTGTGTACGCGCTCCACCGCAGTGTTCTAATTATCATATTCGGGGGCATACTAGGGTTAGATGTTCTAATCCACCTAGTAATTAGTTTTATATAGAAATGCAATTGGTTGGTTGGTAAAAAGGTGCTTGAATCTCACCCAGTCATGGAAATCGGGTGGAAGTGCGCAGCTCGCTTACATGCGCAGCTCGCTTACCGAATACGTTATAGAGAATCCTAGTCTGTGACTGAGACTACTATGTGTAGCCTATCTAGAATCTCCCAGTCAAAGTGTTATTGTCGGAAGGAGCCTGCGTGCAGCATGTTGGAGTATGCTGAGCTCGCCATGGGCAGGGGCTCTTTAACCAGGGCAAGGGCTTGAGCAGAAGCATCTCGTTCATTCCCTAGCTGTCAACAGGGCCGGCCTTCCTCAGATATAGAAGATAAGCTCCTTTATAAATTAATATACAGAGAACTTAAATAAGAACATATCAAGGAGAAATTCAGTCAGAGATTTACTGGAAGGGATTTGAAATCCCTATAAAAACAATAATCAAGAAATTTGAAGTTTGAAGCTCGGCCGGTGACATGTTTCAAAGCTTAGGGGTAAATAGTGTCGGGGCTCTCTTTTTGTGTTCAGGAAGTCCTAACTATTCCCTAATCTTCTCTTACTCGAGGTCTGCTGGGAACAGTCCGTGTTGGTTCTTGTTTTAGGACTCAATTCTTAGTCCACTATCAACCCTCCCCCTCACGTGTGAAACGTGGAGGCTGTACTCATTAAGGGAACTAAAAAACATTGTTGGTCTAGGTATTGAATGGCCATGCTTCTTCCCATGCAACTATTTTGTTTCAGGATATGCTAGCTGTTTAATCAGCTCCGTATTTGCTTGTTTTTGAAGCCTTAACTTCATAATGTGCTCTAGCCGTACAACACTTCCCAAGCCATACGAGTAATAGACACTTTCGAGTAGGGTGAAATGTCAACATGTAACTTTCCTTTTTTTTATTCCCCCCCTTCTTTCCTCTATCTTTTTGATCTAGTATTATTTTCACGGGTCGACTATGTCCACGCCGACCGTGGAGCTTGTTCTGTGCACAACAATATTGCGGGGTTGGCCATCAGCATTAGACACCTGGGATGCCGGAAACAGGAGAGTATTGACTCGATTCCGGCAGTTCTTACAAAGAGGACATATTTCGTATCCGGCCGCTCCAGCGGATTTAATCAGGCGTAGGGCTGCTCCACCTCATTCTAGATGTATATTCGGAATCTCTACGGGAGATTGTACAATCTAACCAGGATGATCCGGTCGGGGGCTATTAGAGCCCAATTCGTGGAACAAACATTGGGATTACCATATCAGGTTAGCTCGAGCCGCTTTCTGATAGGCTCACTTCTTGCAGGCGGCAGGAGGTGGAAAAAGGTTGTCGCCTCAAGCGGTAACCTAAGTTAGTTATGCTGTGTCAGCGATAAGGCTGCCGCTCGGGAATATGTCAGCGACATTCCTGAGTCTGGTCAGAGAGATTATTTTTGTCATGACTGTGGGGATTTGGTTATCCACTTACATTGCCCAAATGCCCCTACCGTTTCCGATATCAAGGATGTGCTGTGCGCAATCTCGTCGATGATCAAGTATCCTTTTCATTGTAGCATTACGCTACATATTTACTCAAGATGCCAATGGGGAGGAGAATTAAAGGGAGACTTTTTGGTGATTGTGATTTGATTCGTCGAAGCCAGCGCTCCACTAGTGAGTCAAAGGTCAAGCCAAACAGGCTTACAAACCGCAGGAACTATTTTAGGCTTAGGCTGTCACTCTGTCACCTGAAAAGGCCATACGACTTCCCTGCTGGAAGCTCCTCAGCGATTCACTCGCTGTGCAGAACAAAGCGGGCCACTCGAGCGCATCTTTTGGCATGCAACAGGATGTGATCCTGTTCCTTTCACAAACCCATTACATGATGGCACGTGGGGCATTGCAAACAAGTCTCCTCTGGGGTCTTTCTAACACCGCACTCCGAGTAACCTGACAGTATACATATGAATTATCATTAACCAGCCTTAGCCCGAAAAGAAAAGAAAAAAAAAGAAAAAAAAGAAGAGAAAGAAAAGAAGAGAACAAAAAGGAGAAAAAAAGAAAAGAAAAGAAAAGAAAAGAAAAGAAAAGAAAAGAAAAGAAAAGAAAAGAAAAGAAAAGAAAAGAGAAGAAAAGAAAAGAAGAGAATAAAAAAGAGAAAAAAAAAGTTCCGAAATCTCTAACCACCCTCCATAGTAGTCTCATCCTTCTCAGTTCGCCGGAGTAGTTGGTGACAAATGCCTGTGCTCCATGCTGAATCCAAGCTCCGTGGGCTTACTCAAAGTAAGTAGGCGCAGAAGTCCACGCTTCTCCAAGTCCTGGCAGAATTTCTGTTTTGAAAAGAAATGCTCACCAGAGTGGTTCTGATCCACGTTGTAATAGTCGTCATCATTGATTGTCTCCCCGTTGCTCCTCCATTGGGCACCGGGGCTGTACCACAACCAACGCAGTATTCTGTCTATAGCTTTGCGCCATCCCGGAGTGGAAGCTGTTTCCTGGATCAGTACATCGCTTGGTGATTCCTTAAGCAACGTCTCTATGTGCGTGGCCAGGTCCGCAAGCGTGCGATATTGGTTGTGCCAGCATTTACCGATGATATCGTTAATAAGCGGATCGCCATCGAGCTTCGGAAACTTCATGTCCTGTAGTAAGTCCATGACCTTAGGTCCATGCTCGTTAGGATCGTCGGCAAGACATTGATCATCATAGACCTCAAAGCCGTAGTTTATCAAGTAGTACAATGAACCAAGGGCGAACTGCTCTGTCCGAGGACCTAGGAAGCCGGCAGTTCCTGGTATTCCTTGGTCTGCCTCGTTGCTATTGAGTAGTCTTCCATACGGGCAAGGGCAAGTTTCGAAATCTGTTCCAAATTCGGCCGTGCAATCGAAATCCGATAGTTTGAGTCGGTTACGATCAAGCAGGATATTTTCCGGTCGCAGGTCACCATGAGCGAGGTTAAGCGATGCGAGGAAAGCAACACCTTGAGCAAGATCGTTCATCCCTATGTATATTAAGAGGTCAGTTCCTTATAAGCAGTCATTAAGGGTCTACTAACACAACTTTCGTAGTGCCAGGGGTTCCAGTTCTCCCACCTTAGTAACCACACGAGTTTTGAGGTCCCGGGTAAGATTGAATTGTCTCCTATAAGCAAGGGAGATATCTAGAAACGCAGTTAGTAGGTATATTGTTAGCATACCAATAGGGGTCACACCTCTCATATACTCAAGGAAGATCCCGTCTGTCGTATAGTGGAAACACTCCACCAGAGAGGGGCAGGGTGGATGCTGGGATAGAATCTCGTAGATCTTGAGCTCTTTCCGGAATCGGAATTTCTCTCTCTTCTTGACCGGACTTGGGAACCTTTACCACGATGAGAGGATGGACCTCATAGACAAAGGAGATGCCCCTCCCCAAACCCAGTGCACACCAGGAAATTGGCGTTTGATATCCATAACAAGAAGGGCAAAGATAGAGAAACATAGGAGGAAAGAGGAAGGAGAAAGGGGGAAACGGGAAAGACGTTGTAAGGGTTGGATCACGTGACTAAGTGTCTCCGGGCCAGTCTCCCTCTTCCTCAGTGAGCTGCCTCGTGTGAAAACCGGCCAACTTTTTCTCCCTTGATTCCTTCGGTCCAGGGCTCTATTTCTTTCTTCCATCAAGAAGTTCCTACCTAGTGAAGATGGGACGGGAGCTAGAAGCTGGTCTGTGGGTAGTGTTACAGCCAGAAGGAAATCGAAATAATCCTGTGCATTCAAATGAGGGTATCGAGTCTGGGGGGAAAGCAAGAGAAATCTATCTGCTGGGTGGTGCTTGATATGACCCATAATAAGGAGCGCCTTCCCTTATCAGCCAGATTCAGCCATGTTTGTTCCCATCGTCAAATCCTCAAACTAATCCATCATGCAAACTCGGTCCTCCCAACCGCGTCCAGATCGTCACAAGCAGACGGCTCGATACAGGGAGAACCTGAACACCAGCACGGTCTGGTAAGTAGGAGAAAAGGATAATCTATTTAAAAGTAGTCTTAGTCGGACGAATATGTGCGTCCGTTGTGTGTATAACGATCTCATCACTGTGCCTGCAATAAATGCGGAACAACTATCTTCCACAAAACCACTGGGTTCACCACTGCGAAGTGCGGACACGTTTTACAATAATAAGGTCAGAACGACAAGATTGCTTTATTCAAATTCAGCTCTCAGATAGAATTCACAGCACATATAAGGAATCTCATTTATGTCGAGACCGAATGTGTCTAAAAAGGACCGATTCTGACTTCGACTAGTATAAGTCTTCCGTCACAGAATCACACTAATTATTCACTTACTGATATGGTTTCATCAAGCTCAACCCTTCTGCCACTTCCCATTGACCTTCACATAAACACCATGGGCAATAAAATCAGGGCATGGGTCCCTTTTTGTTGTCTGGCCAAAGTAACCTGTTACCTTAATTATACCACAACTGCCGCACTCATCGTGTGGCAAGACAACTCCAGGGGATTCAACTATATGCCGGCAGAGATAGACAGTCTTGTCGAGCATTTGCTTGCACATGATCCCTAGGAGTTGTACATGTCAGTATCTCTGATTGAAAATATGCCTAGCGATGCTCGACTCACATGAGGTGTAACACAATGTCAATGTTGGACAATATCCAAACGTTGGTGGGTGTTGAATGACTGCTTATCGTGAAAGGCCGATGCTAGGAGGGAAGTCTGTAGAAGGATGAAAGGAGGATGGTGGAGGGTAAGAGGAAATATTTGTATTCGAAATGTTCGACAAGAATGAAGTGAAACCTACAAGACTAAGACCTTCGTGCTCATTAGGATGATCTCGGTGATACGGTGCTTACGAAGCAGGCACTGTAACTAGACTCACTCGGAGTTGGAGTTGGTGCGCACGACAAGGAGGGGTAGATGCAGTCAGCACGCATAAACGCCCTTCACTAGCCTTGAATCGGAAGCCATATCATGCATTAGTGCGAGGCTGTGTCAACCTTTCCCGGCCGTACGCTGGTTGGCACGGATAATGAGCGGAGTACGGCTGGTGCTCCTGATTTACTCGCACCGCGAGGCAGTGGGCCAATATGGCAGCACCGTGCAGCCTCACGTAGCCTCGAGCCACCAATCACACACGATACTGATGTCCTGTCTCCGTCTTAGCTTGACGTACTTCTGCGAGCCTGCATAAATCGAAGGAGCAGCAAACTTCTGTGACCTTGTTCATTCAGGCAAAAGAGGTGCGAGGGAGAGATCATGTAAGACCGCAATATGTGTGATGTCTTGCTTTTAACTAGCGTTAGCCTTCATAGTATTGTAAGGAACTGCAGACCAACAACTTCTTGAGGCACATCCTGAAGTCGACGTAACTGGTGAGTTAGCGACAATGGCTGTCTTCCCTACCAGCAGTGAGGATCTTGTCAAGCCGGCATTGAGCAGGGGCTTGCTCTAAGTTTTCCCACTTTCCATTATACCTACTAACGATGTGTCGGTTGAAGAAGCATAGGTCTCAAGATGGTTCTTGAATCTAAACTGTCAAACACACCCTAGGGTATGGCATGACAGTGTCCAGGGAGTCGCACACTGAGAATCCCCTGTGGGAAGACTGGCAGGTAGGCTTGGTAAGAATGGGCATTGATAAGGCAGTGAATTGCTGGAAGGACGTGACAAGCCTGCCGTGGCGACTTTCAACAGGTTATAAAGGGACTTGTGCTTCTGGGGGTGCCACACTGGGGGATGGGCAAATTTGCGCCGCGGGCACTATCAGTTCTCGGATGTCTTTAAACCAAATATGGCCGCAGAGGATTTTGTCGAAGATTTCATTCAGATATTCTACAACCAGGTTGATCGGCAGGTTTCATAACCAACATCAGATATGTCCAGGCACTGCATCCGCGCACGCAGCCAAGAACAGCAAAATCTCCTGCAGGATTCCCGAGGAAAATGGGAGACATGGTGGTGGCCATCCTACAAATCGCAAACGGACTGAGCGTTGCGTATCACATAACCAGAGGTGAGTAATGCGAGCCGCATATTTGATTTCCGAGGTCGATCTACATGATAGACAGCTAATATTCAATCTCTTCAGGGTATGATATCGCCGATTCGTTTAACATGATGTGGGGATTTGAGAGACAATTAGCCTCAGTGGATCTCACTTGATATCTATGATGCCTTGCGACTTCGATCCGTTCGACATCTCTACCAACATCCCTACTTTCTTACGAGATACCGTATCGTCGGCTCGACTGCATCATGTGGTTTCATAAAGAACTTGCTTGCCTCAAGAAGCAGTCTTCTCTCTTCTGTACAATGCCTCAAAAATCCTTCCCACCCAGAGAAGTGACATATGCGATGCGAGTCACCTGGAAACCCAAAAGTTAACTACGAAGCGACCCACCATATCATTGGCCATTCCATGACGCGAAGCCAGGAATCGCATACAAACTCTTTGTCCCGGACAAAGACCCTACTATCTACATGGGTCCCTAACAGACAACAGAAATCTCAGATGTAGCTGAACAGGAATGACAGCCGACGTAACAACTTTCTTTCCCGACATATCACTGAGGATAATGGCTCAAACACGAACCTGCAATGCCATTTCATCCCCAAACCACACTTTGAGAAGGTCCACATCTTTCTCCCATCCTTTCATCATCTTCTTCAAAGTTCCCCACACCACCAAACACAGCTTATATCGGGTCGTATCCTACTTCAGAAACTACCCGTACGTATCACAGTCTACCACAGTCACACCATACCCTCTCGGGACCAACCTCAGCGGAACGCAAAACTTACCTCGCGACATCACACACGTTGCACGTTCCTGAATTGTACCCCAGCTACCACGACAGAACGGACAAGAAGCGAAGATGTCAAACAAGCGATGACACAAATCAGGAAAATCGTCTATTCCGGGAACCCAAGAAAGACAAAAAGTGGAAGGCTACAAACCCCGCAAGGACGAATCTTTCCAAGTGGGACAACAGCTCTATGTCACGACTCAGGAATGAGTCCGAAGCTCCCCGATTGGGCCGGACCGTACTTATAAAGTCCTACGACGATTCGGAAATGCGTACCTCATAGACCTCCCCGAGGAATTCCAGGCAGTCGAGATAAATTACATGCCGCTGCACGAAGTCAGCCCCTACAGGGACAACAACGAAACAAAGCCCCAGAGGCTAGAAATTGATAACACCACTGAGCACGAAATTGAGAAGTCTTTCTCTAGCCGAAAGCTGGGTCCAATACCGGAAGGAGATGCAGAGGACGCATTTTGTACACCCGGGATTACTTATGCGAGGAAATATGGCCCTTCTTTTCCCTTTCTTTCGTCAGGGGGAAGGTTGGTGAGGGAGGATAGATGCAGGTCTTGGTATTGGTTGTGTGTGACATTTGTGGTAGGACGGTGGGGGCTTGGAAGATAGTCTGGACTGGTGGTTTTTATTTCCCTCACGGAGGAGGAATGGAACGGTTGGTTTGCGACCGGGATGGCTGATTTCTGATGGACTTAGACTGAAACGTACCTTTTGCTGGGTATTGGCGGGGGTTTGGACTACAAGTCAGAGTAGGGCCCATTAGTTGTCTGTTTATGAAGTAGGGGAGGTTATGGGTGGGTGGTGGTTTAGCGAAAGATTCAGTCGAAAGGCGTGAAAGGTAACTAGGGATGCTTGGATATCTGTTCTGGAACTGTGTACCAATTCATGTTGCTATGCTGGTAGTAGAAGCAAGTGTAGAGCTATTAATCCTAAAGGGATAACATGAACAAGAGGACATTTCCAAATAGCGCCATTAGTCTCCAACAGAAGAAGGGTAATCGCGGTAACGAAGAATAAATAACATCATTAAGCAACAAGCTTCGTTAGTTTCTTAAATGGCATGTGATTATGTGAATGGTATCTGAGTGGAATATCTACAACTTGGCCAACATCTTGCTGCCCTGTTGCAACAGAGCGGCGGCGTCAGTCACAAGCTCGTCAACAATGGCCTTCGCGGGCTTCTTCTCGTTGACAACGGCGGCAACCTTGCCCATCAGGTATGGACGAGCGTTCTCAAGGGTCTCATCGTCAACATCATCGGGCAGGTTCTCCATGTCGTACTCGGCCGGGATAACACCCTTGGACGTGAGCTGCTTGATCTCATCTTGGCGGTTCTCCTCCCAGTTCTTGATGTATTCGTTGTTACGGACGCGGAGGGGGCGACCCTAGACGAATTAGCCTTTCATCAACGAGCATATTTTGAATGAAATTTACCGTGAAGATGATGGTGCGAATAGTGTCATCGAAGCTAGCAGTACGGACAGCCTCCTGGTGAGCCTTAGGAGCGCCGGCCTCATCAGCCAAGATGAAGCGAGTACCGATCCACACGGCGGAAGCACCAAGCATCAGGGCAGCGGCCACCGAATTGCCGTTGTACAAACCACCTGCAGCGACAACTTGCACGGGAAGTCCGGTCAGGGGACTCTTCTTGCCCTGGCACAATTTAGCCACCGTAGGGATGAGAATCGTCGTGGGGACATTGCCAGTGTGACCACCACCCTCGCCACCTTGAGCACAGATGATATCCGCGCCGGCGTCGAGGGACTTCTGGACGTGTTTGGGGTGGCCGATCATGTTCATGTAGAGGATGCCTGCGGCATGGAGCTTGTCGACAACATGTTTGGGAGGGATACCGACGGCGGAGACAAAGAGCTTAGCACCGCTTTCGATGATGATGTCGACGAGCGCGTCAAGCTTGCCCTTTGTGTAGTCGTAGCTAAAGAATAGAACGCGGATTAGCATCGGGGGTTGCCGTTCGTCATACAATCACGTGCGAGTCTCACTTGGTCTTGCGGGCACTTCCTCCGACCTGAGGAAGCAGCAGGTCAACACCAAAGGGGGCGTTTTTGTCGGTCAAGAAGCTCTTGAGCTCTGCGATCTGCTCACGGAGCATGTCGGGGGTGTAGCCGACACCTCCAATAACACCCAGGCCACCGGCATTGGTGACCGCTGCGGCCAACTTGGGACCGGCGGCCACGTTCATTCCTGCCAGCAGGACAGGGTGGTTGATCTTGAGCAGATCAGTAAGCGTCGTACGGATTTTCTCTAAAAAAACGGATTGAAATTAGCATAAAGCGCTTTGAAGAAGTCGCTATAATCGACGATGGTGTAAAGAGGCGGTGGCGAGAAAGCTTACGAGGAGAGGCCATGTTTGCTGGGGTTAAAGAGCTGCAAAAGGGTATCGGGTTGACAACAGACGGAAAATTAATGGAGGAGACGTGTCAGTTTGCGAATATCCAAGAGGTGGAGGTCTAGGACACCAAAGAAGCAGTTATAAAGAAAGGTGAGCAAAGGCGCTGGTCGGGGGGAGCCGAGGACAAGCGGTCCCCAGAAGCCTCGGCCCAGAGCGTGTCACGGATCACAACTGATCACTGATCAGGCTATTGAATGCTGATCCCGTATCCACACCCCGACATTCCTGCCGAACCACCTGATCGATAATACCCGCTGCGGGGGTGCCCGCTTAACCCCCGGATGCCTAAGGCCCCCAGTGAAAAGGCATCAGGCCGCCAGGTGTCGAGGGTCAGCTGACCGCGCGTCTCGGGCCTCACGCGGCCCGTCGCATGACGTATTTTCTTGTCGGCTCCGCTGTAGATCTCGCCTCTGCACTTTACCTTTGAGATTCGTGGCGATCCTAGTAAATATGAGACCCAGGCCAGCTGTGACCTGGCATCGCAATGTCGCCCCCTTGACACCGGCCACTCGGGGTTTCCATCCATGCCGGTTTCCCACCACAAGCCTGGTGTCTTCTCAGACATCAAGAGGTAGGCCTCTTACTAAGAGATTATATGGCAGTTTGGTAGAAAGGCATGTATTCTGATAATATTAAAGCGCATAACTGTCTAACTAACTCTATAGAAGTCTGTCTATATCTGGTACGGATCCCTTCTAGATGCACATATAGGATTGCTGTCTCTATGCATCCCATCTTCGGAAGACAAATATGCTACACTGCGATTGGCTTAAATTCACCGACCTTCACCTGATACTGCACCAAGGCTGAGACTAATTCACGCTCAGGACCACTGCACGCAAGTCGACTTACCAAGGACACATTGGCAGGCATCAGCCCAAAGAGCTTCAGCCATGAAACTCTGAAGCCCCTCTCTCTCACCCGCAAGCTCTCGACTAGCCGAGCACAGCTATTCAACAGCAGCATGGATCCAACACACCCCCCCACCCATCGCGCATTCATCGCGTTTGGGAGCAATGTGGGGGATCGTATTGAGATGATCGAGGCCGCTTGTCGGGAGCTGGAGCGAGCCAGCATCCGGATCAGGAGGACTAGTTCCCTTTTCGAGACAGCACCGATGTACGTCCTCGATCAGGATCCATTTATCAATGGAGTGTGTGAGGTATGTATACCATTGCCCCTCAAGCTTCATCCATTCTAACCCCCTCTTAGGTAGAAACCAGCCTCAGCCCCATGGACCTGCTGGACACCCTACAGGCCATCGAAATCGGCCTAGGAAGGAGAAAACTGATCGATAAAGGACCACGCTCGATCGATCTCGACATTCTCCTCTATGACCAGCAAATCTTCTCTCACGAGCGTCTCTACATACCGCACCAGTTGATGCTCGAGCGCGACTTTGTCCTCCGACCCCTATGCCAGTAAGCCTAACTACCCCATAAAACCACAACCCAACCCCAACTAACGAGCAAACCATCCAGACTCATCCCTCATGAACTTCCCCCCTTCCTCGGCCACTCCAAAAGCTACCTCTCACACCTCAAGACCCTCCCACCCCCAGAGCCAACCCCATTCTCCACAACTCCTATATCCAACCACTTCCCCGCCATCCACTCAACTAACCCCAACCGCCCAAGCCACATAATGGCCATCCTCAACCTCACCCCCGACTCCTTCTCCGACGGCGGCATCCACTCCTCCGAAGACCTCACCACCCTTACCACCACCGTCCGCAACTTCATCCAAGCCGGCGCCACCATCATCGACATCGGCGGCGAAAGCACCCGTCCGGGCTCCTCCCCCGTCGGCGAAGCCGAAGAACTCGCCCGCGTGATCCCCGCAATCCGACACATCCGCACCACGATCCCCGAAGCAGCCCACATCGCCATCAGCATCGACACCTACCGGGCCCGAGTAGCCGAAGAAGCCTGTGCCGCCGGCGCCGACATCATCAACGACGTATCCTCAGGCCTCCTCGACCCCGAAATGCTCCCTACCATGGCCCGCACCGGCAAATCCGTAATCCTGATGCACATGCGCGGCACCCCCTCCACAATGACCAAACTAACCGACTACCCGAACGGGGTCATCCAAGACGTGGGCACCGAACTCCTTCAGCGCGTCGCTGCCGCCGAAGCAGCTGGGATTCGTCGCTGGCGCATGATTCTGGACCCGGGTCTCGGGTTCGCCAAGAATGAGCCCCATGATCTCACTATACTCCGGGACCTGCAACAGTTCCGGACGGGTATCGAGGGCTTGGAGTATTTCCCGTGGTTGATGGGTCCGAGTCGGAAGCGTTTCGTGGGACGGTTGACGGGCGTGCAGAAAGCGAGTGAACGCACTTGGGGCACTGCGGCTACCGTGGCGGCTAGTGTTGCTGGTGGGGCGGATATCGTGCGTGTTCATGATGTGAAGGAGATGTGGCAGGTTGCGAGGGTATCGGATGCGATTTATCGGGGGATTCTGTGAAAGTGAGTGGAAGGATGGATGTGAAAAGTTTTCTGGGCCTTGTATATTCAACTATAAAATAATGCGCTGAGGATAGAACCAGGTGTAGAAGGAGGGTAGGATTTGGACAGAATGGGTTTCTTGGGCATGCATGGTGCTGGAAAGGGTTCAACCGCGGCGATCCTGGAGGGAAAGTTCCACCTCCATATACGAATAGAGATCAAGCTGGAACATCTCATACAGAATAACCGTAGACCATTGTCATATTGTACCTACGGAGAGACAAGCCCGGAGTGAGCAAGGAATAATAAGGTTCCTATCTAGTTGATCAATCCAAGACCCAAGCAAAAGCAATCCTGCAAACGGGTGATCAAAGAGTTTATCAAATCCAAATGATTGTCACCCCCAGCCATTAATCCAAGCCACCCCACAATACCAGACATCTCATAGAACGGGCAGTACATAACCCCCACCTCAAGAGCCAACCAAACAGCAAACCAAGCACAGAAATCATCAAGCCCACCACTGCTCCTGTGGTATCCACTGATCCTGGGGAAACAACCCCGAAGGATTCATATCGACCACATCAAAAGGCACAATAAGCTCCCAGGCTTTCCGCAACAACTGCTCCTCGACAAATTCTTTACCGGTCGTCAAAGCCGGAAACCGAAAGTTTACCAGCTGCCTCTCGGTGTAAAACTCAATAGGAGCAGACGACATATCGGCGGGTTCCGTGGTCCCTGTCGAATGATTCCAGAATTTCTGTAGAGTAGGTCTAGGGCATTTGCTGAACGTTTCTTTGAGGTCATCGTAGACGGCTGGAGTCAGGTACCCGATGATGATTTGGTTGCAGAAGGTGGGTTCGCTGATGATATTTTGGGTGTACGTTTTGCATTCGTATTTCATGCCTTCGATATCGGAGATGCTGCCGATGACGTGGTGGAGGTCACCGGTGCCAAGGGCGGATTTCTGGACCCACAGACCGTGGTGGTATTGGGGCCAGACGCGGACATGAGGATCCTCTGTACCTGGTGGGATGTAGAACCAGACGTGGGAGATTAGGTAGGTTTGGTGGGTGATGTTCCGCGTTGTATTTTCTCTACCGGGGATTGCTGGGGGCATAGAAGAATTCGCAGTTCCAGCGGCGCTGCCAGATGGGCTGAACATGGCTTCCAGTGGGGGTTGGATCAGGATTGAAGGGGGTAAATAGTGTAGGAGAATAACTAGGAATGGTTGGTAGATAATGATGGGTATGTTTGGTGAGAGAACGAGGGTGCAGAGGTGGAAGTAGGTTTCATTGGGGAATATATGGGTCGAGGGCAATTGTTGATGGAGGGACTGGCAAGGAGGAAGGTGCGCCCCGAGTGCTGTATACCAGACGAGGGAGATAAGTAGGCCTTACTTTAACTTAAGGGTGCAGAGTGTTTGATCATCTGTGGTCTGCATGTCGAAGCAATTCAATGTCTCAATTCATCAACTTGATTCTAGCACTCGTAACCTACTCGTGTTCAACAAATATACAAGAATCCAAGGTTGTCAAAATGTTCAATGGAAGACAATTAATGATTTTAACTAACGCAGAAGAACGGCACTGATGAGAGCGAGAGAACCGACCTGGACCGTTCATCCCAGTAAACGCATCTTTTGATGTCCAGCAGTTCTAATCATACGGGGGCACTGCGCCAACCACGTCGTCGAAAGACATCTGTTTATGAGGGTACTAATCAGGGGAATAGAAGATGGAGACAGAAACGCCACATGTGAAGGAGATCGAGTATAAAGCTGGCTAACAAGGGTCGGGATAAGCCGGAGGTAAGAATTGAAAGCGTTATCGGTGTGGTGTTCGAAGTGCACATGCTTAGCTGTTCAGATAGCTGCGTATAGCGCCTAGATTGATCTGTGAGTAAGAATACGGTGCACACTGATGGGAAATCGACTCACCTTGCAGCTTAGTTGCACCCTCCCCGACAAGCTGCGTCAGGTTTTCCAGGTCATCGCCCGCGGTGATACCGAACCGACGCACAAAGTCCTTGGCGGCATTCTCAAGATCTCCATAGGTATCGTCCGCAGCGGGAAGCTCGTCCTCAGGACGGCCGAAGTAGGAGTTGCTAGAGATAGCAGTGGCACCGTCAAATTGACGAAGACGGTCCTTAGCCTCGGCCTGCGCAGCAGGGTCAAATCGTTCCCGTCCGAAAAACTCGTCGGAGGAGATGCCCTTCTGGCTGCCAAATCGGGACTTAGCCTGCTTCAGCTCTTCGTCTGTAGACAGTTAGCCTGTAAACCCATAGCTAAGACTAAACGATGCAAGTAAACATACCATCAGCTACAGACCTGGAAGGAACAGCACCGAAGCCCAACTTCTTCGGGGCAGGGGGCTTCGCGGCGCCAACAGTTTGTCCAAACCCTAGCCTTCCAAGTCCCATTCCAAGGCGCTCCACATCACCCGAGCTGCGTTCTTGGGTGTTCTTGCTAGGGCTAATAGGAGTTGGCGAAGCGATCGCCGTGGCAGCGGTGCTAGTAGCCTTGGCCTTGGCATCAGCCTCCGCCTTCTCAGCTTCAGGATCGTAGCCCAGCTTTTCAATGCGCTCGGCTTCTTCCCTAGCCTTTCTCTCGGCCTCTTCGAAATCGATGGACTCCGCAGCGACAATCTTCTTAGCTCCCAGCTTGGGGGCCTTCTTGGCACCCAACACACTGCCCTTCTTTGCAGTGGTGGTCGACGCAGTCTTCCGAACGGCAGCACTGGACCGGATGGCGGTAGGAGCAGGGGAAGCGCTGTCCTTGTCGGAGGCGGACAAAGGAGATTTGGAACGCGAGCCGTTTGCGCCGGAGTTCAGGAACGGAGAGCTAGTGCGACTGACAACCGGAGGGGTACCGGTACGGGAAGGAGGGTTGCTTGGGCGCTTGATGGATGGCTTGTCCCATGAGGAGAAGAAGTCGTCATCCTCACCGGCTGGTGTGCTGGAGCCGTTGGATGGAGTGCCAGCAGGAATGTCTGTAATCACAACCTCCTCGGGGTATCTGTGTGTGGGACGAGTAATTAGACCGAGACCCAGTGTAGAAAATCAGGAACCACTAACTGTTGCGCATCCTGTGCAGCCCGTCTCTTAAGTTCCTCCTTGTACTTCACGGCGGCGTTGCAGGTGTACTTGACTTTCGGGTCCTTGCTAGCCAGAGCGGCAGATCCACCGTGCGATTGGAAGTACTTGGTAGCGGACTCATTGCCACCGACCTTCATAGTCCGGAGCTGTTCCCATTGCCATTCTGCATGTGTCACATTAGCACCGACAAGCTGTAATCTCAGGAGATGCGATGCTGCGTACGGTCGAGGTTGGTAGAGCGGACAAACGAGATGTGGACACCCAGGTTACGGTGGTGAGCCGAGCAGTCCAGACACAGGTAGATACCGAAAGGTACAGACGACCATGTTGGGTTCTTGGAGCCGCAATCGAAGCAGATCTGTCACGCAGAAGTCAGAATGGCTGGCCGGGCAGACAGACAGGCTGGCGGGGAGGGGCACGGCGCGCCTTGTTTGCGGGCTTGAGTTTTAGCTTCTCAAAGATCTTCTGAGACTCCGCCTTGGAGGCACTCATGGTGAAGGAAGGGAGGGATAGGATAAAGGACCCGACGAGAGGGAGAGGGACAGTCCTGCAGGCGGAATCGGATGGCAGGTCTTCGGGGAGGGAGACAAGAAAGAGGGATCCAAAATGCGAGCGGGAGAGCGAACGTGGTCGGTTTGGGAGCGCCGTGGTGACCCTGCCTCAATTGCAACCCCCATCGGGTATTTTTAACTTCGGGCCTTAATTTTGAGTGGCACCTACAAGACAGCGCTAGTGGCGAATCAACATACCAATATCAATCGCCATTCCGAGCTGAAGGTTGCTACGGATCATGATACGTCAATTGAACCCCCCTTGGCATTGACTGGCACCATCATTGACTGACATCCAGGAACACCGTCACGGTCCTGATGCCTCAGTTCCCCAGCTCGTACTGCAAATACAGCCGCCCCCATCCGTACCGAAACTTTCACTACGGCGGCTGAAACACCGGAAGTGGATGCCCACGTGACCCACCCGATCCCCACACGGCCATGGACCACGGCTCTCCCTCGACATTTTTATGAAAGCATCCGACAGCTATATCGGCTTTTCCATGCTCCTCGCCGCCCTGAAACGTTCCTAATCCGATGCGGACCTGGGTGATGGTCAACCGCCGCAATGCTTCCACACCTACGACCTAATCCTGCCCTGCCCCGGATATCCGCGGCCCTTCTACGTCCGAGCCTTCCCCGCACGACCCAACTAGCACGCTGCTATGCTACCCAGACCGGAGGATCGGGGGCACCGAAACGGAGAAACGTCACGATCTTGTCGGATGATGGACGCTACGAGTGGGGAGAGCTGAGCGGGAGGGAGAAGGTTGCGCGCGCGACGCAGCAATCGCTCAACTTTGTTGTTATTGTCGCGGGTGCCGTTTTGACGGTGAGAAGGACCATGGTGGATATTGCTGGACGAGGGTTGGGCTGACAATGGGCAGGGTGGAGTTTTCTATCTGCTGTATACGGAGGTCTTCTCTCCGAACAGCAAGACCTGGCAGTTTGAAAAAGCTGTCGAGCGCATCAAGGACGACACGCGCTGTACGGATCTTCTTGGTGACCGGAGGGAGATCAAGTTCTATGGCGATAATACCTGGAGCAGATGGGCGCGGAGCCGCCCTATCGCGTATAATGTCCCTTTGTATCGGGGGTTGGGTGATGCTAACTGGGAGGTAGGACTTCTATATATCAGGACCGGTTGGGTCGCGAACACCTGAAGATGAACTTTCATGTACGCTTGTTCCTCGTCTGGGATATTGATGTTTTGCTGATTATTGATAGGTCGAGGGTCCCCTTAACTCCGGTACCGTTTTCGTGCACATGATGAAGCCATTGGACCACAACGAATGGGAATATCAGCTTCTTGCTTTGGAGGTGCCGGGTTAGTCGCGTACATTCTACTTGGAGAGTATTTGGACTGACGTGTGTAGGACATTCCCGAGTTGTCCTAGAACAAGCTCGCGAGAAACCCGGAGTCGGACAGGCGCTCAAAATCTTCGGCATACGGTGGCGGTAGATTGGTGCGGGTTGCCGATTCTTTAACTGCATTATGCAGTCGCGGGTTACCAGTCATTGAAAGAAACCGGTATATTTAGGACGAGCTGCGCATGGATGTGAAGATCACATCCCCTTGGTATATTTCACTAGCATGTTATACTGGTGGCTTATAGCTGTGTGCGTCCGAAGGCTAATAATTGGAAGCTCAAGCCCATCCTTAATCTGCACCGGGTAGGTTGCGGTTAAGCACTCCAAACATTGTATTATTAAACTGCTACGAGTGTAGAGTATACCTACTATATAAAACATCGAGAACAACGCAGGAACAAGACAAAAAAAAACCATAACACTTTTTGCAAATTAGATGCACTGTCATCAAAGCAGCTCATGAAATTCTAAAGCTTTCTACATAAGAACTCGTATCACATATATACAGACCATCCATCAACCTCTCATATCCGGGGACCCTCCAGAATCGGCTTGGCCGCCTCTGTCCTCCACCAACTCTTGCCCTCCTCACCCGGGAACGAAAACTCATCCATGCTCTCCGGCTTCATCTCCACACTGTAACCCGGCTCTAGGGGAGTAACATAGTATCCATCCTTGACACTCGACGGGTGTACGAAGTGCTCGTGCAGGTGATCCACATATTCCAGCACACTCTTCTTTCCGCTCACAACCACGTAATCGATTGTGCTCAAGTGCTGTGTGTATTCGGGCAATCCAACACCACCAGAGTGAGGCACAATCGGCACACCGAACTTACGAGCGAGAAGGAGGATAGCAAGAACCTCGTTGACACCACCTACACGGCACGCATCGGCCTGAAGGACGGTCAGAGCTCCTGCCTGCAGAAGCTGCTTGAAGACAACACGGTTCTGGCACATTTCACCAGTGGCGACGCCGATAGGGCCGTAGGGGGTATCTTGGAGAGCCTTCTTTATGGCTGCGTGGCCGAGGATATCGTCGGGGGAGGTGGGCTCCTCAATGAACCAGGGCTTGAATTCGGCAAGTTGTTGCATCCATGTGATGGCTTCGGGGACGGACCAGACCTATTCGTGAAATCATTAGCATTGATTATGGTGTAGGAAGTAGACGGGGTAAGGTTAACGTACCTGGTTCGCATCAACCATGAGGATGTTGCCCCTATCGTATCCGATAGCTTCACGGGCAATGGCCAGTCTCCTCCTGTCCTCCTCGACATTTCCACCAACCTTCAGCTTGAAGTGCTTGTATCCCTGCTCCACGCTCTCCTTCAGAAGAGTCTTAAGCTTATCTTCACCGTATCCGAGCCAGCCGGCACTGGTAGTGTAAGCCGGGACAGCCTGGCTCTGTTCTGCCTCCTTGATACGGTCCTGCTTGCCCGACTCAACCTCCTTAAGGAGGGAGATTGCCTCTTCAGGTGTGATGGCGTCCGTGATGTAACGGAAGTCAATGCAACGGACAAACTCCTCAGGAGTCATGTCCGCAACGATGCGCCAGACAGGCTTGTTAAGGGTCTTAGCCCAAAGATCCCAAAGAGCGTTGACGACGGCTCCGAGGGCCAGGTGGATGACACCCTTTTCGGGGCCAATCCAGCGGAGCTGACTGTCGGAGACAAGGTAACGCCAGGTCTTGCCCCAGTCGGCGGTAAGTTCGTCAAGGTCTTTTCCAACCACGAGAGGAGCGAGGAGGGAGATGGCTGCGGCGACGATTTCGTTTCCGCGGCCAATGGTGAAGGTCTAAGTTTATTTAGGTTAGTTCTGAAATGGGTATAGGAATAGGATATGGAGCGTATGCGTACCATGCCGTGTCCAGCGTGCTCGGAGTCGGTGTGAATAATGCAGTAGGCGGCGGAGTAGTCGCCTGCTGCGTTCATAGCATCGGAGCCGGTCTTATCGAGGGAGGTCTGTCATCTGGATTAGCTTGTAGGATAGATAGGTGACTCGAGGATGTGCATGCGACGTACAGGAAACCTCACGTCCCGTGTGGTAAAACTCAAGATCTTAACCATGGTGTCGGCTGGTCTGGTTCAATTGATTCTAGAGGGAATTGGAAAGGGAGCCTTTCCGGGGAAGAATTGCAATTTACTGCAATGCGGGGCAGCGGTTGAAGGATGAGCTCCCACGTCAACACAGGATATGAAGGAGCAAAAAGAGGCAGTTGAATGCTGCTGTAGACACCCGCAACCTCACGAGAAACAATTGAGAGAAACCGACAAGGATAATGAAGCGTGAGAGGATAGCAGCCGGGCGGGGCGTACTTATACAAGGCGCGCGGGCACCCCTCCCCCTCCACGCAGTGTGGGGAACTGCCCCTCATTGGCGGAGGAATTGCTCCAGGCCGTGGGCTGGGTTTCTCCGCCACTCACAGCCCGTCGCTGGCCGGCCAAAATAAACCCGTCTCTCGTACGCCTCCCCAGGGTTCGGGGGCCATTTCAGTGACTTGCGGGATTTAGATTAATTGGACTGATTCCAACAGACTATGGGCTAGGCTCGAGATTACGCTACATTGGATGGGAGGTCCGTAGGTAGAAGAACTGGCCAGTCACAAGAATGCAGTTTGCCCCTAGGAGCGGATATCAAATTCAGTCACTATTGCTTGCATGGGCAGACAGTCTCCAGAAATATGGGCTCGGAGACAGTGTCCGCATTTCCTTCGAAATGGGGGATTTCCTCGTACGTCGAACCTTGATAGCACGTATGCACCATTTACCCCGACAGACCTCTCTTCTCGCTCTCCGAGAAGAAAATGATCATCCGCCACAGCTTGCGGACCAGCACCTCGGCCTCTTCGTCGAGTGCCTGTAAATCAGAGTTAGCATCAGGTCCAGATGTGTAGGGAATAACAAACAAAATGGGACAGGCTTAGCTTACCTCCTCTAGCTGTTCCACAAGCTCCTGGGGGTGGCCATGCTTGCGAACATGCTCTTCTACCACATCCACCAGCATCTGCTCCTGAACACCCAAATACTCCACGATCTTCTTCTCCACAAACGGCTTGAGCTGGTCGGTAACCACGGTTTCGTCCACAAACTCCCATTTGACTTTCCAGCCCCAGAGTCCATCCTTGTCGGTAGGGATTTCGGCAGCCAACTGTCGGGCAGCTTGCGCCCGCTCCTCGTCGGAGAGACCCGCAGCTTCGGCGGCGCTGTCGAACTTTATCGGGATAAGAGGCCGTCTGGCCGTGGCTTGAGGCTCTTCTTCGTCCTCCAGCAACCCTTCCACCTCGGCAACAGTCCGACGGGTCGTGGCAGCTTGGGCCTTTTGCGCGGCAGCTCCAAGAGAGAGCTTGAAACGCTGTGGCTCTCTGGGGGCCTGGTTCCGGGTCTCCAATTCCTCTGCCTGTCGTGCAAGGAAATCGTCTGCCATACCACGAGCCTGTTCCCGTTGCTGGACAGACCGGGCCCGTTCGCGCTCTTCCGCCGCACGATCCGCCTCATCCATGCTGATTTCGCGGGCTCGGTAGGCTGCGCGACTACGTAGCCATGCACCGCGATCAGCATAGTAGTCGTCCACCTTGCGGTTGGCCTCATTGTCATCGTTCCACTCTCCGTACCGTTTATCCATTTCATCACGTACTTCCTGAACCTTGTCGTCCTCTTCCTTATCCCTCTTCTTCTCGCGCTCCAGAGCGGCAGTTCGGCTTCGTTCGCGGTTCAACCAGCGTCGTTCTTGATCGAGGAATTGCTTTTCCAGCTCCGCCTCCTTTTTCTCCTGACGCCGACGCTCCAGCTCCTCATCGCTAGCATCCGACTCTTCTTCCTCGCGGTCTATGTAGGCAATAGTGGCACCATTGATAGAGCCTCCGTTGACGAAAGATACGCCCTTTTGGTAGTCTTTGGGAACTTGCACGCCAAAACCCTTGGGGCCAGACGGCGCGGTAGACATGCTACGGTCCCGAGGGCCGAGAGGAACTCCATTGGCGCCAGCAGCAGGTCCGCTAGGGGCGGAAAGAGGAGGAGATGCCAGTCGGTTGATACGTGAACCTGCATTGCGTGCTCTCTCCATCGATTCAATTTCTTCCTCTCTCTTGAGACGTTCGATGTCGCGGCGGTTGCTGCGTTCACGGAAAGCGGCGATCTCTTTCGCGACTGTTTCTCTCATTTCAGGAGGGATATCGGAAAGTTCATCTTCAACGGTGATGGGAATGGTCACGACCTCAGCTCCTGTACCATCGTTATGGCCTTCCGTACCCTTCATTGCGGTATCCCCTTCGCGGTCAATCGCTGAGACATCTTCTTTTTGAGTGGGAGATGTTGGATGACATAAGTCCGCCAGGACAGTAGCAAGGGTACTGCGTGCAGCATCTAACCGTGACTGGCGCTCAGCAGGGTCTTGGTCACCTCTGCTGGCTTCGTATTGCTCTAGGTAGTTCAACGAGCTGTCGTCTACCACAACCTGTGCCTTCCGTTAGCGTTGTCATCTCGCATTGCCAGGCCTCGACGTACCAGTAGAGTGCTCTTCTCCACCTCACGCTCTTCCTTTTCATCACCCTCTGACGGCGTCTGTCTCTTCACAGGCACTTGCACGTCCTTTAGCACTTCAACAGCAGTACCTAGACTTTCGGGGTCCTCGTACTCTGCAAAACCGAATTTGCACGGCTTATCGTCTGCATCCGTAGCGCGGATCCAACGCCTAAGATTGCCTGCCGAACGCAGGATTCTTTCCACGCCCTCATCGCCACCAACGCCCTCCGTGATTCCACCAACGAAAAGGGTTCGCACAATTTCCTCTCGCGTAGGAGGCTGCAGCTGCATCATCGCATCTCGCACGTTTTGACGTTGGGACTCGAGACTTGTGGAACCCAGACCTGTCCGCCTCCCCGAAGCCTCGCTACGCTCCTTGTTGGTGTCCGGAGTAGCAGATTTCGACGGTCCCGAGGTGCCGAGTCGAATAACGGGGGCGGAGAAGTTGATGTTGGGCATGTTCGGAGGGGGTTGGAAGTTGGGGGGAAAAGCAGGTCGACCAGTCTGTTGGGCGTTCGCCGGTTGCATCCCCGGGGGCGGGGTGGTTCCAGGCGCTACCATACCGGGGGGAGGGGCTATGAAGTCAGTATAGTATTCTTGAGATGGCAGGAGCATTTGGAGAGATGGTGGACTCACCCATGCCTGGAGGCGCTCCGGGATACGCTCCGTACTCTGGGGGCCTGCCATAGAGGCCAGGGGCTACAGATGTCAGTACACGTTTCTCGAGCTTGAATAGTCGCACACAGATGCTAATAAATGGAGTAAAAGACATACGCTGGTAGGGATTGTACATTGCGACGGAATCGTAGTTGCTGTTCAAGTTGTCAAGGTTCCAAGGAGCTAGAATTTTTCGAGTGTCGGATTAGTGAGGAACTAAAAGCCGAATAAAGAAGTAGTCAGAAAACAATAGAGACGTACCCTATTTAAAGAAGGAATTCTCGAACAATCACTAAGGTAGTGACATTTGGGCAGGTGAAGAAGATCGCGAGCTGCGGCGGAATTGCTGCTCGAGAAGAACTATGTGGCCCGTGCATGCCTTCTTGGCAATCTTCCGCTCAGGCTGGAATTGGTCAACTGGTACGGAGTCGGTGTCTCCCATCCTTTGTTCTACGGCCAACATTCATCCTCCTGGGCAGTCCATCACATGAATAGTATGCTCTAAGTCCCGTTCATGATACTGTGATCTGACTACATAGAACTTCATTGAGCATCCGGCTTCCATCTACCTTGAGGAATCCAGACGACTAGACCCCATCACCATGCCGAGGTCTCGCTTGTTGGGACGGCGTAGTGATCATGATCTGCATGATAGTATAGGCTCAGCAGTAGCATAGAGTTCCTGTTGGTCATGGATCTCATACTTGGGGAGCAGCTTTGTAGCACCTACAAGTGTCTAGGGAAGGTAGAAAAGGAGGATGATTGCCCAGGGAGAGTGGCGTACCTTACAGTGCCGGCCTACCAACACCCTCTAGTCCCAAAGGCGAGATTGTCGTATCCTTTGCAGAGATTCCCTCCGTACTAACCGAGTACTTAGGCAGCTAATCAGTGTCGGAAAATGGCCGATTGCAAGGAGCTAGAAGAGTGACCGAAATTGCCTGGTTGCCAATTTACTCGGCTTGGATGCACAGAGATCTTTAAGTTGCAAGCCAACTTCTCTATGTTTTGCCCTTGGCCAACAGAACTAAGAGTCCCTGGCAGGTACTATATCCACTAGTGCTATTTATAGACAATCTATATTTTATTGTTTCAAGGTGTTTCTACATCAACTTGTGGACAATGATTGCTATTAATCAATAGAGGCAGTCAATGGCCCAAGATATGCATAGCCTCACCTTTAGCAATCACTAGCGGCTTCCAAGACACTACAGGAGTTGTGGGTAGAGAGGAGACTTTGTCAATAGAGATGCCGACGACCTGGATGCTGCCAGAAGGCCCGCCATCGTACGATGTTGTGCGAAGCCCTTTTGCTTTTGACACCTGATCAATTCGTTGCCGCGAATAATAGATAGGTGTACATCTTTGAAGCCTATACGGCATCGAACGCCTCTACTGCTTGTGGAAAGCCCTACAATATTCCTGGAGTTGTTCTACCATACTCCTAAGCGGTCATCATGCTGGAGGATCCATACTAGCAGCCTCCCCAATATCAGGGTCCATTGTGCCAATGTGTTCCTCAAACCCGAACTGACTACTTGCCATTGCGTTACCCCTTTCATTAGCCGATTCGGCCAATTCAAAACCCCGCTGGTCGTTGAATTGCCATTGAGTGATTAGTTCTTTTGCAAAGCCAATTGCTGGTAGAGGATAGCTAGAATGTTCCCCAAAATTGCTGATAGATGTTAATACCTAGATCTAGGAGTAGGGCTTATACTTTGAGAGAGGAAATATAAACGGACAAGTAGATGACGGAAGATTTGGAACGATCTCGACCGAAACACTCGAGCATTCGATAGAAGATCTGGAAGGAAAGGCGTGGGGGTGAAAATCACCGGCGGCCTTTTTCCGAGGAACTGTCAGGAACATTCCTCCTCCTTACCTACGGAGTACATTGGGCCCATGGCCAAGGTCAAGGCCCAGATAACGGCTTGAATCCGACCGATTGCCCGGTGTGACGATGACGATCGGTCAATGGGTTCTTCTGGCCTTCCTGTCCAGGGCTCATACCGGAGCCCGTCTGTAGCAGTCTAGAATAAAGTGATGACAAACACGATGAATGAAACACAGCTTTAGCCAAACGGTGTTCAGCTGACCGGCAGAGGTTTTTGGGCTGGACAAATCAACGGGGCACACCGGGAGAATCTGCGTCACGCAGGTGGTTCTGGGATTTCCTGGTCTGAGAGGGTAGCCCCACGGCAGCCCCTCTCCTACGGACCCCAACACGCCGGTTGACGACATACCTGTCCGCCCGCCCTCCCAGCTCTCCCACCTTTGCTCCGCGCCTCCCGCTCTCTCTCTCTCTCTCATTCCCTCCGATTTCATCCATCCTTCACTCCCTCAGTAGTGCTTTGGCTTCGTTTCTCCCTTCATTCACGTTTTACATAAAAGGTAAGCATCCCCCTCCCCCTCCCCCCCCAAAACTTTGCTCGGCTTCCCCCCTCAATCCCTCACCAGCTCTGCCCCGCGCTAACGCTTCCCGTCTCCGGTCAGAGCTCTATAGCACATACACCATGCCCAGTTTCTCGCAGGCCACCGAACTCTCCGCCTGGAAGGAGCTCCAGGAGCACCACAACTCCGTGGGACGTAACATTGTCCTGAAGGAGTGCTTCCAGAAGGACCCCCAGCGCTTCGAGAAGTTCAGCCGCACCTTCAACAATACTGTTGATAACACCGAGATCCTCTTTGATTTCTCCAAGAACTTCCTCACCGAAGAGACCTTGGCTCTCCTGGTCAAGTTGGCCAAGGAAGCTAACGTTGAGGAGCTCCGTGATGCTATGTTCAAGGGTGAGAACATCAACTTCACTGAGGACCGTGCTGTCTACCACGCTGCCCTGCGCAATGTCTCCAATGAGCCCATGCAGGTCAACGGCAAGAGTGTCGTTGAGGATGTCAACGCCGTCCTCGAGCACATGAAGGAGTTCACTGAGCAGGTGCGCAGTGGTGAGTGGAAGGGTTACACAGGCAAGAAGATCGACACCGTCATCAACATCGGTATCGGTGGTTCCGACCTGTAAGTCTGCCCGATAGTACCAAGAAGATGCTTGTACTAACATCTTGACCAGGGGTCCCGTCATGGTTACTGAGGCCCTGAAGGCCTACGGCTCTCCCGACATGACTCTACACTTCGTCTCTAACATTGACGGCACCCACATTGCTGAGGCCCTCAAGAACTCCAACCCCGAGACCACGCTCTTCTTGATCGCCTCCAAGACCTTCACCACTGCGGAGACCACCACCAACGCCAACACTGCTAAGAAGTGGTTCCTGGAGACTGCCAAGGAGGAGGCCCACGTTGCCAAGCACTTCGTCGCTCTGTCCACCAACGAGGAGGAGGTCACCAAGTTCGGTATCGACAAGAACAACATGTTCGGTTTCGAGTCGTGGGTGGGTGGTCGCTACTCCGTCTGGAGTGCCATCGGTCTGTCCGTTGCTCTTTACATCGGCTACGAGAACTTCCACCAGTTCTTGGCCGGTGCTCACGCCATGGACAAGCACTTCCGCGAGACTCCTCTGGAGCAGAACATCCCCGCTCTTGGCGGTCTGCTGAGCGTGTGGTACAGTGATTTCTTTGGTGCCCAGACCCACCTGGTTGCGCCCTTCGACCAGTACCTGCACCGTTTCCCTGCTTACCTCCAGCAGCTCTCCATGGAGAGCAACGGCAAGGCCATCACCCGTACCGGCGAGTATGTCAAGTACACCACCGGCCCCATTCTGTTCGGCGAGCCCGCCACCAATGCTCAGCACAGCTTCTTCCAGCTGCTGCACCAGGGTACCAAGCTTATCCCCTCGGACTTTATCATGGCTGCTGAGTCGCACAACCCCGTTGAGGGCGGCAAGCACCAGCGCATGTTGGCTTCCAACTTCCTGGCCCAGTCGGAGGCTCTGATGGTTGGCAAGACCCCTGAGCAGGTCAAGGCTGAGGGTGCTCCGGACAACCTGGTGTCTCACAAGACTTTCCTTGGTAACCGCCCTACCACTTCCATTCTGGCCCAGAAGATCACCCCCTCGACCCTGGGAGCTCTGATCACCTACTACGAGCATCTCACCTTCACCGAGGGTGCCATCTGGAACATCAACTCCTTCGACCAGTGGGGTGTGGAGCTGGGCAAGGTTCTTGCCAAGAAGATCCAGAAGGAGCTGGAGACGGCGGATGCTGGAGCGGACCACGATGCGTCAACCAGCGGTCTGCTGCTTGCATTCAAGAAGAAGGCCAACTTGGCTTAGGCGATTTCTGGATGTTTAAGTTGAATACTGAAAAATGCGTGTATATCTTGATGAGCCACGAGAATCATCTTAATAATTAGCAATGAAATACCATCTCGGAGATTAACGAACGAACTCCAGTAACCATTAATGATTGTCATTGTTTACCCGACGTAGCATTCCGTGGAACGGCGTATCTCATAATCAAATCCTCAGTAAAGCTGCGGTCCAGATAGACTCCTGCACCCATTTGGTCATAGCAGCGGGAAGGGTCTCCTTACCGCGGCTCCTCCGACCACGCTGTCTCTCTCTCTCCCCATCAAAATCCCGCCCCCTACGCGGCATCCATTCATTCCATTCGCCCGGCGGCGGCGTGCAAACAATCATTGACCCTATCCTACCTATCCAATAATGTCCGCTCTCCAGGGGCCCCCCCTCAATCGGATCTATCACTATGGACTATTGACCCTTTCCTTGATACGGCTCTCCTCCGCCGCGGGGACCAGCGAGCCCGCCACCGGCTACACATATGGCCAATCGATACCAGTGACATGTCTAAATCGAACGATGTGAGATCCTACCCACCTGCCCACCTACCTACACTCCCAATTGAATCCCCAAACTAACTACTCTACCCCCTTAACCAGTGACTCCGGCGAACATGTACTCCCCCCAAACCCACCACCCCCATCATCCACCCCCATACACACTAACCCTATCCAGATAACAGACAACCTAGGAAAACTCCAATACATCCCATTCCCAACATGCAACGAAACCTCCCTCCCACTAACCCTCCACTACGGCGTCCCCGAAACCCTAAACTGCACTATCGCCTCCCTCCCCGATGACCTCTACCACCTCCTGGAATATTATGTTCATTCGGACGTCCCCATGACGTGTCGTGTACCTTCTGCCCCGCTGGCGAATCAACAGATTGGTGATGATGGGCCGGCGTACACCCCTATTACATTTGCGGTCCAGGGGACCTTGCAGTTGAGTCATTTGCATTTGTGGACGGATTTGAATGTTTTGGTGCATAGTATTGGGGATGTTTTACAAGGCGGGAGGAAGAAGGAGGGTGAAAGGGGGTATGTGGTTGCGGGGACGGCGTATTCGGTGCCGGAGTTTGATGGGGTTCGGAGTGGGATTGGGAAGGGAGGTGAGGCAGGGGAGGGCGTTGTGCAGGCGGCGAGGGAGCCTTGGACTGCTGGACATGGGACTAAGGTGGTGAGGGGGGAGCCGTTGACGTTTTCGTTGAGTGTGAGGTGGGTTGATGGGGGGAGGGGCATTGGGTGGCCTGCTTTGAGGGGGGAGGTGGAAGAGGGGAAGGGAGGGGGAGGAGGAGGGTGGTTTTCGAGGATGGTGTTCTTTGGATTGGCTGCTAGTGTGGGTGCGTTGGGGGCGTTGTATTGGGAGAGGAGTGCGAGGGGACGTGGTGGGAGGGATGGGATTTTGGGCGTGCCGGTTAGGGGGAAGGGGGGTGTGGTTGGGTTTGGGAATGGAAGTGGAAATGGGGGGAAGATTAATGGATATGGAGGGTATTCGGGTGCTGCTGGGATGAGTGCAGGTGGTGGTGGTTCTACACCTGGGGCTGGGGGGTATGGGTATGGAGGATATATGAGTGGGAAGAGGGATTGATGTGGATATGGATGTGGATTGGATTGGATTGGATTAGTTATTGATGTATGAGTTACGAGTGATAGATGGAGGTACGAGTAAAGGAAAAACAGGCCGGACATATTGCAATTGGTGTAAATTCTAGTACTTGATGAACATTGGCAAACAGCAGACACGAACATAGATAAAACAGATAGTATACATACTACTAAAAGAAACCAACCATTTTATCCTCCCATCCCATCACATCACCACCCCCATCCCCACAACCAACCACCCCATATATACACCCCCAAATCCCCAAAGGCACAAACCTACCACCCCTGCGCCCTAATCTTCTGAATCCTCTTAACCGTCGCCCCAAACGAATACTTAAACAGGGTCCTCCACCGTCTACTCTTCTGAACCTTCCTCAACTGACCCTTGCGAACATGAAACCTCTGTGCCGTGAGCGTCGCCCGCACCCTATTCTGATTCAACACCGCCGACAACGTCCTCAACGCCGCTGGCAAATCGAACCCCTTCTCCGGCTCGACCGCCACCTGCCGACCCAACGTAGGACCCAGCTTCAAGTCCACCCGGCGCGACGCAGCCCGCAAGTTATCGGTTGCCGCGGAGTAGCCGACGCGGCGGGAGACGTCGAGATCATCTTTGTTGAAGGCGGGTTGGCTGGGGGCGCGTTCGTTGGCCGAGGCAGTGGCGGCGCCGCCGGTAGAGTCGAAGTTGAGTGTGTTGAGGATTTGGTCGAAGTCGGTGGTTGAGGAGGGTTGTTGGGGGTTGGTGGTGCGATTGAGGGCGGCGGTTTGGGTGGGGGTTAGAGTGGGACGAAAGGTGTTGTTGTTATTGCTGTTGTTGTTGTTGATATTGGAGGATGAGAATCGGAGGCCAATTCGTCCGGGGAGGAGTTGGGTCTTGTACAGGGTGGTGGTTGGCCTCGACCGAAGGCATTGGGTAAGGGCGCGTCTCTCCATGGTGGTTTATTTGACTGTGGGCGGTTTGGAGGATATGTTTGGTAGTGGGACGGCCGTGACCCTGGCTTGCAGTCGTCGCGGTGGATTGGCAGGGCGCGGGAGAACTGGTGGTGAGGTGAAATCTCGCCGTCCGTTGCGGATCGGAAATTGCGGGCACGTGACTAGTGCTACCGGAGTGTTCGTAGCTTGGGGACGGACTCCGCTTGATCTATCTACACGAGGAGAGTACTCCATACAGCATTAAGCCTGAACTTCCAGTGTGCTTGTCCTGCATAGCTGCAGAACGTATACCCAAAGCACTCATTATATCTCTCATCCCCACACCAATCATAATTCCAACCACAACACCCAAAATGTCCTCCATAACTATCGCAACCCTCCCCCGCATCAGCCGAGATGCCCTCTCAGCCCTCCTCCTCTCCACCTCCTCCCCCAGCAAACTCGCCGTCATCGATGTCCGTGACTCGGGTACGTACCCTCCCCTCCCATTTTTCCCCACCTCATTCTTCCCATATCTAATAAATCATAATATAGACCACATAGGCGGTCACATCCTCAGCTCGACCTGGGTCCCCAGCTCCTCTCTCGACTACCGTCTCCCCGAACTCATCCGCACCCTGCAAGACAAAGAAAAGGTTGTGTTCCACTGCGCGTTGAGCCAGCAGCGCGGTCCGTCCGCGGCTCTGCGGTATGCTCGTGAGCGCGAGCGTGTCCTCGGTCAGGAGGAGAGCAAGAAACAGGAGGTTTTTGTTCTAGAGGGTGGGTTCGTTCAGTGGCAGGAGAAGTATGGGAAGGATGTGAGGTTGACGGAGGCGTATGTGGAGGATATTTGGAGGGAGTATTAGGATAAGTTTATCTGGATTTGGTTGTTGGGATGGATGGTTGGTGCTGGTGATACCCCTTTTTGCTGTTTTGGTTTGGATAGGTTTGGTATAGATGGATGGATATGCTTGATGAATAAGGTAGAGATGGTTTATAGTAGAGGGGTTGGCGCAGGATTAGAAATGGGAATAGAGTATTATTTAGTTTTTTGTTACAAGGTCTATACTATACACTTCGCTAATCCAGGTATCAATCATATATCTGCCACAATCCCGCCTCCAAAGCCTATCGGGCGACGCTTCCCATCGTTCTCCGGCACAATCGCCATCACCTTATAAATCTTACCCATGCCGCCGCCGCCCTTCTCCACAAGTCTCTTCCACCCGGTCTCCAGCGTCTTCCGCTTCTCTTCATCCCCAACCCTCTTCAGTAGCTGCTGCATACGCTCCTCAATGCCCATGGCCTGCAGGAAATCACCCTGCTCGACCGGCCCGTGCACCTCCACGCCCTCACTAGCCTCAATCGCCGCCTCTGCCAGTCCCGTGAAATCCACATCCGCGCTGACATCCACCTGTCCCGGCGACGAAAGCGCCGGCACGTTCTTGTGTTCCCGGATCCCGCGCAGCGAGTTAATCGGGATAGTTGAGAGAGTACCATAGTCCATAATCAGAGCCGCACCGGAGGACACGCGCTTCGCGGGGGCCGGCGCGGCAGCTGCACCCTTCGTGACCGTCCGAGGAGGTTGCGATGCACCGCCGATACGGCGCGCAAAGTCGGACGCGTAGATGCGACTTTCCGGGCTGACTTCGATGGTGGAGCCAGGCTGGGATTTGAGGGCGCGGTAGCGCGGAGAGATCTCGGGAATGACCAAGGAGGAGGGAGTGGATGCCTTGGCGAGAGTGAGCTTGAACTCGGGCTCGCCTTCCTGGTTCTCTTCCACGGCCTTCGGGTTCAGTGTGACCATGAGTTCGCGCCATTGTGGCGTGTTGGCTGGTTTCAAGGGCTGGTGGAGTTTCGCTGGGCCGGTGGGGGTCATGATTTCCTTCTGTTCTGCGGGCTGGTTCTCTGGAGACGGGGGGATGGATTCGAAGGCGTGGATGGGGAGGGCGTCGAAGAATTCGTGAGCGAATATGAATGGTGTCTTGTCCTCCTCTGTAGAGCTATCAGCGAGGATTCACCGTAATGGAGGGGATTGTTCTCACCATGTGGTAACAACCTAATATCCTCGACCCAAATGACCGGAACGTCAAAGTACTTGCTCGTACTTCTGTGCCCAATGTCCGTCTCCTCCATGACCGCATCTCCACATAGTAGCTTTTTCTGAACCTCCCTCAGTGTAGCACTAGCTTCAACCAAGTATATCGCCTCGATACTCGACGTAAAGGTCTTGAAGTTCCGGAATGTCTACCCATTGTCAGCAACCCCTCATAACCAGGGTATAATCCAACTCACGCGCAACATATCATCCATCAAGGTTCCCTTTCCCGGTCCAACCTCCATCAGTTGCACTCCGCTGCGCTTCCGTCCCTGCGCCATCCATTCCGCAATCGTCCAGATGCCCACCAGTTCTCCGAAGACCTGGGAGATTTCGGGCGAGGTGACGAAGTCGCCCTTCTTGCCGAATACTTCGCCGTCGCCTTCGGGTCGCGTCGTGTAGTAGCCTCCTTCGGGGTTTGTGAGGACTTGGCGCATGAAGGCTGCGATGGGGATGGGGCCTGTTACCTTGAAAGTATCGGTTAGCTGGGATTTGATGGGTGGGTGGAGGACAGTACTTTGATCGCATTGGCGAGTGTCTGGGCTAGTGGTGTCGACCATTGTCTTGTTTCAAAGGTTGAGGCTGAAGGTGAAGGTGAAGGTGAAGTTGAAGACCATCGTTGCGATCTCAGTAAGAGTGTCTGGTTGGGGCGTGCTTTGAGGAGCTGCCTCACGGCGCGCCTCGTTCCGTGATTCATCCTGTGCGGACCGATTGAGCAGGGATGATCAGATAGTTAAATGCCTCTATACAAAGAAGGTAGGATAATTCAAGGAGGAACCTCTCCTGAAGGCTGAGGTCAATGAGCGCAGCATTCAGAATGATTCTCCAACTTCTCCGCAAAACTTCCGCACACGTGATTGCGTCCTTATCATATCGGCCCCGATTATCTACGCCCAAAGATATGTAACTAGGTCCAGATGTGCTGTATTTCTTCATATCGTACAGGTCTCTCTATTGAAAAATGTAAACCCAATCACCGATTTCCCAATTGACCTTGCAAGCCCGAAAAGATTGATCTCATCATTCGGCCTGAACTCAACAGACATGCATCTAAAGGGCCATTTCAGGCCGCGTAAAGCACCTTGACCGTAATCGACCATCAGTGCCGCCTACCCCGGTTCCTTTGGTTCGGTTGTGGTGCGTCGACCATCATCTCGTCGCTGTAAAGGCCCGTTTCCTGTGTATCCTGGACTACATTACCACCGCCTCTCGCGCCGCCACGGCCACCCCGGTTGTTCCGCCGGCGATAGTTTCCCCTGGACGGCCCTTGGTCGAAAGCCTGATTCTGATTGTTGAATCCCCATCGCCCATCTTGAACAGACGGGTCATTTGAGCGATGCAAGCGGCGATCGCGATCGGCTTGCTCCCGGAGATCACTGAAAGAAGACTGGGGGTTCTGGAAGGTGGGTTTGGTAGGACGCTCGAACAAATCTTGGTTGCCTTTGGGTGTAGTTTGCTTTAGACGCAATGATAAAACTCGGCCGTCGGCCTTGATATTCATTAGATTCTGACCATGGACAGGACAGGGTTGGAAGTCCAACTCACCCTCTGATTATGGAAGTTTGCAATGGCACTCTCGGCGGCTTGCTTCTCGGCAAATGTAATCTCTGCTTTAACAGAAGGGTGTTGCGAAGTGACCCAGCAGCGCAATATCTTGCCCGAGACGGGTTCAAGCGCCGACTGGATATCGGCAGCGGTGGTTCCAGGCGCGAAGTTACTCCCGATGACGACAAACGGCCCTGAACCGACCCCCTTGATAGTCAAACCAGCTCCATTCCGAACGTTAGCCTGTCCACTTTCGGGATTGAGGGCAGAGAGAAGGCGGCTTTCGTCAGGACGGCGTCGATTCGCGGGTCTTGCGCCCGGCCGGGGACCCTGTCGCGCGGGCGCTGGGTTCGGGATGTTTGCTTTCGAAGGGAGAGTAGCCGACACAGAGCGCTGAATTGCGAGGATAACATCAGTCATCCGTGCGACAACCAAACAATCCTCTTGAGGTTATTATTCTTACCTTGGCCACACCTATCCGGCTTGCGAGGCTTCCCGGCTTCACAGTCTGCGTCTTTCCTGCCGCCTTGGTGGCGGTGTTGGTCGTTCTATTTTTGCCGAGGAGCTGATTTGCGAGCTCCTCATTCCGTCTTTTGCGATCTAAACCAAGGCGTATTAGTTCCAGATGCTGGGCGTCCATCATCTCGGGATCTGGAGGCAATACCGGCTTGGATGATCGCATCAAACGAGACGGCTCCCTGACCAGCAGCCATCGCGATGGAGTTTGAGGTATCGAACTGGGGTGTAGACAAAAAGTGGAACTGGAGCTCTCAGTTCAATTGAGAGATCAAGACAGATGACGCGAGGCGCAGGATCCAGGACGAAGCTTGAACCGGAGGCGCGCAGGAGCTGACCGAGCGGAAGGAATTCAAGCTCCGCGGTTGGCTCCGCTCCCCGTCAGCCCGCCCCAGCTTCGAGTCGCTCATGGACTGCCCCCCATTCACGCCCGACTTGGGCCATGGTTGTATTAGTGTGTTTCCGTCGTCGTGGGCCTCAGACATGGGTCTGGACTTTAGCTAGTCCGTATCGAGATTCGTGTTAAAGCGGTCATGCCAGTGCGACGAGGATATATATGCCGCACCCTCAGACCTGCAGTATACAATGGTGGCCCGGAAGATTCATCATTAACCCAAACCAAATATATTGCCACTAACCGGGAAGGAATCAATAAAGCCCTATTCTTAGCTACTACTACTACCCATCCTCCAGCTGCAGCTGGACAACTCGGCTCCCATGTACCACCCAGATCAGCACCTCCCCGGGTCAACGAGGAGCCCGGAGGTGACAGCACCACGCTAACCCTCCAGTGTCTCTTTCTTACGGTTATTTTCTAGCTCTGTTCAGTAGTGCATGAGCAACCAAAAGATGGCGGAAGATGAAAACAACGTATTATGCAATCCTGGGATATGCATCCCCACTGGATTGTTTGGCTTCCAGACCTGGCCATTGAGTGTTAAGGTAGCTGCAATGCAGGTTATACAGGCAGGGAAAGAGCCACTTCAGCGTCGATGCTTGCCGTTGTCCAACATTGCAAATGCACCCGGCACGCTGCCCTCCTCCTCCTCCGGGGGTCGCCGGCGTAGGCTTCTTTACCAGCTGGGTCCTGCCGACTAGAACATTCATCCACAAAGTATCCTTCACCCACCATCTACACTGTGCGTTGGCTTCACAGAGTCAACACAAGCACTGAACAAGCCGAGCTGCCATGGACTCACAAGGTCAAGAGAGTGGTCCAACCCGACGCCGTTCGTCGTTGTCTTTCTCTCTGACCATCCGTCCATCCGTGAGCCGGAGGAACAGGTAGACGCACCCCTGGTATTTTCCGTTCACTGGCTAACACATCTACGGAGCGATAGGAGACTCTCTAATCCTCCACCAACCTGTGAAGAAAGCATCCATTATCCCGTCTTCAACCCGCGAAACCCACGACACAACCCTTCCGTTGCATCTTCGACATGGCACCAGGGTGACTACTATCTACCTGAACTGTCAAGCTCTTCCAGGTCCATCCGTTGGATGCAAAGCCTGCCAAAGAGATCGATTCGGAAAGTCCATTCAGGTCTTTTGTCCTTCAGGCCTGGGCTTCGCAGACGATCGATCCCCGCCCATCCAAGCCACAACGACGACATTCCCAGCCTTTGGTCGTCGACGGACTCGGCCAAGGACTCGTCGGACCATCAGGGCACGCTCTACTCGTCGACAGTGTCAGAAGCCAGCACGGAAGAAGACGTCGAATTCGGGACCGACCTCCAGCGCATCAGCTGCAACTATCCGCCTGAACCGGATGGTGACATGGACAGGTATCTACGGAGTTTGCCTGCCCCGTTCGCATGGGAAGATGGCACATTCTCCTCAGGATCGACCATTGGGCCTAGCCGCAGAACCGAGTGCCTTACCCCAACGGTCCCTGAGGCTCGCTCCACAAGGTCGCCTAGCACCAGGACTGCGGGGACAGGAAGCCATGGGACGGCACCCAGGGATGGTAACTCTGGTGTCGGAGCTGAGAAGGAGATGAGTCCGGCTAGTGAAACCCCCCAGCCTATGGCATCGACCTCATCTCCCCGCAGCATTAGCGAGTCGTACTTTTCGCAATCAACAAGTAGCGATGTGGAGGGTCTGTGCATCACCGCCGCAGTTCCTTCCATTGCTGGCGCCGCTAAGTCGCAGTTGCCCTCTGAGACAGTCGACACTGACAGGGGTTCCTCGTCCGGCTCTCGTGAACCCAAAATTCTCCCAGTGCCAATCATCGAGATAAGCAGCTGCAGGCCTGTCATGACGAGCGCGAGCAGGGATTCTTACGCGTCTGAAATCCCATTGATACTCGACGCTGAGTTGGCTATGGAGACTCTGGAGCTGTGTGAGCGGCTGAAGCTGGATGAGGAGCAAAGCGGAGATGATGGCGCGTCTCTTCCTGACAGTCTTGTGTATACGGAAACTCACTCACCAGAAGCCGTCGACTCGAGAAATATCCGGCTCAATGCAGGAACACCGTTGTCTGACACACTCGAATTGAACCATGGCGGTAACACACCGAGCCACACCGTTGACCTGCACGATGATTCAGAGCCACAAGAGACTGGCAACGGCGCTGCCCGCTGCAACGACTCCACAGAAAATATCCCCTTCACTACAGGCGGAGCAGACCATCTCAATGACCAAGATAGTGATATGAGTTCGGTCTTGCAAAGCCAGTCGTCCCAGGATGATCTGGCATCGCTGCTAGCTTTGAGAGACGAGTATTTTCTAGTGGACAAATCCAACGATCTCCGCCCAGATAGGGGCAACAACGCAACCAAGGCGGAGCGCAGCTTCAGCGGTGATGGGTGCCTGTATAGTGGGCCAGGGCTCGACCGCAACTCGTCGACCAGAGCGCACGATATTCCCGAGATCATTGGTCCGCGGACACCAGTCCAGGGACGCGCCACACGGTCGTTCCGAAGGGAGCGCAATACCAGCGATTCGGATGAGTACCTCGTGACGTACCCTGCTATCCAAAGGCACTACTTTCCGTAATCAATTCGCAGATCCAAGCTTATGAGGCCACTATGCCATCCTTCTCTTTGCATGTTATCTAACTTTGACGTTCCTTTCACCAACTGTTTGTGGCTTGATGAATTGTATCTTAGTGAGTCATGCCTCAGGGCACTTTGGATATCGAGCGGTCTCGTTCCAAAGGGCTAAATCACACGAGGATTCTATATGCACATTATAAGGTAACAGGGTTCGACACTAGCCTAGACGTAAGGTAAACCCGGCGCCCTGTTCTCCAGCATCAGCGTTGCTCTGGCCACCGAATACACTCGCAAAGTCCAGCTTGGGAGCCTCTTGTCCTCGCTTCGGCGCTTCCGGGGTCTCCCGGCGTCTCCGCTTCTCCATGCCCGCCTTGGACGGAAATGTCGGGAACATCTCCTTGGGCTTGGGACGTGGATCCTCCCGGAAGTAGCGATGAGCGAGACACTCTTTCGTCGACAACCGCGCATTCGGATTCAGCGCCAGCAGCGACGACAATAGATGCAGCCCCGCATTCGTCAGGAAGGGGAATTTAGCCCTCGGAAGTAGAGGCGGGTTTCCCGCCGGTGCCGACGATGCGGGCGGCAAACGCAGTGACTTGGCATTGGGCAACGACCTGAACTCGGGCCAGGTCTGTTGCGTGGGAGGGCCTGTTAAGGCGAATATCTGGGTTGGTCAGTACTTAAACAGTCCTATAATAAGAACGTCACATACCTTTGAAACCTGTTCCACCTCGTTCTTCCCCTGTAGTAAGGGCTCCTTGGTCAACAACTCCCCAAATATACACCCTATACTCCACATATCGATCTCAGTGCTGTATTTCTCCGCCCCTAAGAGCAACTCTGGTGATCGGTACCATAGCGTCACGACCAGCTGCGTCAACTTCGGGGGCGGGTCACCGTAGTACCGGGCCATACCGAAGTCGGCGATCTTGACTTCGCCGCGGTTGTTGAGGAGGAGATTAGAGGTTTTGAGATCGCGGTGCATGATCCATTGGTCGTGAAGAAAGTCGAGACCAGAGAGGACTTGGAGAAGGATGGTTTTTATTTCTGAGGGGAGGAAGGGCTCGCTCATGTCATCGAGGAGGGTTTTGAGGTCGTGTTCGAGAAAGTCCATTACTAGGTAGACTCTGGTGTTGTTAGTTAGTATGAGAAAGAGAGGGTGGAGAAGGGGGATGGCGTACTCGTCCATTTTCGTACCCATTACTACCTCTCGTAGGTAGACTATATTCTGATGTTGGGCTTCGAGGAGGGTTTGGATCTCGCGGAGGCCCGTGACGGGGAATCCGTCGGGGGAGTTGTCCATCTTGAGTTTCTTGAGCGCCACCACTTCACCGGTGGTTATGTCTTTGGCGCGGCTGACGAAGCCGTAGGAGCCTTCTTCGATGTGGTTGAGACGCTCGAAGTTGGTGATGTTGCGACAGGGTCCCCATTCTTGGGTTGGGAAGGATAGGATGTTGGATTCATTGTTGGTGGTGGTAGTGGGTGTTGGTTGATCTTGATTGTGGTCGTTCGAAAGTCGGCGCCGCTTTTTTGGCGGAGCAGTAGCGTCTGGATCTTGTGGGTGGGAGTTTGAAGCTGAAGCTTGAGCTTGAGCTTGAGCTTGAGCTTGTTGCTCGTCGAGCTGGCGCTGCTTCTCGGCCTTGGCGCGTCGCTTTTCTTCCTTTCCACGCTTGCGCTGGGCGAGAATGGCTTCCGTTTCGGGGTCGTCGTCGGTAGCCCATCTGGATTTGGAGGACATGCTATGCGGTTGAAGGGGGGAGGGGTCGGGATTCGAGTTGGGCGAATGGCAATGGCTGCTTGTGAAGATGGATGCAAAGTAGAGCTGCGGACGCGGAAGGGATTCGGCGGTGACGGCGATGATTGATTGGCTGGATGACGCTATCGGCGCGCACGGAGTGACTAAGCCCGATCGGGTTGATTTCAAAGCGTCCCCGCCTCGTCCCGCATTGAATCGAGGGGTCTTGATGAGCTTCGACCATCTTTCTATTCTTTCGTAACTGAGCTTTGGGTTGTGGGTGTAGATTCTATACAGGCAAGATGATTGAACCGTTTCAGGTGGGTTCTTTCTGGGTCGACGGTGCAACCCCGAGGAATCTCTACTAACGGTTTAGACTACTTTCGCGGTCCCGATGACCTGCGAGGGGTGCGTCAAGGATGTCTCCTCTCAACTGAAGAAGCTGGAGGGTATGCACGTCTACCTCTGTGCCGTCATATGCTGACCCGTCAGGCGTCAACAAGGTCGAGGCAAACCTTAAGGACCAATTAGTTTTCATCGAGGGTACCGCGCCACCCAGCTCCATCGTCTCCGCTATCCAAGCTACGGGTCGGGATGCCATTCTACGAGGAAGCGGGACGTCCAACAACAGTACGTCTATCACCTGCCTATCACAGGTAGTGTTCCGAGCTGATAGAAACAGGCTCCGCGGTGTGCATCCTCGAAACCCACTCGAATACCGTCTCCAACAAGATCCGTGGTCTGGCGCGCATGGTCCAGGTGTCCCCGAACATGACCTTGGTCGACTTGACGATCAATGGCCTCGCGCCAGGAAAGTATCACGCCACGGTGCGTGAAGCGGGAGATATCTCGCAGGGGGCGGCATCCACGGGAGGCATCTGGGAGGCCTTAAAGGCTAAGGTACTGGGCTCGGAGCCAACCAAGGAGCCTCGCGGCATTTTTGGATCGGTTGAGGTGGACGACAAGGGCCGGGGCAATGTATTTTTGGATCGCCCGGTAGCGGTGTGGGAGATGATTGGACGCAGTATGGTGGTGTCGGCGAGCAAGGAGGGTCCATTTCGACGAGAAGACCCTGACACTCTAGTCGGAGTGATCGCTCGTAGCGCGGGGGTGTGGGATAACGACAAGACGGTGTGCTCTTGCTCCGGGAAGAATGTGTGGCAGGAGCGGCAGGAGCAGGTGGCCCATGGGATGGTTTAGAGATGTGGTTGGAGGACCCTAGACTGGCGTGTCTATGTATAGCTGTGGTTAGAGTGCATAGGAGAGGATACCCACTATCGATCGATCAGCCTTGCGATAAGGAATACGAGCAATCTGAATGACGCCGGCTCTCTGCGGAGAATAAATAGAAACGGAGGAATTGTAGTCCAGAAATAGTGACCGTCAGGGACAGGACCGGCGAAGATGAGGAACGAATGGTAGCAACCCCAGACTCACCTGACCGAAGAGTATGCAGGAGCGCTGCACGACAGAGCAACTAGTGGGCGACGGTCGCTTGTAGCTAAAGATAGGCCAACAAGAGCGGTTTAGTCACAACGGTCCGAGGGGCTGCTGCAACTTGATGCTGGCGGGGAGGGGAGAAATGCACCAACCGCGAGGGACAATAATAGCGGACGGACGTGCCCCCAGCCAGGAAATCGGTACCGAAGGGGTTCGGCCACTTTGCGCGCAAGCGCCGTGGCGGGGACGCTGAAAGTTAAACCAGGATGCAGCTGATGATTAGGGGGTTGTGTGATTGTGATATCCCTATCCTTTGGGATGGCTATAGACTTTCCCTCCATGGTCATTCCTTCTTGAGTTGTACACTACATACATATTATACCTAGTCACTACTTTGTACTCTGTATGTAGTAGTAGATAAGTCGGAGTAACCTGGAAGACCCCGCCCCGCATGGCTCGGAACGGGCCTTGACCCATCCATCATCTCCCACCTCATCCATTCTTCTTCACCCTTCGTGGCTGGTACCGATTTTAATTTCGCCGTGCAACCCGACTGTCAAACCAGGGACGTCAGGTAAGGTACGGCGCCACCGCAGGCCGTCAACTGGAAAAGAACTGGCGCGCAGGGCCAATCAGGGGATGTCGGATGGATCGACCCTGCACTGTGATGAAGTGCTCCCCCCTGCAGCGGCCAATGAGGGTGCTGCAAGCCCTGTGGCCATCCTGGATGACGACCGGGATGTTGGCCACTCAGCGGCCAGGAGGCCTCCCTGGTGTTGCGTTTCCCCTCCGGCGTTACGATGAAGGATGGATGCCTCACCACCCATCGTTCCATGGGCGGTTGGGACCCAAGGACGGACGGCTCCGTATTCACTCACCACACCGACTGACCACCGGCCACAGCACTGTGGGTTAGTTATTTTTATGTATCTATCCCCTGGCCATGCCATATGCCAGGCCTTAGTACCCACGGCATCTCTCCGTCCTTCGCGGTGCTTCTTCGTCTTCTTCCCCCCCCCTCTTTGGACGCTTCCTCACATCCGCTGCTAGCTCCCTGTCGCTGCATCTCTCTGCACGCTAATCCCAGTTCTTCCCTGTTTCTTCCCTTTTTGCATTTTCATGTGCATTTGGGATTTTTTGACTCCTTCCATCGTTATCCGTACCTCTTCTGCTCCCTGGGGACAGTTGTTCATACCCTCAATGCAGCATCGGCTTCAGTTTCAGTGACAAACACGTTCAAATCCCCTCAATTGGCAATCTAACCACATTGGCCCCTCACACCCCTCATCACAGTGATCACACCCAGCCAACGCCCTCCTTGCGTCTTGGCTGGTGTTCGGTGCTCCTTAGCGGCTGGGTCGCTGGATCCGTGATCTAATTATATATCCGATCTATCTCTCGGACTAGGACCTTGGGTAGTGTGCATGGTCTATCACTTCTTGATAGCGATTATCTCTCACTCTGCGGGCACACCGACTGCCAAGTGCCGACCCAAACCGGCTCACCCACGAGTGGACCTCACGGAATCGTGTCACATCCCTGCGCAGCGTGGCCAGGACCCAGCCATTGCGTCTTGGCGATTGCCAGTCGCATACATATACGCTTGGTGGGTGTCCGCAGCGTCTCGCCTCTGCATAGAGAACTAGGTCAGAGTGGCACTACGTGGCCGCTGCACCGACATGTCATTGAAGCAGGTACTTATAGGCTTGGTTAGGACTAGGTGAACGGTGCTAATGGGATCAGGAAATCGAGACGTGGGTACAGGCCCTTGATCATTACGATAATCATGAGTATGATGAAGCCCTCCGGGTCTTTGGTGCGATTGCCGAGACATCCAAGATTCTCTTCAACTGTGGAGTGATCTATGCGACGTTAGGGGAACATGATAAAGCGGTATGGCCCTTCTGGGTTCGTACTTCGTACTTGACTGACGGAAACAGGTCGAGTGCTACCAGCGGGCAGTTGGTTTGGACCAATACCTTGCCATTGCATACTTCCAGGAGGGGGTCTCCAACTTCCTCCTGGGGGACTTTGAAGAGGCGTTGGCCAATTTCAATGACACGCTGCTGTATCTCCGAGGTAATACGTCTATTGACTATGAGCAACTGGGCCTGAAGTTCCGGCTATACTCGTGTGAAGTGTTGTTCAACCGCGGTCTGTGTTATATCTATCTCCAACAAATGGGACCAGGCATGCAGGATCTTGACTACGCGTCGAAAGAAAAGGTCACACCGGACCACGATGTCATCGATGAAGCTCTTCGCGAGCAGGCATCTGTAGGTCGACCCCTTAGTGTGAGGGTGCTGGACTGACTGAATAGGGCTACACGGTCTTTTCGATTCCCGTGGGTGTTATCTACCGGCCCAACGAGGCCAAGGTCAAGAACCTGAAGACCAAAGATTACCTGGGCAAGGCCCGGCTGATTGCCGCGTCCGAGCGGAGCAGTATGCCGTTTGGGCCGAGCGAAGACCTCAAGCGGACGCTGTCAATGCTAGACCACCGCAAGCCCGAGCATCTGCCGTTTGCAACGTCGCACCTGGTGCACAAGAACCTGCAAAGCCGGAGCCGTCAGCATTCGGAGCCGCCTCTGAACCGTAATCTATTCCCTCCTACTCCCCCGCCGGACACAGACAAGGCGAGTACCAACAGCTCCACAGGTAGTGTCGCGATGAACAGTCGACCGGGGTCCATACGGGCGGCGCGGCCGCCACGGCTCGAACTGGGTGGTCAAAGTACAGAAACCCTGGTCGACAAGCCGCGGATCGGCACAACGCGCACGGCGTCCGAGTCTCGAGCCGCACGACCGGGGCCCCGAGGGCCAGACGCACCGGGCCATCGACGGGGGGTGAGTGATACGGGCTTTGCACCGGCAGGACCCTCGGAGGAGGTGTACTCGGGCACGCGATCGATGCCGGCTGGGGCGAACTGGCGGCGTCAGCAGGAACGGTATATTGACGAGCAGGAAGAGTATGCAAGTGATGCATATGAGGACAATGCACCAGATGGTGAGTTTGAACTTGTTGGGACACGGCCGCAGGGGTCCCCGAAGCGGAGTTCTCGGCGGGGGACGTCACGGCGGCCGGAGGTGCGCAAGTTCCGGGTGAAGGCACATTCGCATGAGGACACACGGTACATCATGATGGAGCCGACAATTGGGTTTGGAGAGTTTGAGACCCGGATCCGAGAGAAATTTGGGTTCCGGACGCTGCTGAAGATCCGGATGCAGGATGATGGGGATATGATTACGATGGTGGACCAGGAGGATTTGGATTTACTGATGGGAGGGTCACGAGAGGTGGCACGAAGGGAGGGAAGTGAGATGGGAAAGATGGAGGTAAGTTTTCTCTCTTGTCTACATCTGAACATACTAATGGTTGCATTGTAGATATGGGTTGAGGAGCGGGGAGTGATTTAGCATAGCATTGTTTAGCGGATACCCTGGAATAATGAGTTATGAGCATAAATAGCATAGTGCTTATGTAGTCACGGGACTATAACGTAATCCACTACCGAGCCGCCACCTCACGCGTTTTTGGCACCGGTTAAAATCCTCGCTCAATTCAACCACCAACCATGCCTCCAAAAGCGCGCCAAAATTCAAGAAATCTAGTCGAGCAAGAAGGCAGGATTCTATTAGCAATCTCTGCTATAGAAAACAAGCAAATCTCCCAAATTGCTAAAGCTGCGCGGGTCTATAATGTTCCACGTTCAACTCTACGGGACCGTCTTCATGGCCGCAATTATCGCAAGGAAGCACGCGCCAACTCCCATAAAATGACTCAAAATGAAGAGGAATCACTTGTACAATGGATCTTATCGCTAGATCGTCGTGGAGCACCTCCCCGGCCATCTCATATATGAGAAATGGCTAATATTCTGCTTGCTAAACGTGGAACTACACCTATTCAAACTGTTGGAGAGAACTGGGTCTCTAAGTTTGTTAAACGATGTAATGAATTAAAAACCCGCTATACTCGATGCTATGATTATCGACGTGCTAAATGCGAGGACCCTAAGATTATACAAGAGTGGTTTAATCGTGTACAAATCACTATAATGCAACAGGGGATTACACAGGAAGATATCTATAACTTTGATGAGACTGGCTTTGCTATGGGTCTAGTAGCTACTACACAAGTAGTTACTAGAGCTGATTACTATGGAAAAGCACGCCTTGTACAGCAAGGTAATCGGGAATGGGTTACTTCAATTGAGTGTATAAATGCTTCTGGTTGGGCGCTTTCTCTGTGTATCATCTTCAAGGGGAAGGTCCATATAGAGGGGTGGTATCAGAGCAATCTATCACATGACTGGAGGATTGAGGTTAGTCCTAATGGCTGGACTAGTGATGAAATAAGCCTTCGCTGGCTTTAAAACCTCTTTATTCCTGCTACTACTGGCCATACAACTGGGAAATATCGTCTCCTAGTTCTTGATGGCCATGGCAGTCATTTAACACCTCAATTCGACCAGATATGCAGTGAGAATAATGTTATTTCTATCTGTATGCCTGCTCATTCTTCGCATCTACTGCAACCTCTGGATGTTGGCTGCTTTTCACTGCTAAAACGTGCGTACGGAGGCTTAGTGGAGAAGCAGATACGCCTTGGGTTTAATCATATCGATAAGCTTGACTTGAAGCTTTCCTTCAGGCGCGTACAGATATCTATACTACTAGCAATATCTGCAGTGGTTTCTCTGCTACTGGGCTAGTTCCATATAATCCAGAGCGAGTGCTCAGTCAGTTGAATATTCAACTAAGTACTCCGACACCATCAGGCAGCCGGTCAACCAATTCAGTGCCTAAGACACCCTATACTATCAGGCAGCTGGAGAAGCAAGCATCTACAATTAAGAAGCTGCTTAGGGCGCGTACACAGAGCCTTTCCTCTCCTACAAAGGCTGCGCTAGATCAACTTATTAAAGGGTGTGAAATGGCGATGAATAGTGCTACTATTTTAGCACAAGAAAACCATGATCTACGAGCCGCACATGAGAAGAAGCTTCAAAAGTGAAAGCTATCTACTAAGCAGCTCACTGCTGCAGAAGGTCTTTCTATCCAGGAGGGCCAGGAGCGATTCCAGCAAGAGAATCAGGTTATTGAAGCTCAAGATACTGTGTCTAGGGATCCGGGGCTTCCTGCAGTTGGACCGCGCGTACGCGCGCCACCACAGTGTTCTAATTGTCATATTCAGGGGCATACTAGGGTCAGATATCCTAACCCACCTAGTAATTAGTTTTATAGAGAAATGCAATTGTTTTGTTGGTAAAGCGGTGCTTGAATCTAACATAGTCATGGAAATCGGAGCGGAGGTGGCGGCTCGGTAGTGGATTACGTTAGCTAAGCGTATGTCCGTCTCCGTAGTCTCCGCAATACATGCCAACTCGACATCATCAATCAACACAGCAACATTGAACAGGACACCATGACCGACCTCACCCCCACCTTGACGGAGCTGCTCCAGCAGCGGCAGAATACTTCGAAGCTCTCCACGGGGTACATGACCACCGAAATAGCGGACGAATTCCTGAAAGAAGCCTACAGAATTGTATTCCCCCACCCACACTCCATACCCATCATATCCCCAAACACCCAACAATCCAATCCCTCCACGCCAATTCCTCTATCCCCTCACCCCCATTAACACCCTCATACTAACCAACTATAATCAATAGAACACCCACATAACATCCCTCCTTACCTACCTCCAAACCATCCGCCCATCCTACCTCTCCCTCACCAAACCCAAATCCACCACCACTACAACAACCACATCCCCCTCCTCTCCCACCCCCAAATCCGAAACCCTCACCGACTCCGACCGCGACTCCATCACCGCCTCCACCTCCACCCTCCTCTCCAACCTCTCCACCTCCCTGCGCACCCTCTCCTCCGCCGAATCCCTCCGCCAGGAAACCGTCTCCCGCACCCTAGACAAGAAATTCAAGCGGAGCTTACTGGCCAAATGGGCGGACGGGAAGTCCCTCACCACCACTGATTCCAACACCGAAGGGAAAAGCGAAGAGGAAGTCCTGGCCCGAGAAACAGAACGGATATTGAAGTGCGTGAGGGAGAGTATCCTCTGGTATTTGAGTCGGAAGCTAGGCGATGTGGTGAATGTGCAGAGGGATTTGGTGGAAAGGAGAGTGGAGAGGGTTAGGGAGAGGGAGAGGAGTGTTTTGTATAATTTGAATTCGGGTTCGAAGGCGGGGAAGATGGGTGTGGGGATGGGATTGGGTGTGGATGGAATGGATGGGATTGGGGTAGGGATGGCTGCGAAGATGGATCAGGATGAGGTTCGGGCTATCGAGGCGGAATTGACTCCGCAGCAATTACAGCTCTTTGAGGAGGAGAATGAGAATATGGTCAGGTATTTTGAGGATGTGGTGGGGAAGGTTCAGTATGTCTCCCCTACCTTTGCTGGTTCTTCAGGTGTTGGGTTTGTGTTGGGCGTGAGGCTAATATGGTATGGTGTGGTATAGGAACGCCGAAAAATCCCTCCTTGAAATCTCCTCTCTCCAACAAACTCTCGTGTCTCATCTCGCGACCCAGGAGGAATATATTGGGCAATTGGTGACGGATGCAAGTAATACGAGGGGGAATATTGGGGAGGGAAATAAGGAGTTGAAACGCGCGACGGAGAGACGGAGTGCTGCGCAAGCGGTGTTTTGGGGCACGGTGGGACTGTGTACGTGGTTAGTTGTGTGGGATCTTGCTTTTTAGTTTCTTTCTTTGTCTATATATAGGATTGGGAGAATTCGTGTTTCCTTCTTTCTCTGTTCAATTATGGAAGGGGGTTGTGGTTGAGTGAAAGTGAAGTGAAGTCAAGCCAGTCCAGTTCTTTTCTGTTCATCTACTGGAGTTATATAGCATGATACCAATACACATATCACATCACATCATATCATCTATGAAGTCTCCCTCACCACACTATCCACCGCCTCAGCAAAGTAGTCCAGGTTATGTGTGTTCAACCCGGCCATTGAGATACGGCCATTCTTCGTCTATCGATATAGTCAGCATCAACATCAACACCAAGATGAATGGAAGGACATCTCACCATATAAACATGCCACTTCTCCCTCAACACACCAACCTGCTTCTCCGTCAACCCCGTAAAACTAAACATCCCAATCTGCTCGGTGATATGTTCCCACTTCCCGGGCGTCCCCCTCTTCTCCAGTCTCTCCCTAAGTCCCTTCCTCATCTCCACAATGCGCCCACTCATAGTCTTCAAGTCCTCCTCCCACTCCGCAAACAACCCCTCGTCATTCAACACCCGACTGGCAATCCTCGCGCCATACGCGGGGGGATTCGAAATCTCACTCCGTTGCAAGATCGCCAACTGGCTCGCCACGTTCTTATTCGCCTCCACAGCTTCCGCCCCAGGCGCAGACACGAAATGAAATGCGCCCGTCCGCTGACCATATAACCCGAAGTTCTTGGCGAAGGATTGCGCAATGCAGAGCTCGAAGCCCTCTTCGATGAAGTACCGGACCGCCCAGGCATCACGGGCGAGATCGCCCGAGGCGAAACCCTGGTATGCGCAGTCGAAGAAGGGGAAGAGGTTGCGGGTGCGCATGATAGAGGCGACTTCTTTCCATTGTGACTGGGTGAGGTCGACGCCGGTGGGGTTGTGGGCGCAGACGTGCAGGAGGATTATGGAGCCGGTTGGGGCGGAGCTGAGGGCGTTGGTGAGGCCCGGGAAGTCGAGGCCTTTGGTGCTGGGGGAGAAATAAGGGTAGGTGGTTATGGGGAGGTTGACGTTGGTGAAGATTTGGTGGTGGTTGGCCCAGGTGGGGTTGGAGAGGTAGGTTGTTGGTTTGGGGGACGCGGGGTGGAATTTGCTGAGGAAGAGGGCGCCTAGGTGCACGGCGCCGGTGCCGGAGATGGTTTGGAAGGTGCAGACCTTTTTTCCGGGTTGCGTTAGAGTTGGAGTTGGGTTTGGGGTTGGGGTGGGATTGGGGGTGGAGGGGAGAGGGGAATGAGGGGGATGGAGGGGCTTACGCGGTTCTCGCGAATGGCAGGGCTGTCAGCCCCGATCATCAGTTTCTGCGCGGCACTGGTGTAATCGGCCAATCCCTTGATGGGGAGGTATTCATGGTTCAGGGCGGGGTCGTTGCGGACAAGCTCGTCAGCCTGTGATTTGTGTTAGGTGAGATGAGATGTAGCTGAGTGAGATTCGAAGATGAGGATATTGGGTGGGAAGATACCTTCTTGACAACCGGCAGAATCCACGGTTTGGCATTGTCATCGCGATAAGCTCCAATAACCAAATCAACCTTCTTGTCGGACGGATCCTGACGATAAGCTGTCGCCAGACCAAAAAGAGGATCCTCTGGCGCGGCGGGCACAATGGCCGTGGAAAAGACAGACGGGCTGGCGGAACCCATGATGTGAGAAGTCAGGGAGGCGAGACGGGATTGAGCAGTAGATGCAACGGATGAAAGTGAGATGGAGGAAGAAGGAGGAGGAGAAGAAGAAGAAGAATGCTGGGGTGGAGACGGGGGCGACATGATGTATGTAGGCAGAGAGCAAAGCCAACCAACCAACCGGTCACACCACCTCTCGTTGCTGCTTGCGTTCACCGGAGGGGGGCACAAAAGACCGAAACAGATAAATCCCGGATGGGCTGAGCAAAACCGGCTGGCTGCAACAACAGACGCTGATAGCTTCGGAGAACGGAGTACGGAGTACATGCAACGGCATGCGTCTGGCCCTCTATTTATTGTGGTGACTGCTCGGCGCGTCCACTGCGAGCCGAGGATGCTGCTGGCCCGATGACCCCTCGGATGACGACATTCACATGAAGAAAGCTACGTGGAATTCCTCAGGTCAATTCCTGTCTGTCAATTTCGGTTTCAAGTTGAGCGATCACGACCATGCTGCTACTATGGCTAGAGATTTGGTCCGGTCTGGATGCTGGCTGACCCCATGCGGAGACTCAAGAGGAGAGCCCCGGTCTGGCCTGACATCATATGATAGGTGGGCATGCACCCAGGCGCTAGAGAGTCGGAGATGCAGAGACGGCACATATATCCCTCATTGCAGGTCGCTATACCAGGCTATTATCTAGTTCCTCTGAGTTATGAATGCTGTGCCGAGATGGGTAAGCCATGGCTCGGCGGCGCCAATCAAGCTCGCCGGTTACTCATCGCCGATGCCAGCCGCGTTCAACCCGCCGCCCGAGAGAGAACAATGGACAATGCGTTACTCGTTCTATTGACTGGACCATGGTCTATTGACAGATAATGTGCTGCATCCTGCACCTGTCAAGATCCTGAACCAAGGTGACGGGAAAAGTAATCACCGCAAGGCCATGTCCTCCCTGCTACATGATCTACCCCACGGGGTCCTCGGAATCTCGTGCGAAGCTCGCCGGAACCCGGAATCCGCTAGTCTCAGCTGTCGGGGATGCTGCGAGTCATTCCGAGGTGGATCCCGTCATCTGCTTGGAGTCTGGACGGGCTGTCTGTCTGTCTATCTATACTTGCACTTCTTGTTGTCCGTCTATAGTCAGATCACTTCATGCAATAAACATACTATATACAAGTGTGCATTTTCCCCCATCGCATCTAACGCCAGTTCGCCTATCAACATCCCATCGTAAAATCACATCAATCATAATCCCAAGCAAAGCAGGAGGGGACTGTCCACTCCGCCGGCGCCCAGTCTGGCAATGCATATCGTCATATATACCCATCGTTCAATATAGCACAGTACCCACGCATGCACGTAGATCGGAAGAAGAAGAAGAATATATAGAGAAGAGAAATGACCTCATGCCGACGGAGCGGCGGACGTTGACGCTTCCGCCTCGTCCCCATGGGCCCGCGTACGCACCCGGAACCGCTCGCGCAGTCGCGTCGTCAGTCGACTGCGACGGCGGAGTCGCTCGTCCGCTTCGTCGGTCGCTTCCTCCCGGCTGGCTTCTTCCCGCACGCTCCGCAGCGCCGCCAGTCGTTCCTCCACGCTGGCATCCCGCATACGCCGCGCATTCAGCGTGCCGTGCAGGTAGTTGCTGAGGCGCCGGTGACGAGGGTGTCCACTCTCCGCACTTGGCTCGGCTGGTCCCTCCGGCGTCATCTCCGGGTGGCCCTCGCCCAGGTCGTGCTCCTCTTCGCCTTCTTGCTGTGGGGGGTTGAGATCGATCCGGCTGCAATCGGTTAGTAGGGGTAGTGGAAGAAATCAGAAGACGACCTACCAAAGCGGACATGTGCCCGACACATTCACCAACCAAGGGTCGATGCACTCCGGATGAAATTGATGGTTGCAGGGCAGCACGCGCAGATCCTGGCCCTTGACAAAGTCGTCCGTGCAAATAGGACACGCAAAGTTCGGGTGGTCCGTTGTCGTCTCGGCCTCGGGGGCATCGGTTCGCTTCTCCGCGGTGGAATCCGTCGTGAGCGGTGCTTCGGGTGGTGGCTGGGGGGAAGTGACGTCCGCCGCCGCCGCCGTGGCGTCGCGATCCTCCGTCACCTCGGTGGGCGGCGCCTCCCCCGCGCCCATTTCCACATCCCCCTTGGCGCCATCCGGCTTCCCCTCGTGTGTGTCCCCGAATTTGACGATCGGGATCGTATCTAACATGGCGCGCGCTATCCCTCGCGCTCGACTTTGTCGCGGTCGTCCCGCCGTATATCGCGGCCCATACCGCTCCGGATGCCGGTGGGCACGCACCGCACCTGTGATGATGATGGCCAAGAACAGCGCGGTGATAATGCCCGTGATGCTGTACAAAATGATCATCGCTGTCGAGGGTTAGTCAAACCCCGTGAGCCTCGAAGAGGGAGCATACCAGTGTTCGGGCTATCGCCCGTATTGGACGTATCCGAGGTACTCTGGGTGGGCCCGATGTACGACATATTGGAGGCGATTGTGGTCGATCCGTTGCCCGGCGCACTGAGTTGGGTCTGGACTCGGCGATCAAAGGTCGGATTCAGCAGGGTAAAGACGTTGATATAACGGTTGGCGGAGGGCTCATCCGTGGTATAATTGCAGAGCAGCGACGTTCCACTGTACAAGATCACGGCCACTGCCTGTTGCTGTGCGGTGAGGACGTTGCCCAGGGTCGCACTCGCATCTAAATTCCCAGGATACGCAGACGGGTCGCAGCTGATCACGGCGATTTCCTTACTGTTCAGCGAAAGGGAGTTGGTGGCGTCCACATCTACCAGGCTACCGGTCACCAGGTATTGCTATATCGATCAGCTTCGGCGTCGAGCGGGGCCTCGACAGGGCTGACTAACCGCAAGTTCGGCCTGATTGAGATCAACCAGGTCCTCGGTCAAAGGAGCCAGCCGGTCAGAGGCGGGAAATTGTACCTGGGTGCTGTTCAGCAAGAACCGGAGACCACCAGTCCACGACAGATCCGCCGAGTTATTGGACGGCCGCACGGTCCAGCCCGCGGTAGTTACTGCAGAAGCGAGGGGCGAGAGGGCGAGCAGAAGGAAGGTAGCGATGGAGGGGAGGACACAGGTGGCAGAGGAGAGGAAGAAGAAGGGAGAAAGGTAGGAAGCAGAAGCATGGAAACGGGGAGGACCCATCGGCGAGTCGCCCAGTTGATGATGCTGGACGCCGGATGGACTTCCCCACAGTGACGAGGCCTACGGAGACGGCGGAGGATATGGGGGATGGACGAAGATCATGAGCCACGGACGAGGGATCGGCTCAGGATCAGGAAACTGGCCGGTTCAAACGCCAGAGGGAACGAACAGGCAAGCAGCTACCAGTCAGCGTGGGAGAGTGATATCACTTCCGTGCAGGACCGGGCGATCCCCGGCGGCTACCACAGGATTGGAGCGACCGTAGGATAAAGAAAGCTGCCTTGTCACAGGCACGGCGACCGGCGATTGGAAGTCCGAGAAGGCGTGGAAGCCGGAAACAATGGGAGAAGGGCAGAGATGAGGCGGGAATGGGGGTGGTGGAGGCACTGGGACTCGTCGAGGGTGGATCGGATGCTCACTTCCTCAGCGACACCCGGGCTGCAATGGGAATAGCAGGGGCTGGAAATGGGCGGATGGCTGGCAATACGCTGCTGCCGGGCGATCCGGCAAGGGAAGCGACGGATGAAATAATAACAATAATCATGCCAATGCCAACTGCCACGGTGATCAGCCCAGTTACTATTCTTATGTCCCGGTTGGTGTTGGTGTTGTTGTTGTTGGTGGTGGTGAGAATCGACCAGCAATGCCTCAATCAACCGACCAGGAAGGGAGGAATCAGGCGAATACGAGGCAGTCGAGCAGTGAGCCGGACAGCAGCAGCAAGTAGCAACAACCAAAGTTCCATGGATCGCCGGAGCGATGCCGGTGGGGTGGATGGATTAATCATCGCAGCGCCTCGGTCTGATTGCGTGCAGATACGCCGGACCGTGGACGGGGCGACGATGCTTGCGGGTTGATTTGAGATGATTCAGACGCTGGTGGAAAGTGGGACGGCCAGCACAAGCTGACAGCATCCGATATCAAGATTGAAGAGATAAGCCAGGTGGCATCTCCCCGATCCATCTGGTTTCATCATATTTTTGATAAGATTCATCGTGACCCGATCGTCTTGGTCCGTCTACATTTTTGGAGGGGGTGAATTGGAACCCAATGGCAATGCAAATCAGCGGGTGCAGACCTTTGAATGAAGGGTGAAGGTGCAACTGGGCCGAGTGCGGGGGATCCTGGGCACCCGCCGATCCTTTTTGCTTGTCCCATTTTTTCAGTAGGTAGTTATCGTCCATCGGGCAACCGTAGACGGGTCGACTTGCCATTGATTGATTGATTAACCGCCACTCAATCAATACCAACAATACCAACAACAATAACACGGCAACAGAATCAGTATCAGTATCAGCATCATAATCAAAATCAAATCCCGAAGAGGCAGCCAGACACCGCTCACATTGCATCATCCATCGAACCTTGTTTGCATCCTGACTGCGCCCTCCAACCCACCGCGCTATAAAGATGCTCTGGTCTGGCTGCTGAGTCGCCGCATGGGCCTCGCGGGATGCGAATTGATTGCTTTTTGCTCATCTCACCCCGTATTCTCCAACGTGGTTCCCCGTCTGCCAGCTGAGCAATACGACGACAAAGACAAGGTAAGTCCGTCGAGCTGACTAACACGCCCGCCCGGATTTCTTGCCGTGCTGCTCCAAAGCGGAAGGTCGACGAGGTTTCCATTCCATCGCCTTCGCCGGTGATTCTCCGCCTGCCTGTGGATTGGTGGAGATGGGGAAGGGCGTAGATAGATTGCTCCATCGGACTCCGATGCCGGAGTCCCTTCTTATCATGTCCGTGTGTCCGACGGGCTGAGATGGAGACGGTGAGTGCCAGATCCCAGATCCAGATGGAGGACGGATCATGGATGGGATCATGCCGGATGGCGGGCCACTGGTTATGATCTGCATAAAGGCATCACAAATTTTATTCATCCTCATGCAGGGATTTCCTTTTCGGGGGCTAGGGTTAGGGCCCAGCTAAGTCATCCGCATCCCATCCCCAAAGAAGCTAGGGATTGGGCCGATCGGATCGTCCATCTTGCCAGGCTCAACAACAACATTCCTCCGACCGGTATATACCATAAACCATTATCCCACTGACTCCCTCTAACTAAAGAGTGCTCTGCAATGTCTGCCGTGTTCTAGCTCATCAATTTCCGTGGGGGCTACGACCCCCGTGTGACAGGTGTCACCTCGATACCAGTCTTTACTATCTACCCCCATGTCGACCGGGAGACACTAAGCTTTAACACTTCTTGAGTCTGGGGGAATATTGACAATGTGGCTCGCTGGACGATCGGCGAGGCGACGCACCCTGTCGATGTGACTCTGACCTGTCATTTGCATTCCCCCTCCCCTAGAGTCCCTACGGTCGCGTGTTGATCGTGCCGTTTTAGGTGTAGACGGACTCACCCTGACCCCATCCAGGCTGAACAAAGCACAACCATAATGCAATTCATATTTGACTCCAGCCGGATCTGAAAGGGGAGCACCTGAAGATCTTTCTCGGGGTCTCTTTTAATTCTTCGTGCCAAAGCTACTACTACTGATTGACCTCCCATCCGTCCGTCATCCACTGCCGACTCCTTCGTCCCGTCCCAGAAGACACCCTGCATGGAGAACAAGTGACAGGTCTGAGATGCTCAGGGGAAAGTTCCAATCAGACATGGCTAGCTGAAGGTCCGGTCTGTCGTGCCGCATCACCCAGACGCACTGTACCACCATGCCATCCCTCGTCGCCCTTCGATCGGGGGTCGTACTGGGTACTTTGGCGACGATATGCGAGGAGGCACCGTAGCACCCTGCACCAAGGCGAGGGTCAAATTCCATCCCCGCCACGCGCCGTCTATATCGTCCCGGTATTATTAGGGGCTCGCGGCGAGGATTATTCCCCAGTGCTACTGAAGCGCCGGCCATAACTGCCACTGCCAAGTTCCACCACTCCCAGGGACTGTCTGGATACAACCGACTAAGGCCGCCATGCCCCCCGGGCGACGAAGGCGTTCTGCACTGGCGACCATTGGCGGGTGGATCGGTCGAGACCTGTCCGTGGGCCCGTGACAGCAACACTTGGTCCGTGTGTCCCTCCCAATCCTTCCTTCTTCCCTCTTATCTATCCTGATTCTTATGCCTCTCCCTTCTCATGATCCTTGGCCATCCGGTGGATAAGCATGGGCGCCTACCGGGATGGACTAATCTTCGCCGACCGTCGCCAGCAGTAGCCCAGCTCCGTCGGTATCTACGGCACGGCAAAGACTATTTGCCTAGTAGGTACATAGGCGCGATCCGAGCTGCTGGGAAGGAGTTCCTGTTGACGGAACGTGCTGCCACCAATCTCCGTTGGGGGCAGCTGCACCCGTCGCGAAGGGGGGCCATGCTGGGCCATGTTGGGTGGATGTGCCGTTGCGATGGAGGAGCCACGTACATCAGGTACCGCAAAGACTGCCCGGCATGACAGGCTCGTATCTCTTGGAAGCCAAGCGGACGAAGTGGGTGGAGGCAATGATTGGCAGGGAGGCTTGGGTGTCGCCTCATCCGACCCTCGGATGGAGGGTGGGATGATGGACGAGGGACAAAGCGAGGATCCGACCAAGATCAAAATCGGCTTTGTTCGTTGGGATGGCTGTCGCCATGGCTGGTGACCGTGTCAGATGGGGGGGGATCTCTGGAACGATGAAGAAAACCGGAAGGAAAATAGGAGACACCCAAGATTGGCGGTGGGAAAAATATTAACAGACAGAGATTCCATTAATTAATTTTTTAATTATTATTTTTCCATGGGGAATTAACATCATCAATTAACACGGAAAAGGAGGGGGGAGGGGGGAGGGGGCAATGTTTGCTCATGATCATTCACCCGATCGGCCAGGCGAGTCCAAGCTCCCTCCAGTTGCATGCCTCCCGAATCCATAAAACCTCCGCTATACCCACTGTAGTAGGTAGTCCATACTACTCGAGAGGAGAGTCGAAACAGAGTAGGTAGTACTTACGTAGGAAAGGAAGGCCAGCTCCGGGTCTTAGCTGCGGATAATCCTACCCTGCCAACTCCACCCCCCAGTGGACGAGCAAAAGGACAGGGAAGGGCCATGTCAGGCCGGACCAAAATTAGCAGCGGCGAGGGTCTGGAAGAGTTATCCCGCGTCCCATCCCCGCTTCCATTCGAGGCCTCGACCGCTGGGGCCCGGGGCGACCCGCGCGCTCATTGGTCGGTGCGGGCCAGGGAGGCGCGCCAGCTTCCCTGCTAAGTTGCTAAGGGAGGGGGAGAAAGGGCACTGCTGAGTTCTGGTCAGAAGTCTGACCGGCCCAGGCCGAGGCTCCCATCGAATTGAAATGAACTAACTGAACAGTCAGTCGTATGGATCGGGGAACCTGGTCAGATGTTCACTCGGAGTCTGTGGGAGGATCGAACGAGGGAAAAATAAGGAGGGACATAAAACAATTAACATAGATACTAAACGGATAGGGGCCTGTTATAAGCCAGGGAGGATTAACACACAGACATGGATGATGACCACCCGATTCAGCCAGAAAGAAGCTTAAAGGGATTGATATTTCCGGTGCCTCTGAATTTCAAATCCTGGAAATTCAAAATGCGAGCATTTTCTGATAAATAAAATCACCCCAGCTCGGCCGGAGCCTGACTGACTTTCCTTTCCCATCCTCCACACCGAGAGAGAAAAAGAATTAAAAATAAATGGAAATAGAAATAAGAATAAGGATTAGAATTTAAAAAGACAATTAACGTTAATAAAAAAAAAGAAGGGAAAATCGAAAAGATACAGGGAAGAAAAGAGCAGTCCGTTCTGCACTGACATGACATGGTGTGTGTCGTAGTACTTTTTCCCTTTTCCCTCTGGGGATGGATGTTTTTCTCTTGTGTCTACCCACCCCCCCCCCCCCTCTCCCTCTCTTTCAGTCTCTCTCTCCCCAGTCTCCAGACTCTCTCGGTCTGACCTCTCTCCACTGTGTGTGTGTGTCTTCCTCTCTCTTTCTTGTCCCGTTTCCTCCCCAGTCTTGCCGTTGCTCTCCATCCTTTCTTTTCCCCTTCTTCTCCTCCTTCCAACCCCAGACAGACCCAACGCCCCCCTTTTCCGAGCGGGACCACCCGCCAATTCCAAAGCGATCAAGATGTGCTCCACGAGGCTTTAATCGATCAAACAAACAAACCCACGCCAGGAGACCTGAGGCCCCGACGAGGCGACCAGGAACGAACCAGCCCACCCACCGCCCCCCCCCCCCCCATTCATTCCCCCAGAACCACCACAACCACCATAGATCCAATTTCAATCCCAATTCCACTTCCTCCCATTTTTGATTCCCATCCATCCTCAATTTCAATCTCCCTCACGATCTCCACTACCTCCACTACCTAACGACCATCATCTACAACTGCCTACAATTCCACCTTCAACTTCCGCTCCAATCCTCGTCTTCTTCCATCCCCCTCGCGCTAGATGGTCGATCCGACACTGCCTTAGCCTCCCTTTCTCTCCCTCGCCGCCGTCCGCCCCTGACATGCACCCGTCGGCCCTGTCGACGAGACCGCGCTCGTCCTGCCTTGCCGTCCGTTAGCAGCAGCCCCCGCGTGCTCCGGCATCATGTCCCCTCAGTCCGTCGCCATCCCGGCCGGCCCTTTACTGGCCGAACTCCCTAATCTTTGGAAAAAGCGTTTCGACAAGAGACATCTTTCCACGTACGTTCAGTCTCCCTTACTTTCTCTCTCCCGTGGCTTTTGAGTTTGGTGCGGTGTCTATCGCCGTTTGACTTTCCCCTCAACCTTGTCCCCTCGGATGATCTACACAGGCGCCATCATGGCATAGTCCGTGCTTTAATACGCTTCCGGTATAGCCAGAGAGCACGGGTCCAACACCAACTGACCGTCCGACAGCAACCCGGTGATCGCCACCCTTGATATCGAATATAACGAATTGGTCCAGTCATGGAAACGCTTCCAGGATCACCTCCCCCCAGACGATCACGTCTGCTTTCACGAACGCCTACAAGGTCCCGACGATGTCTTAGAGGTCGTGAGCCGCATCGAGCCGGTCTGGACATCCACGTCGGGACTGCGAGTGCTGCGGGAATGCTGTGACGAGTTTCGTTCCACCCTGGGCTCACACGTGGGGTTATTGACCGCCCTCCCCAAAAACGAATTGTACGGTTCCATCTTTTACAGCGTGCTGCAGTCCCTTCTGAAGGTAAGCCGGGTGTCATGTCTCTGCCATTGTGATGCTGAACCGTGGGCTCCAGGCGTCCGCCGGTTATCCGAGAATCATGGAAGGATTGGTACAAGCACTGGTTCAGATCAACCGGTCCATTGGTCCACCAGCACGGGGCGACAGAATACCTCTCTCGAAAGACTCAATCAACACCATTGCACGCTTCTACGCGCTACTGTTTTTCTTCCTCGGAGAGTTGATGGACTGGTATGTGCGCAAGTCCATCTGTCGACTGCTCCAGAGCCCCAAACACGACCTGTACCGCGATTTCCAAAGCCTCGTGTGTCATATCCGACGCAGCGCGAAAGACATGATGTATAGCTTGAGTGATAACATGGACCTGGATGATGGCGACTGTGATAGCTTGTGTGATATGAACAGTGATCACTATCTCCAGAGTTTTGAGCAAGCTCGATTGGGCCAAGTGGGTCTTCAGAAAATGGACCGTCGGTTGGCGGCACAGAATGCCCTGACGCGTCAGTTGCTCTGGGAAATCCATCAAGATGCGGCGGAGCGCAAGCGGTTGCTCAAGGAACGAGACCTTCTCCTGACGCAACTGCTAGACACTGTCAGTCTGCAGCTACAGTCCGTGAGCAAACAAAACAGCGGCATTGCCTGTTTGACCACGACAGCTTCACAGGACTTAGGTAGGGACGCCAGGTTCACGTGGCCCGAACTGCTTGAGGAGCTGACCGTGCATGCATTACAAGACACAGACAGGTTCAACCTGATTGGAGAGGGACACAAGCACAAGTACACACGCATGGAGCTGCAGCTGGCGTCCCGTCATCTCGAAGACTTCTTTGATTCCGACGACCAGACCCCCGATCTAGACCCCGATGTCCCGGTGATTGCCGAAGAAAATGTCATGACCTCCTTGAACCAATGGGCAACGGATGCGCACTCGCAGGTGCTCGCCGTGGGTGGGCCCCCATCGACGGTCTACCCCAGCCCGGTCCTACTGGTCTCGACCTGCTACGCCAGTTTTGCACGAAAGGCTCGGTTGCCTGTCATCTCCCATTTCTGCAACCGGTCCACCGACGGAGAGAGCGAGCTAACCTTCGAGCAACACCTGATCGCCCTTGCCTACAGTTTGATTCGACAGTTAATAGAATATCTGCCTCCGGTCGTCGAAAGCCATGCCGGGTGCAATCTGAGTGCGGAGCGGTTCAAACCACTAAATGGCACCCTCACCTCGTGGAAGGAGGTGCTCTCGCTGATTGATATACTGCTCCACTTTGCCCCGCCGCTGCTGGTCTGTGTGATCCATGGGCTGGATATCATCCAGGACGCGTCGACCGATCAGCAGATTCGCTCGCTGGTCCGGATCCTCCTAACGCACACCCACCACCAGACGGTGCTGATGCCGAACGGGGCGCAGAGCCAAAGTGTGCTGCTGAAAGTCCTGTTCACCGTTGCTGGACGCCCGAGCTCGTTGGTGGAGACACTGTCGGAGAACCAGCTGATCTTGCGGGAGTCGAACGAAACGGAGGAGCTGGCGACCGAGACGGCCCTTAACCCCGACGTGGGGGTCGTGATGATGAATGCATAAGAGCGCGCATTTCGAAGCGGAGCGATGCCGCATTTGCTTTTAATTTGTTTTCGGGTGAAAATTCGGGTCATCATAGAATTGTGCGCAGGCTGGGATCTTTGAATATAACATGGTTGGTCAGAGACGGCGGGCGTGCCGTATCTGTCTGTGTTTTTTCTCTTTCTTTTTTTTTCCCCGTAACTCTCTTCTCATTACGTGTTTGTTTCCTTCATCTGCATTGCGCTGTCATGGCTCGAACATTTCTGGGGCCCGCCGGGGACCATGGAGTAAACGACAGGACGGTTGGTGATTGCATTTGTGTATATTTGTAATACTAGCATGGAGAAGGAGGCGCGGGATGGACAATGCATATACACCGTCCGTTCTAGAGGGCGCACTGCATAAGAATGGATACCCTCATGGTTGTGTTATGTATCTGTATCTGTGTCTGTGTCTGTGTCGTGTCTGTTTCTAGTGTCTCCTGTGCTACCCTTGGCGCCTCGGGAATTGAATTCCGATGGGGTTGAGGTCATTTCCCCGTGCTGAGGGGCGCTTCTCCATCCAGTTCTGCCTCCTCTCCATATCTAGCTCCCTCCAATCCAGCATATGGACTTCCCCTGTGACCTCATCTCATCTCAATTCAACTGGTGTTGCCTGGCCCGGAATTCAATGTGGGACCAGATCCGGGATTGCATCTCCGTGCAAAGCATTTCTACTGACTTCATCCCAGTTCGTCTTCATCACCGACAACCTGTCTGACATTCACTATGGGATCCAACGGTCACAACTCTGCCATGTATAACCGGCTCTTTCACATCGACTCGATCCATGTGGATGACTTCAAGAGAGTCTGCTCGCAGACCACCAACCCAGGCAGCTACCCGTTGGCTGCCACGGTGGAGAAGAACATTCCCATCTATGATGCCACCACGTTTGACCCTCTCAACCTTGAGACCACCCCCGCCCTTCAATCGGAATGGCACCACATCCTTGAATCCGGTCCGGGCATCTTCGTGCTGAAAGGCATGTACCATCCCTCCCGGTACGCCGACACGCTGGCCGCCACCAACACGGCTTTTCAACACATTATCGACAAAGAACGCCAATCCCTTCTGGGGCCCAAGGGTGACCACTTTGCTGCCAGCGGCAAAAACGACCGCATCTGGAACTCTTTCAGCAAGCACGCCTTTGTTGATTCCTCCTCCTTCATTCATTACTATAGCAACCCGTGGCTCCGTACCGTCAGTGAAAGCTGGCTGGGCCCGGCCTACCGCGTCACCGCCCAAGTCAACATTGTCAAGCCCGGCGGTGCCGCCCAAGAGAGCCACCGCGACTACCACCTCGGATTTCAGGAGCTGGACCGCTGCGCGGCCTTCCCACGGAGTATTCAATTGGCCAGTCAGTACCTGACGCTGCAGGGGGCCGTGGCGCACAGCGACATGCCGGTGGAGAGTGGCCCGACGCGATTCTTGCCATTCAGCCAGACGTATGAGCCGGGGTATCTGGCGTGGCGACGGGATGAGTTCCGGGCGTTTTTCAAGGAGCAGTATGTGGCGTTGCCGTTAGAGTTGGGGGATGGGGTGTTCTTCAATCCGGCTGTGTTTCATGCGGCGGGGGCGAATGGCATGGATGAGAGCACGGACTTTCAGCGCAAGGCCAATCTGTTGCAGATTGGGTGTGCTCTGGGCAAGACGATGGAGCATATTGATGCGGTGCCGGTGGTGGAGAAGTGCTGGGACGAGGTGCGCGAGATATATCAGAGGGATGGGCTGAGTGCCGAGTTGGAGGCGTGGGTGGCTGCGGTGGCAGATGGGTATCCGTTTCCATCGAACCTGGATCGAAGACCGCCAGCACCGAGTGGAATGGCGCCGGAGAGTGAGCAGGAGATGGTGCTCCGGGGGTTGCAGGAGGGCTGGAATAGGGAGAAGATTGGGGAGGAGTTGCGGGGGCTGCAGCGAGAGGGGAGAGGACATCAGGAGGTGTAGTACAGTTAGTCACATTCTAGTGCATGTTGGCTTCAAGCCTCTTATTCTGTCTCCAATGGCTACGTTGTATAGATTGTATAGCAGACTTGATGTTGAGGAAGAGTGGCAGTTATGGAAACACGATGGGAGCATCGACATGACTATATTCTGAGGTAAGTACTGCATATACTGACCCATTGAACCGAATAATGACTGCTACGCAGTGAGACTTGTCATTATATTTCCTTTATCTGAACTGTTGCCGACAAATGACTGGCATCTGCCATGACCCGTGGATGTAACCCTCCCCCACATCCATTTCTTCCGCCATTCTGTACAACAGTGAAGCCAGGCAAGCCAATTCTCTCCGCTGACAGCACCCCGCACGACCGGTCATCAATTCATCGCATCAAAGCATGACACTACTGAGCACCCGCTTCTCGGACGAAGTATAAACCATCGGCGCCACCAGCGAACACGATCTCCCCATTCATCCCACCATGCTATATCTGCTGCTCCTCCTAGCCACCGAGACCCTCAGTGCCGCCGTCCACCTCACCGGCTATGAATACATCGTGGTGGGGTCTGGGGCTGGAGGTGGACCTCTGGCAGCCCGACTGGCCCTGGCCGGACACCAAACCCTCCTGCTCGAGGCGGGCGATGACCAAGGGCTGAACCTGAATTATACGGTGCCAGGCTATGGGGCGCGCGCAGCCGAAGACAAGCAGATGGCGTGGAACTTTTTCGTGCGCCACTACGCCGACGACACTCGACAAGCCCTCGACCACAAGACCACCTACATCACCCCGACTGGAGATGAATACGTCGGAGTGAACCCTCCCCCGGGATCCATCATGAAGGGCATCCTGTATCCTCGCACCAATGCGCTGGGGGGCTGCACTGCCCACAATGCCCTCGTTGCCATCTACCCACACCGTTCCGACTTTGAATACTTGGCCAACCTGACTGGCGATGACTCGTGGTCCCCCAACAACATGCGCCAGTACTTTATCAAGCTGGAGAACAACCGCCATGTGCTCCCCGGCATCCCTGGCCATGGCTACGACGGCTGGCTGTCCATCGAGACTGCGCCCATCAACCTCGTCCTGCAAGACCCTCAATTCCTCTCGCTCGTCCTCGGCGGCGCCTTTGCTCTGGGGAACCTAACCAACACCATCATCAACCTGGTCACTCTGCTGGCCGGGGATGCCAACACCGACTCTGCCACCCGGGACTCCCAGCCGGCCTACTACCAAATCCCCATCTCGACCTCATCCGGCCGCCGCAACGGAGCCCGCGAGTTTCTCCTGGCCGTCCACTCGGCCACCAACCCAGATGGCACTCAAACCTATCCCCTGACCATCCGCACCAACTGCCACGCCACCCGCGTCCTCTTCGACACCACCTCCTCTCCTCCCATCGCCACCGGCGTCTCCTTCCTCGACGGCGCCTACCTCTACCACGCCAGTCCTCTCTCCTCCCCCTCTCGCCGCGGCACCCCGGGCACCGCCACTGCCTCCCGCGAAGTCATCATCTCCGGCGGCGTCTACAACTCTCCGCAACTCCTCAAACTCAGCGGCATCGGCCCGGCCGCCGAACTGACCACCCACCACATCCCCGTCCTCGTCGACCTGCTGGGCGTCGGCACCAACCTCCAAGATCACTACGAGATCAGCGTAGTAGGCCAGACCCCGAAAAACCTCTCCGCCCTCGCCGGTTGCACCTTCAACGAGCTCTCCGACCCATGTCTCACCCGTTGGGAGAACCCCACCCCCATCACTCACGACCGCGGCATCTACTCCTCCGTCGGCTTCGCAACAACCATGTTCTACAAAAGCAACGTCACCTCGGACAACAACTACGACCTCTTCATCTTCGACGCGCCCATCAACTTCCGCGGCTACTTCCCGGGATTCGGCGTCAACGTCACCGCCCAACACAATTGGTTCACCTGGTCGATGCTCAAATCCCATCCGCGAAATCGCGCGGGGAGTGTCACCCTCCGCTCCAATGACCCGCTTGATGTTCCTGACATTCTCTTCAACTATTTTGATACGGGATCAGAGGGCTACGAAAAGGACCTGCAGGCCATGTACGAGGCGGTGAAGGTAGCTCGGGATGCATTCGCTAGACAAGCCGTCCCTATCGATGAGGTTCTTCCTGGCGCTGCAGTGCAGACCAAAGAAGAGATAGTGAAATATATAAAAGACATGACATGGGGTCATCATGCGTCGTGCACGTGCCCGATTGGAGCGGATGATGATCCGATGGCGGTTCTAGATTCCAAGTTTAGGGTGAGAGGTGTGAGGAGGTTGAGGGTCGTGGACGGATCAGTTTTTCCTAGAATACCAGGGACGTTTCCGGCTGTGTCGACTTATATGATTGGGGAGAAAGCAGCGGTGGATATTTTAAATGATATACAGTAATACATGGTTATATTGTGATGATGTAGATGGGGTATAGATCATTTATATCAACTTTCTTAAGAATCCTTCTTATTCGAAGTGTACTAACCCCCCACCCCCAGCCCAAGGCGCTGCAAAGCACATTCCTAAAATCATATAATCAAAGACATCATCAATCCCGTATAGCCAGAAAGTTAAGCTCCACTAAAGCGTTACCCCAGAAAACCCCGTTAAACATTCAAAAACGTAGTACTTAATCCCGACCTACGATCTGAATATCCCATCCTAGCCCTTCCTCCCTCTGGGAAACCAAAAGCCATAAGTAATAACAACATAGACCAAACCCCGATATCAGTAATGATAAAACCAAGACCTAAAGGGCAAAGCAGCCTTGGAGCTGCGACCTTCCTTTCCCTTTGCCAAGGCCAGACCAGACCTGACTTGACTTGCCCTAGTGTTCCTTAACCTTGAGAAAGGATAGAGTCAGAGTTAACTGTATCATATCATATCATATGATAGACCAAGTACAACCACTGGTAGATATAGACAGATAAATTGTCGACCCTAACGCATACTCAACCCGATCAAACCCCCCCGTTGAAGGTAGAAAATGAGTATTCCACCTCCACTTCTCACTTCCTTCCATCTATGTATAACAACCCACATACATTTTATGTAGTAACTCATGAACCAGCGCAAGAGAGAGACACCGTTCAATACAGAAGTCGAAAAAGGCAAAAAACCCTGCCGTTTTTCTTTCTCCGACAGTGAGTCCACTTTGACAGTCCAATACAAAAGGAGCAGAAGGGGAAATCAGCTGTGTTTGGAGGCTGATTTCGCGCCTCTCTGCATGACAATTGATTATATCGAATATGAGAGAACATGGCATGACTTGCGAATAACACAGTCTCAGTTCGGCACCTCTCTCATATCTTCTCCACCAAGTCATGAGAGTAATAGGAATAGGAATAGTAAGAGTAAGAATAAGTGGGGGTTGTTGTACCACCAACGATGCCGAATCCCATGCTTATTATGGGTTCTGCTAGTGGGATTATTTTGACCCAGGTGGTTGATAGTGATATTGCTGTGGCTAGCGGCTATAAGGACGCGAGGTCATATTCGTGGTGCTGATTGATTTTCTTGGGTATTGTTCTTGGGGCGTGGTCGGTGGGAAGATCCTCTCAGAGGGTAGGAGAGAGAACACTGGTCGAGTTTCCTGAGGAAGTCAAGTCACCTAGTATTGACTATGTCTGTGTGTTGTGGGTAGGGATGTTGTCGATATCGAGGGGGGATAGGTTAGGTGATATGTGATTTCAGATAGAGTGAGCAGGGGTGGACCGTGTGGTCGAAGACCCACTTTCGTCTGCATTCGTCTTCCTTCATTCTTGTCTGCATAACCTAGATTGAATCCCCCAACGCAGACGGGAGGTATTGTATTCCTTGTGAAAGAGTGAATGCAGAACTAGGCTGATGATGAAGACGTGGTTCCAAATCTACCCGCCTAGACCAAGAAGGTCAGGGAGTCATCGATAGAGAATGGCATATGTATCTGTTTGGAACTCGCCATTATGTCTCTCAGGATACGTTCGTGTGTCGAATGACAGTGATTTTGCAGCATGCGTAATGTAGATATACATGTATCATCCAAGGCACTATTTTTTGGTGGAGAGCCTGTCTTTCCGATACTCATCTTCCAGAACCAAGTCAAGATGAGATGTATTTTCGATCAAGTCCAGATGTGCTCTGTGTCAGACAGGATATCATGGCAAAGTAAATGAATAAACCGTCAGATGTTCTTGCGAGATAGTTGACTCGAGTTGGTATCCTGTCATCTTCCTTAGAGGAAATACTATCTCGTAGCTGATACACTGGATGCTCCCTATCCTTAATTTTGTAGAGAAGCCGGGTCGAATTCTTCCCGCTAGCAAAACGATCAAGGATCTTGTGCATGCTTTGGATCTAAGAACCAGTGTAGGCAGGTACAGCCATCCGGTCCAAGGGATTCTTGATATATAATGTAGTGAGTTGGTGCTCAACAGTCAGGCGATTAGATAGACGTGTCAACGGCGTGTATGTTCCTCCTTGAGATTGTTCAGGTCGTAGAGCATGGTCAATAGGGAGGATGATGGATGAGTCTGTTCATTGGGTTGTGAAATGCGCACTTACACATATACATATTGAATATGTGATCGTGGAGTAGAAAAGGGACGGAACATCCATCCAGACATCATTCTAACCAGTATAGCATGCTTCCTCAACCGTGCAGAGCGCGTAGAGTGGAGATTGTTGCAAGTTTCTTTCCCTGCTGATAGATAAATCCAGTGAGATAATCAGGATGTCTAGGTGGTGGGACTGATGAGAAGCCATTCTCGTTGTATTCCAAGGAGTTCCGTTGGTGTCGGACACCTGATGTTGTGAATGTCTCGGTCTGCTCAGTTGGATTTTGTTGAGATATTGCAGCCAGCCACAGCCCTGAATAGCCAATTCCGGGGCAATGATTTCTGGGGATGGTGGGCCGTTGTTCTTCTTCCGGGAAGTGTATATTATACAGGATATCTTTGTCGCGGTATATTCCTTAGTCACTTGGAAATGAGAACCACCTATCGTGGAAGTCATCAATCAGTTCCACAAGATCCGGACGGTCCAGACGGTGGTAGGCCCATTGTGAATTGGCAGGGTTAGTAGGTAGTCCTCCACAAAAAGAGGCATTTTTGCGCATAGTGGGTTGTTTTGTCGTGGCAACTCCTCGGGAACAGTAACAGCCCGTCAGATATAATTTAGTCTGACCAGGACAAGTAGGATGATGGAGATGTTTTTCCTGTTCTGCTCTGGCTCGAGAACAAGTCCAGGGAGTATAGGCAGCGTGATCTGTGTAACCCTTATCTCGATAGCGATGAATCTGTGAATCAAATCGTCCCAGGGGGGAGCGATCAAGCTTCTGCATGATGGGATAGAAAATGTGGGGCAGACGCAGACATTTGATTCCTGTGCTTAGCGCAATTCATCACCAACAACGTTGTTTACATCAGACGGACACAGTGTTGGCGATTGATCACTGCGGATGTAGAACGTGTAGGGAACTAGCAGGGCCCGATCATTTTTCCCGGAATCTGTTGTTTGATGCTTAACAGGTAGGTAGCGAACCAAGGTGATGACTCTTCGCCAAGTCGTAGAATCGGATGAGGATGGCCATACAGCCAGATGTTCAATATCCTATTGAGGACAAGCGATGTTCTGTTGGGAGAAGCAGGTAGGACTAGTGCCACGCCGAGGAGATTTGGCAGCAGTTCGGTGGAAAAGACGGATTGGCTGACCATTGAATAGGGGGTGGTTCGTCTTGGTCACAGCAGTGAAGGGCTTGTTCGTTTATCCATCTCATGTAGCCACGTGATCTCTGGTGAAGCATCTCGCAGGAGGCGTTGAGCTCGGAAGTGTCCCAGGGCGAAAGCTGTTCTTAACAGCAAGCTTTCATAACAGCTTCAGTTTTGTATTGTACCAGGGTATTGACACCTTTGTAATACATCTCCTTTCCTATCTGTTTCATGGCGACATCACCTTTAAGATCGGGCCATGAGATTCCGATAGGGTTTGAGCGGTGAACTGTTGGTTTGTGTCTTTGGCAGTATCTGTGCCCTGCCAAATCTGGTATTTGATTCGGCTTCGCAGCTGATGTTCTGTACTCCGAAGTAATATGAGGATGTTGGAAGATGCGAAAGTAGGACTTTTAGGTTGGTGTGGAAGGTCATTAATAAGCATGGCCCGGTTATTAGTTCTTCCGTGCTCAATAGGCAAATAAGCGCCAGAGTTGAATTCACTCGCAATGTTGGACGGAGATTGAACAGTGATTATGATCCCTTTTGTAATTAGCTAGCTGGGAAAAGGTTGCAGTGGGTGAACCCGTGTTCAAGTTTTGTACCTCGGAGCTGATCGGTTGCCCGTGGTACAGGATTCGGGCGTGTGCACAAGTCAATGGATAAGAGCCAGGTTTGTAAGGTTATCATATTGCGTGTACCAGACTCGAGGACGTCAGCAGAAACCAAACAATTGGGCTCTGGATACTGGTGAATATGGCTGATGAAGCGGGTCTTCACCCTTATGTATCTCAGAGCGGATCTGCAGACTGCTTTAGATGTAAGGATCTATAGCAGCGATCGTAGGGTGTATACATCAGGTCTAACAGCAGAACATGTCTCTTTCGCTTGTGGTAGACATGGAAGTTGAGGCTGCCCTCAGCAACTGAACAATTCGAGCCCATGCGCGTCGTAAATATCGGCTGGTGCATTTGGATCGTCGTTTTGGATTTATGAAAGCGATAGGAGGGAAGTAATGTCGTAATTAGTGTACAAGGCTTAGAGATACGCACGTTTTCGCGGACAGAGCACACCAGGTTGAGGATGTCAACCTGGCACAATGGTTGTCACAGGTATAGATTGGAATGGATCGTAGAGGGATGCACGCATTCGATCGGATGGACGTTTGCAGATCCAGTGCGGAATTGGGGGGTTCTTCGATTTTGTTAGAAATGTTGGAGAGGTGTGATGCCCTCGCCCAGGAAGACCTAGAGGGACATCAGAGTAGGAATGATGAGTCCGGAGAAGAAAGAGCATGTCTGCTTCTCCCGGAGAGAGATTTTGCATATGCAATGCTGGAATATGTGCTCCCACTTCTCTGAATGGGAGTTTGCTTCAAGGCGTCTGATAATGCCGTGTATGTTAGGTGATAATGTCTTCAACATCCAGTTAATGCGACGTGGATGGCTGGCCGGCTGAGTCAGATTGTCAATCTCACGGTTCGTTAGGATTGTGGTACGGTGTAAACACCTGAACACAGGCCCAGTACAGCACTAGAAGATCATTCAATCATGGCATATGTATTGCAGGGAGCGATTCTTTTGGAGCACTCAAGGATGTTCTGGAAAAGCCTCGATGTGTGACTGTAATTTAGGTGAAACAATAGCAACCTGTCCACTATGCGATGCGCCTGAAGCTCGTAGACGAGTATAGTTATCTTTAGCAGCGACCGCCTTGGATTTCAGCTGATAGTACATGTGTCAGACACACAGATTATCATTAAGGCATGGTAGCTCGTTGATCCTTATAGGGAAGCTTGACACGAAGGATGGATAATTGGATGGTGTGGACTCTGGGCTCGAGGTTGCGATAGTTCAGGACCGTCATATGTGGCAATTCGTTCGTTGGCGTGATAGCTGGTTTGATGTTAGCCCCTCGTAAATCTGGTCTGAATAGATGAATAGCGGGCTTCCTTTGTGTCGTCTCATAGGTCGGATACGATTACTTGAGTCTGGCAAGCATAGGGAAGGTATGTTTTGGTCTGTTCATTGTAGACACTCCTGGTGGCGATTATTCCCATGTACTTGGTATAGCAGGTAATTTCCGTGCGAGTTGTCCCGCATGTATCCTTCTGCCTCATGAGATATTATGGCCTAGCACTTTCTTTGTTCGAATGCTGATTGGTCTTGTATTCATCTCGACATGGTTCTCGTGAACGGGTTTGAGATATTGGACGGGTGAGCTCTGTCGTCAATCGCATCGGATCGTTCCAGAACCAGCTATCGTAATAGAATAGCAGATCATCTTGGAAAGCCGGGCGACGATGTCAAGTTATTAATGAACAATCAATTTCTGTAAGGGAACGAGTCCGACTGTAATTTCGGAGGGTAGTGAGCCTCTATAAGCCCAACGGAATTTTGCATATCGTCGATAATCTGGACCTTTTCCACAGTAGTGGACTCATGGTTTGAGTCGAGCTATAACCTTGATCCAGATGAAGTGGTGGGTCAGGAGTGTGTGCTTGTTGAGAGTGTAGGTCTCAAGTGGATGTAATTCAAAAGTCGTGTCCGTCTCGTCGATCTGGTAGTAGCTGATATGCATTTCATTTCGGTGGCATTTGATCTGAGCAGAATCCTGGTCGGTTCAGCCACCCAATTGATTCAGGACCTTATCCACTTCTATGTTGTCGCCAGAATAGTTGCCTATTTCTGTTGCCATTGTTGTGTCGGATAGTCCCTCACGTCCTTGATAATCTGATGAAACATACCTCATCATATAGTTCCATAGGAAGCGATGTAATCCCACATATACTCTGTATTCCCGTCTCGATTGAGACAACAGAATAGTAAAGATAGTCTCCGTGGCGCTTGGGGAAAAATCAGGTCGATCCGGCTCTTGCTGTGAGCATGTTGTATAGCTCTATGGATTCGATGTTTTGCATAGATGCAGGAGGCACTGACTGGCTTGATACTGTGGATGCCTTGATCATCGGAGACCCCGTGCGAAGGAGGGCTGGCTTTTGTAAATACTCCTTGATGTTGGCTGATCTCATGTTGAGACGTGGTGTCTTGGTTCCGAGGAGGGTCATTCTCAGAAGAAGAGGTCGGAAATGCAGGATTAGCGTGGGATACGTCGACCACACCCCAGGGTGTTGGCCCGCCATATCCGTTGTGACTTTTGATTTCGAGACCGTCAGGCCTCATTCTCTTCTTGCGTGCGCCATTCCCTCATGGAGTCCCAGTTCTTCTCTCTCAACTTGGCTTTTCGTTGTAGGTAGTGGTTCTGAACTCCCTGTCGTACTGTATATCCACCTTTGCCTCCCACCGTATAGCTCTTGTAAAGTGACCCAATACGGGGCGTGATCTCGATTTCAATTGCGACTACCTTACGTGGTAGACGTCATGGTCCAAGAAGGATACGTACTTCCAGGCTTGCATTTCAGGAGATCTCTCCATCTTTCCTGGAGTCGCGTATACCTTAACTTGAGATCCAAGGCAGTTCTGCCTCTGTTTTGGGATTCATGATGGCGACAATGTCCGACTTGGACGTAAACGGGGTATATTCGATTAAAGTTGAGATTGATTTGACAGAGCCGGTTTGATCTCGGCGGTTCAGAGATTCCTTCAGATATGGCTCTGAAGAAACCCTATCGCGATGCGGAGGACACCCGATCATAGAAACAAGTGCGGGTCGACATCAATTCGTCCTGCAGATTGGACGGAGACTTCATCCGAGTCGGAGTCGCTGATATCCTAAGCTTCGCGCATCTGGTGCAGCCAGGATGATGTTGAGGATCCGATTGCTTACCCAAGTTCTCCACTCCTTGTTGCCAATCATGATGTCCTATGTGAAGCGGAACTTTTTCGCAAATCTTCATGCAGTACCCGCGCTCAGTTTATTGTTCGGGTCGTTTATTCTTCCATTGAGCAGCGTCTCGCTCCCGAGATAATTAAGCACCAGTTTCATTGACCAAGGAACCATGAGTGACGTGAACTCCTCGGGTCGGCAGTTGTGAGTGGACAGGCAATGGCAAAGTAGTCGGAGTCCTGTCTATCAAGACGATAGTGGGTATTTGGTCGTACGAGGACCACCTTATTGTATCTTGCGTAGCATCTTCATGTTGTAGCAACCAACTAGCAGGAGTTCGATATCAGCTCCAGATGTGGATCAACTTGGGACATTAGTGTAGCGAAGCCTGCCTCAAATTTTCGATCGTGTTGATTATAAGTCGCACGCACCGAGTCCTGTTGACTCTTTAAGACACCTGGACAGACGGCTGATGCGGAAGTCGCTTACATGAAAGTGAATATATGTGCTGCGTGATGAGAGGATGTAACTGACCCAAGGAGCCTCGCGAGTCTGAGTTGCTGTTGGTGGCTTCCATGGATAAGTGACTAGAATCTTGTGGGGACCTTCAGCCAAAGATTCAGGCGGATGGATGGTATGTCCAATAGAGGGAGCTCCGTGTTCGGGTGTGTTTTTAGCTAACGATGTTGAGATTTGATAAATCCACAGACATTGCTCAATCATAGACACTTCGTTTGTGCGTCTCAAAGATGGATATAACGGAGCAGGCTTGATGGCATGATAGATCGGTATCCTGTAGGAGGTGGGGATCCACATCCGGGCTTGCAATTCTCTGCCACCGTCAAGCTGACCTGTAAGTACAATGGAGAACGTGAAGTACAGTGTCCATGTAATTTGTATCTGGAAGCCAGGGTCATAAGTAATGAGCGCACTACCTGCGTGCTTAGCTGAGAGGGTCGACGGGGCCCTTCAACCCACTGCGTCGAGCTAGAGAATCCAGTCTGTCGATGTTGATATGGCAAACAGTCCATTTTATTTTGAGATAGCGTGTGCATTAAGAGTTCCTCTTTCTGGTCCCTTCGTTGATGCTGTCGTACGTTTGCTTGAATACGCGAGAGGTGAGGGTTGTGAAGAGGTCGAAGATGCAAGACAGCAGAACTGCAATGGTGCATGACGAACCTGCATGTGTTCGATGCAGCGGATTGAAAAACAGGTTGGGTAACAAGCCGAGAGGACCACGAGGAGTGTTGACCAAGTCCGACTGTTATGCATGTCTTGTAGAGCAGCCATCATCTGAAGGCCATCGTGGTCTGCAATCACCGTGTTGGTGTCCTTAGAACAGAGATCATACTCAAGTCATCTCCATGCTGGTTTCGACGATCCGTAGTCGTCACCTTTGCTTCAGTCAAATGGGAGCAAGCGCTATTGTTTCATCACAAGACTTTGAAACTGTTGTATATAACGAGACACAGGGCCAGATAGTAATGGATCACTCAAGGATCCAACAAGATTCGTGAGCGAATCAGTAGGAAGCCCTGTTTCAACCCAGAGTGCAATTTGACGGGTTGACCGACGCCAGGAAGTGGTTCCGTCCTGAACCTCGGGGTAACACCTATAGATACTCACCGTCTCGAGGTCGTGATAGTGAGAATTCTGAGACTTGGCGACACATACCACGCCCTGAAGCCATATGAGTCTACTCACTCTTATCTCAAAAACGACGAGCAAAAACGGCACCATGACGTTGTTACTGTGTTAGCTGGATTGGAAGGCGTCCCTAGAGAAAGGTGCGTGGCTGAGTTTGTTCGTGTCTTCCAGCTTGATGAGGTGGCTTTCTCGAGGTTCTCCTGGTCTTGTTGGTCTGCTCACTTGTTGTCAATGACTCGGTCGAGCTCATGTAGGGTGATGAGGAAGTCAGTGGTCGAACCCCTGAGCATAACCCTTACTGCATTCAGGCAATCTGGGCTCACTATGAGATATCTGGTTCTTCATGATTTGAGATCGGAAAACGTTATGGTGATATAAGATAACTGACTAAATGCCGAGAGTGCTTCAGCGAGGAGCAGTAAAATGTGCAAAAGAATGTAACTCGAGTCCAGGCTGAGAAATCCTCCAACAGTCAGAGGGCTCACATACTCCCCTCTTCAGGCGTAGCTGTCCTCAGTCGCGAGATTTCGGTGTTCAGCGGCATCGTCGTTCTCCTGGCAGGCCGAGATTCGTATCAGAGCTAGCCAACAGACCCGGAATGCTGCCGAAGTATATTCTAATATCCTTAGTGCCAGCGAGGTATTGCAGGACGTGAGCACAGTCCATATGCTGATGGGAAGGGATTGAGCAGAACCGATAGGACCAAATGAAGAGCAGTCAAATGTACTTCAGCGACTGTAAGGCATCTCAGCCGTCCCTTATCCAGTTGCCATAAACATTTCGGACTATACCGACCGATTCGTGGCAAGGTCGCGCAGCCTCTGCGTGTTCCAAAGGCAGGCCTAGCCTGACGAGGTAATCGCACCTCTGTCTGGTTATCGAAGATGACTTTCATCCACAACCATCCTTTCTGATAGGCTGAAACCATAGTCGAATTCCTTTGAGGTCGCCATGAAGCCGTGCTTTCTTATAAGGGTCCACAGCCACATCAAACCCTCTGTTATCGAGACTGTTTCTCGGGTAGACTGTCCATATCACATGCAAAAGGATGTGATTTTCTTCAATGAATCCTCTGGATAGTAGGAAAAAGTTTCCGGTGCCTGTCAGGGTGATCTCCAAACCGAACCATAGCAGTTGTACTAGCAGATCGCACCGTCACAACTGGTTACCAACGACTCCCAAGGCATTTGCGATACTTCTCCATTTTCCTAGATTTCCGACTCATGCGAGTTCATGTTCAGCAACGGGGTATTTTTGAGGCCGTCATCCGATTGACATATTCCCTTGTCGTTATCAACCTGCGTTTAATCAGGCGGTCGCACTCTTTTGAGACGGCGTGAACTTCCATCAATGATAAAATGAATATATATATAAGGGATGTTGTTTTCGCTGTCATAACAAGGAATAGTGAATAGGGCGGTCTGCCGGCCAATCTTATGGAGGTGCAAGCCCCCCCTACCCGCCCAAGTGTTGTATATAAGTTGCATCCGATTAGTAACTCCTCCAACTCCCCGATCCTTCGCATGAAGGACCGAGGAATGTCTGATCTGATGCGTATAGAACAGACAGATTGAAGGCCAGGAAGACGGACCTTTATATAGACCTCAGAGCTACCTATTTGTGTAATCAAAAATTGCATATCTAAAGCAGACGAACTTCTGCATCGGAAATTTCATAGGAGAATATACGTTCAACGTACTTTAATCTCCGATTCCTTGATCCTGGGGCCGTCATTCGCCTATTAACAATATGGTAGTTAACGATCAGGTAAGGAGATGTTCCTCAGGGGCTTCGGGTACCTGACAGTAGACAGGAACTTTCAGGCCTGTCATCTGGTCTAAGCTGAGAAATGCTGTCTGCCCCTCGGAGGGTTACGATGATGCAAGCATCATTCAGGACAGTCTCCGACCTCTTATAACCACTGATGTTGATATTAAGAGATCTTGATCGGACTAGACGATGATATAAACCACCATGCGACCCTGCAGCTAGTTTACTGGGTTGAAGAAGTGGCAGCCCATTGCCAGGTTATTGAACTCGGACGTGTTCTGGTTGTGTAGTTGACAGTGAATAGGAGCAGAGCACATATTATGGTTGCGATTTCACTGCCAAGGTGACGTTTGTCTAAGAGTCATCGATGTATTTCTTCCGTCTGCACCTGCGATAACAAAGTATCTTTATGGACTGGTTTACCCAAAGTGAGGAATAAACCATTTTTTATGACAATGTTATATGTTATATCAAATGGTTGAGAGATGAGGAGATGTGGGAAGTGGATAAAAGATCCAGTTGGGTTCGCTCGGGTGCGGCCCGTGTTTATCCGGGGCCGCCAGGGATGGTAGCTTACATGGCCATTTCCATGGAACAAGCCCGCCTCAAAGCCAACGAAAGTGTGGAGCTCACAAATTTCAAAGGCAAATATCGACCGAGATAATTTACAGAAGCAATTGATACAGAACTTATGTTGAGGAAACGTAGAGATATCCGAAATTCTTGACGACAGCTGGAAAGAGGGTGTGGTAATACAGGCCGGGGGGTATGTATGTTGCATGCGATCTAAATGTATGATATAGAGGATGCTCTGAAGGGAAAACAAGAAAAAAGAAAACAATGAAGAGAACAGACGAGAACAGATGGAAGGATGAAGATAATGCAAGACCAGGGAATAGAGCTGTGAGGGATCACTGGGGCTCTGTTGGGTAGATCTGGCCCTGGAAAGTGTTTTCATAGACACGAATCTCTTGGATGCGGGATGCTGATACCGTCAGTACTAGGTATCCGATCCATGTTTGTGAGATGTGAAACGTACTCATGCTGTATTGAAAGACGAAGGATGTATTTAAGAGCCCCGATTGGTGGTTGACCGTGGGATAGGGCGGCAAGGAATACGGCCCGGGAGGGATCTCACGACGGACACCTGAGGACGCATCAAGTCAGACATTGTTCAGGGCAGATTTGGTATCGTTGGGAAGGACCTAATTCTCTAGTCGTACTACTTGGTCCATCTGGTCGTCGATGCCTCCGATCGATGATTTTCCAGATCAACAAGAGCAAGGGCGGGCATGAGACGATGACAGTGACAATGCCGATGATATTGCTAGTGGAGAGTGGCATGTTGATCAAGTGAATTGGCGATTTTGGAAAAGTGCATTTCAGTAGATGATGGTTGTCTATCTAGAGCTCTTTAAAGAAGTGATTAGAGAGAGACCAGGTCATTCACGATAATGGCCCAGCCTGGTAGTTAAGCTTGGTTCCTGAACGTGAAAATGAGGCTGTGCAAACTGCAAAGGTAGCAGCAGCCAAGTATGAATAACTACCCACCTGTGGGTCTGACCCGGCCGGCAACAAGTAACATCAGCGCCTGCCATGCATTACGAAATCATGGTCATCCCTAGGCCATTATGGAGCACTGCATTGACAATGGGTACCATACATTGTATGCAGGCGTGGCTAGCTCCGGCCGGGCTCTCTTTGATATTTGATTTGCTCCTTCTCCACTGGGATGTAGCAAAGAGTAACGCGGGGACTTTATCAACCCGATTCGACCGAGCCTCCAAAGAGATCTCGATTATTTCCCTACCCGGTATTTTACTCTTCCCATGTCCTATCCGCCACGTCATTTCGCTTTTCTTAATATCAACTAATCCTTATTATTGATATCCCCGGCTGAAGACATACTCTTTTGATCGAGTGGCTTTGACATTAAATACCAACTTATTAAAATGCTGTCGTACCCACACACCAATACGAAGATAAATTCTAATCCGCCGCTTCTTCTAGCGGCCACCTCTAACACTTGTTGAAAAAATGATTCTTTATAATCAAGGCATGTTACGAGCCCCGCAAGCCCAAGATAAACAGCAACAATCACTATTGCCACAAGAAGCCGCAAGGAAAGATCTGGCTGGATGTGGGATAGTCTCCAATACAGTCCACCTACAGGTAAGCGTATCAACACAGAATCTTGTGTTTTATCAAAAAGGTGGTCTTTAATTTATCTTCCTTCAATATACCGTGCCATGGTAGTGAGCATGCGCCATCGGATGAATATCACAATTACCATCTGGGTGCGTCAATACAATATTTATGGATGGTTTTGTGAGAAACGGAGGCATAGTTTAAATCCCTGTCATTAGACCAATACTTTCTGGATCAACGGTCGACGCTATTCTCTGTGAGCATTAACATAGTTGATCTAGCTTCCCTTTTGTGTCAAATGTCGACATAGTATCATAATGACGGTGGAGTCAATATTTTCGATAGAGTTGCTCCACTTCTCCACTTTTCCGATAAGGTTGAGATGGTGATCCGTGGAACGTTGATTTGAGCTTCCAGATTCTTATTTATTTATTTCCGCTTTTTGGACGTCTACTCGGAATGAACTACAGTGTGATTATCACTATCATTGGACATTATCATCCCATCCATATTTCCAATTGTTCAATTATAATATGTGTTGATGGGCCTCTTGATCGCATCCTTCAAATCAGTAAATAGCATTCATATTAATGACGTATAGTAAGGAAATTAAAAGGACTGAGTAATGGTATTTAGCAAGGAAAATAAAAAGAATGTCGGATCCGTCAAGTTGAGATGATCGTGAAGCATCACCTCGGCTTCTTGGTGTTATTCTTCATCTCCACCCCCCACCGCTCCTTCATATCCATCATCCAATCCTTCACCCCACGACTACTAGTCCCCACCCGGATCACTCCATCTTTGACCCCCTTCCAACCAGAGACCGGTTGCTGGATCAAGACGTGCTTTCCCCAACACACCTTGGACCAGAGTCCCTTGGCTTGGGAATGGCGATGTGCGTCCCGAGTATTGTAGCACTCACTGCAGTAGTCGGTGGAGGGACAGTCGAGACAGAGATACCAAGGGGAAGAGTCCAGTTCCCATTGCGACAACTTCTCTTTGCGACAGGGTCCCATGCACTGTAGCATGCTACCGTTGCCTTCATCCACAATGCTTTCCTGGATGGATCCGCTGCAGGGCGTCGTTGCTGCCGTTGTTGGTGTTTCGTCATTGGTGCGATCCGTTGAAAAATTGCTCGTAGGTGACTGCGGGATTGACGGGCCATCTTTGTGAGCAGATGCGCTGGCATCTACCTTTAACGCCATCCATCCATCGACGGACAGCGGTCTGGGCCTCTCCCCACCAAAGATGGCGGACGACAGTGTGTTTTGATATTCCTCCTCGCTCACTTGCAGCGCGTTGGCATTGGCCCGGTCAAAGATAAGCGACGCAGAAATCCCAGCATCCTTTGAGAGACCGGCAAAATGCAACACCTTGGTCAACGCGCGGAAAGCAGCCATATCATTGTCATCGACCCAATCCTCCAGATCGGCAATGCAGAGCTTGAACGCCTGGTCAGCATGCTCGTATGCCCGGTATTTGAACCCAATTCCTCTCCACATTTTGGCAAGAGTGATGAGCACGCTGGCTTTGGTGGATGATTCAATGACATCCGCGACCCTAACATCAGCAATCAAAGCATTGGCTGCCTGGCACAGAGGCTCTTTCGCAGTTTTGTTCCGAGCCTTGCTGTATCGGTCATAGTAGATGTCAAAGCGCTCCATGATGATTATGCTCAGCAGCTTCGAGTCAACCTGCAGCGCCTCGTCCTTCAGCATCGCCTCTAGTATTCTGTTCAGAATATCCTCGGCCATTCTGATCGCATGGCAGTCTTGCCGGTAGATGATAGCAAGCTCAGAGAGCATCACACAAGTCTCATGGAAGAGTCCTCTAGATGCCCAATAGCAGATTGCGCGGTCGTAGATTTGAATAACGAGCTCGACATTGCCGGTGGCTACAGCTGCTCTGCGTAGCCGGTCATCCTTATTAGTCTGTCGAGACCGGTTCATCAGCCAAGCGGGGATAAAGTACGGCGGCTGATTCTCCAGTTGGTCCTGGATGGTCTGGATAATGGATGAATGAGCCTCTTGATCCGCGTATATCTGCACGAGAACGGTCAAGAAGTATCCCAGAGCTCGGGAATGCCGGAGGAACTTGTTGCTCAGCGCGTCTTGGCACGTCTTGCGGGCGAGCTTCGTATCACCAAGGGCCATACAGGCCTTCGCGTGAAGCATGTAGACACTCTTACACCGCTCGGCATTGAAGTTGGGCCGCAGGGCGGCATCCGAGTCCTTCCAACATTTCAGTGCCTCTTCTGCGTACTCTTTGACTCTGGTCCAGTTTGTCGTGGGGGCATCAAAGCTTCCGCGACTAGGCACATAGTGCTCCGCAAGACCTAGCAAGGAATACAGCTTTTCCGCGCACATCGAATCGTCCAGGTGCCGGTTCATCTCGTACAGAAAGAGCGCATAATCTCGCTCTTGTTTGTTAGGCGACTCATAGAGAAGGAGTGCGGCTGCAAGTCGTGCTTGGGCAAACCGGGTTCGGGAGTCTCTGCACTGGCCCAGCATATCTTCGGCGACCCGTGTGTTGATGTCATCACCGTCTCGCGACCAGTGCTTGTATTTACCAGTCTATCAAGGTTAGTACGCAGTGACTGACATTTCCGGAGTCATACATACTGTGTAGCATGCGCGATAGGCAAGTTTGTATGGGATCCTAGCCTCTTCGGCGGTTGATTTCTGTGCCCAGCTCTGAAGATGGCCTTTGGCTAAATTCTCCAACATGCTTTCTGGTTGTTTCTTCATGTTGTCTGCCCAACTCCAGATGTGTGCTGGCAGGGACAGGTTTTCTCTTTCGTCTCTGGCAATGAGTTCTTCCGCCCAAGACCGTACCAGTTCATTGGTGCTTGTCGTGAACTCTCTGCAGCACCCACGGTCCGATCCCGTATGTCCAAACGATAGATCATACAGGTCAAAATGGATCTCGCTGGCAGCCATCTGAGACAGCACCTTTTCGAACACAGATGATACGCCGGTTCCGTTGGTTAGGATTCGCCATACGGCTTCTCCGACCCTCTTCAGCTGCTCGTTATCGATTTCCCGGGACTGTGTTAGCTTCACATCCTTGGTAAGTGACATCTTGTCTTTGAGGTTCTTTTCGTTCAAATCCCTGTCAGCTTGTCTTTTCCCTTGGGTAACAAAGTCTATATCCCGTAAATGCCGGATGAGATTGAAAGTCGCATATTCGTGCAGAGACTCAGCAGTTACCTCTTCAGAACCACAAAGAACATCGCAGAGAGTTACAAATATTTCCACCTTCTCGAAATTCATGTCCATATTTAGTGCGGCCCCGCCTTCTCGGATGCATTCCTTGAATTTTGTTTGACGGAACTCAATGTACCCATATTCACTGGCGGGAGGCTGTTTGCGAGACTTGTCTTTGGGGATTTCCGTCTCATGATCCGGACGGGAACACCAATATAATTCAGCATCCACACTTGGGGGGCCCAGATTAGGTGATATCATGGGTCGAATATAGAGGAGACTGAAATGTCAGTCCATAAATAAATACACCCAATAGAGTCAGCAATACTCACTTGCGACACCGATCTAGCACATCGGTGATCCTAATGCTCTTTACTTGCAGATCATCATCGAGATGAAGGAGCTCGCTGAGATTGGAGACAGTGAGCGTCTGCTTTGCAAATGCGCACCACAGAAGGACTTTCTTCACGGCCTTGTTAAACACAGCATCAGAACCTGCCAGGGCATTCCGGATCAAGATGTCTTCAGAATTGCCAACATCCTTCATAAATTTGAGAAATGCCTTCTTCTCCATGCCGTTCTGGTCAAGTATTTCGATCATCTGGTCCAGAATTGATAGGTTACCTTGAAGCCAGCATGAAACTATCAGCGACATATTCTCAAGTCTCAACAGCCAAGCTTACCGTTCGATGTCTGAACTAGGTATTCGTGGATTAGCCTGTAGCCCTCCGAGTTTGGTCGGATCCGTGAGAGGTTTTCGAAGTCTCCCATGCGCTTCTCGATAATCTTGTCTATAAGACGTTGATCGGTCGTTATCTTGATTTCTGGTATGGGTAGAGCGCCTGCTATCTCCGCTGGAAATAATTCTCGCTGTTCGCGAGAGCCCGTCAATAAAATCCATATCCGGTGGTTTCTCTGTTCAAGGGTTTCATATAAGATTTTCAAGAGTGGTTCACGTTCCTTGGGCTGCATATCCGAAATGCCATCAAGGAGGATGTAGAGCTCCTCAGACGAGTGTGATCGCTTCTCGAACCGCTTCAGCACGAGCTCGTCCCAGATCTTCTTCGGGTCCCGTGATTTCAGTACGGGCTTCGTCGATATTGAGTCACACCATTTTGGATCTTGGGCTGCAATCTGGAAAAGAATAGACGCCACAACACCAGCGTAGGTCTGGGAATACTGCATGCCCGGCTCGAAAAGGAAGTAAGTGACAATCAACTGCTGCCGCACCGTCTCTTTCTGCACGAGGGTCTGGTTCCTGCCTGCCATCATGGGTATAAGCTTGTAGCAATGTGCTGTTAGGAACGTCTTTCCCACGCCATCATTGCCCTTGAGGTATAGTAAAGGACATGTGCCATGTCGATACAGCCACTTTTGATACGGGTCGCTCTCTCGGAACCACCGTAAACCGTCTTCGGTCAGTTGCTGCATGATTGTGTCCATCCTGGTGGCCATCTGAGACATAACGGTGAGGTTGAGATGAAGCCTGTTTTGCAGAGTCTTGGCCAGTTTATCCAACACGTTGCCCTTTTCGGACATGTTATACATGTTCCCCAACAGGACAGTCTGCTGCATCTTCGTATTAGTATTTTTGATCAGCCAGTGTACGCCTTCTTTGATCTCTTTGGTATCATTGAACGACTCTGTCCGAATCGCATCGTGGAACTTCTTGATTGCCTGCTCGACCCTTTCACATTGCTTCGAGGTCACGTCGACTTGTTGTCTCAACACCTTCTTCCGCCAAAGTGCTGTAGGAGAACAATGGTTAGTCATGGTCTTGAAGGTGAGATGTAGTAGCTTGATCCTGAGCGACCGTACCTAAACGTGTTTGTTTTCGCAAGTCGGTGCCTACATAGGAGCAGAAAGATAGCAATGCGATGAAGACCTTGACCAGGCTTTCTTTGGCAGTTGGCGTGACAACAGGATGCTTTTCCACGACGTTGATCTCTTGCATCGCCGACGCGATCGTCTGAAAGGTACTCTGCACGGCATTCAAGTCCGCGCTGACATCTTGGGCAGCCTTCCAGAGTTAGCAGCATCCACAAAGACGGCAAGACTTGAGTACCTGGAGGAGATAAGAGATACCCCCCGCTAGGAGTTTGACCGGTTCGGCAAACTATGCTTGTCAGAACCCAGAGCGATTTAGCTGTCTAGTGCAGCACCCACCGTCCCGCTTGCATGATCGTGCGCATAGGTGCACGTTGTCTGCGCCCAACTAAGACATTGCTGCACGTTTTCACGTATCTTGTTCTCCCACTCTTGTCCTTCTGAGGTATGAGCCTGGGGGTGTCTCCATTCGCGGAAAATGAGCTCCGTCTGGGCGATCGGGTTGCTCGCGGTATGAAAGTCGGCCAGCAACTGCTGCTCATTGGGATCGAATTTGAAATCGTCCGCCGCCTCCGCGAAAGCTTTTTCCCAGAGCTCCTCGATGGACTCGTCCCCGAACTGAAACCCGTCATCGTCGCCGTTCCGGAGATTCAAGAGTGCCTTGACGTCCTTCATGATGGGCGCATTGGGGTGTCGAAGTCAGTGGACCAGGGAAGAAACGCACAGTCGGAACGGGGGCAGCGCGAGCTGAAGTACCTACCTAAGCAGGGGGTGAGACAGACGCGGCTGAGCTGAACTTCAGCTATGTGCTTGTCGCTCCATCATTGCTTGAACGGAATCGACCTGCATAGTTAGAGGCGGACTAGACGAACCATGGAGCCTGGTGGCGTGTTCATTGGCCAAGGCCGCGGGCGATCGACCCAAGTCAGTGGCCGAGATGCAATGGCGTGGAGATGCGGGAGATTAATCCGCCCCAGCTGACAGGTTCTTCAGCTTGGCTATCCCACATTCGGCTGGATTTTCTTCATCGTGGTCAATTGTCAGGGGGCTACTCACGATGCTCACAGGTCGGTACGATTTGGCGAGACAAGCTAACAAGGATGGTGTCTAAATTGGCATGTGGGAGGGATGGCTGGTGCGCGCCCGCGGCATGTTGATTGTTGACGATCCGCGACCCACCATTATTGTCCGAGTTTTCCTCCGCCCACGCAGCTGCTGCAGAGCCTGCAGGTGCAATCCCGTGCTGCATGGTCCGACCTGATGTCGGGAAAAAAAGTTGCATCTGCATCCTGAACTGTAGCTGATGGATCGAAGCCGACATGGATGGTTCTTCTTGCGAAGGTGGAAGAGAGGACAATGGCAAAGATGGTGAGCGACAAGGAGAAGTGAAGGGAGAAGTGGGGGTGACCCGCGGTTGGCTTTTCCTCGGCTCCACCCCTGGCAAAGGATCGGAAACAATGCAGGGCAGAAAAAGGGAGACCCAGGAACGAGATCTGGAAAGAAAGATTTGGAATAGATAAATGGGGAACTTACAGCAATGAGGAAAATATGGCAAACTAGAAGGGGAGAGCTTCATCCAATTCCTGATAATTCCTCACTTTCGTTTATTCCTCGGGCATCTGCGTAGTATTCCTCAGGCATCGGCAGAGTATGCTGCCTTACCTTTCTGCCTTAATGTCTGCCTTGGTGCCTGGCGAGCGGCCCCGCAATCATTTCAAAGTCTACCGGGCTGGAATACCAGCTCATCTTCATACCGCTACTTGGAGTAGACTTTGGTCTTGAGCACGTCAATTTCGTATTTGCTTGGTAACTTGGACACAAAATATTTGACTAGCCTCTCCCACGGTAGAAAATGGAAGCACGATGGACGGGGCTAGTTTTCAACAATAAACGGAACCCGAATAGTACGTGTCCAGCCACAATCTGGGCAACAATCCTTTGGCTGCCAGTTATAAATCTCCGGATCCCATACTGCAGAGCAACTGGGGCAGCGGTACCTCCTGCTCGTATAACTTGGGGCTTTTGCATTTGACTGGGCCATGTTATGGACAAGATCAGCAGCGAAGCCAGTAGCCTCCTCGAGTACCTTCTGGAACTCGTCCTTCTCCCGCAGTTCGTCAATGTGCTCCCGGGATATTTCCACCAGGGGATCTCGAAGACTTCGATCGCTTTTCGTCGTGCATCTGTAAGCCTCTGCAATCACAGTGGAGAAATAGTCCATTTCCCAACATGTCTTGGCGAGGGTTTCGAAAGTCTTCTTGGCCTGCTGTTGCAGCCGAGGCACCGCGTACTTGTCCGCAATTTGGTACATCTTGACAGCAAAAAGAAGAGGACAAGCATGGCCATCGTCCCCACCGCTCTTGTTGTAGTCAATTCCGTACATGAATTGAATCATCGCTCGGATAGCCTCTGGATCATCGTCGTCGAAGCGTACAAGCTTTTCGGTCGTTTCCTGGGAACATTAGCTGACCTCGCAGAGCTCAACATGTAAGCCTACCACCCAGTCTCGTTTTAACATCCGGGAGAAGTACTCCGATTGTCCGCAGAGGACCAGCCTATGGACTTTGAATTCCTGATTGATGGTGCATATGGTTAGATCAGAAAACTCGCCCGACGAGAGGTAGCTGCTATCATTCAGTATTCTGTCCAAACTTTACGGTTTCAAACTTACCTCTGTATGCTGCTAGACAGGTCTGCCAGTTGATCGCAGTCGGTTTTGGTGCTGCTGGTTAGACCAGACTCACTGTCTGTTGGACCCGATTTATTGTCTGTACTTGCGCCCACTTCCTGCCCCGGGCTCCTTCTGCTGCGCCTGGGGTACATTTGTGCACTGCTGACATCCATTAATGAAAACATCATAGGAAGATTTGGTAGTGTGGGATTAGAAGAAGAAACGGTATCCCCCACTCTATATTCCTTGTGTCATGCTTTCCCGAGCTTGAGCTCATTATGCGTCATTTGGGATCTATGCAACCTCACTCCCGTGAAGATATCATAGTGATCACACCGCATTTGTCAACCCCCTATTGAGACGTGAGACCTGAGGCGCTTTCAAAGAACTCCTTTAAGCGTCTAAAAACGCTGTACTTGATTCAGTCGTACGCCCTGAATCAATATCCTGGTGGTCCTGATCTCCTCCTCCCTTGAGAGGCTGAGACTTGAGTATTTGGTATCATCATGAGGCAGGTCACGTTGTACGAGTGATTAAATCAATGAATAAGAGGCCAATATTTGTGACGCTTCTACGTGCTGCTTTCCGCCTTAGGTGCGGTCCGGTGGGGCCTTCCGGATATCTCGGCGCTCTGGGATCCTTCTCCAAAGCTTGGCACCTGAGACGACCCTCACTTAGCTGTTCAAATGATCATGAACATGGAACTACAGAAGGAGTTCTTATGAAGTCTTCGTCTAAGGAAACTTACTTTCTCTAAATAAATAGGGATTATAGCATCAATGGGGATATAGAAACCTTATGAGCATTCTTCATGATTTTTAGATTCGTGAGTTATATTTAATAGTACCATGGATATTTCTAGCACAAGTATATGACAGGATACTGAACCCTGATATTTTAGTACTAAATCAATGTCGCTATCCACTCAGCAGATAAGGGTATTTCTACTGCTGGCTCTACCTCTGAAGAGGCGAGGTAGTCCAATCACATGAGGGATATATCCAGGCCAATCCGAACCCAACCGAGTAATCTAGAGTAAGGCGCTCGGTGTTCCCAGGCGCCCGACAAGTCGTCTGATTCCGCCAAGCCCGCCCTGTGCCGGCAGCCCTCTACTATATTCTTACTGCGGGATTTGTTCGCCGACGCCCGATGAAGGGTCAGCCTTCCGTACCACAAGTTTACTGTTATTGGACGATGACCAACATACTATATACCTTGAGTATAGCTATCCGGCTGTGCCGGCACAGCAGATATCCATCCAGAGAACAGTATAAAGTCCATCCGACATTGTCTCTTCATCATGTCGCCCCAATCACCTTCTTCCTGCCATTCAGACCCCAGATCTCCTCTCCAAGAGACACCAACCCCTTTATAATGCCCTCCTGGATTATCCAACTCGGCGCGCTCATGGCCCTGGCGCAGACCATCTCAGGCGCCGAAATCTACATCAAGTCAACCCAGCCGCCTGCGAACTTGTACGTGACCCACTGCAGTGTCATCATCGAGGATGAGCTTTTCGGCTGCAAGGGGAGTTCCGAGCCCTTCAAGAGATCGTGTGGCCGCAACAAGGGTATCGAGACCAAGTCTATCTGCAAGTCTGCCACTGTCACAGTTGATTGGACGACCGCCCAGCTTTCGTTCAAGAACAGTGACGGTAACACGGCCAACTGCACGTTGAATTCGACAAGCTCGTTTGGTCATTGCAATACGGATAACCCGGACGAGTACCCGATCGAGACTGTGCATAAGAGTGCTGCATCTGGTGGACTCGCTGCTAGTGCTGCGCTGTTGGGGTTGGGGACAATGGCTGCGGGATTGTTGATTTGAGTGTTGACTGGTGAGTACTTGGGCGGAATCTTCGGATAGTGGGTGTGTGAAATGGCTAATGAGTGTGTTGTTAGGTATGCGACCTTTGGTGGTCGTGCCATTGATTCTGATCACCACCCACGGGAAATCCAATACTGGTGGAATCCAATACTGGTGGAAATTATATGTGGCCCATCACTCACCAATATTAATTATCAGGAGATGTGTAGCGGCGACAGGTGGTATGCCGCACGAGGGGAACTACTTCCTAATGTCCTATTTCTTCTACGAATCTACTATCTGTATATAGACAATAATGATACATACATCAGTAACGACATAGCAAGCACCAAGTAACTATCTTAATCCCTCAGTCTCCATCCACAGCAGTGTTCTTTCTCATTATCAAACATATTAAATCAAACCTCCAAAAATCCACAAATTCCCCTTCAAATCCGAGTCCAAGATCCGATCCCTCCCACTGAAGCCTGAGTACCTAACCGACCCAAGCTCCGAAAAAGCGGTTAGTGTTCGTCAATCATGCAATCAAGCCTTTGGCTGTGGCTGCCGCCGCTCGGCGCGGAAAGCTCGGCACTCTAGATTGTTTCGGGTAGGTCGGCGCATTGTCTGATAACGGTTATCGACAGTTCCCCTCGATGATATCATACAGAATAAATATTGATTTTTGTTTTAGGGAGGCGATACAGATCAGACTGCCGTTTGGTAATAATTTCCATTTTCAGGCTAGTCAACTATTTAATAAAGCAAGAACTAACGAAACAGCTATGAGCACCACCTAGCAACGGGTCATACTCTATGCCGCTGGGAGCTCAGGCAACGAAGGTAAAAGCACAACCGGGTGACCAACTGTCTTCACTATGACCCACGATAACGTAGGCAAACCTGTGTTTGGAAGATAAATCCCTATATGGGGAAGCGTTACATCAATGGGGAGATGTGCCATCCATAGTCGGGATGGCGCTGTACCCACGTCGAGTCGTCATGGTCAAAGCTTTGATGTGAACGCGGTGGCCCGGGGAACGCATCGCTGCAATAAAAGCATTCCTTTTCCGAATGACGTCCACATCTTCCATGATGGCTTTCCCTCGGACGTTGGGAATGATTTGCAGGGTCTTGTTGGTTTTGACTAAAAGCTGATTAGTTGACTGAGCCATGCACTGAGAATAAGCAAACATACATCGGGCAGCCTTGTCGACCTTTGCCTTTATTTCTTCCTCGGAAGTGCATTTTTCGGCCAGTACAATGGCCAGATATTCAGCGCATTTGCGGAAGCGTAGACCGAATCCCATTTCAATAGGGTTATCAAAAAGTTGGGCCCGTATAATTTCCTGCCACGCATAATCCTGCATTTTCTGGGTATCCTTCGTACCCTTCCGACTATCGACGTTGTGACCATTGCAGCTTGGATAATCCAAACCCAGTGCTTGAACGTATTCATCTGCTTCATGCGTGAGGCCCAGGCGATACCTCATGGCACCGAGGAGGCGGGAGGTCCTGGGACCATCGGTGTTTCCGCTATGGAAAGCAAGAATTGCCGAGTGGACGGTGGTATCGCGAGAAGTGACTCCCACTGTTGTCGAAATCTGGATAGCGGAATTCCGGTCCTGGAGCGCTAGTTCTGCTCTTGGTGGAATAAGTAAAAGTCACTAAAGAACCAGTCATCTTCCTCAGGCGAAGCGCAGTCTTCTAGGTCGGCGATGCCGCATACAGCCACTATACGGCTTTTGACTGGGACATCGGGAGAGGGGCGAACCGTTCGAAATGCAAGATCAGAGTAGTCTGTAACCTCACTTGCTTTGGTGCTGGTCGCATGAAGCCCTTCTGTATCGCTACTTATCGTGTATGAAGGAGATGAAGAACGAGGAGAGATAGCGATAGATGAGAGATATAAGGAGTAAGAGAAGTGAAAGAATCAAGTATCAGGTGATGCTTGGAATGAATGAAACGAGAGGATTGAATCAGATTTGGAAATTCAATATCATAGTGACTCACTTACATTGTGGAATGACTTCATTCATACTATACAATTACCTCATCGGGTGCCATCACTGATAAGACTCGGACTACTATTCGCAACCACAAACATGGTAGTGAAAGGAAAGAACGATCATCATACTCCCCTTGAATGGGACGCCCATGCTAAATTCCACCAACTATAACATGCAAACTACCCCCCTCCCCTCCCATCCCATCCCACCCCCCCCTTTCACCACAATACACCACCATAACACCCCCCTACCAATCCATCCAATCTCCTCTACTCCGTATAACAAGGCGTCCGATCCTGCGCCGTCAACGCACTCGCACATTTATATTTCCCCCCAGCATTGCACGCCGTCCCCGCCGTTCCATCCGCATTACTGACTCCGTCGGCGCGATGAGCCTTGGCGCAGACACTAGCGCAGTCGAGTTCACCGACGCTGGCGTCCTAACCCCCCAGCGTATTCATTAGCTTAGCTTCAGGGGAAATGGAAAGCAAGGGGGGAGTATACCGAGTACACGCAGCAATGGCTCGAATCAGAGAATTCACATTGGCAGTAGGTGCATGCTTGGGCGGCGATGGCGCCGAGGAGGAGGAGGATGGGGGTGGAGATGGAGAGGCGGACCATCTTGGTTGATTGCTTGGTAGGGCTGGCTTGGTTTGTTGGTTGGTTTGTAGATGGGTAGAGGTGGGAGGCAAAGGGGGGTTTATATCCCCTGCATTCATCACTCCATTGCTATTATCAGGGTATAGGTATGTAGCGGTGTAATCCTTCATAAAGTTGAAGGATCATGTTTGAGATAGCATGAGGTGTGAATAGGGATGTATTCCGAATTGGGAAATGTATACGGATTAGGTTCATGTCAGGGTAGTGGTATGGATGGGACCATAGAAAAGGCAGCACAGATAAGATCCCGCCGATCTTACTAAATCGGTTCTGCAGCACTCTAAATAACTTTAAGTGTGGCTCCTGGTGGGGATGGTGTTTTGCCGAGGATTCTCCGGCGGAGGTTGCCGGATGGTTTTTTTAGCTATGCTGATGAATAGGGGAGCTCTGTGGGTTGCTATTGAGGAGTTCATGGCTGGTCTAATCCAGAGAGGTAGGATTATTACAGTGAGGGGGGTGCAATGGTGATGGAAGAAGGAAGCTGCTTTGTCGTTGGTGGGCATTAGGGCACTGTAGATAGCGGTGGGAGGAGCTCCAGTTAGCCAAGAAAAAGAAGCTTTACTTTACACTAGCATCCCACGTTCTAGATACCCAAAGTAAGACACTAGTCATGCTCGGTGAAACCGTTCTGTGCCCGTTGGATCCTCTGATCCTTCGAATCCTTCGCCTGTCAACTAGTAAGACCCCCCCGCCTTTGTCTCTCCCTGCCCTAACGGTGTTCAATAAGGATCTGCGACGCCAACCCAGTGAAGAACTAAGTGCAGATCACTCCTTCGGGCACTGTTAGCTTCGACCATGCTGCATAACCCCCTGTGCCTGTGTAGCTCATCTCCCGGAACATCTCCGTCCGTCAGGCAATCTTCGACGTGATTGCACCACGGGATACGATTGGCTGCGTTTCATCCATCATATGCGACGTACAGAACTAGAGTCCGATCTCTGACTACTTGCATCCGAATCCGAATCCGAATCCGACCCACCCATCCTCTCTTTCCATGCAGAGGCATACTCCTCCGAAGGTTCATCATATTCCCGCCCAATCACCTGGAACGTATGATCCGGGTGAAGGATACCACGATGAGGATAGCACTTGTGGCAAAAGACAAAGTCGAGACATGTCTCACATCGGTATTGCAGTCCCCGGATCATCTAGTGGGTGGTCAGTCAGAATGCACATGATAGACATAGGAAGAGTACATACCCATTGACAATATTCGCAACGAGCTGGGGTTCTGGCAGCACCTCTAATTTGGCTGCTGATGCCCTTTCGATCCTTACAGACGGTCCTGAGGAACAGCTGAGTCTTAACAGATGCAGCACTGTACTGGGAGATATCCAGGGGCGACCATTCCGATCCATTGATGCGGCCGTGAATGGTTGGGTCGGCTCCGTATTGGATCAACAGCTTGATAGTTTGTTGTAAGTCAGTCTGTTCCCCGGCCAGCTCCTGGGCACATGTGCCGTTTGTCCCTCGTGCCGCCCAACATAGAGGCGTCCAGCCATCAACATCCGTCTCATTCACACTTATTCCCCCGAGATCACGTAGAATATACTCGACCACCTGTGCGCGTCCTGAAAGGGCAGCCCAATGAAGAGGGCTACGTCCAAGCTTGTCACGGACATTGACGTCGACTTTGGCTTCCAGCAGAATCCGGAACGTATCAATACCATGGAAAGCGGCAAAGTGGACCGGTAGACGATCCATTCTATCGGGCATGTCTACAACTGCCCCCTCATCTAGAAGCAATCGTAGTGTCTGTGGCCAACTTGCAGCGGAGGCAGCAGCGAGCGCACTGCCATAAAGTCCAGCTAACCGGTTGACGTCTGCCCCGTGCGCGAGAAGGTATCGGATAATGTCGAGCATCTCCTCGCAACTCTGACCCCGGATGAACTGACAGGCAGAATGCAATGGGGCCCCAGGGAGGCCGGAGACAGCCAGATTGACATCAGCACCCCATTCGACCAACTGCTCCATCATGTCTCTCCTCATGTGGCGGCAAGCCTGATGTAACGGAGCCCCATACATCGGAGAGGCAATGTTGGCATTAAGGTCACGCTCCTTCAGAAGTGTTGCAAAGCCCTCTTTCTCGTCCCGAATAACCATGTACAGCAGTGCAGTGGCGCCCTCGTCGTTTTGTACATTCAAGTCAACACCGGCATTGACCAAAGCTTGGACTTGGCTAGTCTGGACGTAAGGGTATCGACCAGCCATAATGAGCGCAGTATCCCCGTTGGGCTTCTTCTGGTTAATATCGAACCTTTTCGGGTACTCCAGGAACGTCTGGATTATCGATCCAGCCATGGCCAGGTGAATAGGATACATGCGCTGTGGAGGTGGATGCTGAAGCGCAGCCCCGGCGTCGACCAGCAGACGAAGCATTTCCGCGTTGCCACCAGCAGCAGCAAACGACAATGCCTTCCACCCATCCTGCCACTCGTGTTCAACCTGCCCTTCGATATCTGCATGATACTCCAATAGAAGCCGGGCAGCCCCAACCTTGCCACGGGCACTGGCGTGGATCAAAGGGGTCCACCCCCATTGACTGCGGATGTTCGGGTTGGCCCCTGCTTCAAGGAGAAGCTTGACCAGATCATCTCCCGTGTCAATTGCCCCGAATAATGGCCAGTAACCATCTGCCACAATGTTTGGGTCGGCATGGTGGTCCAGGAGATATCGGACTAGGGTCAGATCCCCCTGTTTCACAGCCCAACTCAGAGCAGTCAGCCCATTCTCATGCCGAGCATCAATCGACACGCGATGCTGTATCAATAACTGCAACAGTTCAAGCATAACAGGGGTCGTGAGGCTTGTCGCGCACCCCATAATCTCTATCAGGATTGGGGGACTGATCAGATCGCTATTAGGGTCGGCCCCTTTCTCCAGAAGTACCCGACATGTTGCGACATGGCCATTGACCGCCGCATAACGCAGGGGAGTGTCGGTCCCATATGGTCCAGGGATATTAGGATCGGCACCGTACTGTAGCAGGGTGCGTACGCATTCTACATAGCCCTCTTCTGCTGCAGCAACCAAAGGCGACCATCTGGGCTTGGTGACCATTGGCCTCATGTTTGGATCAGCCCCTAGTTCCAGGAGACATTTGAGGGCCGCATAATTTCCCTTCTGACAGGCTACATAGGCCGGTGTCAATCCATCGTTATTTCTACCATCCACCGCGATGTGCCCTCCTTCGACCAGAAGCTTCGCGCAAAGCGTGCTGCCACTATCAAGGCAGTAATGGAGGGCTCCATCTCCACCGCGATCTACCCAGAGAGCATCAGCCTGGTGCTTGAGCAGCACTTGTGCAGTATCAACATGGCCTAGGCTGATAGCGATAAAAAGCAGTGGCTTAGGCAACTTGGAATTGACTGGGTCAGGATTGTGCCCCATACCCAAGATCCTTTCTGCGAAGCGATCCCATCCCATCCACGCTGCTCTGGGCAGAAGATGCGGGGGCCAGGGAATAGACTCAGTTCCTTGCTGGGAATCAAGGCAGTCCAGAACCGTGAGTAAAGTCTCTTCTGGTCCCTTGGCGGCTGCCATCGAAAGTGCACTTAGAAGGGTACTCTGGGAGAATCGATGTCGATTAAGAAGGTCTGCTATCAGCTGGGATTGGCCATCCCTCGCTGCCTCAAAAAGAATCAAACTGGGATCTACCACTGACGGGGATCGCATGCTTGAAACCAGAGCACGTCCGAGAAAGATCTCCCAAGCCGATTCCCAACATTCGCTGGGTCGAGTGATCGGGTTAGATGTGGCCCAATAAGCTCGAGCCCAAGACATCGAGAATGCAGACTCGGCAAATTCAACAATTAGACTTTCTGGATTATGATGCGCTGGTATTCGAGACCAGTGTTCCAGCCAACTCTGAATTGCATACAAGAGTAGGCTCTCACGGCCGAGTCGGACGGCCGGCTGGATCCGATCAGTGGCCGGGGCAGTGTATAGTTGATTCATCTTTGATTGCATCGCCGGCGATGACAGATACTTGAGACATTGTTTTGTGAGCTGAAGATCAGCCGTGTCTTTGATCTCCTCCCACAAGTATGGCCGGTTGCCTGGATGGCTTGAGCGCGTAAAAATGGACCATATCGGCGAACTTGAAAACCTGACTTCATTGTTCCAGACTTTAACTACCCCGGCCAGCCAAGCCTTAAGGACAGAAACAAGTGTTGAGACGCTGGATGAGCTTTTATATGTATCACATGGCAAGCCCGGAGAACCATTGAGGGCAATGATCTCCGCCAGCTCCCAAGTTGTCAGAGGCCTGACAGAGTAGACAAGCCAAGTGAGCAGCAGACGCGCGAGATCGAGGTCTGGAATTTGTCGGAACACCTCATCAATAATATTTGCCAGGATATGGTTTTCATCCTGGCTCGCAAGTGGGGATACAGTGTCCAATTGAAAGCCCAGCGGCCAATCTCGACCGACCCTCAACTGCTCACATAGTATGTGACAGCCCAGAGACTTGTTCCCGGTCAGACAATTTAGCTGATCTTGAACATTGCTCATAGACTTGACAATGTCTGGTCGTACTCGTAGCAACTGGGAGACACTGCTGTTGTTCCGCGGCGTCTTTGGTTGCGCATTCGCAAGTTCCAAATCCATATCAATGCTTACCCATTCTCGGGGATTGGAAAGAGCTAGTGGAGCTGCACGACTCGTGACTACTACCCTGTGGCTGATATCGGTCCCGGAAACCAATCCAGATAGCAAGCCAAACAGTGTGGGCTTGGATATGTCAGGACACCCATCCACCCCGTCAATGACAAGTGATACACGACCGAGGTGACGGCATATTTCGCGGAAGAAATTTATCAGATCACGCTCGGTCCAGCCCCGGTGCTGGTTGAGTTGCTCGTACATCGTCTCGGCCAACAATTCGAAACGTTCCATGTGTTGGCACAGGGTCTGCGCAATAAAGCTGGAGAGCATGGCGTTGAGAGATTTGCGACGCGTGTACTGACTCGCAAATGTAAAGTACAGAGGAAACCTCTTGGACTTTACGTCCACTGTGTTCTGGATCTTGTAGAAAAGTTGTTCTCCCAGGTCTCGCATATTTTCAGTACCGTAGATGTGTAAAACCCGGCCACGGGGACACCCCATCCACTCTCGGATGGCAGTCAGATTAGACATGGAATGGGTCGGGTCCAGGGAGGTTCTAAATGGGTCGAGGGGGGTGGCAAGGTAGGAAAGGATCTCTTGGAAAGAGATCTGGTCCCGGGTGAGGGAATTGAGGTCTATAAGGTCGGAAATTAGCGTATGTTGAAGCTGAAGAAATTGAAAACATGGACTACAGATGGAGCCCTACATCGCCCGATATAATCGAGAAACTTGCGGAGATCAGATGACTTTTTCGAGTCCGAGCTTAGCCCCGGATTCCTCCAAGCCCTTTTTTCCAGCGGAAGCCCGAGAGTGCCGGTGTATTCATCAAAGACCTACGTCCTTGTCAACTTATGGACGGGAATAAACATACTGATGCGGATGGATACGCAAACATACGCGATGAATGTCGCTTGGACTGGAGCGCGCTGCATAAAGACTAAGGAGGCGGGTTCGAAAGTATACACCAGATTCAAGAAAAAGGCCGTTGATCTCCATAACCGCCTGCGCCAAGTCCTCTATGACAGCGAGGGAAGGGGGCAATTGGGCCATCGAAGGCTTGAATACGTCTAGCAAGAAGACGGCCAGCTTGTGCTGGAGGGAACGCTCGTCTGCACTTCGGTGTGGGCAACCGGAGAATATCTATCCACAATTAGACCAGAATCCTGATATGTGGTGTAGCTGAGCGGCCTACCAGAAGGCTGGTACTTTCGTACACTTCTCGCTGCCTGGTATGGCATAATGAGGCCATCGCAAGAGCCTGGAACATCAGTGGAGTCAGCAAGCAGCGTGAAGCTCTCGAACCTCGTAGGATATCTCCAGCCACATAAAGACGACTTCACTTAGGAGTCTACGGTTGTCAGAAGCATCAGGACCCATGGCTCACATCTTTAACAAGGATCCCCCCCAAATCATGACCAAAAAACACAATCGAGCGCTTATCACCATGTCAGTCGGGATCCCAAACCGAGCCAGGGCACCGAACCATTGTATGCTCCTTTCTGATGGCCACCAACCCATCCAAGAGGCAAACTGCCGCATCCCGAATGACTGCGCGAGGCCGGAAACCGCACAGAATCGAGTCGGCATTGTACCGAAATGTCATGATTCTGGTCGTACTGGCATCAATGGCTTTGGCATAGTCCTCGACCCATCTGCTATTGCCCGACCCAGGGCTTTTGCGCTTTTGCAAACAGTCTGCCGAGCCCCCATAAAGACCGTGAACAATGACAATACTAGACTAGATCTCAGCAAACACTCAAGCCTGCGAGGTTGAAACTCACTCCACGCCCTCCTTAGAGGCCGCCCACTCGGGCCCAGATGTCCCTCCACCAGGCTGGTCAATAACTATTCCATCATGGTGGCCTACTGATGCGCGTCCTGGAAACCCAGGTGCCTCCGAGTGTTCCAAAGACGAAGGAGGTGAATGGGATTCCATTTTGATGCTGGGGGGGCAGTATTGGAGGAACCCCTTCACTGAAGCAGGTGGATTGCCGAAGCCTGCGTGACAAGCATCCGCAAATTCTGACCCAAGCGAGCGCGCGCATTGCCCCGGGACTCAAGGGATCCGAGCACAAGGTGATTTGGGAGACGACTCAGCTGGGTGACACCATTCTGATGCCTTTGTGCCAGGTGGGACGGGGCAGTGCTATGTCGAGGATCATCTGCCGTCCTCTCAAATCGGCATTGCCACCCTTATGGAGAGAGATAGATCACTATTAAAACCTGCAAGTCTCGAGTGGAAAAAAAGACATTGCCCGTCATAGTATACTGCATTCTCTAGTACACCGTCCATTTGTTCCAACCTGCTGCCTTTTGTTAAACACCTCAACGCCATGGATGACATTTGCGAGTATGATTCACGCTCCAGTCTGGTCAATGCTGGCCAGGACAACCAATCGGACGATGGAGAGCGTGTAGCCAGCCTCGAAGATGCCTCCTTTGGGATTTCCTTGGTGCCTGTTGGCTGTGCAAGTGGATATCACCTGCTGAATGATGCTCGCTCCCCCGACCAGCGTGAGATGATTACGGCCTATGATGGCAGCGTCTATTACGAGGGCAAAGCACTCGAAGTGATCCATGGGAACCTGTCCCCAGAATCCAACGCCTTTGCGACTCTCTTAGTGTATGAGTTTCGTTTCACTGGGAGACGACCAAAAGCCCGCATCACCTGGGCCAGTGTTTCATTCAAGTTTCGCAACTCCGACTCCAACTCGCCCGAGCTCAAAGTCCTCCAGTTCAGTCCAGATCACCAGGGCCCGCTCAGCCCGGTCGAACAGGAGTATGAGTCCAGCACCACGCTCAAATGGCATGCCAAAGCCGGTATTTCTGTGGTCAGCGGGGGTGGGGCCTACGATAAGTCCAATGTTGTTAGGTGCACCAAAACGAAAGACACCAAGGTTGTGGGAACCCCCATTATCACCCCCTTCCAACGAGTGTATGGGGTGAAATGGACCCTAGAAGAGAACGAAGCCAGTCAGGCAGGGGTGCCGGACCGCATTCGCACTGCAATCCTGTTGGAGAGGTACACCGAGGATCGATTCGAAGCTACGGTGGAAATCAACATGAACGTGAAAAATTGCTACTGGATGGAAAGGTTGGGCGGGATGAAAGACCAAAATGATCCAATTCTGTACAACCCTAGTACACCCCCAACGAACCACCTGGGCAGGGTGTACGACCGCCATCATCTGGCGGCTGTCGACCTGAGCTCCTTTTATAAATTGTCTCTCCGATAAGCCTTGACAGCTAGGCTGCTGGGACTTCGATTCCCATTTTGTACAAGGAATGCGGCGTGGGCTGTGCCGTGGGCTGGAGATGAGTGGGATTTGCGCCGAAGGGATGGAGGACAATGGTGACACCGAGCACCCATCGGACCGTCCGGAAGGAAAGGGGACAGGCTGAGCAGAGGGCGAGGGAGCAGCAAGGCTGAGCTACTGAATTACAATGTAACACATGGGAACCCATGGACTGAGAAACTCCCCGAGTATGTTCCTGACGTAGGAAATTCCAACCAAGCCTCTGGTTATGTTACACCCGACACCCTTGCCCACGAACCAGGGCATGTTACCCCTTGGAAGTAGGTAGAACTGGATGGGCCGAGTGGCTCATCTCGGGGGAGGGGGTGATTAGAGTCGTAACGATCAGAGGAGCTCCTCCCAGTCCAGATGGATGTCTAGAATGCATTACCACACCACCCAGACAGAAGTCAGGCATACGGCAGAATAAACAAAAGATGTCCTCCGATTCTTGGGTGAGCTGCCGACAGCAACTCATTGTGGAATCCGCGTGCTAACTGAGCATTCGAGTCGAGTGACGATAGCCGATCATCCAGCGATGATTCTGTAACGAAGGGTAGAGAGCACACACAACACCAGCTTGTGTCAAGCCTCAGCTCAGTCCTGAAGGTCCTCGGTGACAGAAAAAGGGGTCTCGACCCCAAGTGGCAGGAGCAGGGGGGGGCGCAGGCCCTCTTGCATGAGCGGACTGACTCGAGGGAGACAGTCTGGCACCTGCTGGCAACCTGGAGGAGAGAGCAACTCCCCAAGCGCCATCGTCTGAAATCCCTCGTACAATTCTTGGTGAAGAAGAACCCCGATCTTCTGGGTGAGCCGAGTAGTTATGGTGAACATGCCATTCACTCTGCGATATCCAACAGGCAGAACAGTCTAATTCAGCTGATTTGTCAAGTATATCAGCGTAGAAACGAGGGGAAATTGAATCATTTCCTTACTCAGTGTTATAGCAAGCATCTGTCCCTCCATCTTGCGATTGAGTACAATCTGGAAGCCCTTCCCGATCTGATTGATCGAGCAACCCCGGAAGCCCTGATTGTCCAGGATGGCGATGGAAACACGCCTCTTCACCGGGCAGTCGAGTATCGTCACTGTGGCCCAGACCGAGTTGCTCTCATCGAAACGATGGTCACCAAGTGCGACCATCTGATGAAGGGAAAGCCGGCTGAGTTTAATAAAGCTGGAAACTCACCATATGCACATCACATTCAGAGCAAACCCACCAATGAGACCGGCTGCGAAACCACTTCTCAACTCGAATCCACCGACGTCGATGGCAGGTGGATAGCAGCACATCTTGGCCGGAACGAGGGATTCGGCATAGAGGAACCCTCAACCCTCCCCAAGAAGAAACCCGGACAGCCTGGGAAGCAGAACGACGGCCACGAGTCCACCTCGATGCAGGCGAAAGACGTTCCAGTCCGCAGGAAACAGACCACACCCAGTGATGTACAGTCTGGAGGTACCCTCAACCCACAAATCACGACCACGGGACCCTCAAGCTGGGCAAAAAGCGTTGAAGATTACCTGAAAAAACACTATATCAGAACCAGAGGAGACATGGCTGCCGCCAAAATTCTGTATGAGATCAGGGATGGATCGGGTAAATATGCCACAATCCCAAAATATAAGGCCACATACTTCGACATCAGTGATAGAACGACAATCACCTACCGTGCCATTGAAAAAATCGCAAGTACTCTGGATTTTGAGGATACCCTACGGCTAGTGCACCTCCCAAAACTGGAACCTTTGTCATTCACTACACCCGCCAGGAAACCTGGCAAGACTGACATCGAGAAGGTCTTTGAGAACCTATTCAACGATGTCACTAAAATATTCAAGGTCACTGTCGACGATCTATGTGACCCCCCGTACCAGGACGCGGCCATCAAAGAGTGTCTGAAAGGCAAAAACATCGAGACCTGGGATTGGAAGAAGCTCGACATGTGCCCAGACGTTATCTTCGAGGCAGCACCAGGCCTTACAAAGCTCCATTTGTATTGGAGTGGTCGCAATGTTGTCCTTCATGGGTGGATGGGCCTTTGTCGACTAGGGCATGTGGAAAAGATCATTGTGCATGTGGAGCAGGTATGGATATTAACTTTCCAAGGACCCTTAAGTACTGTACTGTCTGACTCGAGCCTCTACAGGCTCCTGATGGTGATACATCTACCACTATCAACTTCAATAAGTTCTGCACTCATCTGCGCAGTATGTTTATGAAAGTTAGGGCCGAGGCCATTGCTGAGGTCAAGAATGACTGTATCCAAAATGCCATCCAGCAAGCTCTTGATAGGAGCATCAATCGGTGCTCCAAGAATGATGATCGACCGGCACTATATGACACCATAAAGCAATCTGTCCATCTTTTTGTCAGTGACGTGGCTCGCAAAACCAAAAAGGAACTTATCAAACACCTGGTACAACTGTCGGAGCAGAAAACGAATGGCGATATCCCGAGAAGCATCAAAAACTCTGAAAAGGTATTATGCGGTGCTATAAACAGGGTGGTCAAGAGCCTTGTTAAACAGGCCGAGGTCTCAGAGACCAATGACATGAACGAAACCCTCCTTCAAATATGGACCGTCCTTAGGGCCAACTGGAAAGGAGAAGCAAAGACAATTGGCCAGGCAATGGCGATCGACGCGTTGAGGTCCTTGAAGAATGTCGAAATATCGAGAGTGAATTCCGGGGCCTCCCCGAAAATTAACAATGATGCAAAGAAGAAGCCAGTTGATCTTGGACGAGAGAAGCATGGGTGGATTACATGCATGGAAGAATTCTCCAGCAAACTTCATCAACTAGACGGCCAAACGAAACATAAGCCTATTGGGCCAGTTCATGTAGCTCTCATCGATGACGGTGTGGCTATCCAGGAGCTGCCCATCGAATGCCCCGTGGGGATCACTGGATACAGCTGCCATACCCAGCCAGGCAGCCCTTCTAGCTCGCGGTCAAGTAGCCCTACTCGCTCCCGGTCAAATAGCTTTATTCGCACCCGGCCGCATTATCAGTCAAGCGGAGGTCATGGCACGACAATGGCTGTTCAAATATACCGAATCTGCCCCAAAGCCAGGCTACACGTCATCAAACTGGAGGACAACACCAACTCCAGGGATGGAAAACGGTCCATTACTCCCGAGAGTGCAGCACACGTATGGCACCTGCTTGCGCAATCTATACTCAAATTGCTGACCGCGCCAGGCTATTAACAACGCTATTGACAGCCAGGCCGATATTATATCCATGTCCTGGACGATTGATATTCCTTCTGACATTGACGAGAACCCCAACTTCAGATTGCTGCGGGAGGCGTTGCAACGGGCCGACCAGAGGAATATCCTCATGTTCTGCTCCGCCAGCGATCGAGGCGCCAATAACCCTGCCACATTCCCTGCTCAAGCCAGTGCCAATATCTTTCGGATTGGGGCTGCAAAGCAATCGGGGCAGATGGTGGACAATGTCGGTAGCCCGGACAACGTCGACTACACCTGCCCCGGGGATTCGGTTAACACCGAGTGGTTAGATCCCTCTGGGGTTATGAGGACAGACTGGCACACTGGCTCTTCGGTAGCGACGGCCCTTGCAGCCGGCCTGGCAGCTCTGATTCTCTACTGTGTTCAGGTACTTGTGGCCCGTGGCGACACTGAGGACGAGCTCCAGAAGGCGAGTGCTTCCCTTAAGAAACTCAAAACCCCCGATGGGATGAAAAAGGCGCTTGGTGTGATGCAGGATGATGCGAAGTATCTCGCCGTTTGGAATATCTTTAGAAGTTCGGCAGGTGAATTCAAAAGTCCGGATGTTCTAGATGAGGTTTTGAGGGTGGCAAGAACACTGTCTCCGGATTAGTTGGTGTCTGTTTCTTGTCTTTATAATCCATTCCAGTACTTCTCTCTTGACCCTCCATACAATACCATCCAACGAGGAATTCAATCAAATGCTTGCTTTTCCCACATTGTCGACTGTATCATTCATATTCTTCCTTATCCATGGTATCTAATGCTAGACCATCGCCCAGTCGTGCGTTCTAATCTACTCTCATACATCCACTACGTGTAAATCAAAATCGATCCCACTAACCATCCTTTCACAGCATACATACATATCTACATACATACATACATACATACATAGCACAGTAAAATCAATCATGGCTCACCACATCAATCTCACTCCACCACCTCATCGTCCTCCCCCTTCCCCCTAGACGCCAACCACACCGTCCCATTGCCCTCGCCATTACTCTCAAACTCCAACGACAAATTCGCCAAATGTCCCAACACCCTCCGCACAGCCTCATCCCCTATCCCGTTTCCCTCTGCCCAAATTATCCAATCAGGCAATTTTATTCAACACATAATACACCAAGGCAATCACGATCTCGACTCCAATACAATACCCCCAAAGTCTGACCACCGTGACGATATCCGTCCACCCGTTACTCATCTCTTTACTGATATACTGATCGTATAGATCAGTAATCATATCTCGATTCGAGAACCATCCGAACAGACAGAAGATTGTTGCTAGGACATCAACACCAAATATAGCAGCCACAAGAGGGAGGGAAGGCCAGGTAGAACTTCCTCTCATGACAAAGATAAGCCAGTTCTCGATGAGGGCAACTTCGAGAAAAATAACTTCTTAGATAGAGCCCCAGTTTTGGATTATACCGCCGTCAGGGAGAAAGAGTGTGGCGCGGATGATCCAGGTACCGATGGCGAGAAGAAGACTGAGTATTATGGATATGATCCAGATTTTGGAGAGTTGCCATTATACGGGGCGGAGTTCGTGGAAGGTATGATCATAGGCAACGGCCACGCTGGCGACGTCGGCGAAGAGTGCGAGGAAGACAACCAGATCAGTACAGATACTTTCGTTGAGGATTATCATTGTAGTGACGAGGTAGATTTCAAGATATAGGCAGAGGGCGATACGGTATTGGATGTAGGCTTTCATACGGTGGAAGATTTGGCGGGCGACCTGGAGGGGTTGTTAGGGTTAGACTGGTGGAGATGGGGATGGGGAGGGAGTACCTCGATTATGTCGATAATGGTGTATAGGCCTGGCTCAAGAAAGACAATGTCTGATACGGATTGTGCAGCTTCAGAGGCGCCCTCAACTGCAATTCCGCAGTCAGCCTTTTTAAGCGATAGTGCGTCATTAACACCATCTCCTGTCATGGCTGTGAGGTAGCCTCAGTCTTAAAGCATTTAAACAACCTGGTATTTATGTTCGGGGAACACTTCAGCAAAGCCGTCTGCTTTTTCTACCAATTCTCCAGCCATAGCGCCACTGAGTCCACCGCTGATCAATTTCTCTGAATTGTAGACCGTTATACCCAGGGCTAGCATTTTACATGTTTCTTTAGCAACCGCGATGGCATCACCGGTAAGCATCTTAACTTTGATACCAAGTTTTTGTGCTTCGGCAATAGTCTGCGCTGTATCATCACGCAAGGGATCAAACATAGATAACATACCTAGTAAATTCCAATATTCGCCTTCCTTTTGCACAGCAACGCCTAGAAAACGGAAGCCACATTATAAGAACTCAGTCGCTTTCTCTCTGTACATCTTCGCGGTGGACTCTGAGCAATGAGTCAATGCCAGGACTGCTTTAAGCGCACCTTTAATACATGTATATCACTCGCCGTTGAGGGATACATTGGCCACAATCCATTTTAAAACCGTGTCAAACAGAGTAAAGTTTTCTGTTTTCCATCCCTGCTGCAGGATCTCTTTAACTTTAGGATATTAATTGACTGACAGGACGGTCACTTTGTCAATAGGATCGGGAAAACGGACATTGTGGGATGACGCGAGAGCAGCCACGGCAAACATCCAGTTCACATCAACACCTTCGGCCACAAAGGGCTCGCAGATACTGAGTCGGTTGGCGGTTAGTGTTCCGGTTTTGTCGGAGCACAGAATGTCGACACCCTACTGAACTATTAGTATCTAATGGAACAGAGGGGATGATTTAATAGTCAGAAACCACTCCAGGATACCTACAGCAAGCAACTCAATGGCAGTCAATTTCTGAACAATGGCTTTCTTGTTCGCAAGGTACGCAGCACCAACTGCCAGAGTGGTGGTTGTGACAACAGGCAGTCCGACAGGGACTCCAACGATCAGAATGGACAATGTGTAGAAGAGAAGGGTCTGTTTACCAGGCAAAGCAATCAGGGTGTTTTGGAAGAAGCCGCCAATCCAGACAGCCAGCAGCCATGCCATGACAATCACCAACAGTACAGTTCCAATACTGTCCATAACCATCTGGAAGTGACCGGTGTCTTTTGCATTCTGTACCATCAATGCTGTGCATCCCACAAAGGCCCGTTTGCCTGTAGCTTGGACCGCGGCAAGAACATTTCCACGTTTGCATCCGGTAGTGTAAAAGACTTGATCACCAACGAATCGATGCACAGCAAGAGACTCGCCCGTGATGGCCGAGTGATCACAGGCCAGGATTGGATACCCTTTATCATCGTCGTCGTCGTCATCTGAACTGCCCTCATCATTGGACTTTTCATCCGACTTGTCGTCCAATTTCCCTTCGTCCTGCAGGTTCTGATACTCGCTCCATCCGGTATCCGCATCATCATACTCGCAATAACCTTTGCAACAGCCGGAACAGTTTGCCCTCTTCGACAACGATCTATTCATCCACCATACCATGAGCATCAAAGCACCAACACAAACAATTGAAAAGAAAAATAAAGAAAAAGGAAAATCAACTCACAGCATCACCCGGAACCAACTCCCTCACCCTCACCACAGTACTGCGCATGGCAATACCTGCCTTCAAACTGGCAACCACATCCTCCGCCTGTGTCTCCTGATACCACCCAACCGCAGCATTCAAACACAGTATACCAGTAATAACCCCGATACCAATCCAATCCTTGGACCCAGCAGCCAAATGAATCGCAAACTCCATAACTAAACGATTAGTACCTCCCCCAAACCCCATCTTCAACATGCCACCTGAGTAACAACTACTCACCACACAAAATCGGCACGACAACAGACTAGCCACCGGATTCTCCTTTTCTAAAGTCAACTAGTTAAATAAACCCCGCCGAGCGTCGTTGTCCCTCGACATCCGATTCCGACAACCCATGATGAATACCCGTGAGTCGCCAGTCCGAAGGAAACAGCCGACATGCGTCCATCGCAACCGACGTTTTTCCACGAGCCGTACCAGATACGGATCTCGCAGATCTCGCCGGATTTGGGCTGTTGGCGTCTTTTTCGCGGTAGGTTGACGTGAAGTGTACGAGGCGGGTGTATTCGTCCATTGTGGAGTCATTGTGGGAGTTGGTGGAGGGGCGGCGGGTAGAGGAGGAGGAGGCGTCGCGTTTGATGTCGGTGGTTGGGGACATTCTGGTTGGAGAGGAAAATAAGTGTGGTAGTGGTTATGGAGAGGGGAGGGACGATGGAGGAGAGCGTGAGGTGAGGTACACTGAGGATGAGCCTCAGAGGGTGCAAGTAGGTAGACAGGGAATGAGAGTTTGTATATAGCTCTCCATCACGTCTTATTGGTGTACAAGTCCATCCTGTTACCTTGATCAACGGTCGGCTAGCGGCACCCTCGAAGGTAGGAAAACGCATGACGTTGCGAGCTCTCCGCATGGTTGTGTATAATCGTACGAATGGTCGAGGTGTTTGCATATACCTGATCGAGCTCTTAGCGTCGTGGACCGCTATTAGCAAACCGGATCAACAAACTCAGGGAATACTTCACTTCCAAAACATTGTCAACAGTTCATAAATAAGATGAAGCTCTTCTGATGTAATGTTCAGGAGAAGCTATGAGTTAGACAGTGGGTGATGAGTGTGGAGGGGAAAAGCTTGGTAGGCACGGACCCACACCGCCGGTGGGGCATCCGCGGTTTATCGCCACGGCTGCCACGCACCAATCATTCCCACTGTGCTGGATTATGGTTATCGTGAGGATATCGACGAAAGTACGGCCGAGGGATCGAGTAATCCGTCCTACACTGTATGAATTCAATACGTAGCTAGGTATTATCCTGCTTTTTTGTATCCAATCCGAGGTAGGCTTCCCAGTTCCGATCACCAGATGATAGCAATCAATTCCAATCCTATCCCGTCCATACTCAAAACCTACCATATTATGGTAACAGACCCACGGTCCACTCAGGAACCTTCCCTTTGCACCAAGCCTCTACTACCACGCCCCATCCTTCCGCTCGGATATACGGCCTACGGGACCAAGCCACGATAAGCTGAACCCCAACCGAACATGTCGTAAAACCAGTTCAGTGTCGAAGCTTGTTTGCCCCTGTCACTTACTATATATGTATCCAATGCAACCAGTTATTCTGCGGGAATGTGTCGACATCACTGTTGATACGTATTGATATGATAGGTGTAATGTGATGACCTGTTAAGGATGATACAATGGTGATCGGGGAATGGGAGGAGCTAAGGTAGGGAGAGTATTTAATTCGCCTTTGGGGATGATTATCTACTCAGGGGTTATTATAGTGACGGTCGGAGTAGCCTCAGAGACTAGGATTTGGCTTGGTTTTCTTGACTGGTAAGGAAGAAGGATATCCATCACACATACCCCAGAATATTTCCCTTGAAAAGGACAAGAAAACTATGACACGCATTCGATCCAAATTGTATTGTTGTAAGTACCTCTTCTCTGACACATCACCATATAAATAGTTGATTATAACAATGATCGGCAGACCACCCATCACCATATTCCCTCACTCAATACCATCCACCATAAACCAAAATGTCTCTCATCAACCACCTCCACCCCCGCAAAACCATCGCCAAGCGAGGCTCGGCGAATGAAGAATCAGAAGCCATCCTCGATTTCGTGGTGATGGCATCCTGGCACTTGTTATTCAAAAGGCGTGGGGGAATCGTCAGGCGGAGAGGGCGGAGTGGGAGGTGGAGGAGATTAGGGATGTGGAGCAGGGGAGGTAGATTTAATCTTCTTTCTTCCCTGTATGGATAAGTTGGGGCCGTAGTTTTTGATCGCTCTTGGTTTGGATTAGGAGTTCTTTACGGTTGGAGGATGGGGATGGGGATGGGGGGCCAAGTTTATCCCAGGATAGTTTATCCCAGGATAGCTATCCATTTGAGGCTTTTTTATTTTTTATCATCGGACTGATACATACGAAGATTGACAGTAAAGGTCATTAAGTAAAATTGAAGTAGCAGTGAAAACTGAAATTAATGAAAACACGCAACGTTCATAACAGAAATAACAACGCGGTCATGGATACAGGCACAGAGAAGCAAGGTATCCAAAGTAATCAGGCCCTACTCTCGCCCTGAACTAAGTGTCGCTGTCGGCCTCATAATAGTCGTCAGTCCCATCCTCCCAATCCAGAGCGTACATGGCAAGTTGCTGAAGATGGCGTGCCACATGCTTCTTCCTATCCCAAGTACGCTCGAAACACAAATTGCAGACCTCCTCGGGCTCGCCCGGCTGGGGAACCCCAACATTCAGAGAACGATGGCAGAAGTAAGCAAGCGGCGAAGAGACCTTCTCATCATGGACCGCTAGGATGTGCTCCACAAACCCCTTTCGATCCTCGTAGGTTTCATGGCCGTGCTGGTTGCACCAATAGCACACTCCGTCATGTATTTTCTCATGTTCAATCCACTCCTCCATATTCTGGAAAAAGTGCTGGGACGAGTCGCACCGTGTATAAGTGCAGACATATGGCTGCAAGTCTTTGATGACATGCGCCCTGCGAGAGATTAGCTCGACTCGAGACCGAAGGGTTCAGCACTTACTCCCAGGCACGAGGAATGTCAATCCGGACTGGACGATAGCAATAACCGCATTCAAACTCTGTCATCTCTCCTTCTTTCAATTCGACCGGTGGAAGCGGCACCTCAAGGGTCAGATCCAAGTCATCAGAAGGGCTCGACAAAGTCAGGTCAGGATTGTTGACCGAATCCAGGGTCTCCGACAGCGCTTCCACCGGACCTTTCTCCTTGCGTCGATCACACAAAAGCTGGCGGCACCGAGTGATCATCTTTCCCAAGCGGCGCTTGACATCATCGGCGAGGAACCTATTGTCGAACTTATTCTGGACCAGCAGGACATCCCAATCCTCATAGAATGCCGCTTCTTCGTCATAGGCGCCATTAGGTCCATCGGCCGCCTCGAGATCGTCCAACCCTAGACTCTCAAGATCTTGCATAACCTTGCGCATGTCATTCACAGCCACCTGCAAATCCGTTGCCTCAGGAGGATCCGACTGAGCGGTCGATTCCGAAACACAACCCTCCGATGCCGATGCCGAGATGGTAGAGACCGTATCACCATCGGAGTGATCATAGCCGTCGCACGGCACATACTCCTTGTTGTGTGGCCGCGCCATTTGGCAATCGCCGTCGTCAAACTGTCCATCTTCCCAGACAGTGAGGCACTTCTGGGTACACTGGGTAGAGTTTGTCTCCATGTCCACAACATTAGAGACTTTCAAGACGCATTTTTCAAGAAGAGCCAGCTGCTTGGGAATCTAAAGAACGGTTACGGTGTGTTACATCAGTGAGTGGGAGTACACTGACAATCTCTCTCAAACTAGACGCCTCCCTGAGAGTCTCATCCAATGAATACTCAGGAAGTCCTTTGCCGTAGGCAGCCCCGACGCGATACGCCCAATCCTTATAATCAGCAACGTCTTTGATCACCCCCCTGTGATAGGGGCCTTCGTATAAAAGGGTTGCTTTCAACAGACCATCAAAGGCATACTCGCAATCACGGTATGCCTCGAAGATCGACGACATATTTGCTAAGGTTCGCAGGTAGCTTGAGTGGGACGAGATGAAAGTAGTAAGTAATAAGAAGAGATTCAAGTGCGGTAGATCGAAGTTGGGTTGGTAAGTACCGTTGTAAATGGGGAGTGTAGCAGTTGAGGAGAATGGGAAAAATTTTGGTCTATATAGTACCTGATGATGAGTAATGGGAGGGGATTCATCTTTACGTAGGTGAGTGTCTGCATGAAGGCTTGGCGGGGCAAGTCCCTCGTCATCCAATGCACCTGCCGCATTGACAGAGGGCCAGGCATGTGGCTCAATGTGAATAACACAAGCGATGTCTGTTTCATCCGGTGTCGTTTCATCATGGTTGGCAGATGATCCATTCACACTGGCAAATTGACTTGTATAGTGTCTCAGCGATAGCGGCCATCGGGCATGTGTTAATGACACTGAAACACAACAGGATTAACACAATATTGAGTACAGCGAGGAATAACACTATAATGACAACAATGGGGACAGCCATATTCCAGCTATAACACCCAACCTTTTATTAACTCCTCGTAATGTACATGGAATGCTATGGTATCCTGTCAGCATATCACAGTCCATAACTGACATAATTATACTCTCATCAAAAATGTGGTACAGTGGTAAGCGTAAAAATAGAATCCTATGTCATGCCGAGCCTTTGACTCTTCCCATACAACACAGAACACAAAAGTGAACCGCGGATCCTATGCACCGGTGACATATCTGACCCGCATGCACTGAACCACGGCCACACTTATTTTTCGCCACATCATTTCTATACAGAATCCTTGTTGATTGAGAAATTGCACTGTAACGATATCATATATACGACACGGGCAGGTCTAAAATTGAGGCCGAAGACGGCTAAAATCTAGCTTGTGTACAGCGCTGAAGGAATGGGCGAAACGAGCAAAAGGTAGAAACAGAGAAACTCATCAGACACACCGTAAATCCCACACAGGTTGACCAATCAGAATCCAGAGTGCCATTTGCCTGGGTAAAAGCATTATATCCAGTGGTACTCATCGCATCGCGACGAGCGTTGCTGTAGCTTGTTACCTCTGAGTCTCATTGGACATGGGTTCATAGTCCTGAGTAAATTCTTAAGTCTACCGAACACCCAATCAGCCACGAGCCAAGAGCATCAGCCGTGTCGAGTGGGTCATGCTCGGCAGGCCCTGCCTAAGGATTGGCTCAGCGTAACCCCGAGGGGGCTGAGTTGTGGCTCCGCTCGGATTCAAAAGCCAAGCCTCCCCCACATCTCTTGGATCTCACCGATCTCGTTACCCTTCTGAGAAGTCATATCCCCAGAAGTGCCATGGTGTACCGAGGAAAGCCCGGTCTGGGCTGTGAGTTGTGCCGCAAACGACGCCTAGCTGTACGTACCTCCCCGTCTGTCCAGGTGCATGCTTGGCACTCGTTGACCCTATAGTGCGATCGGCGTCGGCCATCATGCTCGCAATGTTTGCGAATCAACCAGGAGTGCTCCGGCTATCGAGATCCAAACACTCTGAGAATCCTTGATCAGACCAACGAGGTCGCGGTGAAGGCCCACGCCCGACGCACTGCATCCAAATCACCTCCTGCCGATCGGTCAACTCCCCCAGCAGCTCTACTTCCTCCACCTACCTCCCCGGACGAGCAGGCCATGTCTTACGTCTTCAACTATTATGTTGGTACTTTGAAAAGCCAGGGGGTGATGCCATACCTATCGGACCTATTGCGTGGAGACCCCTCTCCTGCGCTGCAGGCCACAGTCAGGGCGGTAGGGCTAGCGAACATGTCGAGAGAGCCTCAATACCGGCGATTGGCAAGGAAAGAATACGGCGTCGCCCTGCGTGCCACCAACGACGCGCTAACGCATTCAGTCTCGGCAACGTCCGACTCCACTCTGGCAGCGGTCCTGTTGCTAAGCACCTATGAGGTAAGATTTCCCCCCGGTAGGCCGAACCTCTCTAATCCATGCACAGATGATTACCTGTAGTCCATGGGACAAGCTAAGTGGGTGGAATAATCATGTACAGGGTGCCATCAAACTCCTCGAGCTAAGGGGTCTGGAGCAACTGGACTCGCGCGCCGGGATGGAGTTATTTACCACCGTGCGTTTCCAAAGTGTGGGTCAGCTGCTCCCGAAGCTTTCTTTCTCGTCTGATGTGTTTTTGCAGGCTATCAGCAGCATATTCTACCGAATCTCGAGCAATAATACGCCAAGAATGGCGGAATTATCCATTGCCGCCCGGTCCAAACGGAACCCACATTTTCACCCAATCGAAGACTTTTACGATATCCTACTCAGACTGGGTGACCTAGCTGTTCGCGTTGAAAGCGCACATCTGGGTCTTGATTTTATCAAGAACCTACGACACCTTATCGACGAGGCTATTCTCCTTGACGCGGATATGGAATTATGGCGCACATCGCTGAGTCCATTCTGGTATTATACCATGGTGGAAATCCCGCACACCCCATCCAAGAACCAACCACATTTTCCCCATCGCGGCGACAAATATCACCTTTATCATAACGTCAACCTCGCCTCCATCTGGAACAACTACCGTCAAACCCGGATCGTGGTGAACGAGATGCTTCGATTCATGTCCCTCCGGATGTGGAGGCTCCAACGAGCACCCGAATATCAACAGACGATGTCCCAGTGCATGGAGACTATCCAGCAGATGGTGGATGACATCTGTGCTAGCATTCCATATCATTTTATATCCGGAGAGACAGGGTTTGGAGCCTCGATCCGGTTGCTGTGGCCTTTGTATATTGCGGGGAGTTCCAAGTGTACGGATTCTTCCACCCGAGAGTGGATTGCGCAGATTCTGGATGTCATTGGAAACACTGTGGGCTTGCAGCAAGCGCTGAGTATGGCGCAGATTGTGAGAGAAGAGGCTTCGCTGGATGTGATTGCCGGGAAATGCAGCTAGTCATTTCTCTCTGGTGGATTATTTGGATCAGGTCGCTTATTGTATAGTCATCCTGGCAGTTTAGTCTGGCGTGTGCTGGTTCATTCGCCCTAACACTCACAAGTACCTGGTTAAATAGAACTCTAGTAACTTGGGCCTCGACGAGTCACAATCGAGTAGCCATGTCTAAACCAACCTTTCTTTGGTATTCTCCATCCTTCTCTCGCGACAGACAACAGCACTGATTACGATGAATAAAACTAAACATGCAAACTAAAGGCCGAGTGAAGCACGAGGGTCAGCCGCGCGACGATCATACCCGAATATGGCAGTCAGGCACTAAGCTGAGATCTTCAGATGAATATAGTATATATTCTGTGACTGATAGTCGGGCATTGCTTGCTATGTCAACACTACCTGGGATTAACTCTTAGTGAGTCCAATACGTTAAGGATGGATACAGAGACTGGAGTATTCAATTCTACTGTCGCATCCTTCAATGATTATGAGCTCGGGTGAGCAACACCCGGATGACAGAAACAGTGAAAATGAAGATTGATAAGCAATGATACGCAGTACAGTGAACTGTGTTACCGTCAAGATGTCCAAACTATATCTGACCAAGAGGGAGCTTTTACACTATCAGCGCTTCTGATTCAAGCAATGGCATTTCACTCCTGGGATAAGAATCTGCGCAGTGATGGTGGAATATATCAGGCTGAGATTTATACTATTGAGGTAACTCTGTTTGTGGGACCGATTTCGCGAGTGGCACTGACTCGATGGTAAGATCGCTCTGGTTCTCCTTCACAGTATTCCATGCCAGCTTTGCTTTTTGACTGAGATCTATACTTTGGAACGTAGTGCATCCATGACTGGAATGAAGGATCATGGCCTAGCAACTACGCATTATCACCGATGCGATAATAGTATATCTCCAAGTATCAAATGACCCGCACTTCGGGTGAACTTCTAGCCATGCTATCACCCATCCCGACATAAACACCTCGCCCCCATCCCATCCCAGCCATCTTAATCGTCCATCCCCCTTCCACACCCTCTTACTAAGGTACAACCTGGACCCTAACAAGCCATCAAACCCCCAATGCAAGAATCGCTACCCAGAATCCCTAAACATCAACCACGGGATCGGCTGCTACAACATCAACAAAAATAATCGGTATCAGATGCGATGAGTAAAAGCGAATTTCGATTCCAATGGATACCGGTTCACCATTTACCCGGAAGCGAATTGCAATGGACAGGTCCATTGGTCCGGATTGGTGGTGGTCGTGGTGATGGTTGAGGCTAGGGAGGGAGTTTTGTTGGAGATCGGGTGGGTTGGTATCTTGATCATTTGTGGAAGGGTTAAGAGGGGAGGATTTGTACCTCACATATCGGACGTTGTGTATAGTATTATGGGCTTTGGAGTATTCGGCATCCAGGATGTTGATCATTGGCTCCACCTAAATCATGGTAGATGGCATATGAACGTATTGTGGAATCACTGCCTAGTCAGTATGGAAACGTTACACCTTCATCCATCGACTCATCCAGTCGCCAGTCTTCCCCTTCTGATGGAAAGGTCCCATCGACACCCCCGGCCACTGGCTGCATCTGGCCCATGCACATGATAGGCGTGTTTACCACCGGAAACGCTCGTGATGGGTCAGTCCTCCCGGCGGATTCTTCGGCATACCATGACTCCCCGTATGTGGGTCCAGCCACCCAGCTCCCCAGCGAAGGTAAGATAGCGGCTGAGCCCGGGCCCCTTTGAGGCTCCATCATAGAAACTGCCTCGGGAGCCTTCGTGGGCTTTTGGTATGGAACACGCCAGAGGTTGAATGCTGCCACGGACGGGCTCTGCTCGTCGATCGGACACGATTTACTACTAGTCGGGTCGGTGAAACCGAGTGCCTCGAGGTCGGTCAGATAAAGCTTGTTTGACGGCACATCGTAGTGCAGATAGCTGGGGTGTTGTTGGAGCAGCAGATAGCCTTTCTTGCGCATCTTCCTGTGCGTTGCGAACATTCATTAGTAAGACAAATCAATCCATCCCATAGATGGCCCATTGACTTACTCCAAGATATTGGCGAGCTGGGTTCGGATACTGTCAAGCTGGCCATTGGTGAGCTTGTCTCGGATCTCATCAATGTTCTCCCCATAGGGAGTGTGCATGACGATGAAGTCGACATAACCGCCAGGATAAGGCATCCACTCGGGCTGGTCTTGGGTTTCAATAGCGATGACTCTTGGTCCGACTCGGGCATTAGCCAAGAATTTCGTTGCATCAACCTCATGACAGTAGTGTTCCTCGGCGATCTCCAACATCTCCTTGGGATCGTCGAGATCAAAGTGTTTCGGGTTCAGTTCATAGCGGACTTTGAGGTGAGCGGATGATTTGTCGTTGATACACATAATGTTTGCTATAACATGGCGTTGGCCAATTCTTTCATCCAGAACCTCGGAGAGCTGCTTTTCGGCCTTGAGCTTCTTCCCGGCGATGTCGAAGATACGCCCTTCCAAGTTGCAGGCCCACATGGTTGGTTGATTGAATGTATGGTTTGGTGTTCAGTGAGAATGGAGATGGTGATGGAATGGCTTCTGATGGAAAAGCAGAGAGTATGGCTTTGACTTGGTGTCTGAGGATTGTAAGTTGTCAGGTTAGAAGAATACTGTTTGACATGGGAATTGACATGAGTCACCGCCAGTGACGGGAAGAGTCCATCATTTACCATGACATTTAGGTCGTATCATCATGACTGTGTCATCAAAATTTCTTCATACTTGTGTTAATAGCCTTTATACAGCTCCTATCAATAGATTTGGGTTAATAGCCTTAACTTTATAGGCAGCTCCCATCAACATTTCGATCTATACAGAGAATTAGGGCTTGGCCTGCATCTGGGGAGGTATCCATCGGGGACAACAAAATAGCCATGACTCGCAACTGCCAACTGCAAGGGTGCAACGGGTGGAGGCCTGAGGTCGGCGGTCGGAGAGTTGCCATCTCCGATCAGGTGATGCACGTTACCATCCATACAGTCTAGTCGGGTTGGACACCATCATCGCGTGCCACTCCTCCGCAGTCACCCATGATCGCAGACTTTGCAACCATGCCATATCATCTATAGCCAAATACGGGGTCTCCCGCAGTGCCTCTTCACGCGTTCGCACCTTCATATGAGGAGTGTGGGGCCTACAAAGTGCACAATATTAGAAGAAAACTGGGCTCGAAATGACACTTGTTACTTACCAGTCGCTCCCCCAAAGTATCTGTTGCGTATTGGCATCGAGAAATGCCTGGACCAGTGGTTTCAGGTCCGTATAATGTGGTGCCTCGAAACTCACCCGGTAAGGAGCGCTGATTTTCACATACAACAGTCCAGCCCGGACGAGGCCCATGATCTCCTTAAACCCGACCTGTTGAGTGATATCTCCCTTGCACTTCGCAGGCAACATACTAGCAGCCTTGAGCAATGCAAAATGATCAGTCACTAGGGGAATACCTGTAGGGACAATCTCCTGCTGGATCATGGGCGCCAGATCTCCCCAGAATTCGGGATGCACATGGGTGAATGCCATGCTCCAACCAGGACAGTGAGGTGTAATGACCCGGGCGTGCTCACGTAGGGCCTGCTTCTGTCGTTCCACATCATGCATCGCCTGATACTTGTATAAGTTGACTCGGATACCCCGGATTCCTTTGCTGTGCATCTCCTGGAGCTCCTCCGGTGTTATCGTATCAGGGCCGATGACCCCGATTCCTTTGGTTCCTGACTCACCTAGCTCATGGACAAATGTCTTGAGCGAGGTGCAGTCCGACCCATAAGATAGACCGTGGGTGAGAACCGAGTTCGTAATGCCAATTTTCTTCTTGAAGTCGAGAAATTGTTGGACCGTAGCAGGAGGCGGAGTGAGGTGTCTGTCTGGCACATACGCAAACTTGGCCGCTGTCGAGAAAAGCAGATTAGTATCACCTCCATCCTCATGGTTATACAATAGGAGAGATCAACCGCACGCTCAAATATATGGTGGTGGACGTCCCAACCCCCGTGGGGGAACAGTCCGGAGTCAGCGTATGGTTGCTTTATGATGGTCATGGTGGACCTGGCAAGGCTGCGAAGACGTGAGACCATTGTGTTTGGTTCACTCTGTGGTCTCTGGGGGGATCTTTTTATCTCCGGGAGCAGGATCCGCCAGGACTGGTTGCGAATGGAACCCTTCCCGAGGGTGGATTACTCCGGGCTGCAGCGACAACCAGAGCCGGAGTGACCCCATCCCCGCGCACATCTCCCCACACTGCATCATGTTCTGGTTCGTTGAAGAAAAGCTCCATTCGGCACTCACACAGGTCCACCGCTTAAATGTGTCGTTGGCGTTGGCATGTTCACGCTCGATTATCGTATTCCAGGCACGTCGGTTTCTAGGACAACTTGAACATCCTGTCTGGCTTGAAATACTAGAACTTTCCTTTCACTTTTGTCTTGGGGAGACATCGTATCCTTGAGGTTAGAGTCAGATCCGTCGGGGTTAGTGGGTGGTTCGTTGTTGGGGAAATCGTCCTGTCCGAGAGATATATATATAGTTGAACCTTGGAGTGACTAGAATGAGCCTTATACATGTGTATTTCATTGAGACAGCAGCAGAGCCATACCGCAAGATGAAGTCTAATCCGGTGCCTGAATACCCGACGGCAGAAACAAGGAGGATGGATGAGTGTGGGTGGTCGGCAGCAGGCGGAAAAGCGGATCATGTGCCTCGCCCAAGGCGTCGCCTCCATCCCGCTTCCCCACACTCCCTCCCGATCGCACGTTGCCAGTCTGGCCAAACCCGGCTTCATTAATGATTACATATTGCCCCCCTCTCAGTTCCTTTCTTCATCATGAGTGCGCGAGACACGGAACCACCCACACCTCCCCCTCCGAAGAAAGTCCGAATCGCTTGTCGCCGATGTCGAGCGAAACGCGTCAAGGTGGGCCACGTTCATGCTGCCAAGGTGATTTGCGCGTCTGCTGATACACCCCGGAGTGTGATGGCGGCACCCCGGCCTGCAGCAATTGCTCCCGAGCCAGTGTTCCTTGTGTCGATGTCGATGGCCAGAATCGCGACATCTTCATCCCTCGAAAGTGAGATTGGAATGCTTGTGTCCGACCGCGCTGACTTTTGGTTTCTCAGCTTTATCACACAATGTTGCGCCAGGATAAGATGGCTGGAGCAGCAGATTCAGATATTAGACCCCGAGTTCGACTTGACCAAGGGGCCATCGGTAAATGGGACTCAGGTGGACATGTCATCGCAGTCTAGTCCAGGCATACCCAATAACAATCCTCCCAGCATGTCAGAGACCCAGCCACAGAATCATGACAAACCAATCACAGGGAAACGAACATACGATTCAGTGGAGGGACTTGAACTTGACCGGCCCCTACCGGCTGAAGCATCCTCGGTCGCGAATGTCCTGGGAATGCTGTCGCTCCATTCAGATTCCAGACAGCAGCACTATATGGGCTCTTCGTCGGGCCTATTATTCACGAAACTGATTGGAGCGGGCAGAGAAACACAGGAAACAAGCCACATATCCCACACGGAAACTACCTACGGTGAGCGATCTTCAGCATCTCAGATATCGATGACAGCGTATCACTCGCTGTACTGGACATTGGCAAAGGTTTGAAATTCTCCCTGGCTCGACCACCGCGGTTCTGATGAGATATAGGAGCTGCCCGCACCCGAGGAAGCCGGAATTCTCCTTGGGATTTATTTCCAGCATATCCACATCGACCAGCCATTCCTACACCCCGCTTCGCTCGCCAACGCGTACTGGGCGTTGCATGAGAGCACGAAGATGGAACGTCCTGGAAAACATGACAGCAACGGATGGATGGAGGGCATACGGCCCTTTGAGTATAATGGAAAGATAGATGTTGTTGAGGGCAAAGAGTCCACCCCGATTTCGGTCTTCACAGCCGCATTCCATGTTTTCATGGTGTTTTCTCTCGCAGCAACGGTCCTCACGCGCAAGAAGAACTTTGATCATTCTCCCACACGGTTTTATAGATTGGCCATCGCCGAAGCATCCGACTGTTTTTCTTCCGTCTCTGTGACTGCTTTGCAAGGCATACTGCTCCTCGCAGTCCATAGTATGGCATGCCCAGCGGGTCTCAATATCTGGACGTTATCACACATAGCAATGTCTCACTGCATCGATCTGGGCCTCCATCGGGAGCCGGACCCCTCAAGTGCATCGAAAACATCTCTGGCAATTAATAGACTGATATTTTATACCGTCTACTCGCTTGATCGGTAATCTCGCATCTCCTTCTTAGCTTCTCGACTGACTTCAAATAGATCTATATCCACTATCCAAGGTCGTCCCTTGGGTATCAGGGACGAAACCTTTGACATACGTTGTCCGAAATTGGACGATATCACAGACGAATTGCTCGGTATCGCAAATCGCAACATGAATATATCAACACCGTCAACGGCTCACATGTCATTATCCATCCGTCGGTTTCAATTGGACCAGTACATCTCCGAGATAAAGCTCCTGTTCTATCATTTACCCAAGGAGCTTAGGCCATTGGTGTGGCCGGGAGACCTTAAAGGCCTCCAAGCACGTATTAAACTTGATCTCGACGCATGGCTGACTGAAACGTCCGTTATTCTACCGCCTGCTAAATGGGAGGGGGATACCCTGCGCTTTCAGCATGAAAAGCTCAAGTTGGAGACCTTGTACCACTCAGCAATCACACTCTTGTTTCAACCATCCCAGGTCTTTCGTTCGCCATCGCAAAGCGCTCTCCAACAGTGTTACCAAAGCAACAGACGGAAGATACGCATCTACAACCATCTCAACACGGAGGATCAGGTCTATTACAGCTGGCGAAATATTCATGGGATCTTCTCTGCAGGTGCGACCATGGTCTATTGCATCTGGGCCTGTCCCGCCCTTCAGGCCGCAATTCCGTTTGCCGAGGTGTTGTGGGACCTACGAACATGCTCAAACCTGCTCAGTATTGGTGGTCAATGGTGGCCTTCGGTTCGCAATGGCAAGGGAAGTTTCGATCAAATTGTGGATCTTACCATACGCCGGTTAAGCCGGTCACAGCCCCCTTCCCCGCGAACGCGGCGTCGACTCGAACCACCAAGTACTGACATAAGCGGTCAACCTGATATCACCCGCACGAACTTGGATACAGATATATTTGACCGGGGGATGCAGGTTGTTGGAGAGACATCCAGCTACCCCATGGGTCTCGGGGACCTGTTGGGTGAGAGATCCCCCAAGCCCACAGGTGAGGATTCCATCTTTTATTCCATCCGAAGAGCCTGTCTGGCTAATAACAGCGTATTATCCGCTCCAGCAAACTATGCGAGTCTTTCAATGGAGGACCCCGGGTTGTTGCCCCCCGACACGACCTACCTGGATGCTTCTGACACCGCTGCTATTGATTCCGCCATGGAAAGCTTTCTGGCAGAATTCGTGCATGGAGACTGGAGCTGGGACCCATTCGCAGGAAGTACTGTCCTGTAGGAGCAACCAGTAGGCCAATGACCATCTCGAAGACTTGCAGGTAGCTGCAGCGGGTACCTAAAGACCCCAGGCTACTTGGTGGATTTCTCGGATACATCGGAGTAGATTGCGCAATAAGTGTGTCACATTGCAGTCTCACTTTCAACAGGACATACGACTCAGCGAACGCAGACTCAGGACTGCTTATTTCCTTAGTCGTTTGATTGTACTTCCTATCTCATCGCCGCGTTTCAAACAACGTCGCGTCTCTTCGTCAATATCATAGCGTTCCTGGCAGAGACGCACACACTCCTCTGCACTATCTGGTGGAACAACAACCACCCCATCCGCATCGCCAAGAATATAATCGCCGGGATTGATGACCACCTCTCCTCCATTCTCGATATTCTCGTAGGTCACTGGAACATCCAACTCGGAAGAACGGGTGAATGTATTTGAGCCTAAGATGCTAATGCCGCGTGCGAAAAGGCCGATGCCGAGTTCGCGATGCTCATTGATATCGCGAAACTTGCCGTCAATGATGACTCCGGCAGCACCACGTTTCTGAGCGCGGGTACTCATGAGGCCTCCCCAGCAAGCACTGATCAAACCCTTTGGTTGCGACACGAATACGACGCTGTTCTGGGGAATGGCATCGGCAAAGTGAACTTTGGGCGTCGGGGGAGCCTTGTCGGCGGCATGAACCATCTTCACGGTGTACGCGGGACCGAAGATCTTGGCAGTTGATGACATGAGGCCGGGAGAGTACATTGTGAGACCCGACAGATAGCCGCCCTGAGGGACACCGAGCTTGACGAGCGCATCTCCGACCTAACATGGTTGGTTTGAAGACGATGAAAGCAGGGAGTGACTTACATCGCAGGACGTAAAGCGTTGCAGGGCGCGCAGAACATTAGGTTTGACCGCCATTGTGATGGTCTCGAGTGACTGGAAGTGATTATGGTATGTACGGTGACCAACGCTGGTGTTGGTTAATGTCCCCGGCTTGGGGGAGTCCGAGCCGGCACTCTCTTCCCCGCGTTCTGGAGCTTCTGGAGCAGTCCGGGTGGCGATCGGAGCACTCCGGACCGGAATCGGACCATTCCTGCTGGGCCGGATCAATCGAAGCATCTCGCATTGGCTCCACTGCCAACCCAGGCGATGATGGCCTGGAGGATCATTCTTCGTTCTTTTGTGTTTGCTGGTTAACGCAACCTCAACAACCGGCACGATGCAGCGCTTTTGCCAGAGAGTGTCCCGAGCAAATCTACACCAACCCCGGTGCCGCGATGGAGCCCGGGGTTATGCGACAAATCTATCGCATGGCCCGGTAAGTGCTGCAATGCAGTCAGAAGTTCCCTACTGATGGTGGCGATGGATAGATTTTCGGTGTCGACTACGGAAAACAAATCCGCGCCCTTGACGCGCTCAAGAGGGGATCGAAGCGCCCGTTGACCTTGGCGGAGAAGACCCTATACAGTCATATGTTTGATACGGAGAGTGATCGCTGGAGTATAGAGGAGATCACGCGCGGGAAAACCATCTTGGAATTGCGCCCCGACCGCGTTGCCTGTCACGATGCGACCGCGACAATGGCTTTGCTGCAATTCATCAGCGGAGGACTCCCGCGAGTCGCGGTGCCGACGACTGTGCACGGCGATCATTTGATCATATCAGAGCATGGCGCAGAAAAGGACATGAAGCGAGCAATCACTGAGCATGCAGAAGTTTATGACTTTCTGAGTAGCGCTTCGAGAAAGTATGGAATTGGATTCTGGAAACCCGGATCGGGAATCATCCACACGGTGATTTTTGAGAATTATGCAGTGTATGACTATCCTCAAGATACCAGGACCATTGCTGACGTGGATCAGACCAGGGGGCTTGATTATCGGCACGGATTCCCACACCCCAAATGCGGGTGGAATGGGCATGCTGGGAATTGGCGTGGGTGGCGCCGATGCCGTGGATGCCATGTCGGGGATGCCCTGGGAGTTGGTTACGCCGTATGTGGTCGGGGTTAAACTGACGGGGGCACTTCAAGGATGGGCATCGACCAAAGACATCATCTGTAAACTGGCGGGGATTCTCGGGGTGTCGGGTGGCAAAGGTCGAGTCATTGAATTCTTCGGACCGGGCACGCAGACGCTGGGGGCGACGGCCATGGCGACCATCTGCAACATGTCGGCGGAGATCGGATCGACCTCGTGTATATTTCCCTACTCGGAGGCGATTGCCCGTTACCTGACTGCCACCGCACGCGGTCATGTCGTCCCGGCAGCTGAAGCTGTCAAGGACGTTCTGCTTACCGCAGACCAGGGATCGGAAGAGTACTATGACCAAGTGATTGAGATCGATCTCAGCACGCTGGAGCCACACATCAACGGCCCATTCACTCCGGATCTCGCCCACCCCATCTCCAAGTTGGCAACAGCGGTATCGCAGAGCGACTGGCCGGTAGATCTGAGCCATGCCATGGTGGGTAGCTGTACCAACAGTTCGTATGAGGATCTGGACAAGGCCCGGCAGTTGGTGAACCAGGCCCGTGCGGCAGGATTAACCAAGTTCAAAACTCCATTTTTAGTGTCCCCAGGTAGTGAGACCATCCGGGCCACGGCCGAAGCCGATGGCATTCTGCAAGACTTCGAAGATGCCGGCGCCATGGTCTTGAGCAGCTCGTGCGGACCGTGTGTCGGGTCCTGGGATCGCAAGGACGTCGATGTCCGTGGCAAGGAAAAGAATTCGGTCATCTCCAGCTACAACCGAAACTTTGTCGGGCGCCATGACAGCAATCCGGCCACTCACTCATTTGTCACGTCCCCAGAGTTGGTCACGGCCTTTGCCTATGCCGGCCGCCTCGACTTTAACCCTCTCACCGACAGTATCCCCGTCGAGGGGGCTTCCCCGCTGCGCTTCAAGGCTCCTGTGAGTCAGGAACTGCCCGCCAAATTTGATCGGGGTATAGATTGCTTCCAAGAGCCTCCGTCTGACGGCTCATCCTTGTCGGTGACCATCGACGAGCGATCCGAGCGGCTACAACTTCTGCAGCCTTTTCCGGCGTGGAAGGCTGGAAACGCGACCGACGTGGAGTTGCTGATCAAGGTGAAGGGCAAGTGTACTACCGATCATATCTCCCCGGCTGGTCCGTGGTACAAATACCGGGGGCATTTGGAAAACATCAGCAACAAGATGTTCACGACCGCAACCAATGCTTTTCTGGGGAACAGCCCGCAAATGCTCGGGCACACGATCCACCCACTGACGTCGGAAGTCGGGCTTGCCCATGAAGTGGCCCGGGACCTGAAACGGCGTGCAGTCCGGTGGTGCGTGGTGGGGGACCACAACTACGGCGAGGGCAGCTCGCGGGAGCATGCCGCGCTGGAGCCTCGCTACCTCGGTGGCGTTGCCATCATCGCTCGGTCTTTTGCCCGGATTCACGAGACCAACCTGAAGAAGCAGGGGATGCTGCCGCTGACATTCCGTGATGCAGCTGACTATGATCGAGTGCAGGAGGGGGATCGGATCACGTTGATTGGAGTAGAGGATGAGCTGCAACCGGGTAGTGAGGTCACGATGCGGGTTACTCCGCGCAAGGGAGAGGTCTGGGAAGCTCCATTGAGACACAGCTACCATGCCGGGCAGCTCCCTTGGCTGCGAGCTGGTAGTGCATTGAACCATATTAAGGCTACCGTCCATGCTTGAGTGATATTTGTGGCGTGTATTGGAGTAGCGGAATATATAGGACGAATTTGAGTCTGCTATGCTTGCAACTGACCCGGACATCTGGTCGACGATACCAAGGAGCGTACCACAGGCTGTACTCATGGGTAGCTCCGGCCGGAGTAGCCCAAGCAAGCCCCAGATTCCCTCGGGTGTACCCCGGATTTGACACCACTTGATGGATTGGCTGATGGGTGCATCCACGCTGATCAGTGCTACGGTGCTTGGCCAAACGGGGTATATAGATCCTCTGCTCTGTCCAAAGCTTGGCTGGATCTCAACCCCCGACTCACCAACACAATACCTATCCCGTGAGTCTATACTTCATTCACCATGGGAGCAGCTGGCGGTGGATTCTCCCCTGATGCCTTCAAACGCGTACCTCCGGCAGCCCGACGACCATATATCTGGCTAGCCGCCATTTGGGCCTCATACTGCGGCGGCCTGCACGGGTTCAACACGGCCAACATCTCCGGAGCGATGCAGATGAGCCAATGGGACCAGGATTTTGGATGGAAAGGGCTCGCCAGCACCACCATATCCAATTATGAGGGCTGGGCGGTATCCTCGATGCTTCTAGTACGTGCTCCATCATCAGCCGAACCGACTAACCAGGGGTAGGGCCAAACGGTCGGAGTCTTCCTTGCAGGTCCTCTTGGGGACCGACGAGGGCGAAAGTCAGTCATCCTCGCCTCGGCCATCTGCTACGTGATCGGGGCCATTCTCATGGCCGCCAACCTGGGCTCTTTCGCCGAGCTGCTCGTGGGACGCGTCCTGTCTGGACTGGGATCTGGTATGGGAATGTCTGCAGGGCCCATTTATATCTCCGAGGTTGCACCCCTCGAGCTCCGCGGAATGATGACCACCTTCTACAACGTGAACATCATGTCCGGCGTGGCCGGCAGCTACTGGATCAACTACGCATCGCCGCAAGTCCTCCCCAGCACCTCCAGCTGGCAATGGCGCACCACACTTGTGCTACAATCCATCCCCGCCATCATCCTACTACTCGGGTTTCCTTTCTTCCCAGAAAGCCCCCGTTACCTAATGATGCGCGGACGCATCGATGCTGCGCATCGCAGTCTCTCCCGGCTTCGCGGCGGCTTGGACGAAAGCACCGAGTACTTTGCGCGCGAATACACCGAACTACGCAGCAGGCTCGACACGACCTCTACGTCAGGAACACAAGCCTTCCTCTCCCTGCTACGAGAATGCATCCACCACGCCCCAACCCGCAAGGTCCTCCTCTTTGTCACGCTGATCCAAACATTCTTCATCATGTCCGGCGGCAACAGCATCACTTACTACGCCCCTGACATTCTCGACTCCATCGGCCTCAGCCACTCACAAGTCCTCCTCTTCACGGCCATCTACGGTCTAATCAAGTTCTTCGCTGTATTGCTATATGCATTTTTCCTCACCGACCGCTACGGCCGTCGTCCGCTCCTCCTCCTCGGCTCTACCATCAATGTTCTCTGTCTGCTATATCTGACCTGCTACCTGGCCCTCAACCCACCCTCCTCCTCCACCTCCCCCTCAGCCGCCTCCTGGGTCAGCATCGTCGCCATCTGCATTTACGCCATCGGCTACGGCTTCGGCTGGGCGCCAGCCTTCTCCCTGACCGCGTCGGAGATCTGCCCGACCCGCATCCGCGGAACGGTAGTAACCCTGGCGTTTACATACCAGAACCTGTTGAATTTCGGGATTACCCGAGCATTCCCGAACATGACGGATAGTATGCACACGTGGGGACCGTTTGCGCTGTTCACGGCGTTCACGGCGGTGGGGACAGTGTGGGTGGGGGTCGCGTTTCCCGAATGCAAGGGCAAAAGCATGGAGGGGATGGAGGAGGTGTTTTCCAGGCCATGGTGGCGGGTTGGATGGGATGGTCCAGCAACTACGGGGAATGAGCAGAGGGTAGAAGACACTGAAGTTGAGAAAGGAACGAGTACCCACGAAGAAATCATTCATAAATAGCACTATCCCGGACAGACCAGCATACGAGACCCATGCAATGAATACAATATGACAAATTCCTCTCCACCACCACGCGACAATAAGCTTAATTTCGGACGGAGCTGACCCAGGAACGAGCCATGATTCCGACCGTCATTAATCAAAATCCATACGGTTGAGTGAGTGTATCCATGGCAGACAATTCCCCTGACAGGTTGAATAATGGCGGGATGAGTCCAAACGCCCGTCAGAAGTTTATTGATTGCGTGAACCAATAAACAGCATGGTGCGGACCCAGCCGTGCGGATCATGTCTCGGATAACACTCGGAAGGGCTTGGAGATGGCCAATCACCATCAAGTGAGGCGATTAGTTAGGGTAACACCATCGGGCCTCACGAACTGCCAGGCACCAACAAACCGACACTCGAGTCAGAACTGCCCCTCTGGCTCCAAAAGAGGTAGCAGTTCCGTGGGATGGCGTGGCCTGCTGTCAGTGTCAGTGTCTGTCACCTCGGGTAGTTTCCCGTCGTCCCATTCATTTTGTTCTTGTGATCCGTGGATGAGACCCACGTGATGGTATCCCCTCTTCTCTTCCCCTCTTGAAGATAGAGTATACCCTACCCCTCTACTCATCCCATCCCATCCACCCACAGTGAGAACGGAAACAATGGCAGCAACAACCACCCTCAGCGTCCCTCACCTCGGCGGCATCGACGTCGGCTACCGGCTAACCAACAACCGGTACGACCCCACCAAGCCGACCGTGGTGCTGCTCAATTCCATGTGCATGACTGTGGCTCTGTACGATGCGCAATTCAGCGACGAATCCCTCACCAACGCAGCGAACCTCCTCGCTATTGAACCCCTCGGCCATGGCGCCACTCACTGCCATGTCGCCGAGCATTTCACCTACTGGGATACGGCGACCATGGCATTACAGGTGATGGATAAACTAGGGATTGAGAAGGTGTTTGCCCTGGGGACGAGTCAGGGGGGGTGGATGGTGGTGAGGATGGCGCTGTTGGCGCCGGAGAGGGTGCGTTACCCTCCCCTACTTCATCTTTACAACACAATGAGGTCAGTAAGTAGTGGAACAATACTAACCATAAGAATGGATAGATCCTCGGCCTCCTCCCCCTCGGCACCTCAATGGACTACGAATCCTCCCTCTCCCGGAGCAAGGGCTGCTGGGATCCCGTGACACTCCTTACCCCGTTCCTCGAAAAATGGAGCAGCGCAACCCCAACACCCGAGTTCATCGTCGACGATATCTGGTGCGGGATGGTCGGAGGGATCGGATTCGGGAAAGATGCGACCGAAGAGACGGTCGGGTTTTGGAAACGTACGTTGCAAGAGGTATATACTGGTGATGAGGGGCGGAAAAAGGTGCGGATGGCGTTGATGTGTTTGTTGACACGGGATGGGTTGCTCTTACGCTTAGGGGATGTGAAATGTCCGGTTTATTGGTTACAGGTGAGTTACTTACTTACTACCCTGGTTCTGATTCTTGGGTGATGGTTTGCTCAGTGGGGCAGACTAACACGAGCATTGATGTAGGGCACGGAAGACACGCCCTTTCAAACCACCGTGACGACTGAACAGATTGAGAGATTCACCGGATCAGTAGAGGCAAAATTAGAGATCGTGGCAGGGGGCGCACATTATCTGAATGCGACCAATGCACGGGACGTCAACGCTGCAGTGTTGGCAATGGTGCGGAAATACGGGGCGTAGAATACCTAATCCAAATCAAATCAAATAATGAATGAACGAATTGTGGCAGCTCACTATCGAATGCTAGTCAACCCGGAAGGAATCCCCGACCCATCGAACAACTAGAATGAACTTAAATTCAGCACCAACACGAGAAATGGTTGGCATGCGGAAACCTCGCCTTTCATTCCGCGGTGCCAACCCCAGGGATCGTCAAACCTATCATTACGGAGTACTGTTCATTCGATTCGCTTGTTGGATTATGGATCCCTGCCCGGTGGGGCGACGCGCCCTGACTAGCTAGCCAGCAATCGCCATCACCACCGATGACTGAAGAGTTAGTTCAATTGGTTTGGTTGGCAGCAGAATTTGATGTCAATGCTTGGCTTACTACTACATATATTAACCGATCCGTCGCGTGGACCCGTGCCTGTGCCTGAATCCCGGGGCAGTTGCAATTGCAATGACAGAAGATAGCAATCTCCAACCATGGGCCACGGCCACCACTGCCGCTGTCACAGTATTGGCATTTGTGTGTGTTTGTTTGAGGATAATATCGCGATTAGAAAGAAAGCAGAAATTATGGTGGGATGATTGGATGATTATTTTTTCTATGGTATCCCCCATCCCCTTCCCCCAATCCCCCCTCCCCAACCACACCACACCACTAACAAACCACAGGCCTGGAACTTAATAGTAATATCCTTCATCTTCACCATGATCCACCTCGGAATGGGCATCCACGCCACCCACCTCCCGACCCCCAACATAATCCTCATCGCCAAATACCTCGTCGTCGCCGAAATCCTCTACGTCTTCAACCTCGTCTGGACAAAACTCAGCATCCTCCTCATGTACTACCGGATCTTCCACTTCCCGTACTTCAAGAAATGGGCCTACGGAATCGGCACATTCGTCATTCTGTGGGTGATTTGCATCACATTCCTATTCATCTTTATCTGTGTCCCCGTGCAGAAACTCTGGTATCCGAGTCTTCCGGGGAAATGTATAAGTCAGGTGGGGACGTGGATTGCGAATGCGACGAGTACGATTGCGACGGATTTGGTGATACTCCTACTGCCGTTGCCGCAAGTCTGGAGGTTGCAGTTGAGATTGTCGGAGAAGGTGGCGTTGACGGTGGCGTTTGGATTGGGGTTTTTGTGAGCATACCCTGCCCTACCCTATTTTCTTGGATTTTGGTGGTGGGTTTGCTAATGATGGTTGGGAACGGATGGGTAGTGTAATATTCGCCTCGGCATACCGCTTCACCGTCCTATTTAGCTACACATCCACTGACTCAAGCTATACCCTTGCCCCGGTGGTAGGGTGGACAGCCATTGAAATGTCCGCGGGGATTGTGTCCGCCTGTCTCCCCACCATTCGTCCAGCGCTTCAACTCGCAGCCCGCAAACTAGGCATCCAGAGATTCATGCCCGCGTTGTTGCGCAGTCGATCGGGGAATCTCTCCTCCAAGACGAATCCCAGTCAGATACCGGCTGATAGTGCGACGAATAGTACGGCGGGGATGATGAATCGGAGGTCGTTTTATCATTTGCCGGATGAGGAAACAGGGCTGGGGAAGGGGGTTCTGGCGCAGCAGATTCGGTTGGATGAGGTGCTGAGGCCGAAACATGATCGTGGGTTGACGGTTACGAATATTAGGGGGAGTGGAAATGCACATGATGATAGACTGGGAGGGGAAGAGGATGAGGTGCCGTTGCATGGGATTAGGGTTATGAAGGATTTTAGACAGGATTGTTAGTTTTTTTTTTCTTTGTTTGGGTTTGGGTTGGGTGGGTTGGGAGGGGGTGTACATTGTATTATAGGTAATTGGAGTATGGTAATGGATTTATTTAGATGGTTGGATAGTAGAGGGAGAGATGCGGATGAAGTATAGAGTTAATGAATTAATCTGCGGAGTTCCGAAAGTAAATAGCGTTAGTTTGAGTCCCTATATTCTACGAGTCGTCGTTATTTGATCATATCTACAATCTCTTGATCCGTATTTGGCTGATCTATAATATTTTGTTGCTCGGCAGCTATATGATCCTGTCAGCCAACAAACTGTCCCCATCACTCACAGTGAATACTAAGTGATCATGATACAAGGAACAAACTTAGGAAGACGATATGTCCCTGGAGATAAACCCATTCTATTCTGCCATAAACGTATCCATATCCATATAAGTAGATCCCTTACCAAATTTGATTTGTGGAGGTTTTATCCAGGAGACAAATGACTAGGTTGTCCTTATGTTGATCTCCATAGACAGTCCTCGGTTCATTATATCTCATACGAATCGAGGCCTTCATTCGCGATATAAGTATCCTGCGGTGCTGTCTGCCAACTACTCTGTTATCTAGATATATAGATATTATTGTTGGTTGGGTCTGACCACGCTTTTCATTCCGGTTATTCTTTGCCCCTGTTTTTGTTTGTCAGTTTTAAGTACATATACACCGTATATGCTCTTCTAAGGGATAGACACGGGCAGGCACTGTAGCAACACCGCGTTGAAAGGCTAGAGTGCTTTGACATGGATACGATGGCCCAGACATCACAGCTGCTAGTACAGCATTCCGTCTTTAAGCGACTGGTATCTTCAATGATTGGGTTCCCTCACATGGGAATACCTTGCAGAGCTTTCTAACTCGAGGTAGGTATCTTTATCATTGCATTGATCCCCTCGATTATACGATTTTCCTCAAAGGCTTGTTGCGTAATGTAGGTCTTTCTAGAGAATTATCCAACATCGTTAATGAGTCATCGAAAAGTTCCGCTCGATTAGCTTCCATGACAGCACACTATTGGCTTTTATATCTGCGTGGTATGTTCAGAGCAGTTTGAAAAGTTTCACTCCAAGGTTTTGACGAAGCTATCTCGAAATATCCCAATGTTTATCCAAGAAGAATGAGGAACATACAGACGGGCTATCTGGTGTCTTCCGCGATGAGATAGGTGTATGCGTGAGCGAAATAGAATGACGTACATGTCAAACCACAACAGCCTGGGGAGTATAATTTCGAGGAGACGGGACATAATGTGGTTGTTCGATTCAGGGAAATAATATGCCTGTTAGATTCACAAGACACTCGGACAGGCCAGGGCGGATCATCCTGACAGTGTGGCCTTTGTCGCAAACGACTTTCTAGGATCGGTGTAATTTTTTATTGAGGAATTGTAATAACGTATGGATTAATGACTGTTTGCGTCTGTAGCATTCATTCCCTTTGTTTGGCCATTATCAGTGTCATGGTTAGTCCAAGTTGATATTTCATGTTGTTTGGCATGTGTGCAGTTCTGTCCATGTGTCTCTGCTTTTGAAGGAAGGGATAGCTTCGTGAACATCCGGCTGTCTTTTCTGTTTTTGGAATCGAGGTATTTTTCTACCAATTGGTTATTGTCCTTTCTCTTGTCGAGGTCAGTGAGATTACCCTCAATGCTGTCGCATATTACATATACACCTAAACAAATGTACGTTTCGGCACAGTAATGTTCCAGGCATGTACCTGCGCCTTGAAATCCTTAGCAGTGTTCCTGCAGTTACCACCACATGTTGGGCTCCTCCCACGCAGTCTATCGCATGCGTAAGGAAGGCGAGAAATCCCAGATCCACCCATGGTATATGTTCTGGTCCATTCGAGACAACAAGACACAGAGCTACTCAGTTGCTCAACATATCCGGATCATGAATCCAAATTCTGTTCCTAGCCATCGTTCAGAGCGTGGGCAGGGAACGCTTCAATGGTATTAATTTATAAATACTGACGCCAGTTCAGGGTTTAGAAGATGTTGAAAATTCCCAGCGATATGGGTCGTGGTTGTATTCCGGATCACGTGATTCGACTTTGTCATGTGGATACGGTCAGGCCGATATATCTTGATGATACTGCGGATACTCCCACATTAGCTTCGATCTCCATCAATTCTCTCATCATTAGCCGTTGTATAAGCGCTTCTAAATGTTGGTCCAACGCTTTTGCTCAGTGACCATGACCTGGTTTCCTGACCAGGGCCAGATGCTGCCATGCCCGGCACATTCATCTGTCGAGACTGATGGTAGCTTGGGTGTACTAGCCAGCCTCCTGGATATCATGATCTCATAAATAGGGTGACGTTGTCTGCGACGAAAGACCTAATGATCTGTCGAAAAGATTTCTCATTGTGGAGGAACACTTCATTCTTTGCACCTGTACTTAACATCGAAAGAATCCCGGGATTCGCTCGCCAGCAGGCTAGGTTGCCACAGACGGTGTGGTCAATATAGCAAGAATCTTATCGGAAATCAACAACAGCGTCTGTTATGCATTGGTTATTATCCGGAAGTCAGTGGTCTGGGTCATATCCCCCATGACAATATACTGTCCGACGAGCCACTTCGTCAGTCTCTGGTATGTCCTGACTAGCGTCCCGAAACCCATTGGTTGAGTTTGATCATGATCCGTGCACTCTGCTCCATGAATGAGAAGTCAGGAGGATGGGGTCTTCCCCATGTCTTTGATCATCATATATCTTTGCGCTAATGATAGAAGGGACAATTTGTATGCTCGGGTGGCTGGCGTAGGGCAGTGTAGCAGCCACTGCCGTACATGTTGTTATATGTAGTTCAGCGACTTGTCGAAATCCTAGCGAGAAAGAGTTGGCCCTTGTGTATAAACGCCAGGTATTGGGTTTGATTTCATTCGCCGATAATCTCTTCCTTGATGTCAGAGAATGAGTAGTCTGGTTCTCCTTGGGGATCTTCGGATGCGTCTTGTTTGATGTTCGTGTCCTGGCCCTCTTTACACGCTTATCGGGTTGCTATGCTGCCTTCTGGCCTTTGCGCTTTTTTGCAGGCGCCATCTCGTTCGATGTTTGGTGGGTGGTAAATTAGGAGTAAGAGATTGAAATCGCGGCGATGGGTGGTATCTAGGATAGACTGCCTGTGAGGTTTGGAAGCGGTCTTTTGTTTGTCCAATGTGGGTGATGTGAATTCTGGGTTATTCTTTCGAGAATGAGGGGAGGCTATGGCGAAGATTAAAGGGTAGGATTTCAATCAAGCGGACCGAGCGATAATCTTAAATATTGTAGTAAATCTGATATGTAAGTGTGTATTTCCTCTCGAAGAAGAAACAACAGTGGTTGTGATATTCCTTGATCCATTATTTTGTGAAGGTTAGATATTATTCAATCTTGAATAACATTATCTCGAGTAATCCCACCTGGGGAAAGATACTCAGAGTTCGGTGCGTAAATAGGCATGAGAGACCATAGTTCCTCTTCTCTCGTCACATTAAGGTAGTGTCCGAGATAGACATTCGTTGGTAGTCGATACTGATCGATGTAACTAAGCCTTGGACATCCGGCAAATACCGTAGATTGGGTCTTTTCGGGAAGCAATTAAATGTTTGTTATTCTCCTGAACCATATATGTTGGATAACTTGTCTATATGACGTATAAAGTACTACCACTTGTAAAGATTGGCGCATACCACACAGTTTGGAATCACAAGGTACCCGTCCTTTGGTCTTTCGGGGTATCCGGAATATATCGCCAAAAAATGGGAAGACCATCGGAGAGCATCATTGCGTTCAGGATTGACTTTTCTCGGATCGTTCGAGTGGTTATACAATGGTCTCTTTCTGCGAAGAGCAACCAGCTATGTGGTGTCTTTTCCATCGGGTTTCGGATTTGAATCCAGGGCATTGTGCAAGGTATGACAGTGGACGCCCAAAAAGGTGTATTTGCTCTGGATAATGGTGCCAGAGTAGGTGGATCTTGGTCGTTTGATAGGTTGTTATTCGTGCTGAAAGCGAGGCTCTTGTTGCGAGATATTGAGGTAGAACCTGAGACGATAATGGAAGAGAAAGGCCAATGTAGCTTCGTTGTTGAGATTTGAAGGCAGTAGATGAGGGATTTTATTGAGTATGGGAGTTGGAAGGGAAGATTGTTCTCTGAGATGTGAGGGATATTTATATAGGGTTGGGCTGGTGAAGACATACCGCCCAGTATGATGTGGTGAAATGGGTGTGTGAATACAAGATTGAATGGGTACGATGGTTCCCTTGATTGATTCAGTTTCCAGGTCGTTGAGGTCTTCTCCAACGCTGGTATGAGCATAATGCCAGTTAATTGCAGTTAGTGCCAAAGGAAATACCTCTAGGTCACAGGGGTCACTGGAAAAAGAGAATTACCAACAAAAGCCAATGGACGAGGGAATGACCAGGATACTCTTCTGTGAATTAGCGGCATCTATATTGGAGTTGAAGACCAATTAGGATCAATGCCCTAACTTTAGCGGTGACAGTTAAGGTATTGTGTTGAAGTGTATAGTCCTTGTCACATCAAATACTCAATAATGGATGGACCACATCAATGCTGTGGCAGGCTCAAAGATTGTTCCCATCTGGCTATCTGGGCCCAAACACCCAGTCAATTTCCGGCAAAAGTGGGAAAAATAGAAAGGAAAATAGGAGATCATTCCGCTACGAATTAGCCAAATTCATCGAACGAAAAAGTATTGTAGGCCAAATGCTGATACCACCTACCCCCACAATGATGATGGCAGTGGTGATGATGTTCACGATACTCATATCTCCGATCATAATAATGCTGCTGTTTTCGATCGTCTATGTGATTCCTGAGATAATTTGCGAGGAATCCCCCGCTCATAGCACCCAGAACCTCATGTCCCTTCTAATGGCCCAGGTAATACCCGTACCACCTAGGATGCTTCCACCCAGGCTGCACTCGCTGCCAGATTCATAAGGACCGACTCCTGGTTCCTGGAGTGGAGGCGGGGTATTGTTGCGCTGAAGCGGTCGGTCGGAGGTGCTGATAGAGAGTTGATACGTATTGGTTTATGGCCAAAGTGCGGAATGGAAGTGACATACTAGTACTCTGCACCATTTCCCTGCTCACCACTGCGTGGGTTCATAGGTCAGGTTCTTGGCCTATTAGTGTAGTTTGTTGGCTGGAAGGAGGCTGAGCTTCAAAGTTGTATTGAGGACGGTAGGTATTGTCATAGAGTCCGTGATAATGGTTTGGGTTGGATAGATAGGACATACTGAATGGCGAGGGGTGAAACTGTTAGGGCTAAGATTGTGAGGCAGACGACAAAAAGCTAGAGGACGGAATTGCATCAAAGAAGCAGTCACGCGACTACACCGATTGTATGCATATTCTTGGTTGGGCCTGGTAGTCTATGTCGACATGGATGATGGAAAAGGGCCAGATTTAGGGTACCCATCGGACTGATCATTGTCTTCCATGGGACGTTTGATATTGGAACTTTCACTGTCAGAAGCTCAAATGGTGGAAAGGATTGGTTCGATTGGAAGCAAGACGCTTATTTTAGATCAAGCATGATGGATGCATGAAGTCATATGGGTCATTCAAGACTAGACCCAGCCACCTTCTGGGGGCGCAGGTGCACCACTGGAACGGCCCGCGAGGGCAGCGGATGCGGTGGAATGATATTGAGCCAATGTGGACAGAGTGACCAGTTGGTCGAGCTGCATTCGTATCGTCTGCTAGAGGAATAGATTTGATATCTCACAGAAGGCAATGCCCTTTCCAGGATTTTTCTGGCTGTGGTGCGGGGTATGAAGCTATTTTTAGCTATTCTCCGATGCAGATTGTCATACCCTGGTCGAGCATCTGACTTCAGAGCCAACGCCGCTGACGAGGACAAGTTGTCGTTTGCCAAGTCTGTTGGGAGATCTTCTGTCTTCTACACGAGCAGTCATTAGAGATATACCTTTTGGTCTACATGGTAGTATCTTTGACAGAGTCTTGTGGAGGACACGGATCCCTGGATTCCGCGATTAATCCTCGGACCCTGCATGGATTCCAAGGTCCGAGACCCGCTTAGTCAACATGCATGTCGACCCTTGAAGGAGACTAGATGATTGCCTGATGGGGAGACGTGTTGCTAGGTGCATGCACGATCAGCGTGGCGGATGCAATGTGGTAATCCCCTCCGACTGGCCCTCCATTATATAAGATCACGACATCACCCAGAAGAGAAAACAATTCACGTTCAGTCTGCAGCACAGGCCCTTTGCATTGCCGAATCGATATGACAGTGTTAACCATCCCCACCCTTTCTGCGGTTGCTTTATGCCTGTTTCTGGCAGTATTCGTGAGACGTGCATTGCCAGGCCGTGACATTCCAGGCCCTGTTATGGCCCGGTACACCCGGCTGTGGTATATATGGCAGATGATAAAAGGCGATTTCCAATATACCAACATGAAGCTGCATCGAGATCACGGTGAGCAGTTATGACCAAATCTCTCAAAGTAGCACTTAGCTAATATTTTGCAGGCAAGATTGTGCGAATTGCTCCCGGCTGGTATAGCCTCAATGACATCGACGCTCTCAAGTCGATCTATGCTCATGGTTCCCGATTCATCAAATCAGAGTGGTATGAAGCTTGGAACTTCTCGCCTGACCCCCAAGACCACAATCTGTTCTCGGTTCGGAACACTGCCCATCATTCGGACGCCCGTCGTAAGGTCGCATCTATGTATTCCATGTCTGCGGTCGTTTCCTACGAGCCATATGTGAATGATTGTATCCGGCGGTTCTGCGCCCAGCTTGACTCGTTTGCAAAGGCCGGCTCGATGGTGGACCTAGGGCATTGGCTGCAATGCTTTGCCTTTGATACTATCAGCGGAATTACTGTATGTGTTCAATCCTCCCTGAAAGTTCTATCCAGCGATGTGAAGCGACAGACAATGCTTACCAAATAGTACGGCGAACGAATCGGTTTCCTTGACCAGGGCCAAGACATCAACAACCTGATGGCGAACTTAGAAAAGAACTTTCTCTTCAGCAGTTTGACGGGTCTCATGCTGTGGCTAAGACCCGTGGTTCTTTTCTTGGGCAAGTTCTTTGCATCGTCTGATACCCTGTTCGTGCGTCGTTTCACCGACCAGAAATTCACCGAGCTGTCGCAGAAAGGAGACCAAAAGCCCTCAACAGAAACTCTTCCGATGATACAGAGGTTTCTCCATGCGCAGCGGGATGAGGAGAAAGGCTTAACAGATCGGTATATCAAGGTTAGCGCGGCATCTAATATCGGCGCTGGGAGCGACACCACGGCAATTGGCCTAAGTGCGGCGGTCTTCTATTTGTACCGATCGCCTGACAAACTAGCAAAGCTGCGCCAAGAGCTTGATGATGCTTTTATCGAGGGCGATCCTTCATTTCCGGAAACACAGAAATTACCTTATCTCCAAGCCGTGATCAAGGAATCCATGCGGCTTCACCCGGGGGTTGGATTTCCCCTTTTCCGCCTGGTCCCTCGCGGAGGTGCTGTGATCTGCAACAAATTCTTTCCAGAGGGTGTAAGCAATCTTTGCCAATCTATATCTGAACTAAATTGATGATTGCAGACAAATGTCGGAATCAATAGCTGGGTGATGCATCGAGATGAAAAGATTTGGGGGGGTGATGCTGACAACTTTGTGCCCGAGAGATGGCTGTCGAATAACACTGAAACACTTCGAATGATGGAGCAATGCCTGATGCCTTTTGGCCTCGGCTCAAGAGTGTGTGTGGGGAAGAATATCTCGCTGTTCGAGATAAACAAGCTTATTCCACCGTTGGTCCTGAATTATGATATTGAGATACAGCAACGGGACGGCAAGGATATGAAAGCAAGGAATATGTGGTTTGTCAAGCCGGTTCAGTTTCAAGGAACCATCAGGAGCAGGCCCGGTAGGTCGAGTCTATGATCATGGTCAACGCAAGGCATTATCGAATCAAGGTAGCATTTTAGAATATGAGCGAATGATAAGCGATAAACAAAGAAGCTCTGCCTCGGCACTTGAGAAGTCCCGTCATGGTTTCCCTCTTTGCACCACAGGTAAACTTCCTTCATTAATCTGGGTAGACTGCATCTACAGTTGACGACGCCCATGCCTACCTCGAACGGCAGAAAAAGCAACTCCCGGCAATTGCTATCCCGGATATTGATGTCATGCCGGAAGGACCGGCGAGTTTCTACCATCGGCATGTTACCTGCGATATGAACACCAGGTTCGTGCCGGGACGGGATCAAGAATCGCCACTGCATCCGGCCTGTCTTGTCCGGTTCAAAGGACCGGCGGCGTGCCTTGTATGAGATAAGGCGATGGGGCAACATTTACCATGGCCGAGATTCTTGTGAGAAACTATCAGGCACCAGACCCAGTCCTTTGGGTTATTGATGGTCCCATTTTCGGTCCTTGGATTATGAGTCCAAACTCCAAATGACTGTTCTAGGCCGTGTGAACATCCGCTCCCAGTATACAGTCACTATGATGCATTGAGGATGATTGGAAACAAACATGGCATTCTATTCGCGCCGAGTCCAAAACCCGTCATTCATGTTTTGGCTTTATTGGGGGGGGTTGTTGGGAATGCCTCGGTCTGAAAAGTGACCCGTCTCACTCTGATGAAAGACAGGTATGAGATCATCAGAACTAATCCGCGACAAAAATGGGAATAGATATCCGATCGCAATCGATCTGCGAGTCAAGCTTTGGACCTGGCGTAAGAAGGCCGTCGGAAATCTATCGAAAACGGCGGGTGGGGAGGATCAGGGTTGAGGTCTCAAACATCCTTCCGAGGTTTTCCCAGAGAGCTAAGCAGAGACCTGTCGAACCTTCTAATTATACTCCTGTCGATCAATTTACTGGTCACTAGGCAGCCAGGGTCCGACCACTGAACGCCCAGGGCTCAATTTTGGGTCGAGCGCATGGGTCCCCACAGTTGGCCGGCGATGAAACAACGGAGCGGCGCAGGAAGCCCTAACCGGCACCCTGGATGCTCACCCACGGCCTCACCCCATGGAAATCCCGCATTTCGTCTTGTACCTTGGCGCATAGACGATGACTGGGTACGGCGCATGGCCCAAAGTTTAATCCTTAATCTAATCATACCCTGGGAGTCATCCGCTCCGGTGATTTCGGGTTTCCCTAGCCAGGTTACCAAATCCAATGATATGTATCACTGCTGTTTCAGGGATCAAAATTTTACCGACCACCAAACATGTTGGAAGTTGTCTTATAAAAGGGCAGGCGATGGAAGGTTTCATCGCCTTCTGTCTGACAAGTCTAACCATCCATTTCCAATCATTTTGTCAATCCTTTTCTGTCAATCACTCTTTGTCAATCTTTCTGGTCACTCATTCTCTTTACAATGCGTTTCACACAGTCTTCTCTTCTTGGCGGTCTCGCCCTAACTCCGCTCGCTTTGGCTGTGCCAATGCTCCAGTCTCGGGCCACCGCAGGTTAGTCTAAGGCTCGTCTCCCCAGGACTACCCTGACAGCGCATAGATACCGCCGAATGGACCGAACTTCATCGAGCTGCGCAGCTGGCCTCCGCAGCCTACACCGGTTGTACTGGTTCAGCATTTGATGTGACCATCACCAAGCAGATCAACGATCTCGTGACCGATACTCAGGTATGTCTGTCACTCCAACCAAATAGCCCTCAACTAACTTCCCAGGGCTTCATCGGATACTCCACCGAGAAGAAGCGGATCACAGTGTCCATGAGAGGTTCCACCTCTAGTCAGTACACATCACCACTCTGCAGATACAAACAAGCTAACCATCACAGTGATCGATATCGACAACGATGTCGATACCACCCTCGTCGAGCCCACCCTATCTGGCGTCAACTTCCCCTCCGGCGCCAAAATGATGCACGGCATTTTCTCTCCTTGGTCTTCCGTCCACGACGATGTCATCTCGGAAGTCAGGTCTCTGATCCAGCAATACCCCGATTACTCTCTTGAGTCCACCGGACACTCCCTTGGTGGCTCCCTGACATACATCTCCTACATCGCACTGGCGCAGAACTTCCCCGAGAAGGAGCTCATCAGCAACGCTCTTGCTGCCTACCCCATTGGTAACGAGGCATTTGCCAACTTTGGTGCCTCCCAGAACGGAACATTGAACCGTGGTAACAACGCTGGCGACGGTGTTCCAGTAAGTTTTTCATCCTGTAATGCCCATCATACACTTACTTACTCACTGCACCAGAACATGTACGTCATGTGGCCTTGGGACTTTGTCCACTACGGCACTGTGAGTCCTTCCCATAGCCCAACCTCTATCTCATTCTAACCCCACCAGGAATACTACAGCTCCGGTACCCAGGCCAGCACGGTCAAGTGCAGCGGTGAACGCGATACCTCTTGCTCTGCGGGCAACGGGCAGGTCGGTGTCACTGCTGGACATTTCTCCAACTTTGGTATCGCGATGGGTATGGCCGGATGCTCCTCGTCGCTTTTGTAAGTGATTGACTAGCATATGCAGGCTTGTCTGGGTGCGTATATGTTACTATTGAATAGCAAAACAGGGCTGGATATACTCGCAGCGGGACTTGGCGGGGTTAGACTTTGTTTGATATAGACCACTCATTAGGAAATTAGGTTTAGAATGTCAGATTGGAGATCGATATCAAATTCCATTATATGGTTAAGACGCTTGAAGATATTTCATATCTTAAGAGCAATTCTATGAACACAGATATCCAAGGGTGGCGCTACAGCTACACCAGCCAGGCTATAACCCCATTCTTGTCTATTTACTCTGGATGATCAAGCTATTATATAAAGCATGCTTGGCCTAGTGTTCAATATCTCACTTAGTGTCTTATACAGAACCTCATTCGGGATTTTGAGCTACAGAAAGCTTTATGTAGAGCTCTTTATATACAATTCTACGCAAGACTTCATGGGATTCCAAACAAAATCTTAAGTAAAGGTTCAAGTAAGACCTCAAGTATCCCGTACATAAACAATGAGATAACATAGTCATATCCACTTAGTAATCCAAGACAATCCTCAGGCTCTTAACCAAAACACAGCACCTCAGGTATATGCTACATCCAAGTGACAAAGATCTCCTTACCCTCTAAAACACAATCTTTGCCTAACCTGAAACGTATGGTTGCATCACCTCCCTTCATAAATATTACCCCGTCATTTACACCTTACCACATTTATATCATACCATGAGTCAATAGCAGTCATTTCGTTCATTATGAAATGAAGCTACCTTTCTTGACAATAAATCCCTCCCTTCCCATGGACTTATATCAGACTAATCCCCATCCCCTTCTTCTTCACAATCCCAAAAAACACAAACACTTTCTCACCGTCACATCCCTCCATTCAAGCAAAAGCCTAGATCGCAACGCCACCAATTAGAACACGCGGCTGATAAGCTTCCTTGAGGAATCCAAGATACACCCACTAATTTGTTACGAATACGTCGTTTCACTTGCATGAGATATGATCTTCGATTTGAAGGGTGTATATAAAAATTTGGCTGTTAGCGGTTGTCGTGAGGGAGGTAGTAGACTGGATTGGCAGCAGGTTTTTATCTTTTTTCGAAAGTATTGGTATTTCATATGGTGGAAGATATTGTTGAAGCCCAGGTAGAATGAATTCCGTGGACACAATTGCGGTACTGTCAAGGTGTTATCCGGTGTGATTGACTGCTTATTGGCTCGTATGGGTCCCACATGTCCAATAGAATATAGTACTAAGGACATAGTGGCGTCGTCGTATTCACACGGACCCATCCACCGTGCTCAAGTGTGAATTATAATTCGGGGCTATATATACCATACATGCATGAGCCACTACACTTGAACCAAGCTCCTCCCTCCATTTAAAAAACAGCATAACGTAATTACATCACACAATTTTAACAGTACCCTCAAAGTCCTACCCGGTCAAACAAGACTACAGGCTTCAAAACTCACAACTTTCACCAACCGCACAAACATCAAAGACACCAGTTCCAGGCAATCCCCTCCTCTCCAACTCCTCTCTCAAAAGCCTCGGCGGCTCATCGACCTCCTCACTAGTAAGAGCCCAAGTACCCCAATGTATACCCATGGCTCCGACACTTCGTATCAAGGAAAATCTCCACAGCGTCTCGCGGATTCGCATGGAGTGGACTCCACAAGAACCGCGGCTTATAAACACCAATAGGAATAAGACCGAGATCAAACGGCCTGCGGAGTCGTCCAATCTGTACAAAGCAGGGACAGCGCGGAAGCGACATATACTCGGGACCGTAGTCATCCGTACTCTCAGTCTCCGGCACCGCGCGATACCCCGTGTCGCCGGCGAACCAGACGGATTTTCCACCGGACGAGACAGCCCATGAAGCCCACAGGGTGGAGTCCTTGTCTGTTAAGGTGCGGCCGGAAGAGTGCTGAGATGGGAGGCAGGAGAAGGTTGCAGTGATACGGATTGATTTGGAGACGGAGTCTAGTAGGTCCAGGTTTGCATCCTGCCACCAGTCCAGTTCTGTTACGTTGGAGATGGCGCATTGTCGAAACCAGTCTGCGATGCCTAGGCCGACGAAGAAGTGCGCTTCGGGATGGTGATGCTGGATGTCGAGCACGGATTTGTGGCTGAGGTGGTCGTAGTGAGAGTGGCTGATCACCACGGCGTCGATGAAGGGTAGATGGCTGATTGAGCAGGGGGGTTGGGTTAGTCGCTTGTGGCCGGCCCATCGGACGGGCGTGCATCGGTCTTCGAAGACGGGGTCGAAGAGCACGCGGAGTCCGCTGGGGAATTCGACATAGTAGCATGCGTGGCCGAGCCAGGTGGCGCGGAGGGAGGGATTGTTGTTGAATCGGGAGGTTAAGAATGTAGCTGGGATGACGGGGAGTTTGATGTTTGTGCAGTCGGGTTGGCTTATTTTGCCTGCTCGTTGGGCTCTGCGGGAGGAGGCAAGTTAGATGGGTGGGGATCTTGAGGGTCGAATATAGGTACTTGAATATCTTCGACATCATTTGGAAGATGCTAGATGGGGACCCGAAGGAAGGATATGGGTTTTGGAACTTGATGGTGTCGCCATTGCGGTTCTTGACATGGTGCAGAGTGCGCTCTGCTTCCTCTGGTATATAGAGGTAGGTTTTTGGCCTCTTGGAGACGGAGCTTGAAAAAGGGACTCTTGAATGTTTCATGGCTGCGGTGGTAGCAGAACTGGCCAGTAGATTTTGAATGTGCCTCTGGATGCTGTACATATTGCGGCGACGGAAGGCTGAGATTTTATGGCGTCCATTGCAGGGCTTGAGACAAGATTAGATTAGATTGGTTGCAGCGAATCCCGTCGGTATTCCAAGGCCCGGAAGCCCGCACTCGGGGGGGGGGAATTCCGAAACCCGCACCCACGGAATTGATTACTGCAGGTTACAGGCCAAATTGTTATACGAAGCCTACGGTCATTGAAGTGATCAGATGTATATGAGTGGGTGACACTATCTATCTTGGCAAGTGATGCAGGTAAGTGCGAAGGGCGGAGAACTGATTTATCTCCTTCTCCATTACTTCTTATAAATCGTATCTCAAAATTTCGAACGATAAGTACAGATTACATACTAGGATACTCCAAGTGATCAAACTTACAGGTCAGCTGGTAGTTACACAAATTCGGTCCAAGTAGATTCGAGTGCCGAAATATGTTCAAGATCCTCCATCGTCTCCTGCCAAAGCCTTTCCCTTATTCTCCGACCTTCCTCGGTGTACATCACAGCAGCGTACCTGGACAGTCGGTCAGTCTTCGCAGGAAGTCACCCCTCGAATAAAAGAAAATGGCTACGTACGGTTTTAGAGCCCAATCGCTAACAAACCTTCCATGGCTTGCGATGCCCTCCATGGCTTGCGATGCCCTCCATCACCAGCGCATGGACATACACACTCGCACCCACATGCAATGGCCGCCCGAGGGCCCTTACCACTGGGCGCATGATGACCCGCGCAACCCTATTCGCCTCGCGACCCAGGTTTGTTCCGTACGTCAGGCCTGGGTTGCAGACATTGATGATTACATCGGCTGGATTGACGCGAGCTGCGAGTTCAACGACGAACATCATCAGAAGGAGTTTTGTATTCATGTATTGTTGAAACCGGTCAAATGTGTCGGGGCGGTCCATTAGGTGGAATAGAGAACCGGTTGTGGGTAAGCGCAGCTTGCTGAAGTACATCGTGTCGGAGCCGACGACAGTCAGGACAGAGGGTTGCTGCTGCCGCTTCTTCTCTTTCATAAGCGATGCGAGGAGAAGTGTCATCAAAGCCGTAGAAAGGTAGTTTGTCTGAAAGACCGACTCGTGGCCGGTCTTCTCATTCCGCTCAAATATGCTCCGCTGCACCCCGGCGTTCAAGATCGCGTAATCAATTCGCGGTAGATCTCGACGACATCGGTCCACAAAGGCGATTATGGAGTCGTAATCTGCCAGGTCGAGAATCGAAACTTGCACGGTTGCCCCGGGAAACTCGGCGCGTAGTTGTTGGGCGGCGGTTTCGCCATTGCGCTGCGAGCGGACTGCCAAGACAAGGTGTGAGATTCCGAGATTGAGGTGCTAGCGTGCTGCCTCGAGGCCGAGACCGCTATTGGCACCGGTTACGATGGCGGACATGCCGTCGAGTCGTAGAGTAGTTGGGATGGGGATGGGGCGGACTAGGAGCTGTTTGTGCAGAGTGCCCAGGATGCTGGACTCCCAGGCTACCTCTTTTTCCAATTCGGACATGATGTCAGTGGGCACTTGGACTGTCAAAGTGCGGTTCAAGTGTAGTATCTGAAAGCCAGCGACGGGAGATGAGACCTGATAGGGTTATATAATCAGGGACACACGCCCAATGATCGGTCAAGCGGCATACCGAACACCGTCTCTCGAGGGTGGAGCAAACGTCGAACGTGTTGCCTGATATATAATTAGACCTACAATGCCGGTTAGATAGTGGTGACATCACTCTGCATTACAATCCCCATAGGCCACTGTATAATATCTTCCCAGCCATCAAGCGTATAGCGGATGTCTTCCAGAAGCAGTTGCGACCAGCTTTGCGTAAACCAGGCTCCTCGATTTAGGCTCATCAACGCAGCAAAATGTGCCAGGATTGCTAGCGCCAGAGGATGCCGCCTGGAGCACAGATCCAAGAAGGGATTTTGTACCTCATTAACCCACGCAAAGATCACCCGCGTCTGTCTTTGTCCCTGCATGCTGTCGAAAAAAACAGCCATGTATGTGAAGACTAGTTTCGCAGCGTGCAGACATACAGCCTTATGCTCATTCTCGTCCGGATACTGTTCGATAAAGCTCTGCACTAGTCCTAGTTGTGGAAAGCGAGCTTCCAGGTCTCCGGCATAGGCGAGCTGATGGGAAGAGAATTTGGAGGCCATGAATGGGTCCATGTGGATTAGTGAACTCAGATGTTGCTGTACAAAGATTGAAGTGGACCTGCCAATCTGAATGACACGAATAAACTCTGCCACGGGGTCAAAGTTAGGACTAGAGCCACAACCGACCCTCTTCAGGCGTAAAAGCGGTTCGGTGACAGCGTATAGCGACGTAAAGGTGGAGAACGCTAATACGGCCTTGTGATGAGAAGTCGATGTCTCCAGGCCCTGCAGATGAGGCTTGACGCGACTGATGGCTGCCTGCTGATGCGCGACCGCTCGCAAATACCAGCGCGTGCAAGAGCGATCCCCATTAAACCGTTGAAGAGCGGCCAGGGAGAGAATGCTGTTCAACAGGTAATGGTGTGAGAACCCGAGTTGGACATAGCCATGCTCAAGGTGCTTGGCCTGCTGGGGCATGCCCGGAATCAGCGGGTACCGATGCCAATACTCCAACAGTTCGAGATCGGCGAGCGAATCTTCATTGAGGGGCATTACCGCCAAATTCGGCGAAGAGAAACTACAGGAGATTTGCTGCCTTCGGCATTGCATGCATTGGGGGTGGAATTCGTCACACTGAGAGTATCAGTAACGGAAGCATGTGACTGGAAGAGAAATCACTCCTACCTTAGTATGTCGTTCCTTGCATTGTAAACAGCCATGTCGGGACTTGGCATGTGGTTTACGGTGCTTGGTCATGGTTGTTGCAGCACCGACGGGCTGTTGTCGTATGAATACGAGGAAACAGGAATTCGCAATAGCAGCAGTGGAAAGTGTGGGTGGAGCTAGCAAGTAGTACTAGTATCATCGTATATATACGACGGGTCCCACTGAGACTAACCCAGATAGTATTAGCTTATCACCCCGTGATCTAGCCTTGTTCCGGTCATACTAATCATATCGAGTGATTTTATCCAGATACCCCGTTTTTTTAGGATACCCTGTAAAGTCTTTCTTAATAAATGTACCGGAGTACAATCACCCTGCAATATGACCTCACAAAAGACCTTCCATTAACAGGGTGCACGTATCGACATTCCCAGTCTTCAGGCTACAGACCTAATCCAAATGCCCTCAACACAACATCATCTATCACAATCCTTCCCCCCATCCAAACGGATTCAGGTAGTACTTCCCGACGTAGGTTTCCAACAGATCCCATCCAGCATAAACAACAGAACCAGACACCGAGCCTATACCCAGATGTTTCATCCAAAAACCAATTCCAGTCATTCGCACAGCAATATCCAACACCGCATGAAGTAGCAACATCCTCATCGTGATAAAGCATAACTGTACCACCGCCTGAGACTCAATCGGCAGCATCAGGGACAACAGATGATGAGATACACATTTTCGATACATCCAATATGTATCCGCTGGACAGTTCAACGATGCAAACCGAGCCATGAACGTTGTCTCGGATGCTGACAACCGACGCACCCAGGGGATGAGGTGATTGGCAGCAGCGCATTTCCATCGGGATCGGAATCCAGGTGTGCTGGTCTTGCAGTCCAGAGTATCATCCAGGGTAGGTGTGGCACGATCAAGTAAATCACTCAATAAGAACCAATCCGAGACGTAGAGACGCGAGGATGTATCGTCGGCTTCTGTGGTGCATGGCATACATTCTGTCAGGAATCCCTGTTTGGCGGTCTGATATTGTGTGATACTTGTGAAGAATCGAGGTGTGATAGGACAGATCTCGAGAATTGGTCGAGGATGAGAGGTTGGTGGAATAGGAGAATGGAAGGTGATCGGCTCAAAGCTGATGGTTTTGGGAGGAGTATATCTCAATGTGAGGGGGGTGTCGCAGTGTTTGATGAGCTGGGAGAGGTATTCGCGGAAGATTAGTTCTAAGGATCTGGTAGAGGAGCGGTTAGCATTCAGATGGGTGTGAAAAGGGTATGGAATCACTGCACACCTTTCGATTGGAGTTTCTTTCCGTGCTATACTTCCCTTTCTGACTTCAGGCCGCTGCAAATACTTCAATCCTCCTCTGAACCGGACCTTCAGAGCTTCTTTGACAATGCGCGGTGCTGAGAGGGCGCCTACATGCGTCCATCTCAAAATGAATTTCAGAATATTCCATGACGACGAATCCAGGGGATCGACTGCATCACCCCAAGATGATAACCGACTGGTCACTTTTATCTGGCCCTCCGGGCTGACTGAGCTGAGGGTAGATTGCAGTCGTGGAGGAACTTCACTTAACATATCCGAGAATTTCGCTGGCATTGACCCTCCAACCTTTTCGAACGGGGATCCGAAAATGCTCTTCTCCCATTCGCCTTTATAACTTGTGCACCTTGAGGCAGATGTTCGGAATACAAGGTCTTGCGGTTCGCTGGGCCCATTTAGGAATGTAGCAGTGACTCCTTGCGAAACTCCACGGAGGTCATCTTTTTGCGAGCCAGCCGGGGAGAGTGGAAAGAAGAAGTTGCGTTTCTCGTAGAAAGAGTTGTTGATTTCCATGATCATTGCCTTTAGTTCCCGCGATGGAGAGTAGAGATACCAGTAGTTGATGGCGCTCTTCTGCCACCATAAGAATCTGGGGACACTGAGGAGATAGGCATATGGGTAATCGTTTGGGTTTAGGTTCTGGGTTACAGGTTAGTGATGATTCTATCAGTGCCTGAAGTTTGGAGATGGACCTACCTCTGATCGAAGAAAGCAATGCAATTTCTCTTCCAGGCTGCGTTCCCCACTACCGGGGTCAAGATAGTATCCTGCATCAATCGTGAACCAGCACCTCTGCCACCATCTTTCCTTCGAAGGTGTATTATCAATGGATAAGAGGTTGCCGACACGACCACGGAGCCCCACTGGGATACCTATCATGAAGTAATCGTACCAGTAGTTATAGCGCTCGGCCACGGGAAACCGACGAGCATGGGAGAGCTTTGCAGGAAATAGAAATGGTTTCCCAATATATTCCCTCCTGATGCAGCTGCTGTGAAGGCGAAAGGAGCGGAATACATATGCAGACCAGATTAATTTGAACAATAGGATGCTTAGAGAGATGAAAATGCTCAAGGCCAGCGAAAAAGACAATGCAATAGGTGACTGAAGAGCTAATTTTGATATCCTGAAGAGCAGGGAGGCAGAAGAGAAGTAAATCGTAGCACGCAGCAACATGTTGAGCTCGGGTAAAACGGTGGACAGTGATCTCGATAGAATAGCAACAACTATATTTTCTAGTCCTTATATTTCGAAAATACCCCAATGTGCCTTGACTGGCCTCATCTGCATATTCCCATAAATGGAAGTTACCCTGCTTCTCTGGAATGCTGCAGTCTGCATGCAAAACCCACGTTACACAACTTATTTTTATGGAATGTGACAATCCGCTTAAGAACACAAACGTGACTGACAGATCTTCTTTCTAGAGAATGTCACCATCTGCACATCGACAGAAAAGGAAGTGGCAGTTATCAATTCGGGGGAATGCAGTCTGCAAATCGACGAAAAGGGAAGTGACAGATCGTCTCTCTGGGAATGCAGTCAAAATCTTGGTAGCGCTTTCCCGTAGATCAGTAGTACTGGCCTTTTATGTCGGTCTCATTCGGCTTTTTGGCACTCTTGACAGCTTTCGCGTGGTCCCATTGGGTGTTCTCACGCAGTCTTGCAACCCCTCGCCTCGTAGCCTGTTTCTGCCTCTACATTTTTCCTCGTGGTGGGGGGGGAGGGGGGGGTTGCCTTCACGCCTACAGTCTGAAGAAAGTAATGGGAATGTAAATGAATGTGGGACAGACACCAGGAGAGACGCTGCTGTCATTGCCTGTCATTTCCACATGCTGTCAGCGGCCATGTGCCATACTTCTTTCTATACTGCATCAGACTTCGTAGCCATGTCGTTCCTCTGGTTCTTGTTCATCACACAGAGAAAACCATCTAGTCTTTGTCATCGCCCTGATTCTTCTGGTCTTGCACCGCCTGATAGCCGGAGGAATCAGTCTCTATGTCCAAGTAGAACTTCACAATTCTAGCTCCAAGCTTCACATCCGATAGCGCTGCTGCAGATCTTGGTATTGGCGCTCGGACATATCTTCATGATCTTCTCCGGCGGTCAGCATTGATCGTCCCCTGAATTGCTTCAAATGTAAGTCCTGGCCTAGATTGGCATTCGCCTTCCATGGAATAACATGCCTGATAGGATGGTTTGCAATTTCAAGGCCATGTATAGCTCCTTGCCTGAACTACTGATGATGATCATTTGCGTACCTCCACCTTGTCCACTTATTTGAAGGCTCTTCGCACCTGACATCACCGGAACATCATAAGCATCATCAGAAGGAAAACCAGTTGAGACGGACTTTGTTCTTCATCCGTCTTCGCAATGACGGTGTCTGAATCTAACACTTCTTTCAACGAAGTCATCATTATAGGGGCCGGGTTTTCCGGCCTAGCTATGGCATGTCAGCTCAAAAGAAAGCTGCACTGTGATGACTTTGCTGTGTTTGATCGGGCGAGTGGATTTGGAGGAGCATGGCGTGCAAATCAATGTGAGTTGTTGCTTCTGCCATAAGTCATATCATTATTGTGCCCGTTGGTGACGCTGTATCAGATCCAGGCTGCGGTGTAGATATACCAGCTGCCTTATACAGCCTGTCCTTTGCGCCAAAAACAGATTTTTCCTGTTTCTTTCCCAAGCAGGATGAGATCCTACATTATATTAATTCCGTGGTCGAGCGCCATCAGCTCGCGTCGCATTTCATCGGGCATACTGAGTGGGTGGGCGCTTCATGGCAAGACTCTTCCAAAATATGGCTTGTCATCCTTAAGGATCTTTGCACGGGACAAGAGTTCACCCGCGAGTGTAAAATACTAATATCTGCCGTCGGAGCCCTATCTGTGCCAAACAAGTCCAGCATCCCCGGAACGGAGCGGTTCAGAGGGGACGTTGTTCATACCGCCAATTGGGATCAGACAGTGTCTCTGCGAGACAAGCGAGTGGTAGTGATTGGCAACGGCGGTGAGTACAATGTGACTGGTTGAGTTTCATGGATTATTAATGTTTCCAGCCTCTGCAACACAGGTAATACCAGCAATTGCTAAAGAAGCTCGTGAAATTACCCAGTTTATCCGGGTTTGTGAAGCCTCCGGCTTTTGATTTTTATATTGCTGACACTGATTCAGACACCGCAACTCTACCTTCCTGGACAGAATACCACTATTGGAAGCCTCTGGCAAGGTGCATATAAATATGTCCCGGGATTATTGGTGCTGGTTCGAATTATGATATTTCTCTATCTCGAGACAGCCACTCTGCAATTCCGTCGGAACCGAAGGGGTGCGAGTATGAGAGATCAGCAATTCCTGATTAGCAGACGCTACATTCTTGACAACGCTCCCGGTGGGTCAAGCTCTTCTCGAGAAGTCTAATTAGTATTGATCTGACACAAACGAATAGAAAAGTACTGGTCTTTGTTGATTCCGACCACCGAAGCAGGTTGCAAGGTACATCTCCCCAGTCAGTTCATGGTAGCGGACTAACAAGTGCAGAGACGTGTATTTGACAATGACGGTTATATCCATTGCTTAAACCGGGAGAATGTTCAGCTGGTTAATGGTCCAGTGGTTGAGATTAATGAATCTTCGGTTCTAACTCAATCCGGTGAAATTTATCCTGCCGATGTTATTGTACGTTGTCAAAACCATTACCTTCTAGTCGCGGTTGATGATCGACTGACTCTTCACAGATCCTCGGAACAGGCTTTTCGCTAGCCCACTTCGACACTCAAGTTATAGGCTGCCAAGGCCTAACACGCGCTGAGCACTGGCAGTCCCTCGGCGGAATCAAGGCCTTTAACACAATTGCCATGTCGGGATTCCCTAACCTTTTTTACGTTCTCGGTCCAAACTCAGGCACGGGGCATACGTCCACAATCTATGCTATCGAAAAGTAGACTTCATCCATTCTCTGCACACGACGCCGCAAACTAACACTGCAATAGCTACGTCGACCTTATCATCCGCGTCATTGAGCCCATTCTTAGCAAAAAGGTCTCCTCCGTACAGGTCAAGGCATCCAGCGAACAAAGCTACAGCAAGGCAATAGAGCAGGCGCTTCAAAACACTATTTACAATAATGCGTGTCTCAGTGTAAGGGGTATCACCTGTGTTGAAGCAGTCATATGATCTAACTTCTTCCATTGATGATAGTGGTTCATCGACAAGAAAACGGGCACCAATTGGGCGATTTATCCCTGGAGTTCATTTTGGATGTGGTACACAACCAGGGTTGCCGGACTCGATGATTGGATCCATGAGGTAAGGAGTCTTTTGATGTGAGTATGAGTTTGGCAGAGATGTGTACTGATCGGATAAAGTGATGCATGATGTTTCCCCTCGAATAAACCACTGGCAGAAATTGACATTTTTACAAGTGGAAAAGGTTTTGGTGTCTCACATTTTGATTTGTTCCCCGCTGGTTATTTCCGTTATTTACATCCGATTTCAGAAATATAGTATCTTTTTGACTATCTTAAATAATCAATAGAACAGGGTGCACAGCTCCGCGGAGATTACATCCAATCACTTCCGCTTCGGCCCGTCCCGTATAATACTCCGAGTCAGTTTACTACATAGTACACCTATTACCCCTTCCCTATAACAATAGTGAAGAGTAAAGATCTCCGAGTCCTAATTGAAATCTTCTACTCCTTCAAAAATACCCCGTAAACCCATATCATCAGACACTTCCATGCGTACCAAAAACCTCCCCACAACCCCCACACTACTCGCAACGAAAGACTGCAATGGATCCCCCACCCCTTCCCAACAAACCCATCAAGGCAACCCTATCCCACAACATAATCATTTCTGCAAGACGCGTGTCATGCAATATGAGTATCCCAATCAAGCCAGATACACATCACCATCAACAAATAATCATTCGCATCGGTCCTCCTCGGTGATAGAAAACGACCCTGCATGCATACCTTGACTGACAGGTAGATTTAAACTTTTGCAACACGCAAGGAGAGACAATCCCTACCATAATTACTCCCCTTGGAATGTTTCTAGGAGAATTTTCAAGCCCGTGTGTTGTCATGTGGGTAAAGCTCTCTTTTTATTAACCTTTTTCTGTGACGGGTAGCATTCTTCCCTTTGGTGGAGATGGTACACATGTCATTGTTGGGTATGTGGATCGCCGGGTTTGGAACGTCAACGGTGGCGGGTGTGCGGGTGTAGATCGGGGAATGTTTGGTTTCGCTCCCTTGCGTAGAAGTCAAAGTTTATTGGGGGGTTAGGCGGCGTGGGTGGTTTTTTTTGGTTGGGTGGGTGGTGGATTGGATGGGGGAGTATCGCGGGTAGGATTGGTTTTGGTTTGGGGACTTTGTGGGATTTATATGTGTTTATGTATCTTGAGTAGACTATGAGTGTGATTGTTCTTGGGTCTCATGAGAAATTATGTGTTTGGAGTAAGATACTACAGTGGCGTGTGTTTGTAACTGTTTACTATTCTAGTCAGAATATTATGTCCAGTTCTTTTCCAGGTATTTATAAAGACCATAAGGCCATCATTACCCGCAGATACCTCTGCGGACCCCTAGAGTCCCCTATATGCTCAGGTACACATGGGATGAGGCGGGTAACTACCCTTGTAAGGATTCACTTCCTTACAGGGCAGCTAAGCAAAAGAAGTCCTGTCATACACTAGTCGTTGTTGGCACTTGTTTCTTCCTGGGTGTCAGTATACAGCACTAGTAGAGGGTGTGGAAGCGAGCCGTCTTCTATCCGTTTCACCGTAACAATTGTCTATGAGTATGCATTTAGGATAATTGGCTAATCCCTCTGTACAATTTACTTTGCGCTCCCTGTGGGGAATGCCACCATCTTCAGGATTTTCATTGGCTTTGTTGGTAATGTTTGTACTCGATGGCTTTTGATCCTTATTTGAATAAAGATGGGGGGAGGGGGGGATGAAAAGACATAAACACACACACACACAGAGAAAGAGAGAGAGTGTGTGTGTGTGTGTGTGAGTGAGTGGGAGAAAGCGAAAGAGTGAAAGCAATACAAACACGACAGAATGCATGTGATTTGACGCACGGCCCCGGCAATACTAACCAAAGTACCCACTCCTTCTATCTGTAACACTGTCTATTGGTCAAGCTCTAGCAGTAACCCACAATCTAAGCACTAGCGTCGGTCTACGGAGTAAGCAGGTTGCATGAGATTGGGACCTTCTTACAAAGCCAAATCCAAAGCATCCAATTCAGTTCGATAAAACACATATGAAGACACCAAATTGATAGTATATCCGGGTTAATCTCCGTACCCAAGGATGTTTTGCTGACGATGAGGTGGAGTAAACACAATCTCCCCCGTTCGGTTTGATGGGATGACAACTTGTCCTCTGTAGTAGGGCAAAGAAGAGGCATAAATACCAGCCTATTCTCCATGATCCGATCATCTTCCCAATCAGATTATACATTTACACTTTCTATGAACCGAATCTTTGCAAACCTCCACCGCGAAAATGTCTTCCAACACGTCGACTTCCCTACAGAACGCTCTCGAATCCTCCACATGCGAGTACCGACGGCTCGGAACCAGCGGTCTCACCGTCTCAGTCCCCATTTTTGGATGTATGAGCCTGGGAGATTCCAAGTCCATGCCGTGGACAATTAGCGAAGATGAAGTCCGACCTCCAGACCAACACGCAATCCTCTCACTAACATCAAGCCAGGCACTTCCGCTCCTCAAAGCCGCCTACGACTCGGGTCTCAACACCTGGGATACAGCAAATGCTTACTCGAACGGGGTCTCCGAGATTCTTGTTGGCAAAGCCCTAAAGAAGTATAACATCCCGCGAGAGAAAGTCGTCATCTTGACGAAATGTTTCTGGGGTGTTTCGGAAGAGCCTGGTACTGATTCTCCAGGCCCTCTTAACCTCCCTAGCTAATGTATATCATAGAAACCCTCCATTGGTCAACCCGGAAACCATTCGAAGCATCCAAAGACTACCAGAATCAATTCGGTTTATCCAGGACCGCAATCATCAACCAAGTCAACGCCTCACTCAAACGACTAGACACAGACTACATCGACCTGTTACAAATCCACCGATTTGATTCCACGACTCCCATCGAGGAGACCATGAAAGCCCTGCATGATCTTGTCCAATGGGGTAAAGTCCGCTACATCGGAGCGAGCAGCATGTGGGCTACGCAATTCGCCCGCATGCAGTTCTGTGCTGAGAAGAACGGGTGGACCAAGTTTATCAGCATGCAGAATCAATACAGTCTTCTCTATCGCGAGGAAGAGAGGGAGATGAATCGGTTTTGTAATGATACGGGAGTGGGGTTGATTCCTTGGGCGCCGTTGAATCGGGGGAATTTGGCGAGAGCGCCGGAGAGTTTTGGGTCGACTGTCAGAAGTGGGGAGGAGAAGGAGAGTAAGGTTGAGTTGCAGGAGGCTGATGTGGCGATTATTAACAGAGTTATGGAGGTCGCTGAAAAGAGGGATTGGCCGATGGCGCATGTTGCGTTGGCGTGGATTAACAAGCGTGTTACGAGTCCGATTATTGGGTTTAGTAGCGTGGAGAGATTGGATCAGGCGATTGCTGTTCGGGGTAAGGTGTTGACGGATCAGGAGGAGAGGTATCTGGAGGAGCTGTATAGGCCGAAAAATGTTCTTGTTGCGGAGACTCTTTAGATATGTCTAAATGTGGTAGGATTGATTGATGTCTAATCAGACACGAGGTCGGGGGAGTTGTATGCTTAGTTCCCTGTGGTTTCAATATTTTTCCCGTAGAAGCGGTCTAAGGGAAGCTGCTGGAGCAATACCCGGTGTATTATCACTCTAAATGAACCCATGAACAAGGCATGTCTCCAGTATAGGCCTACGAAACTGTACATACGAAATCTAAACCCCTTTTCATTCTATAGATCACAAATCAAACAAGTTATGAATGGAAAGAAAATCACAAATACCTCATAATAACACTCTCCCCCCTCCTCAACCTCCATTTATTCGTATGATGCAAAATATCCGGACATCCCTGAATCACCCACCCCCACTTCTTAATAAACCCCTCAGTGACTTCCCAATTCCCCGGATCAGTCGGCTCCCCCCACACCATCAACATATTATCCACGGCATCCGGATTCCAGAAACCCAATATATCCAAACAGAATTCATCTTCGTCATAATAGTTCAGCCTACGGATCAGGTTATCCCGTGCTCTCGGATACGGAAAAAAGTCCAACCACGGATGATGCGGCATTCTACACTGCATCACCGTTGGACGTAAAGATACCGGAAGGGGTCTTGGGCCAGGTCGTGCGGGGCCGATATGGTTAAATGGGGAGAGGACATCTGCTTGACACAGGCCATCGACTTGTAGGCCCAGAAGACTGAGATTGTGTACGAAGGCGCGGCAAATATTGGCTTTGGTTAGGGCGAGGAGGTGGTCGGGGCTAGGTTGGCCCAGTATATAGCATTGGTAGGCTGCCATTTCGAACTTCTCGAGACGTTGGACCTCGCTTTGTGATGAGTGATTCTGGGGTGGTTGGATGCGTTTGTGTTGGCGATATCCTGGTGTATGTCAGTCTGTAGAGATATATTATTGAATAAGGGGGTGACGTACGGTAAGCTCGTTGGTTTAATCTGTTTTGTCGTCGTCGTCGCTCCGCGGCATTTCGGATATGGCGCCATTCATCTTTCTCTAGTTGTATTTGGCGCTCGGCTAGAGTGGCGTCACGGAGGGAGGTAGGTCTTGCCGTGTTAGGGTTAAGATGCTGCATGCTTACTTCTGCTTATGTTGGGATATGTTAGTTCAATCAGACAGACTGGGATACAGAGATCAATTGGAGATGGATGTTGGTGCTTGATTTTGGTTGGTTGAAAAGTCATGTTCTCCACAGCTGCTGACAAATATAGAAAATGACGTAGTTGCAACCATACGCCAGCCCTACCACTGAGGTTTTCCTATTGGAGTTAAGTTACTCCGTGATGTGTTTGTTTTTAATGTTCAGCTTCGATCATATGGGATTTTCTTGTGCTGAGCAGCTCAGTTTCTTCGTGACAAGGGGCATTAATGCCTGATGGTAGATGATGTAGCGGGCTTTCAATTTTAATCTCTATTTCTATGAAAATATCATCTTGCGGAGGATAAGGACTTAGGTTATCCTTGTCTCAAAATCTCCCAGCACATTGTGCCTATCTCAAAGCTGCGACATCCATATCAAGCCAAACGATTCCTACCGCTTCCCAACGCTTCCCACACAAAAAACCATACACTCCATTGTTGCCAGCTCACGGAATTGTTCACTAACAGGGCCTGGGTTAGACGTCCAAGTACAGTTCAGAAACGATATCAATGACCTCCCTCCCGGAGCAGCAAGTATCAATCAATTCCGAGTGTAATTGAAAGTGACCGAGAGTAAGCGATGCTATCAGTAGATGATATGTTGGAGTGGCTACTAAGGCGATTCAACCGTGTAGAATGAGATGGATGATGATCTAGCTAGGGGCCTCGTAGGCCATTTATATGGACTAACTAGCGGTGTAGGGAGGAATGTCACGTGACTCTACGTTGCCTACCGGCGTGGGAGCCCATCGGGGATCCCAACATGATATTATAACTGGTAAAGAGAGGATGCCAAGAGAGCTGATAGCGACATAAGTTCACATATTGCCAAGATGCTCTACGTCAGCCTCTGCAGCTTGGCGCGGTTAGCTCCGACAGGGTCAGACATATCTCCATTAATGGAAAGTACCTCGGCTAGGATCTGAATTTTCTGATGTTCGCGGGTCTACTTCGGTGATCTTGTATTGGATGAAATTTGACAATTCTCAGTGTTCAATGACGACGATGCGTGATTAAAGATCTCAGTGATAAAAACCACTCCCTAATCTTTCTAATAGTTTGTCTGACCCAATGACTTTAGAAATCTCGACATCTGCGAGAATATGATTATTCAGAGATTATTCAATCTCAGAACTGAAACCCTGGACCAAACAAGAACGTTCCGATTGGATAGGACTCTACTATCTATAGATTAAAGGTGGGTCGAACCGGAGTATTGATTTGAGCCAAGTCCTGTAGGGAAGGATTTGTTCCAACTATCCAATGGCATGGCTATACAGGCCTACACTGCCCCATAGGTGGAGTTATCTAGTATCCCTAGGCACGAAAATTCCATTCAAACATTTACCACAATAGGACAAGGACGACAACTTCATAGGACACACGAACGGGCAGACATCTATTTCCGACTGATAGACTTCAACTACACCAGACTATGTTCGGCCCACCATGATTAGTCGTTGATTCTCTTAGTATCCTTCCTGTAGCCAAGCCAACCCAACTCAATTTGTCTCAGCCCTAATCACCACCGTCTCGGCGGAGACCGGTCTTGCATTCGTAGCCTCCTATGCTGCATGCTAAACAGCGAGTCGGGCCTTGTAGGATGCCCACCATTGCATCCGGGGCACTGATTAAATACCGGCTCTCTGTACCCAGCATTTGAATGCAGAGCAATGATGCTCGTGACTTCCAAGGCAATTCGGACACTTGTGGTCATTGTGTGCATCTTCGTCTTCGTCACACTTTGGAAACTCCCACTTCATCGTCCCCATAGCTTCCCACGGCCTTCTTTCCATGACCATACCTTGCCTTCCGAAGTCGACTGGTCTCGGTTCGCATATACACAATACGTCACGAACACAGCCTATCTCTGCAACTCGGTCATGCTATTCGAGACCCTACATCGACTAGGCAGCAAAGCCGATCGCTTTATGATGTATCCGGCGGAATTTTCCACCCAAGGTGACTCCGTCGAAGCGAAACTGCTTCGCAAAGCCCGCGACGAGTATGGCGTGACATTGGCGCCGATTAAGGTCCAAAGTCGGAACACTGCTGATAGTAAGCCATCATCCTGGCTGCTACCACCAAGTATTGCTAATGATCCACAGCGACATGGGCACAGAGCTACACCAAGCTCTTAGCATTCAACCAAACACAATATGACCGCGTTCTGAGTCTGGACTCGGACGCGACAGTTCTCCAGGTAGGTGCAGCTATCTGGATACTGAACCATTGCTAAGGTCCAGGCCATGGACGAATTATTCCTCCTCCCACCAAGCCCCGTGGCCATACCCAGAGCATATTGGCTCAACTTTGACGATCGGGTCATGAGCTCCCAACTTATGCTTGTTCAGCCGTCCGCTGTTGAGTTCAGCCGCATCGAGCAGAGTATTGCTGCAGCTGGCTCGAAGGAGTATGATATGGAGATTGTGAACGATTTATATCGAGATAGCGCATGTATTCTCCCGCATCGCCCGTATAATCTTGTGACAGGTGAGTTTCGCTCGAAGAATCATACGGCGTATTTGGGTAATTCGCAAGAACTGTGGGATCCGGCCGAGGTTTTGAGGGAGACCAAGTTTCTGCATTTTTCTGACTGGCCTGTTCCTAAGGTATGTTATTCTATCAAGGATTGTGTCACAGGCTAACCGGGGTGTAGCCGTGGATACAAGCTCCTGAGACGGTGATCGCGGAAAAGAAACCAGAGTGTGAGATGGATTCCCAGACTGGTCGGTATGATGACTGTCGGGCGCGCGATATTTGGCTGGGGTTGTATGATGATTTTGCTCAGCGACGTCAGGTATTTGTCTCTTTCAAGCATTCTTGATCCTTCTCTGATGGCTTTTAGCGTGTTTGTGGCATGAGTTTGAGCACGAAAGGGTAGAAGCGCGCATATTATTAACCCTTTTTAGCTCTTATAACGTTGTGATATAATGGTTTTGGTCTTAAATTCCATTCGGACCAATTCATCGAGTTTGTGAAAATCATGACTCGAATGAATTCGGGGAAAACTATATTTCCCAATCATGATGATAAAATTTTGATAAATGGATAACTTCCGCCAAAATTGGAGTTGATGCAATACTTTCGGATCTAATACTTAACCATGGACAATCAAAGTTAAACACCTGTATAGATCGTCAATTTTCCACGAAGAAATATGTAGTCTTAGTATCTATGTGGATTATCATGTGTGCCCACTTTACCAGAAGATCTTGTGGCTTGCCACCGCTCTGTCGGTCAGTATCAAACCTCAGGGATCCAAGTATCATCAACTGAATTATCACATTCTAGCAATCCTTATCCTGAACTGGATCTCCTGTTCATTCGATAAGATACCCCGCATCAGATAAGGCAGGAGCATGTGACCCCTTGCGCCTGCCAAGACCATCTGGAATCTGATTGTCAAGCGGCACCAATCAGGTGACGGGCCGACCGAAAGATAATTTAATCGGTCAAGGGTGCAATCAGATTGGACAGCGTACACTTGACTGTACCTTAATCAAAAGTCAATCTCACAGATTGACTCGGACACTACGAGAATAGTAGAAGACATGTAAGTGGAAACCTGATCATGACACTCACGGTCGCCGACGATGACTCGACGAGAGAACCCACCGCCTGCAAATTTTTTAACGTTTTCCGAAAGAAACGACTAGGAGAGGGGCTGAAAGCGGAATACGGCAGAGTTTCCCGCCCGGCTCCTATTGGTGAGGTACACCTCCACCATCGAATGATCCTCTCCACAGACCAATAGGAATGGCAGACCGGGCAACGATGTCACGGCGGGGGGTATTGGGTTTCGCAGATGAATACCCCGCGGTATTCGACGCAAAAAATCGATGTCACTCCCAAGAACTGCGAACCACATTCACCACTGCAATTCTCATTTTGATTCGATCATTGATGTACAGCTTTCTCCCTTGCCTCGTCCCAGTATACCTCTGAACGGCTCAGCTCACCATGGAGTCCTCCCCTGGTAATTTAGAGGCCAATCGGCCCGACAGTGGCAGCAAGAAGCCCCTCCCCGGAAAGCTGAACGCGTGGGTGGATGGCAAGCTGCCCGAGGCCGTGGATGATGGAGACCAGCAGATCATCGAGGCTGGAGAAGCCAAGTACCACCGTCTCGGGTGGAAGGGGCTCACTATCATGCTGATTGTGGAGGCCATTGGCTTAGGAGCGCTATCGATTCCTTCCGCGTTCGCTGCCCTCGGCATGGTGGCCGGTGTTATCTGCTGCGTGGGCATAGGCTTGATTGCGATATACACCTCGTACGTGATTGGACAGGTCAAGCTCGCCTTTCCGGCTGTCCGCGATTATGGCGATGCGGGGGCCTTGCTGATGGGGTCTTGGGGGCGTGAGCTCTTCACCTTCATGTTGATCCTGCAGCTGATCTTCCTGACTGGCTCCAACTGCTTGACCGGTACTATCGCCCTGCGTCATATCACTGATAGCGGAATTTGCTCCGTCGTCTGGAGTGTTGTTTCCGCGGTCATTCTTCTCTTGCTGTCGATCCCGTCCTCTTTTGCTGATATGGCCTGGCTCGGCTATGTGGACTTTATCTCCATTGTGGCTGCCATTGGTATCACTATTATCGCTACTGGCGTCCGGAGCACTGATGCCCCGGGCGGTCTCTCTGCAGTAGACTGGTCCGCTTTGCCTCAGGGTGATCCCAGCTTCTCGGATGGATTCATCGCTATTAGCAATATCGTCTTTGCGTACACCTTTGCCAGCTGTCTCTTTTCGTTCATGGACGAGATGCACACGCCTAAGGATTTCACCAAATCGATTTGGTCTCTCGGTATCCTCCAGATCGTGATCTACACCATCACGGGAGCCACGATCTACGCCTTTGTCGGCCTCGATGTCCAATCGCCCGCACTGCTGTCGGCCGGAAACATCGTGAGCAAGATCGCTTTTGGCATCGCCCTGCCAGTTATCTTCATCTCCGGGGCTATTTGCACCATTGTTGCCGGTCGATTGATCCACGGCCGGATCTACGCCAACAGCGTGACTCGTTATATCAACACGCCCAAGGGGTGGATCACCTGGTTGACTGTGATCACGGTCCTAACGGTTATCTCTTGGGTTATTGCCGAGGCCATTCCATTCTTCGACGATCTCCTTTCTATCACGTCCGCATTATTCACCTCCGGGTTCTCCTTCTACCTTCCCCCAGTCCTGTGGTATGTCCTCATCCGCAAGGGGCCGTGGTATTCCCGGGAGAACCTATTAACCAGCCTGGTGAATCTATTCTGCTTCATCTTTGGTCTGATTGTCCTAGTGGGTGGACTTTATTCCAGTATTGAGGATATTGTAAGTACCCAATCAATCCCATCCTCACGAATACACATTAACAATGACAGAAAAACAACTACGCCGACGGCGACGTCCACAGTCCTTTCACCTGCGGTGATGTTTCTTAATTGCATTGCTTGTTATCGTTCTCAGCATGTTCCGAACTGTATCTTAATGTCCTACGCTCTACGAGCCTTCGTCATATCTTATGAGGTTATGTGAATCCAGGTATTCTTGGCCTGTGTGTATTGCTGTATATTAGCTGCCGTGGCGGTACCTGTATATATAATGAGTGTGTTGAATTGGGATGTGAGCACGTGCTCTCGTTTCCTATGCTAAAGAAGGGATGAGTCGGTGCCACTCGGGCAGTGAGCAATTTATACCATCCTTTGACTTTATTTTTTTTCTTACTATCTAATTTGGGGTCGATGAAGCAGCTAGGTTACATTCTTTTTCTGTTTGGTTATGGTGATTACTGACTGCAGGCAGACTCCCGTCCTACTGCATATTCCCCGGTCCGCCACAAGCTCCGGTCACTATCGGGAGTAATTCCGGGAAGGCCTCTTTCCGATCATACTCCGGATCTCACTACGACCTTAAATCTGCAACTTTAAACATCAGAGTATGCACAACACCCAAGAACAAGGAATGTATCGTACAAAGACTCCCCGTCTAACCTTATCCCACCGACCACACTTCATTTCAGTAATCCTTTCATGTTAGTATATATAGCTAGATAGCCCATATTGTATCAATCCCTAACCAAAATATCTTGAGAATTCAAATTAGAAAGACCACTTGGTATGGGTGCAGTATCAGCTTGGCAGGCTTCATACATTTGATTAAGACCCGGGTTTCACTTGGGATTTAGTTGTTTGCTTATGGGAGGCGAAATCGGTGTTGGTGATGTGCGCTTCTGGGTTATACTGCTGTCAGTAAGGGGGATATTTTGAGGTGGTTTCAGGCCACTCGGTGGGGAGATATCTTACCTAATAAAGTAAAGAGATTGGCAGTCTTGTCCACAGGAGGGGCCCAGTTGCGAGGGGGTCAGAAATTAGTGCAAGGGTATCAGAGAATTCCTGACACCCGATGAGCTCAATCACGTAAATAGCTGATCTAGTATCAGGATTTTATAACACTGAACCAGCTATTATAATACTTAATTATTAAATCTAACCATATTTTCTACAGATTTTAGGATATTTATTAGGGTATTTAGGATAATTAAGATATTAGATTTTTTTAAAAAATTTTTTTTTTTATGTATGATTTTTAATTATAGACAGAACTGAACCAGTATCAGAAATATTATATATAAAGCTAATCCAGTATTAGATATATCATGTGTTTAAACTAATTCAGTAATAGATTTAAAAATATCAGATAACTGAGCTTATTCAGTATCAGAAATTCTCTAAACCTAGCTAAACAGTTTTTCCAGCACAAGTCTGGCACCCTCGCACTAATTTCTGACCCCCTCGCAGCTGTAACCCCGTCCACAGGCGGTGGGTAGAACGTTGTCGAGGTATCAGGAAGACAAAGAAGTTGTATGAATTTCAATACGGTTTTGATTCTATCCTTAGATTATTGAACCTGCTCGGGTTTGAGACTTCAGCGCTCGAAGGGTGGAGGGATCCAGGGGAGTTGACGATGTCTTGTCGTTTGATTTAGGCTCTGGATTTTGTTCTATTCTGCCAGTGTGAACGGGATTGAGTACCTCGGTGAAGATTAAGCTTGTGAGTGATGCGCGCTGAGGGGAGGAGAGTGGTTCAGACAATCAGTGGCAGAGACTTGGTGGGTTTTGTGAATTCCTGGCCCTGATATTATCTATATAGAGATGGAGGCCCCCAAAAATAGAACATTTTACTCTAGAGGCGTATGATCTTGAATCATGTGAAGAATTTCAGTACTTGTTCCTTTTCACTCATCCTTCCTCTTTATCTTGGCGAGGGCGTGAACATAATCTAATCTACCTACACATATTTTTTGACAGACATTAAAGACCACAATTCCATTGCACACTCCCAGACAAATAGCTCCATCAGATCAATAACCTATTTATTCTTCGTCCCAGCAGCAGCCTTAACCAACTTAACACCGAGTCTAGTAATCTCCGCCGCACATTCCTCGCTCGAGACAGCCGCAAACCGTTTCTTGTCCAATTGACCCAACTCACTAGTCTCCCCTTGCGGGTCAATATAAACCACCTTATCTGTGGCAGAAACAGCCAGAAATCCTATCTCTGATTCGTCCGTCGAGGTGATGGTGAAATTCGTAATTGCGTGGTTTGCGAATCCGCTGCCTGGGATGATAGATTCTGGGGGGAGGAATGTTATTATTTTTGCAAGATAGATGGATGGCAATCATTTTTTTTTTTAAAAAAAAGGAGGCAGGCACATACCATCCCATTCATCATTTCCAGGAACCCATTTCAAGTCAACGATTTGATTACCACTCCCGATATACAGGAGATGGATCGCTCCACTGTCGGCTTCATATGCTGTGTGAACTAGCTTTGACTGCTGGAATTCCGGGAGGGGAGGAACAGGTGTGCATTCGCCATCTCGTTCGATGCGGATTCCCTGGAGTTGGCCGGAGGGGTCTTGGAAGAAAATGAGTTGATCTCCGTTGTTGTCGAAGCAGCCGCTTAGGGGGCTGGTAGGGTGCATGTGTAGGGGATGTTCGGATTGGAGAGACACCGCGGACCATGCTTCCTCGCTGTCGTCGTATTCGGCGCATTGGAGGAGGTTTTCTGCATTTGGGAAGAAGACGCGGCGCTGGTTGGGGGGTTGTGTTAGTGTTATTGGTGGGTTTTCTTGTTTGGGAGGGGAAATCTCACAGTATCATCATTGAGTAAATATTTAGCAGATGGAGAACTCTTCACCTCCGAGGCGATAAAAACCTTGTCCTTGACTTCGCTTCCTGTCCAGTGGTCTTCTATCAGATTACCATCCTCCTCGACAATGTAATAGAGGGTGGATCCATCAAGGGACAAAGCGCCCGCGGCTACCTTGAGGAAGTAGGCAATGTCGTGGAGGGAGACGTCCATGGTGTTGATTGACTGTAGAATCTTGTGCGGTGATGAGTGGTGTGTGTTGGGGTATATGTACAAAGGACTTAAATAAGGCTTGGTTGGTAGTGCGGGGATCTATGAAATGGCCATGTCGTGGGGCTGTCAGGCCAGCTGAAAATTGGGCGCGCAATGCATGCAGGGGCTGTCACACCTACTGCATATGGTATCAGTACCTGTCTGGTATTACGGATGGTAAGGTATGGTATTGATACCATGTCCTATATAAAGATCATTGAATCACACTGTCGGTAGAATAGCTCTCACATCTATACTAATTGTCTAAGCTGTACAACATGTCCGACGAAGAGTCCTTCGAACTAAACCCTCTGGTGTGGGATCCCTCACGAAGCAGATTGCCCGAGAAAGAGGAGTCATGGGGTCTGAAAAAGGCAAGAACCCAGGACCGAGAGGATTGGGTAGTTAGACTGAAATTCAAGCAAGATGGCGAGCGTATGTATATCCGTCATTTACTGCTCTGGTGTTGAACTGAATAGAATAGCGGACGAGAAGGTTGGCACCGGGTTCTTTCTCAATATCCCCGGAGCCGAGTGGTATGTCATCTTAACAGCAGGCCATAATCTCGTGGATAAGAGCGGCCATCCCTCCAAGGACCTCATCATCGAGCGACACAAGCACAAATATCCCATCGAGCCACTAGACATCCCGCCATTCGTGTGTCCACTGTACCATCGTGAGCGTGGTGAACAGGGCCCGGACCATGACTACGGGGTCATTCTCGTTCGCCGGCAGTTCGAGACGAACAAGAATCTCAGGAAGGCATTGGATCTCGATCTTGGGTTTGGATTCGCGCTGAATCTGGCCTACGAGAATCTCGAATCCAAGACGCTGGAACTCACTGGATTTTTCCCTCATGAGGAAGATAAGACAGGAAGAAAAGTCCAATCAAAAGAACAGGAACTTGAGCCCCTCAGTACCTCCAGTGGAGAATGTCGGATTGCCCGGGAAAGTCATCTGGAGTACGATATAACGACCGACAAAGGGCTGAGTGGATCGCCAGTCTTCATGCCCTACAATGGTCATGAAACGGTGGTAGCGGTCCAGTAAGTGAAGTCACATTGCAAAGTTGACCTAATGTCCACTAATGAAGAAACCAGCAACAACGGCCCCGCCAGACGCGGCAAGGGAAGCACCGGAGCTCGGATCAACGCCACTGTCCTCAAGCAGATCTTCGAGTGGGCCAATCTCAGTCAGCATCATAAGGCTCTCAAGGCTGCTTCCGATAAAAGCGAGCCGGACCCATTGTATCTGCATTTTCCTCCGTACGAGGACTTAGCGTGGGTCCACTGGGGGAAAGAGGGGATGAACACTGCCTTTGATGTGTTTCCAGCCTATGCACCAACCCCTCTCGTGGACGTTAGCATGCTGCATGTGTTCCAGCATGTGCCGCCTCCGGATTGGCCCGAGGCAAGAAAGGATCAGCAGTGGGTCTTGTGGGATGTCATGGCAAAAGGTGTCACACTCACGGATACCCTGCAGCAATTCTGCTTTGTGGAGCTGAAACAATCCAAGAAGGGAAAAATGTTCACGGTTGTCGTGAGGTTGGAGGGTGGGAGGGACCAGAGTATGGCTTGCCTGGTAGTGAATGGAGATGACATTACCGAGTTGGATCGAGAGACAGACACCTTTGATGGCTCCAATGTGTCGTTGGAAAAGTATATTAAGAATTTACCACTCAAGGTATGTCCTTTTTCCATGTTCTCTGTTCTTCTTTTGGCTGATGAAGCTAGTATAACACCTTTTGCTGGGACGACGTAGCCGCCTAGAGGCTCCATTACTGCGGGATATCGATGAAGAAGCAACCAAGCATATGAGTACTATTAAATCCACCACGTTTATTACACCGTAACCTCCGATTCATCTTCCAATTGCGGCTTCTCCTTGAGCTGCGCCATAACCCCAGGCAACTTCCACGCCTGAAACGGCCAAACCACCAACCACCCAACCGACCAGAGCGGCACAAAAACCCTTGCATACCGCGGAAGATACGCTCTGCTCACCACCGAAAGACTATCAATCAACAAGATCAACCCCGTCACAAATGGGATCAACTGCCCCGGCGAGCGCAGATCCATCACCGGCGTCAAGTGATTCCAGTACAACGTGACCTCCACCGTAACAATAGTAAAGACCCAAACCACCCACACCTGAATGGTCAGGAAGAACTCTTCCGACTTCCACTTGATGGTGGCGGAGATTTCGTCAAGCTCGACTGGGGATGGTTCGGTGCGACCGGCAGCGTAGGCAGTCCAGGCAATCATCAAGACGCGAACCATTCTCGAGGCAACCATCAGGGAGGTGATGGCGTCAATGGTGAGATAAACGAGGGCGAGATAGCGGACCCAGCCGGTGAGGGACACCCGGGCAAAGAAAAACACCACATTCGGGGTTCCCAATCGAGGGAGGCTGTGCACTAGAGTGCCAAAGGTCCACAGCAGGGCCGCGCAGGTACCCAATTCGGTGAGCAGCACCGCCAGAACCCCGATGGTTTCGCCCATGATGGTTCGGGGATTACACAGAGTATATTTGGCCGGAAAGGCCAGGCACATCACCATCATCAGAACGACAATCGCCTCGCTGGGACTAAACGCCTGCTCCACCGCGTAGCAAAACCACGAGGCTAAAATGGATACAGTAATGCTTCCCGACGCTATCTTCAGCCCCTTGCCGTAGTTTTCTTCGTCGCCGTAGAGATAGAGGATCATGGCGAGGCCTTGGAGGTAGAATCCCAGCCGGACTCCCAGGCCGTAGAGATCCTGGGCAGCATCGTCGTTGCCGATTTCCTCTCGAGCTATGAGGTGGGATTCCATGGGGGCGGGGGTGTGGTGTTGATCGTTCGGAGCAGATGCGACAGGAGATATGGGCGTATCTTCCTACTCAAGCTCTGTATGAGGGGGAATTTATCCATGGCTGTCACATACTGACGTGTCATGCATACTAGAGGATTTTCAGATGTCCAATCAAACAGATTCTCAAAAATGGTCTGCTCCAGATACTGTTGCAGGGTTCATAGTCGTAGCGGATGCCTGGCTCCGATTCCCCGAGGCTGAGGGCGGGTGGACCAATCGATTGTCCCGTAGCGGGTGTTCGGAGTTGACACGCCGCCCGTGCATAAATACATGACGAGCGGATGTAATGTAATGTAATACATGTAATACCGTTCTGCGGCAAGTTCAATGTCGAGCTGAACTTGCGTGAACCTTGCGCATCGTCAGCTGAATGATCTGCATATCACCCCTGCTCCTTCAAGATTTGACTGAGATGGATATCAGAGCACGTTATAGGATCATTGAATGGCGAGTCAAACTTGACAAGGCACTCCGGAGGCTTCTTCGTAGGTCTGGTGGCGGTATCCGAGTAGAGGTTGGAATATATAACACCTCTCCCATAGCCTCAATTGTGCATTACACCTCAAGACTTTGAACATAACCAAGAAAGCTTATTGACAAAGACCGCAATCCAGTACCATCAACCAACATGAATACCATCTACGACCACGCTAAAAACGGCACCCTGACCGAGCAAGACCTGCAAGGCGCCGACATCAAAAAACTCAACTACCTTGACCCAAAAGACAATACCACCCCTCTAGGCATCGCCGTCCTAAACAGAGACTTCAAAACAGCCCAACTTCTCCTCAAACACAAGGCTGATCCAGACTGCCTTCGACGAGGAATCCCCCCTCTGTGGCGAGCATGCGGGTTCGACCGACGCAAAGAAAACGTCGAAGAGCGTCTCATACAGCTTCTACTCAATCATAAAGCAGACCCAAACCTCGTACCTGAAGGCCAGAAGGGCAAAGCCATGACACCGCTGATGAAAGCTGTTAAAACTCACAAATCTCTCGAAATCATCTCGAGTCTGGTGGACCACGGTGCTGACCCGGATGCCATTGTCAATAAAAAATCGGCAAAGGATTTGACCACGGACCCAAAGGTGCTGAATGCCATGTTACCTCGTGCAACGCGGTTCAAGAACCGTGCCAAAGAAGTAGCCAAGGTGACGGCATTCGTCATGTCGGCTGTTTTTTGGGCAAATAAGAACCTGAAGGTTGCTGCGGGTGTGGGAGTCGCGGCAGCAGCAGGTATGATTGCCAAAGATGCGATTAAGAGGAGGTTTAAGATGACTGGCAAGGTTGACAAGCGGCTGGGAAAGGTAACCTTCTCATTCGTTTGTTCTAAGAAGACTTGACGCTGATACATTGTATACTATAGTATATCTCCGAGGACCAGGGTTTCAATGACGCAAAGGAACAAGAGAAAGACGAACTCAAGAACCGAATGCTCGCAATTATCAAAGACAACAAGCTGGACAACTTTTTCAAACCAGATGATCCGTTTCTTAAAGAGGTGGTGGAAAGGGCGGTGGACTTGGACCGGACGAGTCCATCCAATGTCCTAGACCCCAAGGACTTGGCTCATTTGGCCCTCTACCAGCCCGTTCTTTACTGCGGTAAGATGCACCTCTCTCATGTCTCATGGACACGTCTGACAGAGTTCAGACGACAGTGCCTCCATGAAGCAGGACCAGCGAAAAGAGCATCTCAACGACCTCACCCAACGCATCACCAGTATCACGACCCGAGTTGTTCCTGACAATGAAGGAATTGAGCTGCGATTCATCAACGAGAAAACTACACCACCAATGTCGAAACCCTCGTTGGAGACGATCGACACGATCATGAAACATGTACCTTTTGACGGGTGGACGGAGATTGGCACGAATCTCCGAACCAAAGTTTTGCAGGATAATGTTTACCAACACCTCGGAAGGAATACACTGAAGCGCCCTGTGCTGGTCTCGATCATTACGGATGGCCACCCAAGCGGGCCGCATGGTACGCCTGAAGGTATCGACACTCTTAGGGATGTTATTCAAGAATGCGGGACCAAATTGAAAGCCCATGGTTATGATCCAAAAGGTGATTGGCTCTCTTTCTTCTTGTTTTTTCTTTCTTTCAGTTTCTTTTTTTCTTTTTTTTTGGTTGTATTAGACTAACCAGCCCAGTGGTCCGCTTTCAAGTCAGCCAGATCGGAGACGATCCAACCGCCAAAAAATTCCTGAGTGATTTGGAGAATGATCATGAACTTGATGATGTTCTCTACATTACCAGCGGTAAGTCCTTGTACATTCTCACTGAACTATTACTCATAGTCTGGATAGAACGATTGGACACCGAGTTCAAAAAGCTTCGCGACAACGACATTAGGCTTGAACAATGGGTAGATTTTCCTTTTTTCTTTCTTTGTCTCGCTTGATTCCTATGCTAACACAATACCAGCTTATCGAGCTCCTCATGGGTCCGATCGTCGACGGACAGAAATCCTAGTAGTCATTCTCGTAGACCCTTGTACTATTCAGCTGAAAATGCTTACTACGGGTATTACCAACTAGCCACCACCACATAAATACAAGCTTGTTTCAACCTCTCGCGAGATCAGACGCGATCGGAGATGTTCGCTATCCAATCACAAACGCTGGCTTATCAGTAACAAGCCGCCTGGCATAAGGTTCAGTAGATCATCTCCCAAAGTAGTCTCCCAAGCACCCTGGCTTCGCCTCCATAACTGCCCCAAGCTGACATGCTGAAGAGCCCGGTATCATCACAAACCAACCACTCGGCCTGCATAGAAAATCCCACCCAACACTCCGATCTCCCCATTTATAGAATATTCACTTACCGTCCATTTCAGCAAAACAAGCACCCAGATCTGTCACATCTGGGTCTGGGGTAACACTTCTGGCCGAGCAGTTTGCCGTCAGCTCGATTTGCCTTTTTCCAACTACCGACTACAGAGTCTAGCTAGCCACCCACGCCTCGGCGATCGGAAGTTAATTCCTGCAGCGAGGCTGTAATGACTGGTAGGGGTAGGAAGAGTATCCACCGCGGGGATCGGTCGGGGACCAGACGTGAACCCCGAGCGGAGAAGTGCATGCATGCTTGACTGATATGTCGTCCATGCTTCTGTCGATCAGGCTGCCAAAGCAGTACATATGCAGATGGTATTTCTCCGTATGAACAGTGGTAATGAACCCAAGTGGGGCACGAACTGCAGTCAGTGGGTTTGTTTGCTAGTACCTCCCTCAGCTGCAGCTGCCCCAGGCATAGCAGGCACTGGACCGAGCTGAGCTGAAGCTCTCCTTTCTTCCCCTTTCGTATTCTAGCTGCATTGGCTTACTTTCTTCGGTATTTACGGATACATGATCTTGATCCATCCCGCTCAATCAATTCAAGTCTAGAACCTGATGCCAAGTAGTACCGGTACTGTAGCCATCAAAGTTTCGGGCGGGTAAAAGCGGCTGCACCCGTTAGCTTCATTGTTTACCCGCCCGGCCAACCGCGGGAAATTAAGCACCAGTAAACTACTATATTTCTTTACTCTAGTAGTAATGCCAGCAATGACTGAATAGAATAAATCCTACTAGGTTACTACTTACCTTCTGCCCATCCTTTTCGGGCCGCGCTAGCGCTGAGAACCTCTAGGTCGGGTTCTGGTAAGGGAAGGTTATAGCTCCGAGGCCTGGTTTCATAAAGCTGTCTTTCTTATTGGATTTTTTTTTGTGGTGTGACTTGCTCTATATTGCTGGTATTTACAGCTTCGCTCCCTTGGTAAGGGTGGGGAGAGGTATGGACACCCCCCCCCTTCGTGTTATTTACACAAGGCTCCGTCTGTCTCCAGCGGGTCTGTGTGACCCACTCCAATGAATATCTCCTGTTTCTGGAGGAAGGAGTTTTTCAATCTGGCAAAAGGCTTAAAATGAAGTTGTCTTGTGTGTTAGTTGCTGGCATATGACTCCGAAAGTCCACACCCGACGGAAATGCCACCGCCTGTAAGAATTCATCTCCGAGGTCAAATCTTTCAGGGTCAAAGCCACGCGTTGGCAAAGAAAATATCACACGAAATTAGTAAAAGCTGCTCTTTGGTCACGTTGGATACCGGCTCCAATACCTTACAGGACTTCAAAGACCGCATGTACTACGAAGCTTCACCAGCATACCCACGTTGGATCAAGCATGGAGATGATAATCAGAAGGCTAGAACCCTCGGAGCGACTGGCTCAACAGTAGGTACTGCATCTTGTTGAGTTATACGTCGGGATACTATCTCATGTTTCTGTGCATGGGTTTCTGTCAAGCCGTGTACTGCAGGTTATAATGCCTTTGAGTAGTAGTTAGTACTCCTTGCATCAAACAGTTGAAGAGCCCGCATAGCTAGCATCTCGCGTAGCGGGCGTCACTAAAACATAGTCAAGTAGGTTGATAAATCTGATCGAAAAAGGGCACTTAGGTAAGAGACATATGCTTGATCTTTATACAGGGTAAGATAATTAACACAACATACCAACCGAGTCTGCGCTAATCCCGGTCCATACCCATATTCGCATCTTGATGGGGATAAAGTCCTCCGTTTCCAACTCCAAGTTTCATGGACTTACGTGGGAAATTGCAGTTTTATCTTAAGAAGCTTGATCCGTATCCTACTGAACCAAATAATCCACTTTTCCGGCCAGGTGATGAGATTGTAGACGAGACTGGTCTCCTTCCGATGGTGTAAGCTCCGAGGTTACTGTATATTATGTCGCGTACTTCATAACGTCACGGTGATTCTTTTGGGAAAGCAGCAATGGTAGATAGATCGTAAAGTCCGAGAGCGCTGTATCTCAGGGAAAGGCTCTCAATAAACTAGTTGATTCTGATTAGGAAACCTGTGCTGAGATCCTATCGTTCGTAAGTCCTTTCTGTTTTTCTTCTCTTTGTCTGAAAATATTGTGCACTATTGTGGGAATAACGGGACATAGGCAACTATTCTATATGCTTTGGAAAACTCCCTGGAATAGCATAGTCCATACTACCCAGAAATAGATGAGCCTGGCGTATCATTCGATTGGTATTTCTCGAACAGGTTCTATATCATGAGCCCGTCCACTGGATTGACCGTTCATTGTACACACTTGCCTTGTCCAAGGCAGCAAGCCAACTAACAGCGATACCACACCTATATAATGAAATCCGGGCGTATAGTCTCCAGGACCATTCGACTGAACACGCCATTATAGGAATAGGACTAGTATATCGTGTACATATGTAACCGTTCGAGGAAGACGCGGTTGCAGTCCCACCCTTCGCTCCCACCACTGGAATTTACATCCTACTGAGGTGAAACTGGTGCATTATTAGAATCTGCAGCCCTTTTTTCTTATCCCGCCCAACATAGAAATGAGAGTCGCACTCTCCTTCGCCTCAATGGCTGATCCCGCGGAGTCGGTAACTCCTTTGCATCTCCTTAGCTCTTGATGTAAAATTCGAGATGATGAGATCTCTTTCGAAAATAAAAACTATGGAACAGACGTTCAAAAGCTATGTTGTTTGTAGAAAGGTCGATCTACGGACGACTCTTTTTATCTAGTTCTCACTTCAGAATTGACACTAAGTGCCCTTTGTAAATGAATGCTACCGGGGATTCACGGGTCTGCTAATTCGGTGATATGAAAGATTAGAGCTCTGGATCCTTCAAATCATAGCCGACGAGCTCAATGCTGGACACTATCCTTCATTACAGACGCATCTGTGACCTGGATATATCTACCCTGGTCTAATTTGTAGTTTCTGTCAGGGTATAATCCCGCTAGGCACGCAATATTGCTGGAAAAAAATCACCCTATTGCTTCCGTTTTGATCTCCTGCTAGCAACTAGCTACTATACTCAAGTAAGACACTCGAGCTACACCGGCCAGGTTACGACCACAACGGTGTGCACTACAATAGCACTTTCCGCCTGGGTCCTATGTAAACGACTGATTGTCTAAAGAGTATGGAGAAAGATTCTAGCAAAGGAACTTATATGGCAAATATGATATAGATAGCCGCTGAGGTGATATAGTAAGTAGAGACATGCGTCAGGGCGATAAGTACCAATAGAAAGCCTCAGGTGTATACAGTTTCGAGAGTAGAAGATTCGGCCGATAACGGAGAACAGTTTCTCTTGATCAATCAGACGGAGTATGTAGAAACCTTGTTTGTAACACATATTCCGTGACTGTATACTCGGCAAAGGCCGGATGAGGCAATCATCAACCCATTTTGATGATATATTCACAATGACGCGACGCGCGTGTCATGGTAAATGATGGGTTCTTCCCGTTATTGTGGCTGTGACTCATGTTAAAGTCCGCGTCAAAGAAAATTCTTCTAACCTGACAACTCAATCTTCATCTCTCTGATCAGACACCATTTCTCATCGAAAACATCTCACCACAACCTCCATTCTCATTATATCAAACCATACAATCGACCAACCATGTGTGCCTACAGCTTGGAAGGACGAGTCTTCCAGATCGACGGAAACAGACTAGAGATCGAAGAGCAACTCTCCGAGGTGTTGGATAGACGGATGGGCCAGCGTCATGTTCTAGCAAAGGCTAGAAACACAGTGACTCAAAAATCCTGCTTCATCAAGATACGCTATGAACTGAACCCGAAAGACTTTGATTTCGATGATCACGATCACCAGGAGATCCTGGAGATCGCTGAGCAACATTACTGCCATGAAGTTGAGGCTGCTGAACTCTTGGGCAACAAGGGACTCGAGCCCAAATATGTCACCCGTGAAACTCAGGACCAGCCTGAGTGGATGCCATTTCCCGATGGCTATGTTGACTTTCTGGTCTTGAAGACTCCCTTGGGTCAGAACGTTGATGATATTCAAGACGGCCTCACTGATGACCAGCTCGCGAGTATCCGAACCCAGCTCGCGCACATCTTGGATTAAGACCTTTCTATGGGTTAAATTCATCTTACTGACGAATGCTTGCCCACCCAGGATATTGCGCCAGAATGATTATCAACTGAACATGCGACACGCCAGCTATCTCAACTACGATGCGAAGACGGACAAGCTTTATCTGATCGACCTCGAGGGCCTCGGATACACCGACTCGTCCACGTCTGTTGTGGTTGATGAGGAGAGCCCGTTCGTGGAAGCATTCAACATCTGGCGTGCTCCGTACAGAAAGCCCACGGAGGCTCCTAAGTCAGGAAAAGTGATGCCGCAACCTGACCTGCCCAAGAAAGGGTCATCATCCAGGCTGCCTGTCAAAAAGGAAAACATTCCCCCAAAGAGATCCTAGTTTTTTTTTTTTTTTTTTTTTTTTTTTTTTTTGTTATTTTGCTGGTGATTTCTGCACACGGATTTCCTTCCTTCCCTAAATAGTTATCCTATCGCTTGTTTGTTAGCTTGGCAGGCTTAGCAATGGAACTTTTATGAAACACCGATCATCATGCTTGTAGCTACTGAAACGATCCCCGAAATACAGCAGTCCCAAAAGCCAGCACTTTCCCAACCCAAATCAACAAGATGATACACCCCAATATCGTCCCATAAATAAGAATCCGCCATATCACAATTTACCCCATGGGCAATCTGGCGATCTCCCTACCCTAGGATAATACTTTTAGAATTAAAGTTTTAGCTAAGCAAATCCCATCCCTCAAAACCGCCCGCTGGGATTTAAGCTTCCCCGGAAATTCAGACAATTTCTAACCATCGGTGCTGCGGGTTCCCGTCGATCAGAGTACAGTTACCCTGTCGATCACTGAAAATTCAGGTTTTTTTTTGCACATCGTTATTTTATTGCTTCCACTGTGCTTTATGGGATTGTTTTTGTGTTGGATGGGATGGATATATAAAGGTGCTGGAATACCCAGCAACATATCCCTTCCATCCTCATCAAGCATCTCATCAACCACCACTCATCAGTCAACCACTCATCAATCACTCAACCACTCAATCAATCCATCTCAATAAATCCACCACAACCATCAAAATGAAACTCTCCCTCCTCTCCACCCTCCTCACCCTCACCCTCACCCTCGCCGCCCCACCGCCGTCCAAGAACGCGACCTCCCCACCATCACTGGCGTGCTCTCCACCATCGGCACCAAAGTCGACGCCCTCGGCACCGCCATCCAGGGCTACACGGGCGGCGACGTGACCAAACTCCAACAAGCATCCAACAATCTCGTGGCGGCCATCAACAACGGCAACACGAAGGTCAGCGGCTCCGGGGCTCTGTCCTCCGGCGACGCTCTGGGTCTCCCCGGCCCGGTCAACGACCTCAAGAACAAGATCTCGACCGTCATCACCAAACTCGATGGCAAAAAGGCCCAGATTGTCAAGGCCGGCAAGGGAGCCCAGACGTACAATGATTTGACGCAGCAGAAGGCCGCCGCGAAGAAATTGTCCGATACGATTGTGTCCAAGGTGCCGCAGAACTTGCAGAGCTTGGCGGGGTCCATTGCGGGGGGGATTTCGGAGGCGATTGATACGGGGGTGAAGGATTATGCGGATCAGGCGCCGAAGGGGAAGAGGGAGGCTGAGGCTGAGGCTGAGGCTGCTCCTGTTGAGGTTGCTGTTGAGGTTTGAGGGGGTGGATGGATGGATGGATGGGTGTCTATGACTGTTCCTGTTGGTCTGGCCTGGCTTGCTCACACGGATGCTTAATTGGAAGAATAGCATCGATCGATCTGGCCATTGATATGGTGTGGTTTGCCTGTTATTGTTGTTGTTATTGGTCTTGGTCTTGGTTGATGTTATTGTACGTAGCTTGGACCACCTACCAAATCATATTATACTGCTTTTGCTTATCATTCTCTACGTATCTTGACATTTTACGTGATGGGAAATGATTTACTAGCATCATCCCTTTGATTCAAAGATTGCAGTATTCAACTGATGAGGTAGTAGTCTTTGATATACATCAAGCAGTCAGATCCACAAACTGCATCACCTTCCTCCCTGTCCGACTCTGTCGAAACCCCCTCGTATCCACCAGAAATTCCAACCGAAACAACTCGGCATTGAAATCAAACACCCAGAAAAACTCTCGAATCTTAGCAGCTAGATGATCTTGGCTGACCCGACTCTTGGGGTCCCGGAAGATGCGAACCTCCAGCACAATGCCCGCCCCCTCGGTCGCATGCTGCAGAATAATCTGCCACAGTAGGATATCCCACTGCTCGGCCCGCATAAAGGTCTCGATGGCCCCAAATTCAAAGTACTCGCCGTACCAGGTAAAGCTGGAACGTTGATCACGGCCGTAGATGCGGACGACTTGGTAATGCTCGGTGTGTTGGCTGGGAAGAGTTGCGAGCAATGTCGGAGGCAATGGGTGCAGGGAGGCGATATCGCCACATACGTACCGGACCAGGGGATTTCTCAACCGCTGGAGTGACGTTTGCACAAGAAGGCCCGGCTGTCCTGGGGGTACATGTTGCACACCGGTGGTCTTGCCGGGAGCGGCTTCGTCCGGATCTGTAACCGACAGAGGAATGATCTCCAGATGGATGGTTCGTTTATCGACGATAAAATCTGTATAGTCTCCCTTGGGAACCCCGGTCAAGGCACTGCTCGAGACACCCCATGCCCCGGCCTCTGCGCTGCCGATGATGGAGCAGATGGTGAGTTCCCCAAAGGCCGAGATCAGAAACCCTCGCTGGGAGGATGTCATGGACTCGGACGTGTAGAACAACTTGGTGAGGGCCAGCTCTTTCTTCTGTGCTGCATCCAAGGTGGTGACATACTTGGCCAGTTGCAGGAGCTGACTGACGTCCCCCGCCACGGCATTAGCCCGATACTGAATGATGGCTTCCACGACCGCCGAGTGCGCCATCTCCGGTCCAGCACATAAAACAGCCGCACCGGCATTCTCGGACAACTCGGTCATCAAGTCCAAAGCCCTGAAGTGGTTGGTATAAGCCCGGCATGGATCAGGGCAGACGTACCGGTAGAGATGGCCCGAGACGTGGAGGGTCAGGATCCAATCCCCCGGTTCGATGAGGCCACAATTCCGCAGGAGATTGCCCATCACCGCTCGCTGCTGTCGGTTTTCGAGGGCATCTGTCGCAAACACCATCGGGGCCCCGCCTGAACCCCCTCCGGTGGTGCTGACAAAGGTTTCCCGGCGATATCCGTTCCGTGCATCCTTGTCCACCGTGAGCCGAGAGATTTGCTGGTATCTAGTAGACGATTGGTGGTGGTTAGGTCAGAAGCATCTATTTGAGATCAACATTATCACGTACAGCGAGTGCTTTCTCGTCAAGGGAAATGACTCGAGATCCCGGCCGGCTTTCGGGTTTGCTTGGGCAGCCTGAAGGATGTGAGCGAGCACCTCTCGGGTAGGGGGATATTGCGTGTCCGAATAAAATGGATGGACCTGGGCGACCGAGAGAATCTCAGCCAAGGAATAGAAGCCAGCAGACATGGTGGCGTACTGATTTAGATGAAGTCAATAGACCATCTCCTCACATCTATGAACGATCATATGCATGAGGATGAAAAAGATCCGGTGTGCCGCTGGACGCATAAATCCCCGCCCTTGGCCGTTGTGTGACTTGGACCTATCATCTTCATCGTGGACCATCATGGAAGAATCTCCAATTCGACTGCGGTGTATCGGGGTCATCCCCTCAGAAGGCCCGGCCGAAATCACGGCTCCTGGTGCAGTCAGCCCAGAGATCCGCCAGCGACTTCAGGACAGTCTAGTTTCGAGTCTGCTGAAATCCTGTCCAGCCGACTTATGGCCTGGTACGATGTATCTCTCCAACTGTCCTTTTCCGATGCTGGTGACCCGAAATCATCTCGCAAGCCTGGCGTCTCTTAACAAAGTCCTCGTCACGGCCATCGACGACATTGTTACCAGGTGGGTTGATCCGAGCGCAAATTTCCCGGCGCGTATGCCTCTACACCCCGTAGAAGAAAGGCTTCTTCAGGTATGACCTTACCTTAATCCGATCCTGACCATTGGACCTGCTCATGTAAGCAGTGGTTGGATGATGCCCAACACACCGGCATCATTCGCCCCTTTCGGGAATGCCGTGGATCCTGGAGACCCGATTTTCTCATCGAAGAGCAGGGTGGCACAGAGGATAGACCGGAAGCCTTTCGCATTTGCGAAATCAATGCCCGCTTCTGTTGGAATGGTTTCATGATGAACGCGCTCGGGCAAGATGCCTTGGTGGATACAGGTATCAGTGGACACGAGCTGGTGGGGGCCACTGATTCACAATCTGTGTGTTTTATCCATGCTCCCTAGTCTCAGCTGACCGTGAAGTGTAGTTATTCGACGGAATGCACCGGCTCTATAACCCGAGATTGCCCCTACACCTTCTCAAAGACCAAGAACCCGGGGTCGATATCCATCTCTATACTCACTATGCGAGGCATCTAGGCCAGCAGGTTCGCTTTATAACCCCGGCGGATCTCCGGTTGATACCATGCAATCGGTCACCTGGGAACAAACTATGTTGCCTGGTCCATTCTCGGTCGCCTATCAAGGGAGACAACTTCCAAAACGAGGCCGGAGAGATTCTCGAAGAGGTTCATCAGATTCAGCTAGAACTTCATCACCACGAGCTTCTTGATCTTGGCTATGAAATGCTGCAAGAGATCAGTTTGCGGTGTTTTAATGACATGCGCACTTTGCTTCTGGTCCACGACAAGCGGATGCTGGGGGTCGTTTTAGAGGAGATTGATTCCTTCGTGGCGAGAAAGGTTCTGACACCTCAAGAAGCCAGTCTACTCGAGCGAGGCATTTGCGAGACTATCCTTCCAGGATCTAACCAGCTGGCACAACTCATCGAACGATGTCGTCTGCAGTGTGGCCTCAAAGACGAGTGGCTTCTCAAGCCAGCGCGAAGCGGAAAAGGCGAAGGAATTGTTTTCGGAAGGGATATGACACCCGAGTCGTGGATTTCTCGGTTGAAAGAGCTGATATGCCCATTTATGTCTGCTGGGGGAGCCACATATGTCATCCAGAAGAAGGTGCGACAGGCCAAATATGACGTCCTGCTCAAAGACGCCACGGAGGTTCAACAGCTCCCAATTGTGGGGACATATCATGCAATCAATGGGGAATTCTTGGGCATTGGCACATGGCGCAGCAGCCCTGGGCCAGTGTGCACTGTTAGCCATGGTGGGACTTGGATGTGTTCAGTTATGCAGGCTGAGTTGTAGTTGGGATTATCCCGACCTTGAATATGTTCGAATTCACTGCAATTCAATTTTTCACATTGTGTTATGTTGCGTCCGGGTACGGCACTTCTTGTAGAATACACATTGTCCCAATATGATCAACGGTGTTTATAGGAAGAAGCCAATAAAAACTCAAAAGATGACTAGATACCACAATGTGTATGGTAGCTGAGAAAAAGCAAAAAATGACAAGAGTGGGATTCGAACCCACGCCCCTTTCGAGACTAGGAATACTCCTGAGGAATATGTGAGATCAGATAGCCTGACCCTAGCGCCTTAGACCGCTCGGCCATCTTGCCGGATTGATATTTAGTGCTTTGCAATTGTAGTACATCACCCAGTATCATAGATTTTTCCGGTCAGTCAGTGGAATGATGGGGCTGCACACATCCCGCAGAATTTAAAACCTGCATATGCATGAACCATCTATTATAATTATGAAGACCCCCGATATTAAGTATTATGAAATGAATAAATTCTCGTCCTATATATTGAGCTTATGGTAGATTACGCCACATACATCATTACAATGTCGAGTATGGGACACATGGTTTGAGGTGTCTACAAACAAAATCAAGGGAAAACGACAAATTGCGACCGACAAAGGATAATATCCACGAATGGACGCGATTTTGAGATGAGAGAAGAAGAAACAGGGGTCCACCAGCCCTTGGTATCCCCTCTGTTGTCTCTCTTGCTGGTTCTTCATTTCACGAAACCTGATCACAAATTTATATCTTAATAAGCTTAACACAATCCATCTATCCTGTCTAATTCATCCACATCTACACATTCATCTATCAGAACCCCCTCCCACAGGCCAACTGCTGACCCAATTCACTTCTCCAAGGGAAATCCATAACCCACCAGAAAAGCGGGTTCATCAATACTATGATGTTGGTAGCTACAACCTGTTAGATATATCATCTCCATATCAAGACTGCACACACCTCAGAACTCCAACCGCACCCGGCTCCAACATCATGGAAAGGGGAAATTCCATGGGATACCCCAGCCAGCGCTTCGTAAAAGCACGCAGAGTGTGCCCGTGGGCAAACAGCACCACATCCGAGGGGTTTTCACCATGCATGTTGCCTTTATGGATGGTCCGGATTTCCGCAATCAGATTATCGATACGGTCAGTCACATCCTGAGGGGATCTATGCCATGTAAGCTACCTATCGGGCCTGCCGCTGGTCGAATAAACTTACTCTCCCTCCTCACAGCCATCAGCCCAGATATCCCAGGCCCGCTCGGTATCAAGACCATGTTCCTTCCGCAGGGCCCGGATATCCTTGGTCAACATACCCTCGTAGAGACCGTACCCCCACTCCGCCAACCTCTCCGTCTCCTCCACCTTGTTGGCATCTTTCAAGGCCTGCTTATCGGCCTCACTGAACGCCAGGTTAAAGGTGTGGACGGCTCTCCGACGGGGACTGACAAACACCCGCGCCAACTTGGCCGGGTCAATCAACTTGCCGGACCCGACGAGGATCTTGCCAGATGCAACCACCTGCTTGACGCCGTCTTCGGTGAGTTCGATCTCACTGATGCCGGTGTACTGGCCGCTTTTGGACCATTCCGTCTCTCCTGGTGATATGTTGAGTCAACTGCCATATGCGGGCTCGTCATGTTACGTACCGTGTCGGTAGAGGAAGACACGCGGGGTACCAGCGTCCTTGTCAGGCATGGTGTATGACGTATGATCCGAGACTGCAGAGGATAGATCTTTGATTGGAATCGCAGGATTGAGGGTCAGAGATCGGTTGACGCGGGGAGATTTTATTTTTAGGTAATAATCCTTCCGTGGGGTCGCGGTTCACCGGAGTTTGATTTGGGTTTTAGCCTACCCAGTACCCCAGCATAAGCTATTGCTGATTCAACATTGCTGTAAGGTATTATTTGTTTGCATGCATTTAAATGTTTGATGTTAATTTGTATGATTATCTTTGTAGACTGCTTCTCAACCCAACAGATTTCATATCATGTTTTATTTTCCTGTCTCCTGGGACTGAAAGTGGGGGTGGCGGGGAGAAACAAACCAGACAAACCTGATATCGATAACGAGCATTCTCTATTTTCATGAAGAATCACCTAGACGGTAATCTTATGCTGCTATGGACGACTTCCTCTTAGTACATATCGGCAATGATCCCCGCATGCAGGCACGTGGTGAAACAAGCTTCTCTGAGTGTCCTCATGCCTGAGGCTCCAATGGTAGGAGATGGATGCCCCATGGATGCCTGACACACGTGACCAGTGCTTCAACCGGCGGATGAACCTTTATTCGGGAGGCTCCGGCTCCACCATCTTTATGGATTGGCTTCCCCTGATCTCCTAAGGACCGATAGGGATGTCCTCCGAGCCCAGAGGCTCAGACACGCGACCTAGTGATATGCCACGTAATGGCGCACTTTAAACCTTGACCTAAGTTAAGTGTACAGAATATGGTCCACATATTCCTCTAAGTGCGTGATACACTATCTCTGTGGTCTCTTTACTTGAGACACAACGGCAGGGGACATGAATACTGAATAAGGAATGTTTACTACCAAGCACGGGCCATACCACGTTCCGATAATCAACCTAGCTGCGAACATCAACCAGATACATAGTACCTGCCAGTAGCGACAATGCAGTCCAGCATACGGCAGCCTAAGGCACCCCGGGCCACTGCGCCCCGGTCTTCAGGAGAAGCAATGACCTCATTGAAACTACACGCGACTCTGACAGGAATCCGAATCTCCGCTCAGCCTCAATAGCGGGTCAATACAGCCTTCTCCAGTCATCTAAGCCTTCACAGGCTAGTAGCCAACGTCGCCCGCCCTGTTTAGCCCGACGCCCTACTGCTCCACCACCAACACATCAACCACTCGGATACTCCGAGAAAGGTCAAGCATCGGGATCCGGGCATCCTCCGACCAGCTCAGTCCCCGCCCAGACTACAAAAGCAACGACATCCCTCGATAGTCCAACAACCATCAATCCAAACCTAAGCAATCCATCACTATGAAATTGACTCTCCCCATTGCCCTTCTCTCGCTCTCGACCTCGGTCATTGCGTCGCAGAAACCCCTGACCGACTCCTCCGCAACCAAAGTTGACAAGCACCACCCCCACGTTCACATCTCCGGCAGCGATTCCGTCCCAAACCCCGACAGCAAGTCCACCACTCACAAAAAGTGCGCCTCATCAGAAGAAATCGCCCAGGTATTCGGCGAAGCGTGGGCGGAAACTGTCCGCGAAGGAAAACACAAGCAGCACCCCCCGGATGCAATCCCGACTATTCACATCAACCTCGAGGACTTTGAGGAGAAGCAATGCGATTATTTCGAGCGGGTGTATGATGGATGGCGGTTCACGTATTCGTCCAAGATGACGGACTGCGATTATACAAGCTTGAGTCAGACGGTGGGGAAGGCCGTGGTGGAGTTTATCGAGAAGAAGCACTTTAAGGAGTGTCGCAGGGATTGTGATACGATGTGTATGCGGTTTGATGAGGGAGGGCCATGGGATGGATATGTCAGGTTGGGGAAGAAGGATAAGTTTGATCCGAATGCATATTGTGGACCGTCGTTGAGACTGGTTCCTAATCGGTTGGAATCTCCTTGGACATGGGGGTTCTGATCTACTGGCTACTGCCTTTGGTATTAGGGGGTTGTATATTGAGATGGTTGGTGATTGGATACAGGTCACCTGATCTGCCCTTTCTATACTCTACATATTTACTACATTTAGTAGTACTCACTGAGTACATTCCAGCCTATCTTCATACCACCAAGCATGATCTACTACCTTACCTACCTACTTCAATAAATCCAACCCCTCCAGCCACCAAACCCAGCCCATCAGCCCCTAAAACCATAACACAGCAATAGTAAGCGTTGTGGCTGTGCACCTCAGCGCATGTGACCCGATCCTTCCAGCAAGCCCAGGCAGCACTGTTCTGTCATGTACCTCATCAAAACCACCATATTAACACACACATAAATCCCTCATCCCCCATCACCAAACACCTTTTCTTCAACCCATCCCAAAAATAAACACCCAACCCAAATCCAATCCAAAATGGGCCACCCAGCACCCTCCCCCTCCGACGAACCAACCCCACCCTACGAAGAATCCCCCAACACCAACAACCACCACCACCATCTTCCCCACCAGGTCCGTCCCCACCAAGCCTTACCAAACACCTCCTACCCTGAAACCCCAAACATAACCCATCAAAACATAATAATACAGTACATCGAACTCCCCCAAACAGACCTCGAAACCGGACCCAACCACAGCAGTAACAGCAACAGCAACCCCCACGATCACTGCGCAGCATGCGAACGGATCATCGCACGTCAAGAAAGAAGACACGCTCAGATGCATTGCTGTCGGATGGTAGCGGTGGTGTTTATTGTGTTGCTTATCTGTTTGATGGTTTTGGGGATTGTGATTGCTAGGGCTGCGGCGGGGGGGCATCATTAAGCTCGAAGGGGAATTTGTTGGGGGGGTTTGGAGGGAGGTGTTTTGTGGAGTAGATATACTTGTACTTTGGTTGGGGTCTTTGTTTTATATTGGAATTGAATTTGATTGGATTTATTGGGATGCGTTGCTGGTGGTGAGATGTCTCAAACTTCTCATGATGGGTGTTGGGGTGAAGGGGGGGAGTAAAAGTCTACTTTTCTTTCTTTTTTCCTCCTTGTTCATGTAGGTAGTTTTTGTTTGATGATAAATTTTATCATTCCAATTTATAGAGTAGATATTGGAGAATAGTGGTTGACTATGCTCGGTGGTATTGTGGAGATCATGGGTTGAGGGATTCGTAACCTGCCGAGGTGGTATTTCAAGATGAGTATATAAGTATCATAGTATAAGCTATTGTTAATGCATTTTATACTATTATATAGATATCGACACCAAGAACATGGACTCCTCCTACATCATCCCCACAACACCCACCAACACCCCAGAATGTCCCCTCAGCTTCACGGACATGTACTTCATGCCCATTGACCTCATTCTCCAACTACCAGGCGTACTCGACCGCCATCAATTCAACTGAGTTGAGGGCGGTTGGTGGGGAGGAGATCCGGCCGATGCATCTGCAGACGGCGGATATGCGGATGCCGGGGTACAAGGCGAGGAATTGGGATCTGATGGTGGTGTCCGGTCTGGTGGTGGGGTTGCTGGGAGAGGGGTCGTTTTATGCAGTGCGACTTGCTTGGATGTATCGGCGGGTTATTTTGGGGGGGGGGTGGATCGTTTGGTTCGTTGGGCTTATGGGTAGAGTGAGTGGGTTCTTTGTTATTTTGTTGAATAATGGTTTGGTTGATGGATAGTGGGAGCACAAATGCTGTATTCCTCGTCTGGTTGCTCCAGTACAGCATGTATGATTAGCCTATTGCTCGGTGGCTTTTGATAGTAGTGGGCGGGAACCTTCCAAGACAGGCCTGGAATCGCATATACGAATGCTATATCGGACATGCCTGCCATATCACGAACTAACTACACAAGCACCTCTGTCAAGATGGCTAATGTAATGACTGAACGATTTGCCCTGATACCATTGTGGGGATTACCATCTGCTGTTGAGACTTATCTCTATCCCTGCTGCGAGAAAATGGACTAGTTATGTTAATCCCTGTCTCCGGCTGCAGCCCCTCGGATAAGACCGGGGCGGAAATGGCCTGATCCGTGCCGGTGTCTACGATCGGGCCCTGACAGGCTTTATCTTCTAACCTCTCTCCTTGCATGGCCTTGCGCTATTGTCTGACGTTGACCTCTGTTGTTGAACATGGCCGGAGAAGATGGCGGCCCTATTCGAGTCCGCTATGGAGCCCCAGCACCCGACGAAATGGAACCACCTGCATTGGCAATGACCCCATTGAAGCTCAAACTGATGGCAGTAGGCTACGATACGTCTGGACCAGGACCGTGGCGATGACTTCTAATCAACCGTGAATTATCAGGCTGTGGTTATCGCTGTTTCTGTCGGCCCTTGAGACCACCATCGTCGGCACTTCGTTGCTGAGAATAGGTGAGGATCTCAACGACACCAGTAACACTGAATGGGTGGTGGTCGTTTATCTACTCACCTACGATGGTAGGCATTGGGATCCTTTCGAGTCGTGGTAAACCAATACTAACATCCTTTGTTGCAGCATTCCTGTTGGTCTCGACAAATTTAGGGGACGTGTTTGGCCTTAAACTCATTCTGCTTATTGCGAATTCCATCTTTATGATCGCCTCAATTACATGTGCAGTGGCTCAGACCCTGCCTCAACTGTAAGACGGCCCTTGGCAGGGAATATCACTATCCACCATATCATATCTTCTAACGACAAATCCACCTGCAGGATCGTTTTCCGAGCCTTCCAGGGCATGGGTGGCTCGGGGATCTACTCAGTCTCATTTGTAGTTCTTGCAAAGACCGTCCCAGTCGCTAAGGTTGGGGTCTATACCCTATACCGAGTTACTCAGCTCCGTGTATGCGATTGCCAATTTACTGGGTCCCATCCTTGGCGGTGCTATCACGGATCATACCACATGGCGATGGGTTTTCTGGATCAAGTAAGCAGCCTCATTCCACGTACCTCTCTCATCTGCGACCGTGTCGGACTCATCGCCTCTTTATAGTGTCCCGGGCGCAGCAATAACCATCGTGATTCTCATCTTTACGGTGCCACAGATGCAAATTAATATGGGCGGGAACATTCTCAATGCCCTGAAGCGAGCTGATATTGTGGGATGCACATTGTCCGTTATATGGTTTATTCCCTTGTTCTTTGCCCTCCAGGAAGCCGGATCCCTCTATCCTTGGGATAGCGCCCCGATCATTGCAACCCTGGTTCTTCGTCTCGTCTTGCTGTTCATGTTTGCATTATACGAGACCCGGCTGATGCGCTGTTCTGTATACGAACCGACCTTTCCCGTTCGATATCTGGTGGATGGAGTGGTGTCGACAATCATGTTGTAGGTTTGGTCTCCTCAATGATCCTTCCTCATCAACTAAGAACCCAGCAGGTCAATGTTCAGTTCCGGCGTCCTTTTCTATGTCGCGATCATTGAGATCCCGCAACGGTTTCAAATCGTCAACGGTCTCTCTGCCGAGCGCTCCGGGATCCTTTTGCTTCCCATGACCATTGTGACTCCATTCTCAGCCACCGCGGCGGGAATTATCGCAGGGAAGAAGCCGCGATTGTGCGAATACCTTACTCTAGGCGGCACCGCTCTCGCCCTCGTTAATGGGTCTGCTACCTACCAATCACAACATCCCTCTCCACAGTACGGCTACCAGGTCATCTTGAGCCTCGTGTTGGGCTTGATTATGCCATCGGTGTTTATGATCTTGAGAATGACTATTTCTCAAGCCCAGCTAGGTAAGCATGCCCTTGACGGTCTTTGCATGAGCTGACATGGATGGATGGACGAAGCTTCGGCCATCGGAGCGAATAACATGGTACGCACTCTAGGGGGATGCATCGGCCTTGCGATCTGCTCGTCAGTTAGTCGTAGTGAGCTGGATGCAGGCTTGGGGACATTCTTGTCCGAAGCCCAGATCAAGGCGCTGTCCCAGTCGACGGCAAGTCTCAGCCTTCTTCCCGGTGCGGAGGAGCAGCGAGTGCGATCTGTTTATGGAGGGTCTTTCAACGAGGAAATTCCGGGTCTTGATTGCCTTTGGTGGTCTTGGAGTGCTCGCATCAGTTGGGCTTATTGTGGCGAGATGGCGTCGGGAGAAGGAGAAGCAGGCATTGCAATCTAGACATACTCCGCTGGTTGTCCGAGAGGTGTGTTGCTGATTGCGTTTGGAAACCCTCTAATCGTTTTATTTGGGTTCTATGTCGTATAGTGAAACCCCCTGGAGATCTACATGAATCGACTCACAACGAGTTCTCTACCGAAGCTCACAACAGAGGTACAAGGAATTCTTGAAAACACCCTAGCCCTGTGGATATCAACTTTGTATTATCGGGATCCGACCGGTACCAGTCGAATTGTACCTTGGAATTTATCCCTGTCAACATAACAATCGCCATAGCTGACAGGATCTTAGCACATCCGGTGGGGGTGCAACCCTAACACCCACCAAAGGCCTAGGCCCATAACCACATGACGTGCATGCTTCAAAAGATAGGCAGCTGGCGAGAATTAATGTTTGGTCCTGTAGGCGCCAGTCTCAATTAATCTGAGTCTGTATATCACATGAAAATTAGCTGAGCTCTAACCAGCAGACCAAAAACGACAGATCGCATCTATTTGAAGAAGAGACGGAGAGACTTGTCCCAACAACTTTCAATATACCGTGCCTAGCACGAAAGGATCCAGAATGATCTGGCCAGGTGATGCAGAATGTCGATTCCGACCAACCGCACAGGTCTCATTCAAAATCAAGTTGTCGGATATCTCCGGTCTCCTAGGAGATCTCCAGTCTCCGAGAGAAGGCCCCCGACCAGTCAGAGCAGGTTTCCGGTGGTAGAGACACGAGGTCTCGCCTTCGTGGGCTATATCTAGCCCTTCATCACCTAACTATGTATCCTCCCTCAGCAGTAGTCTACGGCTGTCACAATTGAATTTAGCTGCGTCTGTTGTTCGACTGCAGAATGTCAAAGAGCGGGGGCTCCTGTATGCGGTGTCGCAGCAGAAAGGTTCGATGCGTTACTCTCGGCCCAGGCAGTGCATGCACCCGGTGCTTAAAGCAGGGCGCTGATTGTCTTTTCAGTTCCCCAGAGAGAATTGGGCAACCACAACGCAACGCAGATGACGGCAAACCATCCCTGCAGCCACTCGTCAGCGAACCGTTCCGGGTATGCCCTGACAGCGACGCCTCCCTTGCACCTACTGATCCGACCTTCGCCGTTCCTCCTCCGACATCCTGTCCGCTGCCATGGGTTGACGGCCCTGATGTCACGATGGATCTGGAACATGCAGACATCTCTGGTCTGCATAATTTTCGCCCTGATCTGACAACTGGTCTGATCACCCAACCCCTCCCCTCTCCGGACATTCCAGCTGCAACTCCCCAGGACCACAGTTCTCGGGAGGCCTGGAGACATCCTCAGCAAGACAATAGCCAGGCACATAAACCTTCTCCCAACGCATCGCCGAATGATGTCACTTATTCTCTACCAGGTATCCAGCGCGACCTCCGTCTGATCAGAACACATTTGGATACCCACCCTACCGAATCTCCCGCCAGCTTCCTCTCTAGTGAACGTTTCAAAGCCTTTGCGGAATTAGAGAAGCAATTGCACCAACTATCAGAGATCTTCTTCTCTATCAGACTGGCATCCCCGGCAGATGGCCCATGGAATCCGTATTGCACAAAAAGCATCGGTAACTCTTTTCTCAGGGCTATCGCCACAGTGCTCAAGATATATGAGATATTGACCAGACGCATGTCACCCGCCAGTCCGAGGACTGCAAGGACTGCAGAAGGATCATATGAGCCCCCCTTCACCGACGTCCCGAGGCCACCCTTATCCCCATTAGGGAATTCAGAGCCGGATGAGACGATGCAGATTGGGCGTTTCACGCCTTCCCCGGATCTAGCGTTATGGGTCAGCATCAACGTGCTTTTCTATCAGATTAGCTGCTCCCGTAAACTCCTGGATGAATGGCGGACTAATTTCAATCAGTTGCAATTGCAGTTCCACCTGGATACAAACCTCTCTTCATCTAACACTGCGGATTTCGCATCACCATCAACATCACCATCATCATCATCATCATCATCGCATAGGGATACATCACTGCGGGCTCTCACTACAGTAGGACGCGTCACTTTTACCCAACTATGCAATGATCTGTTGGCCCGCTTCCAGGCGTTGGAGAGAGTTGTAGCGCTGAGCATCCAACGGCATCAATCGAGCTTGCAGAGTCCATAGGCTAGAGTACAGCCATTGCCGCCGACGTCAGATCTGCATGATGCGCTTCCCTTCTTCCGATTATCACTTCATCCTTCTGAACATCCTTCTCACCTCCGTCACTACCTCCGGCCTTATAATATAAAAATGACGATAGATTAGATGAATTCTTCTGAAACTCCCCCTTGTATTGTTTTCATGCTAAATATCTTCTAGATCTTCTCCTTTATTCCTCCGTTCCTTCTCCCCTCATTATATAACAATAACTCATGATCCCATTTCGAATCCCCAACACACTCAACGACTGTCCACCCCCCACATATCCCTCCGGGACACCCTCTTCCCCGCTAATATAGTAAGTCACTCATAATGTGACCAGTTGGCAGTACCCCTAATTGGGGAGTAGGTGGGTAAGGAGAAGGATAAGTTGCCAAGTCGTCTTCATAGTAGAGGTCAGGATCTGATTCAATTGTGAGGTACATTGTTGTTGGTATACCCTTCGGGCTTATCGTTGTGTTCGGGATGTCGGCTTTGTATATTCCAACAATCGCAGTTAGAATATCAGAAGACAGGTCAGGGATGGAAAACCAACAAGCTATGCGATCATTCTCTTGGTGATTGGATTGTCATTCAAAAAGTAGGAAATATTCTAGCTTTTACGCCAGTGTAGGGGTCTAACCAGTAGCCACATTCACACTTTTTTTCCTCCACCCCAGGGTCCCTACCCTTGCCCCCTGAAAGCAATTAAAGAAAGACAATCGATCAAAAAAATAAAAGTTCTGTGTGTGCGTATCGAGACACTATGTTTCGAACGAAGGAAAAAGAAATTGAACTCCGATAGGGGGAATCGAACCCCCGGCTGCCGTGTGAGAGACGGCGATGTTAGCCACTACACCATATCGGATGTTGTATGAAAAGCCCCTTTGCCTTTCATTATATAAGGTAAAATTGACCCTATTGATCGTGTAATATGGCCTGCCTTAATTGGATGAGGTTGTAGATACTAAATCTATATGGTGAATGGCTATAGGTGCCTTCCTAATTCGAAAGAGCGAATAATTATCTTGAACCTTGCCACTTCTCAACATATCCAGTCCACTCCAGACCTCCACTATTCAAATGGCTGAGAGAAACAATACCCAGTGGAAAAAGCATGTCGGGTTCTTTCAACTGGCCTTGGTTCTTCAGCCATTCTACCTTCGGCATCTCCAGCTCCGATTACGTGACGCAGACCCAAGATTAAGCTTGGATGCTTCGATGGTGATTCGACAGCCAAGCCCTGATCGACTGCAGAGTGATAAGGTTAATCCACTGCCCCCACTTTAGTTCCATCTTCGGCATTCCAGATCCATATCGTACACGTGAGATAGAAGTTCCTATTCCTGAAACTTGGGCGCCTGACGAATTCCCTTCGTCGACCTACGCGGCCAACCCAATGAGATCCGCGATCGACAGCAGAGATGACATCTTCAGTCTAATCTGATGCATCAGCTTCTGGGCCGAAACTGTCCACCTCTTCACCTTTCTTCAGGACATCCACCCCTGCACTGCCCAGCGTAATGATGGAAGCGCTTACGTGCCAGTCCACCATGGAAAATCCATGAGGATCAAGTCTAGAAAGAATGGGGAAACTAAACGAGGACCAGGAATGTTTGACATCTCCAATTGTCCCGTATCCATTGCCGTGATATCCGACGCGACTGATTAGATTGAAATATCCCCAAGCAGACACCGACACAGTCTAGAATCTGCGCACTCGTCAGCATGGATCCATCGCTACCACCCTGACTGTAGACTCAAGCCTCTATAAGAAAGCCATCGGTCTACCGTCAGGTCCATATCTCATCCCATCACCTTCCATCTTCCATCATGAAGGGCCCTACTCTGGCAGCATTGGTCTTCATCGGCCATGTCCTTGCCTCCGAAAACTCCTCTGTAGGCATTCTCGGCCACAATGGCGGTGCGTTCCTATCTCCCTATCTCCACGAGTCTGCACCACCCACTAACCCAGTCCAGTTGATCTCGGATCCTGGAAATCCGCCTACGAGCGTGCCTCCAAATTTGTCTCCAAACTCAACACCACCCAAAAGGTCTCCATCGTAACAGGCGGTGCCGCTACCATCGACAAAGAAACTTTCCCCGGATTTGACTTCAACGACGGCTCCATGGGCCTGCTGGAATACTACTACGTCTCTGCCTTCAGTCAATCCTCTGCTCTGTCTATGACATGGGACAAAGATGCCGTTCACGCACAAGCTCGCGCCGTCGCACGCGAATTCTATCAGAAAGGCGTGCAGGTTGTTTTCGGCCCGACCTCGCAACCTCTCGGCCGGACAGCATGGGGAGGACGCGCAGGCGAGACGTTCGGTCCGGACCCATACCTAAACGGCATCGTCACGGCGGAGACAATCAAGGCGTATACAGCGGAGGGTGTGGTTTCGCAGGCGAAGGTACCTCCCCTCTAGGTCCCATCTTAGTTGGCACAGTAATAACCGACAAGCAGCATTTCCTCCTCAACGAACAAGAAACGAACCGCACAAACAACATTATCGCCGGGTATGATTCCATGTCCGAGAGCGAGAAGCGGAACTTCTTGGGCCCGTACTCCGCCAACGCGGACGATAAAACTATCCATGGGTTGTACCTCTGGCCGTTCTATGACGCGGTTAAGAGCGGTCTGGGATCGGTGATGTGTGCCATGAACAAGGTTAATGGGACGAACAGTTGAGAACTATAATCTCTTGATGGAACTCCTCAAAGATGAGTTGGGTTTCCCGGGGCTGGTGTATCCCGACGTCAGTGCGCAGCATGCCGGACTTGCGTCTGCAGCTGGAGGATTGGATTACGGTTCGTCGACGTATTGGAGCGAGTCAGCTATTACCTCGATGGTGAGAAATGGGTCGTTGTCTGTGCAGCGGTTGAACGACATGGCCATTCGCAATGTCGTCCCGTATTACCAGCTCAATCTGGACAATGGGAAGCAGCCGGCGACAGTGGGAGAGACGGACTATGTGGATGTTCGGGCGAACCATTCTCGATTGATTCGGGAGACTGGAGCAAAGTCTATTGTTCTGCTTAAGAATGTGGATGGGGCTTTGCCACCCCAGAAGCCGCACATCATGGGCGTCTTCGGTGCCAATGCTGGTGCTGCCATGGCCGGACCCAATTACGCCTATAACCCCATCACCGGGTCCGGTCCGACATATGATGGACATCTGGCCACGGGAACGGGATCAGGACAGGCCTCGTTCCCATTATTAGTGACGCCGCTGGCTGCATTGACCTTCCGGGCGCTACAAGATGGAACGATGCTCCACTGGATTCTGAACGACACGTACACGTCCAGCGAGACCTCTGCTCTGTGTGCCGGAACGGGCGTCATGCCAGGGTACGTCAACTACGCGCAGGACTCCGACGTGTGTCTAGTCTTCATCAACGCTCTAGCCGGTGAAGGCGAAGATCGCACAGAACTGTACAACAACAATCAGGACACCATGATCAAGACGGTCGCAGATAACTGTAACAACATGATTGTGGTGATCAACACCATGGGCCCACGACTAGTCGACCAATGGATCGAGCACGAGAACGTCACAGCAGTCCTATATTCTTCTCTTCTAGGCCAAGAATCAGGCAACTCCATCCTGGACGTGCTATACGGGGATGTGAATCCAAGCGCGCGACTAACCTACACCATTGCAAAGAATGAGTCGGATTACAATGTACGAGTTTGCGATACCTCCGAGTGTGATTTCACCAAAGGTTATTTTCCCTTCCTTTTTATCCTTAACGGAACAATTACTAAATCCTGCAGGGGTATACATCGACTACCGCTACTTCGACACCTACAACATCACTCCCCGGTACGAATTCGGCTACGGTCTCTCCTACACCAATTTCACCTATAGCAATCTTACTGTCCCATCCATCGGATCCCTCTCTGTTTACCCCTCGGGCAAGATGTCCGTCGGTGGACCGGAAGATCTATAGGACGTTATCGCAAATGTCACAGTGACTGTTACGAATACCGGTGACCGCGCTGGAGCTGATATCCCGCAATCGTACATGTCGTATCCCGACAGTGCGGAACAGCCGGTCCGTCAGCTTCGAGGCTTTGAGCGGGTGGAGTTGGCCCGGGGAGAGAAATCGACGGTGACATTTCCGATTCGCAGACGGGATGTCTCGTTTTGGGATGTGCAGGCGCAGAAATGGGCTGTTAAACAGGGTGAGTATATGTTTAGGGTTGGGGCGAGTTCGAGGGATTTGAGGTTGGGGGGGACGGTGACTGTCAGGACGGAGTAGGGTTGTTGTTAGTGTTGTGTTGGGGAATTGGATGATAGTGAGAGTGGTTGTTGAAGGTGGTGGTGAAAGAACTGAAGGGGAATATTGAGACGGGGCTGGCGTTTGTATAAGTGGTGTTTTTTTCCCATGTGAAAGAGTTGAAGGCTTTGTTGAGGTAGTCGGGCCAGCCAGAGGTCGACAATGGCCTGAAAGGGATAGACTCGGTGGTGCCGCTAGCTATGGTCACTGAATTGACGCGGGCTACTCTGAATGATCATGCCGGCAGAAGCTGGTGCACAGGATATTATTATTAGTTTTAGTCATTCTCTTGATTAGGACTAGCCATTCTATGGAAACCTTGAAGCTCATCATGAACGCCTTGCGATGGCCTTCCCATATGGTAACCGAGGAAATACCGGATACAGAAAATACTCGGAAAACATGAAATGAATCAGTCCCTTCAACTTGACTTTCAGCCACAAAACATCCTTCCTCTCGTCCACGGTAAGCAGCCGGGTATCTCCGCGGACAAGCGGCGCTACTGCACGGCGTAAGCACTAGCCAACGCTTGCTCTTTGGCTCTCCAACCAAAGCAGCTCTCTTAAGCGGGAATGGCGCAATCCAGGGGCAGAGATCGGGCAAGGATCACTTCCTGGCATTGCGAACACGTCCAATCGAACGGACCCCATCCAGCCCTAGACTCCACCGGCTGGGATTGTAGGCAGCAATTGATCAGTCCACTAGACCAGATATTAAGCTATACTGTCCGTGCTTTCAGACGTGCAAATAACGTTGGATTGGTAATCATCGGCCTTTTGGATGCCGAGAAAGGACGAGTTGCGCAATTCACGGCTAGCCCTAACTATTGTCCCCCAACATTCTGTCATCTAACAATGCGAGCCATCCAATCAGAACACACTATTTCTACATACTTCATAGTAAAGGCCGAAGGGCCGACTGATATCTTCCGATGACAAATGTAATTCTATAGATCGTTTGTATAGCTTCATATAACTATGGTCCGGGTAGGAGGTCTAATCGCCTCAGACACACAACACTCAGTCAATATGTCTCTTCCTCTGGTTAACATGGATGACAAGCCTTCAATCCCTTCATCTCCTATCCCAATGGCCGATTCAGATGCATCCGAGACCGAGAAACAAGCGTCTGCGAAAGTAGCCGACACCGCGCCCCCGCCTCCTGATGGCGGCTCCACAGCCTGGCTCCAAGTTCTGGGAGCATTTTTCCTCTTCTTCAATTCATGGTATGTAACCACATCCCCCCAATCCTCCAACAGCAAACTGATTCCCCCCAAGGGGAATTCTCAACGCCTTCGGCCCCTTCCAAAGCTACTACCAATCAACCCTCGTCCCCAGCTACACCTCCTCCCAAATCACCTGGATCGGCACCTCCCAAGGCTTCATCCTCTTCCTAGTCGGGGTAATCGTCGGCCCCATCTTCGACAAAGGCCACCTCCGCAGCCTCATCGCCACCGGAACCTTCCTAGTCGTCTTCGGCCTAATGATGACCTCCCTCTCCACCAAATACTACCAACTCTTCCTCGCCCAAGGCCTCACCATCGGAATCGGCTGCGCCTTTCTCTTCCTCCCCAGCATCGCCATCGTCGCCACCTACTTCACCTCCCGCCGAGCCCTAGCCACCGGCATCACCGCCTCCGGCGGCAGCATCGGCGCCGTCATCTACCCCATCATATTCCACAAACTCATCAACAAGGTCGGTTTCGGCTGGACGACACGCATCATCGGCTTCATAGCCCTCGCCGGTCTCACAGTCCCTTTACTCATCCTCAAACGTCGTCTACCACCACCCACGCAATCCCGATCCCTCATCGACCTCGCAGCCTTCAAAGAACCACCCTTCTTACTCTTCAGCTTCGGTCTCTTCTTCTCCTTTATCGGTCTCTACTTCCCCTTCTTCTACTTACAGAGCTACTTCAACGATTACCTCCACAATGACACCACCCTAGCATTCTACATCTTCTCGATCCTCAACGCCACCTCCGTCGTCGGCCGAATCACCCCCGGTCTATTGGCCGATCGCTTCGGTGCTCTTAATACCCTCATCCCTATTAGTATCCTCGCTACTATCCTCGGGTATATCTGGCTTGCGGTGGATAATGTACCCGGAACGGTTGTATTCACCTGTTTGTATGGATTTGCCTCCGGCGCTATTGTCTCCCTCCCGCCGTCGATTATAGCACGCATGTCACCGAACTTGGACGTGGTGGGGACGCGACTCGGTATGGTTTTTGTGTTTGCGGGTTGTGGGTTCCTTATTGGGACGCCGTGTGCGTCGCTGTTGTTGGATTTGGAGACTGGGTTGTTTTGGAAGGGTCAGGTTTTCACGGCGTCGTTTTTGGCGGTGGGGGGGTTTGTTTTGGGGTTGTGAGGGTTTTGGTGGGGGGTGGAGGGTTTGAGGGACTGTGGGATTGAGTGGCTTTTATGCGGGATTGTGAGGAGCTTCGAATCACTGCATTTTTGCTCATTGGTGGTTGGCTGGCTCAGGATGAGCATATGTAGCCAGGTGGTTAGCATGGTGGTGGTGTTCGTATGGAAATTGTGATTTTGGTGAGGATGTTTGCTTAGCCGGATGGGTAGAATGATTTTGGATGTTGAATATGGTCAAGTTTTCCAGGAAGACGTACCACCAGACACAGGAATCATGAAATCCGTTCTTATACTCCGTAGAATAAAGATAATCTTATCGAGTGGGGCGCCTTGGCAACTCCAACCATTCCCTACTTTCTATAATTAGTTTCCCGATTGCTTGATCTTATCAGATATTATCATATCGATAAAGGGTATGTTAGAATTCTGGTATGACCATTGCCAAGATGTTGAAGGTTCCTATCATTATCGGTGGTTATTGTATCGTTGTCCAGTATCCTTGAAATCGCACCCCCACGATGCGCAATTTTTGCAGCTGAGAGAACCAGAGATCCGCTGTTGGCGTACGATCATGGTCATATATATGCTTGTCGTACGAACAGACCTAGACAAGTCAGTTGGCTCTCGAAGAATTACTCCGGGGAACTTCCTTTGACGACTGCCCCAGGTTCTTGCTGTCATGATGCTGATACTTGCGAATAGAATCCTTATCTCACATGCCATCGCGACGTCTAACTCTCGTTTCTGGTTGGATCGCTCTATATGCTCGCTCGCTTTCAGACCTCAGGGAATGTGGAGCTGCACTTGGTTTACGAAGCTATAGAGTCTTAGGAAGATTCAAGAGTTTTGAAGTGATAGAGTTCCAGTAAGCATCCTTGCTGATACTGGGTTGGACCAAACCCCGAATCCTGTGTAATTGGACCATCGTGAAGCTTTGGGCAAGGACCATGCGGGGAACAAGTGGCACAGATATTTTGAAGAGTGTGATTGATGGAGATTGGCAATCCCCGCTGTTGGGTCCACCTGGGCTGTCATCCATAGGGCGTACGGCTAGAATCGGATCGGTCATCCATGCGAGCGAGCGGCATTTTCGCCGAGGGAGTAAATCCACGGCTCAAATTGCTGTATTATTTAAAACGAGTAGATATTCTCGATATGTGTCAAGGAAATCTTGGCTGTCATTCCTGCTCGTAGTATCGTGGACTAGGGCATAACACTATGGAATGGCTTAGCTTATCCGTTTTATAAAGCACTCCTAAAGGCTCCGCCAATTCCTATCGCTACCGCCAAGACAATTGGCTGTCACTAAATGAGGGGCACGGTCAGACGGAGTGAAAAGCAAGTGCGCAGGGTCGTTATTGAGCCACACCCTTCATCGCATGATTGGGCCCTACTCCGAGACTAATCGTTTCAAATCCTCCCGTTCCTCGATCTCGCGAAGCATCTCAGTAAAGTCATCGAGACCCTCCCTCTCACTCATCTGCTTTATAAAAGGCAGCTGCTCCTTGAGCCAGGTGCCCTCCGTACCAGCCTCTGGGATTGCCATACCCCCTTCGCGGATGGTGATCATAGGTGTGAACGTGACCATGCGAAGTCTCTTTCTTTCGGTATCATGTTCGTCGTTGTCCAAGCCCTTGAATGGCTGGCTGTGGACCGCCTCATACCATGCGGTTTCGATTTTGGCCGCAAGGGCATCGAATGTGGATTTGGACCGGGCGGGCGATGTACGGACAATGCCCACAATGTAGTTGGAGTTGATTAGGCGAGGTCGGCCGGCCATGAAGTAGTTGCCATCGCTTGCGTCGTGCGGGATGAATCGTATGTGGACGAAGAAGGATGGAGTGGTGAAGGTCTCACAGTGCAGATTGGTGATGGATGTTGCGAGGGCTTGACGCTGCTCGTCCGTTATGGGATAGGAGTGGTACACCTTGTAGAGTGGCATGTTGCTGGCTTTGAGGAAGCTCGGGATGGGGTCCTCTTGGCCGGATACTCGACGTTGATGGATGTGATGGCGAAGCAGGATGGGGAGGGGTCGAGGCATTTAAGTAATCCTAGGCGGGGTATTATTCCAGTCAGTCAGCCAGGATCAGTCATGCGATGAGGGGTAATGGTTCGATTACGTGTCCTTGCAGGAAGCCGGTATCCAGCCATGCAATCAGATAACCCAGACATCTTTAATTGAGAGGGTCAAGCAGGGGTGTAGAAGGACGGACTGAGCTGAAATTCAATCGGATATGGTGACCCATCAGCCCAACTAGCTCTGCAAGTGCGGTATGCTTACGGCAGAGAAATCGTCGTCAAAGATAATCCTGATAACGCGGAAAGTGTTAGGTGGTCAGTCCTTGTATAATAATGGTGGGTCACCTCTGTCTAGACCCGATCACTCCACATTCAACACTGCCTGGGATATCCGTGGGGGTGGCTCTCCACGCGCATATTCTCAAGCAGGTGGAGGTATTTCGGCCGATGCACTTGGACATAACCCTATTCAGATAGTATCAGCGCTGTCTGGAGGAGCGCTTGACCAACCCGGTGAGATTCATGAAACAACACCTGTAGCCCTAATCCATCTGCTTTCTCTCCTGTTTCTGCCCCGTTTCTGCCCCAGTCCCTTATAGTGGTGGAATAGCGCATCTTGATAATCAGGGAAGGTGGGATAGATACACCTTCCTCGTCAATCTCATCAATCTCATCAATCTCATCAATCTCATCAATCTTATCAATCTAATATACAACTCCCTCTTTCCTTCCATGTTCCCCATGAAGCTCCTTCCTCGACAACATGATTCCTGTCCCAATTCCAGCTCTCCCGTCCTCTCCTCTTCTTCTTCTTCTTCTTCCTCTTCTTCTCCTCAACAGCCGTATGGTTAGACAGGTACGTCCTTTGACTATCTAGCGTCTTCATATTGTCTCGTTCTATCGTGTCCCTTTTCTTCTCTTTCTCGATGTTCCCCTCTTCTTCCTCTCCGCGAGGACACCAGATGGCCCGTCTGTGTGTTCCTCAGTTCTCCCTCTCCTCTTTCTTCTCTCTTCCCCCCCGCGGCCAGAAGGATCCGGTACATCCTTCTAGTCGTCCCGCTCCGGTCGGTCTCCGACGTTCCTCTCCTTTGCCTTGTTTTCAAGGCGTCCGTTCTTTTCTTGCGCCTCAGGTAGGCACATCCTCTCCTTCTTTTGCTTCTACTGAGAAGCCCACTTCTTCCGTTCCTCGTTCCCGTTCCCGTGGTCAGGAGTTCCTGAAAAGGTTCGACGCCACACACACTCGTTCCCCCAACTGTCGTTCCCCCCCTTCCCCCCCTGTGGCTTCGGCCACGTCCCCTCGTTCTGTACCCCATGACAAGCCTCCCAGCACCTTGCGGTTTCTTCGTCGTCCCTCCTCTTCTTCCCCTTCCACTCGTTCCCCCCGTGCGGCTTCGGCCGCGTCCACTCATTCTCATCCTACCCGTTCTCGTGGGGAGGCGTTCCTGCAAAGGTTCGACTCCTCACACCCCCGTTCCCCCCCTGTGGCTTCGGCCACGTCCGCTCGTTCTGTGCCTCGTGGCACATCTATTCCTAGACCTTGTGTGGTTCTTCGGGCCACTTCCCCTCGTGTATACCGGTGTACTTCGGGCACCACTCCTGTCGTGGTTCCTCGGGCCACATCCACTCGTTCGTATATCCCTATTCGTTCTGTGGCTTCGGCCAAATCCTGTCGTTCCCCTCGTGTTTCCCGTGGTCGTGCGTTCCTGGAGAGGTTCAACGCCACACATCCTTATCCTTCCCCTGTGGCTTCGGCCACGTCCACTCGTTCTGTTCCTCGTTCCCCCTCTGTGGCTTCGGCCACGTCCGCTCCTTCAAAACCGATGAAATCGGTTCGGTTCGTAGAGACCACCACGGTGGTGGTGGTTCCTCGGTGGATTCTGAAGTGGAGAGACATCCACAGGTGCAGCTGGAGGTAAGTCTTTCTCTTTTCTTCTTTCTTTCTTTTTTTTCTTTTTCTTTTTTCTTTTTCTTTTTTGAAGTGGGCTTCTCTTGTTTTATGTCACTTTTTTATTTGATTTTACCTGTATATTCTATTTTGTATGTTTATCTTTCCGGACTTGGCTGTACCGGAGCCAAATCTGGACTCTTACTGCTAAGGCCAGGTCACAGGTCGGGCAAGAGACGACATCGAACAGCTCCAACGGTGATCGGGCACCGTAGATACCAATATATCGATTAGTTCCGGCTACCAACGAATGTCTAGCGCCGAACACTGCTGCGATACGATAGGTTTACGCCCTTTCGCTTAACGACTTGATACCGGTACCCCGGGTGTCGACGGGACAGCATCACCAACAAAACGACTGCGATAAACGACCGGGATAGACGTTTGGGGTTGTTGGAGGAACTGGGTTTCTGTGTGGGCAGCAGGGGCTTGGGGAATTCGGCAACCACGTCTATTTCGGCAACGGTTATTGGCGGTTTTCGAGGGATGCAAGAACGTCGACATACACGGTCAGTACGACAGAGACAAGCAAGCGACCAATGCAGTGTTCGGTTAGCGACAACATTCGGCGGCGAAGCGACAGCGACTATCGATGGTACTCTACGATTGTTACGGCCTGCAGGGTTTGTTCAGCGAAGGGATCGCAGGTGTCGGGGGATCCGGGGGAGGGTGATATCTCGTGCATATCAAGGGGGGGGTTGCTTTTTACTGGCGGGTTCTGGCGGGCGTTTCTGGATGGGAAAAGTGCTTTTTTTCTTATGTTTGGAGTTTGGTGTTTAGCCCTCTTGGTTGAGCTGGCAGGAGTTGGTTGGTTTGGGAAAAGTGCTTTTTTTCTTATGTTCGGCGTTTGGCGTTTAGCCCTCTTGGTTGAGCTGGCAGGAGTCGGCGTTTTTCTTTTATTCTTATGTCTTTTTATGTCTTTTTTGGGTCTGCTTTTTGGGTCTGATTTTCGGGTTTGTGTTTGGGTCTGTTGGGATTTCTTGTGCTATCTCTACGGAGATTTCTTCCTGTGGTCCTAGAATTCATGTCATTAGTTAGGGGGGCCTGTGACTTCGAGTCACCCCGTGTCCCACCCATACTCGTTTGTATCATCCAGGCCCGGCGTGGTCATGGATTTTATGTAACTAGGGGGTTGTGGTTCGTTAATGATCACTCTTTGCCCCACACTCGTTGGTCTTCGTAGGATCGTATGTGCTTCGTAGGATAGCATGTGAAGTTTATGGAATGACAGCCTGTTTATGAGAAAACTTGGTCTATCGTGTAGTAGTCAACTCGTAGGCGCGGTTGGGTTCATACTCTGCGGATCTTATGCTCTCCTTCGCTTCACGGTCCCGCTGGTACGTCACCTGGATGGGGGGTGGAGCATATTGTAAGTAGCTTTAGAGATACGGGATACGGGGAAAGTATGGCTCTGCAGAGTCGGACTCAAAGGGTGTGAAGCTATACATTTTTCTGGCCTACTGGATTTAGGGCTAGCATATGACGGGAGTGGGCAAAGGATATTGAGGACTGGCATCTTCCTATCTCGCCGCTGACCATCAACACCACGACTCCCCAACCAACCTAACAGACACTTGTGCAAAAAGGAAGAGCATACATAGAAAACGACATGAACTGACTAAAACACATTCATGCAGAGGGACCATACAGAACCAAAAATTTATGACAAGAGTGGGATTCGAACCCACGCCCCTTTCGAGACTAGGAATACTCCTGAGGAATATGTGAGATCAGATAGCCTGACCCTAGCGCCTTAGACCGCTCGGCCATCTTGCCGGTTATTGAAAATATGTGTTTGGTTTGATTATATGACTGGTTGGATGGGTAAGGTACTGGGCGACTGTAGGTTTACTGTGGGGATAGCTTGGTGGGGTGGTGGTGAGAACTTAATTTCTATTCGGTCCGAAAGTAAGAGTACCTTTATTCAGTCGGGTATGTTAATGACGGTGCTGGCATGGCTCAGCGCGACTGGTCCTTCCGTTCGATAGAGGACATGCTACCTCTGGAAGAAATGCTAGGTTGAGTGCCGCTCTTGTCTTTGGTACTCTATTGGGGGTGTGACAAACAATTCTATGTGATCTTTTGTCATATTTACCTCTCTTTGCTTCTTTCCTCGTTTTCCGGTGGGGTAAGGTGTGGGAGGGTAGGGCGGTCCACTGTCCACGGTGATTGTACCAGTTACTCAAATATATCTACTGCGCCGCTGGTAACATTGAGCTCAGACTCGCCTAAAATCGTGGTAAACGGACATGTGTCATATTCTGTGTAGGCTTAGCAATAAGAAGATATATTGCTGCTCAATACTATCAACCTGTTGCTAGGAGCTGCTCCTGTGATGGTTAGACCCTCTCGGCTTGGTACATCATGCTGGTGGGAGGTGGCTGTTTAGTAGCAACCGAATAGCTTGCAATCTGTGCATTGTGTACACTATTATGAAATGGTTCAGTGTCGGCGGGGTTGCTCCATATACCCGACAAGAAAAAAGGTGCTGCTGAAGCGGGCATAATGCCACTGACCGGAGCGGGTTCCGAATGTATATATCATGCTCCCCTTCAGTTCCGATCACTTATCGCCATCATCCACAACATGAATCCAACCACATCCCTCCAGATAGTACCCAAGCACCTAAACCACACTTACCTCACTAATAGTTGACCATATACCCCCAAACACCAACCGCCCGCACCCCCATCCCCACAATTCATCAACCCTCCTTACCATCCACCAGATCAAACACCGGTACTACTTATCTCCTAGCGCACTAAAATCAATCCATTTCCATCAATCCGGCAAGATGGCCGAGCGGTCTAAGGCGCTAGGGTCAGGCTATCTGATCTCACATATTCCTCAGGAGTATTCCTAGTCTCGAAAGGGGCGTGGGTTCGAATCCCACTCTTGTCATAACTTTTTGCATCCTGGTACTCCGCTACACGATCAACAAATCAGCATATGTACATCTACTTAATGTTTCTCATTTCCTTTGACAAATATCTTACAGATGCAGGTGCGCTGGTTGCCATCGGGATTCATATGTATTCTAAACCGCCTCCCCCTCCGCACCCTGTTTGACGCCGAGCACGGTCCGGAACGACAGTGGGGCTCTGTGGCTGCCGTCAAGCAGGCACAGATCAATGCTTCCAGTCTCCTTTTTGTACCATCTTTTCGTCAACTTCTTCCTTTATTTTTACTGGTTCTTCCAGGTCACGTACCTAGACCAACAAAGTCCGACCGGTAATACCCCGCGTGGAATCGCCTGCGGTTTTCTGACTACGGCATTAACTCATGGAGCGACGTATATAGATACCCGCTTAAGCGGGAAGCCGTAAGTGGATAAGCCGAGCAGTTTAATCGGCGGCCGGACTTACTTCCCCCGCGCGCGACAGTCGTTGCCTGGCCGCTTCCCCGATCGCTGATCTACCATGGATTTATCACCGGACTGTACCATGATATCATGATCGCTTGTTTATTGCTGGGTGGCTGATTCATGGGGTACGGTATCTGCCAAACATGGAAGGGGTCTTTCAGTCCCCTCAGCTCATCCTGCGCCCATGCTTGCATACTAGTTTTCTCTTCACCAGACTAACGACACTGACAGGGGTTCTTCCAGGTTTCATTTCCAATAGTTACCCTCTGATTGCCAAAGCTGAGACTGACAAAGATACCTGTCACTGGCTATCTAGGTAGAGCGACCCAAAAACTCGCCGACAATCTGGAGGTATCTCTCGCAGTCGTCGAACTGGGGGCAATGTGAGCTCTCCGCCATGGTGATCCACCTCACCTTGTCGATCCCCCAGAAGAGTGGCTCGACGGCGCTGTCCTGTGCTTCATCGTACTTGCCATTGATCACCAGCGTGGGGACCTGGATCTGGTGCAGGCGGTCCAGCCCACTCCAATCCTTGAGGGAGCCTTCGATCCAGAATTCAGATGGTCCAAGCCTGCTGCCGTTAGCAAATGCGATCGAGGTGGAGGTCATCGCACATACATGGTGGACACAATGGTGGAATCCTTTTCCGTGGCCCAGACGAGACTTTGCATGAGCTCCTCGGGCCAGGGCTGCGCCCGGCAACAAAATCGGGACAGGAACTCCACCGTCGCATCTTCATACTCTTTGGACTCGAGCCGACCTTCGGTTTCACATCGCTGCAGCGTGTCTTGGATCTCCTCTGGCAGGGTAGCGCGAAGCCGATTGACCGATTCCAGCCATAAGGCGGCCGAAGCCGGGCTATTGGAGAGAATCAGACGGCGCAGTCCGGCTGGTTGACGAGCGGCAAAATCCAATCCCAGCATGCCGCCCCAGGAATGGCCCAGCAGATCGAAATGACCGGCAATGCCTAGTTGTTGGAGCAGGTTATCCAGCTCAGCGATGAACAGATCGACGGTCCAGAATCCCTGGTCGCCCCGTTTCTCCGGGTAATGGGAGGATAGCCCGTTTCCGATCTGATCGTACAGAATGACGGCACGGTCGGGGGCCAACCCGGCCAGGGGTAGCATGTAGTTGTGACAGAAGCCTGGCCCGCCATGCAAGACCACCAAGGGAGTGCCCGCCTTGAGGTCGCCGTAGACCCGATACCAGGTCTGGGCAGCCCGCGGCAGACTGGCATGTTGGAACTCAACGGTCCCTTCCTGCACCGGAGTGGCTGCCATAGTTGGATAATCGGTGGAAGATTGGAACTGCGATAATCAGGGTGATAACAATGGTCGTAAGGGAGGTTGGAGGGGAAGGATTCGACAAAGCACCCCGTCTTAACACCACGTCCTGGGTTTTCGCCGAAATTACCCCATTGCAGGACGAGTTTGTCCATGAGACACCCCCACTCGATTGACATGGCCTTCATATCGGTGCCCGAGTTAATTAGATGGCCCTGGCTAGCGTCCGGAATCTGGCCGGTCGATCAATCTATCTACTATCCAGGGGTCGGCGACAAGGACAGACCTGGGAAGGCCAGTGGCTTGTCTTCGGCCGAATCCTGAAGTAGGTAACATCCCTCGCTATTTATATTGATCTCCAAGCAGTGCGAATCTGTCTCAGCTCACTATATTTATAATCGGACGGCAAAAGTACTGTGTACAGCCACTGGGGGACGGCGCGGCTGGCAGCCCTACTACTGAGGCCTAGTGGATTTAGTCGCCTCCACCCCAATCCTTCCACCGGGATGTTGCCGTCCATACTTTAACGGAGTCAAAGTCAATCCAAAGGATTCCTCAGCTCCTCGGCTGGCACGATAACAAGTTCCTTTTTATCGTCTGGTCGCTCTGCCACGTAGAAGCTCGAGGCATGCCGGCCCGCCACCACGACGACAGCCATGATTGTGGTCACCGAAGTCAATCGGTCGCCCATCATTGGGATCCTGGCCTGGCTTTTGTTCGTCATTTCGACATTGGCAGGGCTTGCACGGCTAATCGTTAAATATGTCATCGCCCGAAGACTCACAATGGATGATATCCTGGTCTCCGTGGCAATGGTGCGTCCCAGAGCCGCATGGTGTCCAGTCATATGCTAACTGTGATGCAGGGGTTCAGTCTGCTGCAGACAATATGCATCTCGATTGCCGCCCGCAATGGCTATGGGCAAGAAGAAAGAGCCTCATCTTCTGAGCAACTGGAGAAAGCGCTGAAGGTGCATTCTCGATTCAGGCAATAGCGTTGATTTACAGTTGTCGCTGACTCCCATATAGTCCGTCTATGCCTCCGAAATGTTCTACATTGCCAGCCTGACTTTCGCCAAGCTGAGCGCTCTGGCATTCATCAACTTTCTCATGCAGCGCACTCGCAAGACTGAATGGGGACTCATCGTCTTGATCAGCGCATGGGGCCTGGCGGCCGAATTTGCTGTGGCTTTCCAATGTCATCTTCCGCGCCCGTGGGGTTGGAACGAGGACCATTGTTTTGATCGCGTGAGCTGATCCGGACCTACTCCGATGGGTTCAGACTAACTCAATTTCTCCCCTCAGGATACATGGTGGATGGTTTTTGGGGCTATCGACATTCTCAGTGAGAGCGCATTGATTGTTGTTCCTACCATGATAGTTCTCGGAATCCAGATGGCCGTTGCGAGGAAAGCAGTTGTCATTGGCTGCTTCCTCACTCGCCTTCTGTACGTCTCAGGATACTGCTGTCAATGTGTGGATGTTTACTAATACGCTGATAGGAACATATCTGCAATTATTCTTGAACTGGTGTATCGCCAACGCAACCGAGGGGCTGCCGATCCCATGCTAGCCATCTGGGAGGCTGCTGTCTGCGCGCAGGTGGTGCAGTGCCTGGGCATTATTGTCGCTTGCGTTCCTCACCTGAAGCCATTCATGGATGGACTGCAGTCCACTGGCCTCCGAATGTACTACCTCCCAGGCGAGACGTCTCGACGGGGGGAGTATGGATACGATAGTAAGGGGGCAACGACCGGGCACGAGCTCAGCGGGCTCCCTAACGTGGTCAACAGTACGACTGTCTTCGCCGGCGAGCGACAATCGGATTGGGATGACACCCTGAGCCAGAACAGCCAGAGCCACATCATTCGCGAAACGAGGACTTGGGTCGTAGAGGAGCAGTATGATCCGGACGCTGCAGTTAGTCGAATAGACAACGACTCCAATGGCAGCCACGGGCTGCACGAATCGACAAGCCACTAGGGCCACATGTCTTGCACAGCACTATCTATCTGGATTGTGAATGGACAGTGTACTCCACACCGAAATGAACTCTTCCGAAAAAGGAAATGAGCGTTGGCGATCTTCAGCAGTTCTCAGGCAGCGGCAGCTGGCACTTATTTTAAGTTTTTTTAAAGCTGCATCAGGTTTTACGGTCAGTGGGGTCACGACTTGGTTTTTTTTAATATCTCTAGTTAGTATCGGACCGGAGCCTGAAGCGTGGATCGCCGGGCAGTCAGCCATTCTCCAGAGCTCAACCGCGACGGGTGGACCGCGAAGCTTAACTGTACCAAGTAAGGTCCTCGATGGACCCACTGCTAGTCTGCTACAGGCATGCAGAGTGCAACTAGCAGCAGCATTGCGTGGTGTTTGATCCTGCAAGTCCAGGCTATAGGCCTACACTAAGACTATCGCCCCTCTGAAAGTTTCCCCTTTGGTGAAGGTGCCTCCTTCGACTGTGGGGGGTTAGTCGCCCCAGCCAACGTCTGTCATGAGAGAAGCCCCTGGGCCAGCTGATCGTGGCTTTTTTACTACTGGCCTATGGCACTAGCCCCATTGCCAAAGAAAACTACAGGGGTCAGGAAACAAGCCTTTTTGGCCTTTTATTTCCGTTCTCGCCCTGTCTCCCCTAATCGAGAGGCTTTTTTGGGACAACGGTGCAAGAAAACAACATCATCATGCAGGAGTCGGTTGAGCTGCGTGATCGGCAGTGGAATTCAAAGGCCGCCCAGAGCAGTCATTCGCAAGTCAATGATGAGCAGGGGCTGGGTCGGGTGGGCAAGAAGCAGGTTCTAAAAGTAGGTGACGATCCCGATCTATCTTCTGACAGAGACTTATCCAAGACTAAAGCGTCGATTCGGCTTCTTGTCAATTTTGGGCTTCAGTTGTACCGTTCTGGCATCCTGGGAGGGTATCTTGTCGTGCGTATGCCCGAGTGGAGAGTGGTTCTGCAGATGCTGACTGACAACTAGGACCTTTACTGTTCCTTTTGAAGAGTATGTTCATCCCGCACCTAACGCAAAGTCATGCAGCTAAAGAATTGATAGTGGAGGGCCTGCAGGAACGGTCTACAGTTTCCTGGTCGTTTGGGTGGGCACCTTTTCGACATTCCTCACGCTGTCCGAGCTTGTTTCGATGTACGTCCGATGAGATTTTGGCTCACGCAAGCAGATCTGACTGGATATAGGGCCCCTACCTCGGGAGGGCAATATCACTGGGTGTCGATGATGTCCCCGCGATGGTGTCAAAAGTATCTCAGCTTTCTTACAGGTCCGTCCCGACCGTGTTATCTACCACTTCTACACTGACGGTCAAAACTAGGATGGTTGATTGTTATCGGCTGGCTGGGAGCTTTTGCTTCAACGTGTTATCTGAGTGCTTCCCAAATCCAGGGCCTGGTGGTTCTTAACAATTCGTCGTACGACCCCAAGCCTTGGCAGACCCTGCTTCTATTTTGGGCCATTGTGGCGTTTGCCGTGTTCGTCAACGTCGTCACCAGCACCATGTTGCCCAAATTCGAAGGATTAGTCCTGATTCTGCATGTTTGCGGGTTCTTCGCGATCATTATACCCATGGTGTACCTGGGCGATCACAATCCAGCTTCCGAGGTGTTTGGACAGTTCGCCAATGATGGCGGATTTCCGACGCAAGGGTTAGCCTTCATGGTGGGTATGATAGGTAACATGTTTGCTTTTACGGGAGTCGATGCGGCGGTCCATGTGAGTTGTCAATCCGATCAAATGGATGTTTTGCTTGGCTGACAACAGACGGCAGATGAGCGAAGAAATTTACAATGCCGAGCGCGTCGTCCCACAGTCTATTCTCACTTCGGTTCTGATCAACGGCCTTCTGGGCTTCGGGATGATCCTGTCCACTCTGTTTACCATGACCGATGCTGAGACCGCACTGGGGTCACCCACCGGATATCCTTACATGCAGATCTTCTGTTCGTCTACTAGCTCGCTTGGGGGATGTACCGTGATGTCGGCCATTGTGCCTATCCTGGTTACTGCCACTGCTGTTGGATCCCTAGCCTCTTCCTCTCGTATGGCGTGGTCGTTTGCTCGTGATCGCGGCCTCCCTGGATGGCGCTTGCTCAGCCGGGTAATTCTCCTTCCCCTTCATTATGCTATGTGCTAACCCATTTCTAGGTCAACGCCCAAGCCGTTCCTCAATATTCCATTCTCGTTGTAACCATCGCAGCCGTCCTGTTGGCACTGATCATCCTCGGATCCGCAGCCGTGTTGAACGACGTCATCTCCCTCTGCGTCAGCGCTCTGTACGCCTCATACCTGATCTCGGCCTTCCTCCTGATGTGGAAGCGCTGCACGGGCGGCATCCGCGAGCCCTCCGATACCCCTATTGATAGCGTTGTGAACACGGCCGGGGCACCTCTTGCCTGGGGACCTTTTCATCTTCGCGGCGTGCTGGGATTGTCTGTCAACGCTTTTACTGTCGCGTATCTCACCATCGGTGTGTTTTTCAGCTTCTGGCCTGATGAGATGAACCCGACAGCCAGTACGATGAACTGGGCGGTGGTTGGCACGGCCGGCACCAGTCTGGTGAGTACACTGTACTATATTATTTGGGCCCGTAAGGAGTATACTGGACCGGTGGTGGATTTTGATCGCACTTAGCTTCCTGGCTGTTAGGGTGATCGGCATCACTGAAGACATAGGGTCTTAGAGTCACGGGTTATGTTGATGGAAGTAGAGCTTAGCTTGACTTATTTATCGGCGTGCAGTATGAATCGAGTAACTAATAATAGTCGAGTAAATGTGCAACATTTATTGCCCGGGCTGAATCTGCTTGGTATGGCCTGGTGTGTTACTTCTCGACAGAAGCCTTTCGATTGTGAGGAATTTTCTTCTAGAGATATGTGGGTTATGTCCCAAATAGCGATTGCCGTGATTGCCTCCTTGATCAGGTTCTCTTCTGCCCGGGGGTCTGAAAAGGCCCATCGTATGGATGTATAATGCAGAATAGGAAACCACGGATGATATCTTTCCAGCCATATGCCCTGCAGCTCCTAGTCTAGAGAACCTGGGGGGTAGTCTGGATGTGTGGCTGAGGCTAGGCGCTGAAGAACAGGTACTAAAGGAGGATCGGCGTGAATTATAAGTCTATGGGCTAATGAAGCCAGTTATTTGTTGCTCTTTTCAACGAGCAGCCCGGCTAGCTCAATCGGTAGAGCGTGAGACTCTTAATCTCAAGGCTGCGGGTTCGAGCCCCGCGTTGGGCTTTCTTTTTTCTTCCCTTTGCTTTTATCCAACGAACAAACTGCCTTATTAAATAAACCCAGCCCATCGTCACATTCGTCTTTCTTTCATTTCTTTTTTATTGGTATTCCAAGATCTGATGCCGCACCGTCGACCGATGACGATTGTTGGTCAGCAGTCTCGTGCTTCCACCCAGGAATCACGTGCTGGTGCCTTGCGGCGGCATCTTTCCTTTCTCCTTGTTTACCCCTTCTCCATAGTGTAGTAGAATCAGATCCAGACACTCAGTTTCACGCCATTCTGTATTCCTGGCACCGTGATACCTGCACTCATCACTGTCTACTATATTTACGCGATAACATCCTGGAATCCCTTATCAATGAAACTAACCCAATGCAGAGCGCGAGAACGCGGCCCACTTTTTCAGGCCTGGCGATAAGCCTGATCGGGTGCGCAGGAACGCCAGGATGGCTACATAACCGCCGCCATTCCCTCCTCCAGACACCTCGAGTCAGCCAAGTAGCCTTTCACCATGGGTCGTTTGCCGCAGACTCGCTACCCCAATCTGGCCACCGATCCCCGGTGCTATTTGGGCCTCTGCCTCGTGCTGATCGCTCTGCTCGTCCAGACCCACTGGGTTAGCCTTCCCAGCCCACACTCCCAGCCAGGTCCCGCCGTGCTGCGACTGCAACAGCATCAAGCCGAGCAGCTAGGGAAGCAATTGCAGAAATGTCAAGTGCTTCAGCAGCCTCCGGTCGTTGCTCAGGTTCCTCCCCCAGCCACCCGAACGAACCCTCGATGGATCCCAACCGGCCAGAACCAAACCATCATCCTGCGGAATGCGACCTTGTTTGACGGGGAGTATACTATCGACCACCCGGTAGATATCACCTTCCGCCATGGTGTCATCACCAATGTTGCACCCACCCAAAGAATAGCCACCGAGCAGGGTGAAGTCTTCCAATTGAATGGCCGTTTTGTAACGCCCGGCCTCGTGGACATGCACTCGCACCACCTCGACGTCCACGACGATCTGAACGAGATCCATCCGGATTCGGGCCCTCTCACCCCATTTGTCCGCGCTTTGGACAGCCTCAAGACTTACGATAAGACGACCACAATGTTCGCTTCCGGGGGCGTCACATCCTCCCTCATCCTGCCCGGTTCCGCCAATGTCATGGGGGGCGAAGCAGTCATGGTCAAAAACCGTCTGAACAGCGGCAAGTATGGGGAACAAGTAGTCGAAGATCTCCTGCTTGAGCGAGGTATCCCTCATGCACAACGTCGCCGGTACATGAAGATGGCATGCGGTGAAAACCCAAAGGGCCTCTACGGTCATACCCGCATGGGGAATGCCTATGTCTTCCGAAAGCAAATGAGCGAGGCTCAGAAATTGCTGAAAAGTCAGGATTCCTGGTGCCTTGAGGCTGCCGCTGCCCAAGAAACAGGTGACACCGATGCAATTGCCCAATTACTGTCCAACGGGGGATTGCCGGAAAACTTCTCCCTCGAGTCATCCGTCTCCATGCTGCGAGGCCAGGTGGGCGTCAACATTCATTGCTACGAGCCTGAAGATATGGAAGCCATGATTCGGCATAGTGAGGAGTTTGGCTTCCGCATCCAGGCGTTCCATCATGCGCTTGAAGCGTGGAGAGTGCCGGAGATGCTCAAAGCCAGCGGACAGTAAGTCGATAGACACGTTGTGAGGATGGATCTGACATTAGCAGGAACATCACGGTCGCGACATTTTCTCACTTTGCGCACTATAAACACGAGGCATATGATGCGAGCCTGTATGCTGGGAAGATACTTTCTGAACATGGGGTGCCAGTTGCCTACAAATCGGTAAGTCGCTGCCCTGCGCTTGCTGCGGCCGTGCTGAACAAATTAGGATGCATCCGATGAATTTCTCAACGCGAAATATCTCCTGTAAGTGAATGTTTTCTGCCTCTGGTGACTACTAACAGAGGTGCAGAGCTCAAGCAGCAGAGGGGCACTCGTTTGGTCTTCCAGAGAATGAAGCACTTCAATCTGTTACTAGCGTACCGGCAACGTCTCTGGGAATGCACGATCGGATTGGCTATGCAAGAGCTGGCTTTGATGCAGACCTTGTTATTTGGGACTCTCATCCGTTGTCAAACGGGGCAACTCCTTTGCAAGTCTACATTGACGGCCAGCCCACCCTGAACGACACACTGACTACCGTGGCTTCGGGACATCCTATGTCCCCATCCACGCGTCCAGACATTTCTAGGGACCAAAAGGCCGATACGTGCAGCCAATTATGGCAGAAGCACGGAAAGTTCTTGATTAACGGAATTAAGAAGTCCTTTATTCCTGCTCCAGATACCGATTTACCGGTAGACGAGCTGGAGATGGTGCTTGAGAGTGGGCGGATCATCTGCATGGGGGCTGCTGGTCATTGTGCCGAGGCTGCTATCGACACCGTTTCAATCCAGCTGGAGAACGGTCATCTCTACCCCGGCCTGACTGCCGTTACTGCAGGTGGGCTTGGCCTGGTGGATATCGCTACGGACCCCAGTACCGGAGACGGGGGAAGCGCAATTCCACCCGACAATGTGGCCAGCGAAGCCTTGGTATATGCGAAATATGGTCTGCGCATACAAGGCAAGGATCTTGTGAGAGCTCAGCTGGGCGGCATCACCAAAGTCGTGACCGTTCCGCTCGCGCCAAACGAACATAGCGTGTTTCTGCGTGGAGTTTCGACAGCATTCCATGCCAGTGGTCAAGGTACGATTCTAGACGGCCGAATTCTGAAAGATGATGTTGCACTACATGTTGTGCTGGGTCAGGAGGGAAACTCTCCCATCACGGCGTCGGTCTCTTCTGCTATCGGTCTTTTGCGACGGATTCTGATCGAGAACCAAGGATCAAACAACACGTATGGCCAGGTGGTGAATGGCTCTCTGCCGCTTGTGGCGCACGTCAAAAGCCACCATGACATGCTGCAGCTCGTCCAAGTGAAGAGAGATATCCCGTCTGTGAACATGGTTCTTTTCGGAGCCGCCGAGGCATCCCTCGTGGCCGAGCAACTTGCCAAAGCAAACATCTCATTAATCTACACCGCTGTTCAACCCAATCCACAAACCTGGGAAGGAAAGGATGTGCCTGTTGGACCGCCTCTGACGGCATCTCCTATCGAGGCATTGGTTAGTGCGGGGGTGAAATTTGGCATCGCGCAATCGGCTTTGGGTGATTCAAACATCCACAACTTGGTGATTGACGCTGGGTTTGCTCGTAAGGTTGCGGGGTTGAGTGAATTGGATGCCGTGAATCTGGTGAGTAAGAACATCGAGGAGATTCTGAATCTTGATGTGGAGAAGAGGGATTTTGTTCTGTACGAAGGAAATCCTCTTGAATGGGGGGCCCGGGTCGTGTTCACGGTCGACGGGGCAAATGAGAAGGTGGTTGAGTGTTGGCCTGATGAGGATTGATCGTGCTGGTTGAGATATTCAGTAATAGACTGTACCCTTCACAAACCGTTTCTCGAATACTACGGCTCTTGCTGTAAACATTATACCTTTCTTGCTACAAATTCCTACTGTGTATGTTCTAGAAACAAAAGATCTTCCATAAGCGGCCCACTTTCAACCTCTCATTCCGGAATCTTCAGCAAAACAACAATGTGCATCTCCCGACAGATGCAGCATATGGAAAAGGAACTTACAACATCCGATTAGACAATCACCCCCGAAATCCTGCCATATTCCGATCCCGAATCAGGAAATGATCACCCACCCAAAAACTATATTAATCCTTCATCCCAACCCATTTCTAGCCATCCCAGCCCAGCAAACACATCAGACTAGAAGTGAAATGGCCACTCCAATCACTCCCCACATACCATAGATTTATTTGACTGTTTGAAAATAGCCACAGACAGCAGAAAGCAGAAACCGGAAGTCACCAAGCCCCGATAGTCTCTTCCCCCTATAACCGGAATTCCACCGCAGCTTACAAAACAACCAACAACTAATGATCCTCTCCTTTCTCCAATTCAGAGCCAAAATGACAGCTATGGTCCCTAAGTCTTCAAGGTGGAGTTGCACTCGCTTCTCAAGAGAGAAATAACCAGCACCCTGCACAACACTCGAATATCTCGCCCATGGAAAGCAGAATCTAGGCAGGTGACATCTCCGGCTTGGGATGTGTTGTTTTACAGGAAGAAGCACAGTACTCGGGCTCGATTGACATTTCATTGTCGAAGACTTGAAGAAACAGGTTTACTTGTTTCATATAATGAGGATTGACCAGCTCGCCTACATAAGAGACGTCTTATCTCTCTCTTCTTCGATCATCTTTGCATGCCTTGTCTCATGCACTGACAGAATCACAGCAGAGAGATCATACATTCCACCGTTTGACTCGGGGAATGGCATTCGATTGCGGTTTCGATTGCATCAGAAATACGGTCCTATGTGTTGAAGATTGACAAGCCAGTCTCTTATCTACATATTCGATCTGACCCTATTTGCCCAGAATGTCGAGTCATGATGTTGGGTTGTTCCCTCATTATGGATACGCGTTCTCAACAAGTTTTTGATGATCAGATTGTTTAGATCGTGACCTCAAGTTGGAATAAGAATTGCGGCGAGGTATATACGTTTTCAAATAATGATACATTCATCTGCTGGAAGCACTCATAGCAACGGGACAAACGCAAAGCTCAAGTGAAATGCACATTACGTACCTACCAGCAGACAGTGTCATCAGCCGGACTTATTGCAAGGTCAAGATGCGGCGAGTACAATGGTTCGGTTGCTTGTGGGTTGAGGGGAGTTGGTGGATGCTTGTGCGCAGGGCGAAACTCATATCGACGCGAAACAAATGGATGTACCGGTCATGGCTGTGATGACGATGAGAAGGTACTACACATACAGATACAGATCATGCTTGAGCACAAGTGAGTTCCATACATGAAGTACGGTCCATCTGATTGACTCAATTAGGGCGGTTAAGAGGTGCTAGAGGATGCACATGGCAGCATTGGATAGCAGCATCAGTGGCATATTTCAGTCTTCATGACTGGGACGACTTAAAAACGGTCTTCTCCACGAAGTAACTCGGATGTTGCTGCTGGGTTATGGAAGCAATATACGCAACGGTTATGCTCGCATCAAAACACCAATCACTACGAGATTCACGGCACTGATCAATGCCGAATGCCATTCCCCATCAAACCAGTCAGATACTTCCATCCCCCAATTCAAACAACACTGTTCTTTACTTTTCGAATTTGATACATGACACGCCATCATAGGCAAACAGGCAGTGCTAACCTGCCAAATCGCTCCGAGGATCTTCGCTATTCAGTTGAACAGCACATTATCATTGTGTGTCTCATATACCACTTGCCATGTCACCACTGTCTTAACAAGCGCCATGGCTCCCCAAGTCAAGTCTGCGTGACGGTCTCATTCGCAGTCTATTCATTTGACCCCCTCGGCCATGTCCTCAATGTCGACTCCCTAGTAAATTCCGAACTGGGGGCAGTATCAAGATATAGATGGTACTATTAAGACAACTCTGCCATGTCGCGGTGTCCTCCTGATCCTCTGCAGCCTGGCTTGAGCCGTGGCATTCAATTGATTCATGCCTTTCGCCGTACTCAGGACTATCATACTCCACCTATTGAAATGCCTCGCCGATTTGATGCATCTAGTATTTGCCCCATTTCTTCGCTTGGCCGTCATCACACTAGCCAGTTCAACTTCTTCATCACTTTATCGCACCTCCATGAAACTGTGAAGAAAGATCGCCAGATCTCTCGATTGGAAGACGTCACAGAAAAAGCTTCAAGTCGCCGTCTCAAGATATGGTCTAGTCCAATAGTGACTGGAACAGCCTCACTGAATCTCAGCCCATCGCTGAAAGGTTTCACTCGCTTCAGGCGCTGGGTAGAAACGACAAACAAGTCCGCCTCTACCAATATTAGATGTGAAGAGGGTATCAGCCGAGGGTCTCTGCCCTAGCAGGAAGACAAACCAGGCAGTTGCAACAGACACTCAAACCAATACATGCTTCTCTTTCAACTCGGAAACTACAGGAACAGAACATACATACTATCAATATCTAATCATGGAATCCGTCCACGACAAAAACATCCACGGCTCAGAAAGAAAACTACGATACCTCTCATCAGACGCTTACCAGCCATCTGAATGGCAAAGCTAGGTTCTGTTCTTTAGGGACCGATGCAAGACAACAGAAAGTATCCCTTTCATTCCGAGACCTGCGATTCCTCGTTAGAAGCTGCTCTCAAGACAGCACGGGCCTGTTTGCACATCAACCTCGATATCCACCGCAATCGCAGAGTTCTAGATGCGTGGTACCTATAACGTCTGTGATGTGTCTAGACCAAGTTAAGCCCCAGTCGAAGTGGTTTGATATTAGCAGACACGACTTCTTTTAAACAAGATGCATGCTATATATTCTTCTCAGGATGGCCGCCGCAATATACGACCGGTTCAACTACATCGGTATTTAAACATCCTCTGCCCCAAATCCACGCGAAAGAACAATATGAATGGTCTTCTACACTCTACACCTACACGTGGCATCTGAACAAAACAGACGACATTTCTCTTCCTTTCCACTGATCTTCCTGCACTATCACCCCCTGATGATCCACACACATGATCGAGATTTGCAACCGCTAGGGACTCACCCCGTCGTTGAACAAAGCGAATGCAACCCCAATTTTGATATCCGGGGCCTGTTCCATACATACATACAATTTCTTCTTGCCATACCCGAAATACAATCTCCCCAGCCACTCTGCATCTCACACGCAAGCACAACATGAGACAAAACATATTCTGAATCCAATATGCATAGGGCAGATGGGACTCTTCTTAAACCACACATATGATGTTCTCAAAATGTCTCACCAATATCGCTCAGCACGCAGCCACCTCTACTTAGAGTCTCGCTTACAGCTCAATCTCATCAAACAGCAGATATCAACTTCTTCCTCACATGTCTGTGTCCCATATTCCACGAAACCTCAAATGCATGAATGAATCCAACAGCTGCTCAACACAAAGAAAAGAGACCGAGACGTCCGGGTCAAGACCAAGTACACAGGTGTCTATGCTAAGTTGATTTACTGGCAAGATACCCCCGATGCCGAGCCCCACTGGGTGTATATCAGATCAGCAACAAAACTGTTCCCAATGCCCTGGGGGACTGACCCCAGCGAAGATGTCGTTCTCACTGGAAGCCGAAACAGTATTCAGCATAATGCTAAGCGCCCATTCCAAAAAGCAGTAGAGCATGCACAAGATCCAAAGAAGTCTTCCCATGGTGCAGTGCATGTCGCCACTCTTGCCTGTTAGAATCACTGCGCAATTGATCGATCTCCCTCCTCAGAAGCTGTCATGTTCTTCACGCGGCCGAACAACATGAACTGAAACGAAACCATAGACAGATTACAGGTCCTTCAACACAGACACGTCTCGGATTTCAAATTTCACCACTCGCTCGCTTGGAGTTCTGGAACATCTGCGAGACATGGAGTGGGCGCGTCGGTTGATTTGGAGACGGATTGCAGGGGGAAAGGTCCGAAAAGCAGTGTGTCTTCTCCTAGTACACTCTATCCGTTATTCTCATATGGGGTATAGAACAGAGTATTCTGTATGATCTTTCATCGAATTTCGAATACATCGATGAATGAATAATCCTAGATTTACAACATCGAGAAACCCAGTGGATGTTTCATTGAAGCATACGGGAGAATAACATGAGCCCTTGAATACATGATATGGTTGGACTACACTAACAAAGCCAACCATATCGTTTCCGATTAGCATTCGCTTCTCGGTTAAGAAGAACACAATACGCGAGAGCAATATGTCGGGCCTCATGTCATGTCCTAGATATAGGCTGTTTTCTGGGAGTGTGGGAGTGGTGGTGGTATCGTGGGAAATACTATACCCACGATACCTTTTTAGGGAGGTTGATATGTGTTCTTGGTCTCATCTCTCACCTTCCCAGACCGGAGAATCTGCGATATTTGAGGAAAATAAATATGTCATATAGCGGAATCCGGGAGAAAGAAAACGGCTCTGGATACCACGGACAGATATGGATATTGGGTTGCGGTCTGGATCTCATGTACTTCATTGAGTAGGTATGCTGGATCGGTGATGCTCTCCATGGTCATGCTCAGATGGGATTGTGACGGTGACATTGGGTTGAATTGAAGCTGGATGTTGATATCGAGAGAGGAATAGATGTATTTTGAAAGATAAATCGGTTACAAGGGATGTATTGCGGATGGGTTGATATATTGGTGGTGGTGAGATTGTTTGGGAAGCCGCGGGCTGGTATTGCTGGGTTGTCGTGGGGGTTACATGTTGGTTGCTGGATTTCTGATGGGGTTTATTTTGGATACGAGGGAGGATATATTTATATTATCAAGATAAGGATCGAGAGTTGATCATGAACAATATCAGATGAAATGAGGCTTATATCGTACTGAGATATATTGCCCGATGGCCACTATGGTGCATGATCTCCCACCCAGTTTAATTCTTAAAATACATTCAACATCAATAAAACCCCTCTCTGTTAATTTGATTGATAGGAAATCCCACTCCCCTTAACCCCTCCACCACCTCATCCCCAAACCCACCAGGACCACAAACAAAAACCTCTTTATCCTTCGACATTCCCTTCCAATACTCTTTCCCAACCCTCCCCCTATACACCTCAACACTCACATTCTCCCTCAAAACCCCTCCAACATCAACCTCCCCCTCAAACCGAGTAAACACATCAACCCTAACCCTCACCGTCCCCGCCACACCCCCAAAGCCTCCCTCATCAGCCCCAACATAACCCCCGGCTCCCTCGTCGCCAACACAATCCCAACCTCCCCTTCCACCGTATCCCCCCTCTCCACTAACGCCTTCAACATGGCCAAAAACGGGGTAATCCCAATCCCCCCGCCACCCACAACACATCCACCTTTTCTCTCATCGGGAGAACAAAATCCCCTGTCGTCCCAACAACATCCACACAAATTGAACCATCAAATTCAACCTCCTTCCCAATTCCCTCCCCTCAGAAGCCGAAACAAAGCACCAGTAACAACACCCCCCTCATCTCCCTCATCGTCAACTCAAACCCTCCACCTGCTGCATCCCCTCATGCGCACTCGAAACAGTCCACGTCCGTACCCGATCATCATTAATCTCCCCCGGCGCATCATCACTCATATGTTTGTACTGCGGTGGTCCAATCCACTCCATGAAATCAAGCACGATGGCTTGGCCGGGTTTTATCTCCACCCGTCACCTTTCCCAGTCCCCTGGCTATGAATCCGGAACTTAAACACACCTATTCCATCACCGAGTAACTCCCCCCTCTCAAGAAGGGCTTTATATCCCACGCCACCACCCCCACCCATCACAAGACCATCTTCCTGAACAAGGACCTTCACCTTAGGACTATACATACTCCTCCCCACCTCTGTCCCTACAACCTCCCTAACAGGAACTGCGTCACGGACAAAGACATACCCGGTTACTCTAACAGCGGTGAGACTTCCCTGTCCACGCATGATCTTCCTCGCTGCATCACCGGTATAATGTTCCGCTGTGCCTGTCATGTATAATACATCCCCCGTGGTGAACGACAAGATAGTTACCCCGGCAAGACCACTAGCGTGGATATTCCCCAGGGTCGAGACGAATCTGTTCCCTGAGTAATCGGGGATGATTATCTGGTTAGTGGTTGGGTGGATGCGAGTGAATCCGGGGAGGCCGCTTCGGGCGTTGAGGCCTGCGTGGGGTGTAGTTATAGGGGTAGAGGTTGGGTTGTAGATGGTGGCGAGGAAGATAGTATCAGCGGATTGGATAAAGGATATTATCTCCGATGGAAGAAGAGAAGATGGTGGTAGATGGGGGTGGTAGTGGGTTATGGTTGGGTTTGTGGCTGGGTGGGGGGTTAGGGTGCGGGTGTTGATGTATTTAGGACAATTTCTAAACAGTTATTTAGCTGGGAGGGGGGTATTTAGGGTAGGGGATGACGTACCCTAATGCCTCTGTAACATGTACATCGATACGATAATCCAACTTCGTGTTAGTAGTGGTGGTAACGTGTTCTATCCGACCCGCGAATTTATTCCGTCTTCGGGTTGAGAATTCAATTCCCAGACCAGCGGTAAGGTATCTTTCTGGTGGAGTGGATTGTTGCTTAGGGTTGAGCCATGTCGTAATGGTGTTTAAGAGTGGATCGCCGGTCCAGAGTCGGGCGTGGATAGATAGGGTTTGTGGGTCGGGGCTATTTATGAACCCGGGCTCTCCTGTGGATCCGGCGACGATGGATGCCCAGGGACGACCGTGCTCGTCGATGGTGGTGATGGGGAGGAAGGGGAGATTGGAGGTATGGAAGATGCGGTGTTGCTCGGGCAGGAAGTTCTTGATGAAGGTCCAGCTGTTGGTTACGGCGGTGGAGTAGCCGAGTTGGCGTTGGATGGCGAGTTCGCCGGGGTGCCAGCCTTGGAGGGATGTGGACATTGTTTATGAAGTGTGGTAGGATGGTTGGTTGAGGGTTGATCTGTGGGTTGAGTGAGATGATGGGCAGAGTGTTCGGAACGTCGACACTAGGGCAAGGTTTCTTTTATTCTGCATTAGACGATGTGCAGAGGTGGGGGTTGACAGAAGATTAGAAATCCAGTTGCACAAGTGCTTACTCCATCCTTTCGCTAGATCGTATCATGATATTTTAGCTGTATGCAGGGATCCACAATGGTCTAGACAGTCTGTTCCACTAGAAAAAGCCAATACGAGGATCTGCGGGGTAACACTAAAGCTAATTCCTTCTCAATCAATCAGGAAATATGTAGGGCATGGAGAGTTGATGGCGGGGCACAGTTACCCCTCATTATTTGTAAGCAACCGCTCACGTTGCGTCAGACCCTTTATCAATCATCAACCACCTCAACAACACCAATATCGTTACAATCAAGTAAACTGATCTAGACAAACTAATTTATCATGGCGCTGTCTTCAACAATCTACCACTACCTCGACATCGGTCGACTAGGCCGCGGGGAAGTCGTCAAGTACCCCCCCCCCCTCCCCCCCAACACATCCTCATTCACCACCCCACTAACAACCACAGACTCTTCCTCAAAGACGCCGGAATCGAATTCACCGAAGTCCGCTACCCTTACGATGACACCTGGCCACAGAGCAGCCAGAAGCTGCAAGACCAAGGCATCACTCGAACCGGCCAGCTTCCCGCCCTCGAGTACAAGGGGCATATCCTGACCCAAGTCCGTATCCCGTATCCACCCCCATCCAACTATACTATCTAACCATGCTTCAGCATATTCCCATCCTGCGCTATCTCTCCCGCGATCTCAACCGTTACGACGGCGAAACCAACTGGGAGAAATACCTCGTTGACGCGGTGGCGGATATCTACATAGATTGGAGGGTGAGCCATCCCCATCCCCATCCCCTAACTGCCTTTTCAGTATACTTACGATAGAATGGATAGTCCGAATGGGTCTCCAACCTCATGAACAAATCTGATACGTACAAGGATGAGTATGCACCCAAGTACTATAATCTCATTGCGAAGTACTACTCCGATATTGAGGGGCCGTATCTCCTGGGAGATAAAATCACGTATGCGGATTTTGCGGTGTATCAATCTATTGATAATGATCGGAGGACGGGGACGTTGGTGGTAAGATATCTTGTTTTTATTGTTGTTGTTGTTTGGGAGTGGAGTGAATGGTATGCTAATGTTGGTTAGGTGGATCTTCCGCAGTCGCTGGTGAGGTTGCAGGAGGCGATTGAGAAGAGGGAGAATGTGGAGGGGTATATTAAGGAGAGTAAGTAGGGGTGAGTGTGGTGGGTATTCATGGGGTAGTTGGTATGGGATGGGCGATGGTTGTAGTGTTCATAAATTGATACCGAACACATTGTCTCTCAACAACATCAAATCAAAGCGAGTAGATGTATGAGCATAAAGTCAGATCAGAGATAACCCGAAGGCTTCACTAAGGTATTCGCCATATCTTGAACAATGACTAGCAGCCCATTTTATCTCTGAAACATTTATTGATACGATATAGGCCCTCGCGCATACTATCCACTAATCATCAAAAACCAATCCATCCGCATCTATCCGATATCCTAGGCTTGCAATGCATGCAAAAAAAGGTATTGCAAAAAGTAAAACCAGCTGAATAGCCTAGCAAGACAGCCCTGGTTTGCCAATCCTGGCTATATGGTCATACTGCTTACAAGCATAGCACATCCGCGAGTGGCTATCTCCATCAGTATGACTATGTTGAACACCGGCAGCCCGCATATTTGCAAGTGAGCAGAAGAAAACAAACTTCAGCTGTTATACACTTTAGCAACCACGACATCTGTGATCATCACCCATTCCCAAGAATGGCTGCCCTTCATCCCTTTTGTTGTTCCTCATTATCGTAAGACCCACGGACTTAATAAAAGTAGAGATATTTTGCCATGTGTCAGAAGACCGGCTAAACAAGCCCATTCCAGATCAGAAATGCAGCCTTCCAACATCTCAAGATAAGCGACGTGGCACGTCCTCGTGTTTGAACCGACCAGAACATCCTCTCGGTCAAGTTCCTTCGAAATATGTTGTGCTCTCTGTTTATATGTTGGCCTTGACTCCAACTCAAGCCAATCTTTCCGCTGTCGTTTCTTCCATCTATGACCTAAATGAGCTGCTAGTTTAGACGGTAACAGTTCTTCCATCTCCCTTAAACACATCGTCAATATCCGCATATAACAACATCCCCTGAATAGCGTCTAACAACCAATTTCCACAACTGCATAGATATCGAAATTCTTGAAGAACCAATAATCAATTCCATAACGCAGATTAATGGCAGCTACCGCGACACCAAGTGTGGTCATTTGCGAATGCACGCCAGCGTGTCCTCCATCATTATTGGCAAACACATTTTGTAGTTTTCGGGGTCATAATATTAGTTTCCTTCCAGAATATCGCATGAGTGGCACCGTTGATTGGCGTCTCTCTGGCCAAAAATGGGTGATAATATTGTGGGAATCTCGATTTACTGGAATGAAGGCTTTGGATCTTTAGCTTTGCGTCCGTTATTGCCATTGGGTAGGATATAGGCTGCTATCAGCTTTGGGAATGGTATGGGTACTTGTCGCCGGCATTCCGCTGGATTTCATTGTGATAGGTATTCAGTCCCGGGAGGATTGAGGTGGTATGATTAGTTCGAGTTCGTCAGCTGGGGTATAGATATCTCTTAGCTATCTTTAATGTCGATAGGGAGTTGTCATTGCATCGAAAGACCCAGCTGGATAATAGTCAACTCCTAGGTTCCAATATAGACTGGGTTATCGTTTGAATGTGAATTATCGGTTTGCCAGTCGATGATAAACGCCAAGCAGTGTTATGAGGTTGGGTTATAAATCCTGAACGGTACCACACGGCCGTGAATCTTGATTTCTGTTGAATGATGTTCCCAAGTGTTTCGAACGAAGATAAAGGGACGAATCGCCCAGTTAACTGTGCTTGTTGATTATTCAACTATCAGAGTACCTAGGCACCTGCAGGCATTTCACATCCCATGCAGGTCAGCAAGTATAGTCCCTAATTTGTAATATAGGGCATAGAATACCCTGCGGTGGTTAGCAAGCTTTTCAACGGTCAAGAGTAGAGTAGGTTCTTAGGAAAGAAGATGAGACTTGTACCTACAATGCGGTACCCACCATACTCCCATGAGCCCCAAGATAGAATATTGCGCGAAGAGCTTGTCAGAAGAGACTCGCGGGAGGGGAGAAGAACTGCACCGCGAGCAGGATAGCTTGCAAGCAGTTGCAGTACAGCAACACGTGCTACAAACCAACCACCGCGGAAGTGCAGGGAAGAGGTCATACAAATAAGTTCGCGGGGGAGGGGGGTCGGAGGCAGGGGGGAACAGCTCATGATTCTGGCCATTCTGATTTAAACGGCCGTGGAGATTGGCTCCGCACATGGGGTATGCTCTCTCATGCTGGTTGTTTACTCGATGCATCGGTCGGCGCAGTTATGGTGGATATATTGCAAGGAAGATGCCATCTTTGTAATAGGGCTTGGCAATTATAAAATATCTTGATCGTTTGAGAAGGAGAGGTTGAGAAGACAGAAGAGGGGGAAATGATTAAGATATAATCCCACCACAGTAGGTAGGTGAATAAACGGCTACAACAGACGAATCTACTGCAATTGAATGAGGATCGTAGGTACCGTCACCAGTCCAAGGAACCTATAAATGAGGGAATAATTTCACATAGCTTTATCTCAGTGGATACTATGAAATCCTAGTTCCAGTTAATACCATCATAGAATTTGGCTGCCACTTTCCTGTTCCAACTAAAGTCATCCAACCATGTCACTGGAAACGTTCTTAATCTGCATGGTGGATTCACAATCCGGTGGTCATAGACCCTGATGTATCCGATATCCGATTTTCATCCAGGTAACAACAGCCGCGATGGCGTGTGGGAAATAGAAGATGGAAGTGTGGAGTTGTTATGGTAGATAGAGTGTAGTGTAGTGTAGTGTATAGTATGGGACCGTGGATGTTTCTTGCAGTAGTTCCCTTGACTGGCTGGCTACTGAATAGTACTGGCTGGTGGGATTTGTACATTAAGGGAAGATGATTTGTTTGATGGCTTATTTTCCTCCCTTAACAATTTATGTAAATGATAAGAACAGCTATCGAAAAATCAACTAAATTACCGCCACGCCGTAAATGTTATAGTCATCTTAGAGGCAATATATCCCGAAACATGTGCCCTAAGACATTATATTTATACGTATAAGTTTTCAGTAGAATTACAGAAGCTGCGAAGATATCCCCCATATACTGTAATCGGGTTATTCTAAGAGTAATCAGTCTCCTTGGAGAGAGATGTCCACTAAACTCGCGAGGTAGAGTTTACTGATGTTCTCAGTCGTGTGGTTGTGTAAAGGCAATTTCTCCGGATGGTGGCAACACAGCCATGTGATAAGAGCTTGGTTCTTCGAGCTGTATGCATACTGTCAATGACTAGGATTGTGGTTTTGTGCTGCTAAGTGAACTTATATCTTGCGTGTTATATGACTTTGAGTTGGTGAGTCTCTGGTCTGCAATATCTCCTATTTTCTATCTCACAGTATCCGAGAATAAACGATTTTCGCTACACGGAAGCTGTATCCATGACCATCGTTGTTATTATTACTAGTCAATATTATAGAATTTATGAGAAAGTATATGTTACAGTAACTACTAGAGTTAGGCACTTAGAATATACATCTTTTGTGAGGGTTGGGTCTCCTCACATGACCAGAGCCCGTGGTTCTATTAAAGTAATGCGCGTTTTAAGCTACTGACCTTGAAATTCTAGTCTTTTGCTAGATGGCCGAGTTGGTATTCGTTTGTATCTTAACAGTATGATGATATTGTAGAGCACACTAAGATTGGATCCTGACACCATTAGCGCCTTTATGACTCTGAACGCGGCTTGGCTGTCGCTGAAGATATAGATCGCTTTTCCCTGCGTGGCCTCTGCCATCAGGGGACATGTGGCCTATTTGTAGTTTTCCCTTTTTCTAGCAATTGTTTCACTGCTTGATGACCTTTTTCAGCCGCCCATGAGAGTGGGGTTTGTCCATCATGATCCTTTGACTCAGGATCTGCACCATTCTCCAGTAATTGGTTCACAACTTCTTGCTGGCCTTTTTCAGCTGCCCATGAGAGTGGGGTTCGTCCATAAATATCTTTCTGCTCAGGATCTGTATCTTTCTCCAGTAACTGCTTCACAACTGCTTGATGACCTTCTTCAGCTGCCCATGAGAGTGGGGTTCGTCCACAAATATCTTTCCGCTCAGAATATACATTTTTTTCTAGTAATTTCTTCACAACCATCTTATAGCCATTCCCAGCTGCCCATGAGAGTGGGGTTCGTCCACGGTAATCAGTCAAGTTGAAATCTGCATCTCTTTCTAGTAATTGCTGCACAACCACCTCATGGCCATTCTTAGCTGCCCATAAGAGTGGGGTTGTTCTATGCATATCTTTCGAGTCAAGATCTGCACCCTTTTCTAGTAGTTGCTTCACAACCCTCTCATGGCCATTCCCAGCTGCCCACGAAAGTGGGGTTCGTCCACGATAATCAGTCAAGCTAAAATCTGCATCTCTTTCTAGTAATTGCCTCACAGCCATCTCATAGCCATTCTTGGCTGCCCATAAGAGTGGCGTTACGGTACCGATTTCCACGTCTGGAGCTGCACCTTTTTTCAGCAAAATCCGGATGATTCCATCATACCTTCTCTCGATGGCGCTTGCCAATGGTGTCTGATTTCCATCATCTTTTGAATCAATGTAAGCACCTTTCTCCAGCAGCAGTTGCACGGCCTCTGACTGGTTGTCTTTGACCGCCCATGCAAGCGGAGTGAAGCCTTCCTTGTCTCTCGACTCGATGCTAACCTTGCTGGTCTCCAGTAGAAGCTCGATGATAGGTACATGGCCAGCTGAGGCGGTATGGGAGAGAGGCATTCGGTGGCTCTCGTCGTTAGAGTCGAGCTGCACGCCACTTCGAGCTAGCAAAAGCTTTATTATGGGCAGATGTCCATACTCCACGGCTTCCGAGAGTAATGTCCTTCCACGATTGTTCTTCCTCTCGGGATCAAAGTCGCTTTGAGTGAGCAGCCGCCATAACAACTCCACATCTCCACTTGCTGCTAGTGACCCAAGAATCTTTCTATTTTCGTCTGCCGAATTCAACACGAGATTGTGTATGGAATTGAGCCAGTGGCTAGTGGTGTTGAGAACGGAGATGTCCTCTGTTTAGTTGGTACTTTGCTAGGCCTGTGTTGTTTGGGAGTGACATGACGTCGTTGCTTGATGCAGATTCTTCTCAACGGATACTGAGAATGCTTTAATTCTCTCAGATTAACATATTCAAGCTCTGAGCATTGGACCCTTTCAAATTGCTCCATCGTCATGAGCCAGTCTTTAAGGTGTATTGCGAGCGGGTGACTTTCTCTGGCTTGGTCTACGCAGTTGAGAATGGCGAGCCCCTGCCCCGGATGGTCAGTGGCTATCAGTCGAAGCTCCAGATGAATTCCCTTGCTACTTTGAGTCAAAGGACCAGCTGAGCTGGAGAATAAGTTGGTTGAGATGATACCAGCGGACTCTCGAAATGCATCGGGAGAGGTAGCCAGCAGCCCTCCATGGTTCTCATCGTCTGACCTCCAAGCGAAGATGCTTTGATCATCAACAACCTTCAGAATCTCCTCCTGAAGCCGTGCGAAGGACCTTTTTCCTTCTCCATATATCAATGGCATGTTGATACCGAAGATACCCAGCAGAGAGTATGCTCGGTCTTCCACTCGGGTCGTGACTCTCGGAGCAGCCCATGACATCCGCTGCGCGACACTAACGTTCTCAATATCCTCTTCCCCAGAGAGAACACCAGGAGGAATGCGGGTGATTTTTGTTAAAAGGTCTTGTAGGGTTTCTTTAGTCCCCAGCTTCTTCCAACACTTGTTGAGAAATTCGATGTTCCGTGGAGCAATCAGTTCTTGAAGGGTCCATCCTCGTGTAAACCATTTACTGCGAATTATATCTGACTTCGAATTTACATCAGCAAGATAGACATAGCAAATCTGGGCCTCCTGATACCAGCGGTACATGGAATTGATTGCCTCGGACAGTTCGGCGCTGCTGGCCTTGTCGATACAGCATGTGTCGACCCACGAATACTTGATTCCCTGCTCGCTGGCTGTTTCGCAGCAGCCCTTGATTTTTAGAAACCCCTGTTTGGCTGTCGCATTGTTTGAAATCATATCCTGAAAGGTGACTTCTTCCTGCTCCCATGTATGAGAGAGGATGGCATAGTCGGTCGTTGGGACGTCGGCAAATTCGGTCAGGCGGATGCCCGGTCCATCTGCATAAAGAAGACGCATTTTGATGCTCTCAGGCACAGATAAGGCACAGACAAATGAGGACTTGATTCTGTCAAAAAGAGTGGTGAAAAGGCCGCGAGAACGTCTGGTTGTCTTTCGATCGGGAAGTGCTCAGACAGCCGATCAGGAAAAAGGCAAGCGGACGGGCGGAAAGCCAACAGCCAGACTATTTGTATCGGAGCAGCGAGCATGCTGCGCTATAATTGGAGTCAGAGGCTAAGCAGGGATGTTTTGTCCAGCTGAAAGGTGCATGAGAAAGTCGGCCAATGGGGGGACTGTTGAAAGGGCCGCCGTGACTGCCCCGATAGCATTGACGATACTTTAACCGAGCGCAAGCCTGCTATTACATTGGCCGGTGGGTGTACACCTGGAGTCATGCCCCAGAGACGTCTCAATTCTTTTTTTCTTTTTGCTCTGCTTCCTGCAACGTCGTTGCCTATATAGCTAGAGTAAAGAGAAGTAAAGACCAAGCAAGTCCAAGGTCTCGGCATTTCCCGCTATCCTTTTGGGTGGGTGCGTCGGTCGGTGGCTCTCGCCTTACCAGAGGTGAGGGGAAAAAAACCAAAAAGATAAGCGACACCTCTGGGACTCGAACCCAGGCGGGCGAACCCACAGGCTAATCTACTAGTTACTAGGAACAGCAAGTAGCAGGCCTGCGCCTTAACCACTCGGCCAAAGTGTCTTGTTATATTATTTGCCACTGGTCTATGCTAAATAACTCTCAATGCTGCGAGAATGAACAAATTCATGAGTCTTGGTACGGATATAACATATGGTATTATTCAAGAACTATACGGAATACTTTAAGAAGGTGGATGGGAAAAGTATATACTAAATGCGATTGAGCTCATCAGGTACAAATCTACCAAAACCACAAATGCGAAGAGAAAATAATCCAGAGCAACCCGCATCTACAGCATAATCATGCCCAATCCACTAACCACGGCAATGGCCGTGTAGAACACCAACTGCAGAGAGCCAACGTTCACGGACTGAGAGGCCGAGGAAGTAGAGGAGGAAGAGCCCGAAGTAGCCGTGGCCGAGCTGGACGATCCAGTGGCAGTAACCTCCGAGGTGACGGTGCCAGTACCCGCAGTGCCAGCCTGGGACATCAGAGTCTTGCAGGTTCCAGTGGCAGAGGTGGCGGACTTGGTGGTAGCAGATCCGCCCCAGCTGCAGGCCGAAGCGGCGTAGCCGGACGCGGACTGGACTTCGTAGTAGTAGTTCAGAGCAAAGACCAGCTGCTGCTTGGTGTTGCACATGCTGTAGGCACCGTAATCGCCGGTGGTGCCGTTGCCGTCGACTCCGGAGCAGGTGATGTCACCGCAGACGTCTCCGAGGAGGGTACCGTAGTCGTCCGAGGAAACGGAGTCATCGACGGTGCAGGTGGCGGCGCTGACCATGCACTCGCAGAGGTTGTCATTGGGAGTAGGGGGCAGAGGGGTCGCCTCGGCTTCCCAGGAGGAGTCTTCGGTCGGGCAGCTGCGGAGAGCGGTGTTGGTCGGGGTGTAGGATGCCTTGTTGGTGCTGCTGGGGCTGGCGGTGGCGATCTCGTTGGAGTAGTAGGTGAAATCGGTCATCTTGCTGACGCTGGTGCTGTCGATCACGGAAACCAATCCTACTGAGGTTAGTAGGAATAAGACGATGCATGGAGCAACATACCATAGTCGTTGGTGTCCTGGAAGTACTCATAGACGATACCACCGGACCACACCTGGGACATCTCGTCTCCGTAGAGGGCCTTGACCTCGGTGAACTCGCGGGGGGTGACACTGTTGCAGCCGTACTCGGAGAAGAACACGGGGACGGAGTAGTTGGCGAACTCCTCGGTGCGGTCCTTGTATCCGGACTCTGAGTAGGTCGAGTTACCGCACCAGGAGTAGATGTTGTAACCGAAGAAGTCAATACCGACAGCCTCGCTCTGGCAATTGAGGAAATCGGCCAGGTCGCCACGGATAGACGCAACGTCAGCAGTGGCGTAACCAACACCCATGGACCGGTAGCCTTGGCTGCTAATGTAGGACTTCATATCCCGCACCGCCGCCTTGACATAGGGCATGCCATCGGTAGTTCCAACGCTGTTGGCAATCTCGTTACCAGCGAAGAAGCCGAGGGTATTGTTATAACCAGCCAGGGCATCGATGACGCTGGTGTACCGGTCGTAGAGAGTGAGCTGCCACGCGGGGTCGCTACGATCGATGGCAACGGTCGAGTTGGAGAGATCGGAGACAACGTAGATGCCAGCATCCGCAAGAAGCTCCATGCAGTCGTCATGATTGGCGGTAGGGTCGATGGCATAGGTACGAATGACGTTGGTGCGCAGCTCCTTCAGGTAGGGGATATCACGCTCGCAGGTGGTCTTGTCGGACAGGGGGTCGGCAGTATCACTCTCTGCTTGGTGTTAGCTTGGACAGTAGACCAGGACAAGGCTACCAACGTTGATATGCCACACCGCGGAGGAAGCTAATAACTGTTAGAACAAATCGTGCTGACGATTAGGGAGACTTACAATTGGGTGTCATTGCTCGAGTAGAAGAATTTGGAGCCCTGAAGGGATTAGATTTCATCAAGTGGAAGCATCTCCGGGCATACCTTGATCACAATGGGATCAACGGCCAAAGCCGAGCTGGCAAAAAAGGCTGCACCAGCAGCCACAGGGAGAAGTCTCATAGCGAATTAATTAAACAGTTGACAAACGAAGGACAGGGTATGAGCAAAAGAGAAAAACGATCGTTGAATGAGCAGTGAAAGTCGACCTTGGGTCTACCAGGCTGGACTATAAACGAGTGTTGGGGTTTGGTTTCCCCCCTCATGGCAAGCCGACCCAAGGGCTTTTGTACGGTTATTCCATTGCCCGCGCCTGTGGAGTCCTGGTCCAAGTTTTCGGCCAAGGAGACGGTTTGTCTTCAACCAGAGATTCCATGAATAGATGGTGACGCGTCAGAGGACCGCGTATACCCCACGTAGCCATTGTTCTGTGGACGCACGCTACATCCCCGGACCACCACCTTTGGAGTATAAACAGGTGATGTAGGGACACCCTGTCCCCCATGCAGATAAGCTTTTCACACCCTATATTTGGTGAGTCCATTCCGAAGACGCCGTGTGTTGGAGACGAAGGCATGGAGCATGATTTTTCGATATACAGGCTAGGCATCACGTAAGTGCATGCGTATGAGCACGGCACTAGCCGAGAACCTTAGCTGGGCATCCAATCAATCCAACTGGTGCAGATGGTGGCTGCCTACGACCCACCTCGGGAGATGGACACCGTCAAAATCCTGTCCCGAGCCATGGATTCGGCTTCGATCCGATGCCAGACGAAGCACAATCTTATCCTTCTTATTCCTCACGAGGATTTTGATGTCAGCTCGAGAAGTAGTAAGCGCTGACGGTGAATAAAGGGCGGAAAGCGGATTGAAAATCAGTCGAAGTGGGAAGCACGTGCCACTGCAGCCGAGACCGAGTGAATAGTCGCCACCAGGAAAGAATTCTGTCGTGTTTCAACTTTGACGGCTCCATCCCAATGGGTCTGGCGGATGAGGAAATTTCCTCCGAATTGGGTCACCCCCTGCGCCTGGCCTGCGCCTGCGCCTCGACGCCTCATCATAGTCTAAACTGACGAAGTTACCGAGTCATGTCCTCGTGCTGATGCCGTGCTGAACACTTACCTGTGAGTCCTGTTATTGCCGTGGAGGTATCCATCCGACTACATGGTGTCCTTGACAGATCAACTGATGAAGCCTCGGATCAGACCGATACTCTTAAGATCACGCCTTGGGATCAAAGTGGGCCATGCAATTCGGAATGATGATGCCTGGCCAATCCCCCTGAACCGAACCGTTGATGCGGGTCACGTGACAATACCCCACACGTGGTTGCTGATTAAGCGGCACTTCCCAAATGGGATTTCACGTGGCACCTCACGTGCTATCAGGTGACTCAATCTCGCCCTAGTCTTGATTAGGCAGGGGAGTCATGAAGATGAGGATGGCCCCCAACTGACTGCGCCTACTCTAGTCAGGGACCCCAACTGGCCAAGCTATGATGAGACAGAAACAACCAGTTAGCCCTGTTTCCGTCATTTGGCCCCATTCTGGCGGTTTGGCTATTGGTGGCATGCGTCTTGTGCGCTCCCAGGAACCTATCGTAAGCCAAATCCTGGAATCGGGTTGACCCTTAATATTTCTCAGGATTCGGTGCCTGTCTTAAATGTGTCTGTTGGCTGAGGGCTGACTGTCTATGGTTGTTGCAGCCCATGCCCGTCATGCAGGACATCAACATAAAACCGCCCTCTTCCCTCATGGTGCCCTGATTTCTTCCACCCGTGCTTCTTCCTCTGCTTCAATCCTGTGCTGTGCGCAGTTGTCATTCTTTACCAATTGTCACTCATTTGACTTGTCAACACACCTTCTTTACCGGTTCCAACCATTCCATTCCTTTCTACCCAATAACCATTCACCAACAATCCCACCAAAATGGTCTCCTTCACCAAACTCTTCACCCTCGGGCTCATCGCCGCCCTAACCGAAGCCTCCAGCAAGCGCGGTGCCGCCTACAACGACGCCTCGCTCGTCAAAACCCTCACAAGCGGTAAATCGACCCCCGTGTCATGGTCATACAACTGGGCCCAAGAAGCCGACGGCACCATGCCATCTGGCGTGAAATTCGTCCCCATGCTCTGGGGCACCGGCTCAGTGTCCACCTGGACCTCCGCAGTCGAGAAGGCCCTCTCCGGTGGCAGCACCCACATCCTAGGCTTCAACGAACCCGACATGACCTCGCAAGCCGACATGTCCGCCTCCAGCGCCGCCACTCTCTACAAGAAGTACATCACGCCCTACGGAGACCGCGCCACGCTCATCAGTCCCGCCGTGACTTCCTCCGAGAACTCGGGCCAGGGTCTCAGCTGGTTCAAAACCTTCATGGGCGACTGCAAGAGCTGCAACATCTCTGCTCTCGCTGTCCACTGGTACGGTGGATCATTCGCCCAGCTTGAATCCTTCATGACAGAGGCTATCAGTACCGCTGGCCAGTATGATATTGATGAGGTCTGGCTTACGGAGTTCGCTCTCGACGCTGATACAAATGGTATCTCGGATGCGGCTACGGCCAAGACTTTCCTTGAAAAAGCTATTGACTGGCTTGACTCGCATCCTAAGGTTGGCGGATACGCTTACTTTTATACCGCTAATGGGTATTTGTTGACTAGTGGGTCGGTCAACTCGGTGGGTGATGTCTATGTTGCTTCTTCTTCGTCTGGTTCTGGTTCTGGTTCTGGTTCTTCTTCGTCTTCCTCGACCAAGTCTACCAAGACTACCACGACTACGAAGACCAAGACTGCCACGGCTACGAAGACTGCCAAGGCGACGTCTGCTAAGACTACTGAGGCTAAGACCACGGCTACCAAAGCCGCCACGACGAGCAAGGTCGTTAAGACTGTGACCTCTACCAAGAAGGTCACTAAGACGGTCACTGCTAGCGGGGCTGCAAAGACTGCTTAAACTTGGCTAAGTTGTCTGTGGCGCTCTATATCCCACCTGTCCATGTAGATGTCTAAATAGCACGATACTTTGTGTGCTACTGTGTGAATTGTTTTGTGTTTTATTTCGATTCTATCAATTGAGATCATTGGTACTTAGTTTGAGTGATAGCTTGGATTGTGTTTATTGCATGCGGTCGATAGTCTTCCTCGGGAGGATGTTAGTCTTACTGTAGGTAGATATTTAGTTATTGGAATAGTCAGTGCTGTACCATCAGCGTGTGTGCTATGTACTATGTAGCTATGTTATGTTGATGATGAGACAGCAACAGCGGTGGGGACAGGGTGGAGTGGAGTGGAGTGGAGTGGTCTGTGGAGTCAGTGCCGCATTTCCAGGACCCTAGATTAAGATATTGTCGATCTAGATACATACTGAGTAGCGGTCACTATTTGTCTGGTTCAAATAAGTCATGTAGCTCATATAGTTGTTCCCGGCTTACGTTGAATCTTCGTTTGAAGAGTGACCAATGAAACGCCCACCTTTTACACATATAGAATCGCCTGGGCCGTACTATCTCCAACTGATTCCTCTCCAGTCTCAAGATACATGAAAAGCACAAAAGATCAGCCGTAATACAGTCCCTTTTCGCCCCGGTACTAGCGAAGAGGCCTCACGCAGTAAGCGTCGCCCACCACTAGGTCAGAATCACAGGTCCTTTTTCCGAGCGACGGATTGGCCGCAGTAAAGGCATTAATAGAGATCTTGTGAGCCAGACATATTTGAGCACAGGATATATCGAGGTCGACGTCATTTATTAGCCACGCACCGCAGACCATGGTGGTGCCCGAGGCCACCGTCGCACCGGAGGGCGGATCCACGGCTCCAGGCTCGGAAGAAGATGCATTCAACGCCTGGCCTGGATACTTTCCTCCGGGAACGGACACGCAAATTGTCGATCCCCAGTAGGGATCAGGCGAGTGTAAATTTGAGCAGTCCCAGTTCAACTGAGTGTTGTAAGACAAGATTTTCCGCGTACTACTGTAGACACCCAGGGCAATACTAGTGCAAGTATCACCAGGCTGCACCGTATATACATCGCATTCAAGCGGCAGACAGAGAGGAGTGCCGGGTCGGATGGAAGAGCAGTTGAGAATGTTCGGGTTGGTAAAGGACATCGTAGCCGCTGAGACGCTGTGGGCTAGGGCAATGGAATCGCACGTGTCGCCCTCTTTGGTCGTGTATGTGTTGCCAGATAGGCAGTTGCGTGATGGCATATTCACGTCGGAGATTGCATGGCCTGTCATGAGGCAGGTCGCAGCCCAGAGGGCTGTGAAGATACCTCTCATGTTGAATTGGTGGTGAAGGATGATGTTTTGAGTGTCAGCACCCTCGGTGAAAAGGTCAAGAGCCAAACAACGAAGTGGCCAAAGATACTATGACAGACATTTCGGTCCGGTGCATCGATCAGTGGGTATGCCGCGGAGTCCTGCCTTCTTATGGGGCGAGAATCCGCCGTAATCAAGTCCAGGGGCAAACCTTGGTTCCTGCTTCAAGCGCGAATCGAACCTAAGCGAGGCGATCCGACTAGCGCCAGGCACAGGCCAATCCACGAGGATGGGTTCCGGCTATAGCCGAGAAGTCCCAAATGTCTCAACTTTCGCCCGCTGATTTGGTTGAGGCCTGAATGACGAAAGCTTAACGACCGCAGGGAGAGACATTGCCCACAAGCTAGTATGGGATGACAACCAGATTCCTACAGATGGTGCTCGATTCCATCTATCAACGTTCCAGACCCTGATTATTCGAGTCTCGAGTCAGCCTTTCCGACTCAAGTTCAAGGGTTCGGGGTCCCAAAAGGGAAGGACCGGGTCAGGAAAGGGGGCGGGGCCGCAGCCCTAGTCTACGGCCCACTGCTGAGTGAGACATTAGGATTATCCTTATTCCTCATGCATCTGTGATTGATTTCCCATGACTCTTTCTATTCGACTGCTTACGAGTACTCCTTGTGCTCTTAAGTTCCTACCTGGGTACTTGTGGCAGGCTGTCAAGCCGAACAGTGAGGAGCCATTTAGATTTCATATTGCCAATCTGACCAGTGAATAGTACCGCAATGCTGGTAGGGATTGTCTTGACACTTCTCGCCAGCTTCAGGGTCCTCCCCTCGGTGATGGCAGCCACTTGCGATATCACCTCCCATTCCATCACGCGTGTCATCGGCTACTATAACTCCGGGGCAGTCTCCAGACCGTGCTCAGTGATGATGCCATACTTCTTCCCTCAAGGCATCTATTCACACATTTACTTTGCCTCCGGCAACATTCATCCGGACACCTTTGAAGTCATCCCTCTCGCTAACCGCGACAAGAGGCTCTACACGTATCTGGAGGGGCTCCATAATCGCGACTTTGGCCAAGAGCTGTGGCTCTCTCTAGGAGGGTGGGCTTTTTCGGACAACGACGCCCCAACGGCCACAACCTTTTCCGACCTCGCTGCAGCCGACATTACCCAACAGAATGTGTTCTTTACATCTTTGATTCGCTTTATGCACACGTTTCACTTTTCCGGTGTCGATATTGACTGGGAATATCCTGTTGCAGCTGATCGCAATGGACGGGCTGAAGACTATACCAACTATCCCATTTTCCTGGCGAACCTGAAGGCGGTGCTAGATGATTACAATTTCGGTCTCTCTATCACATTGCCACCGAGCGACCGATACTTGCAGCATTATGACCTGGCTTCGATCGAGCCCTCGGTCGATTGGTTCAATTTCATGAGCTATGATCTGCACGGGACCTGGAACATGGGCGAGGAATGGAATGGGGCCGTAAATGCCCACACAAATCTAACTGAGATCAAGAACGCCTTCGATCTGCTCTGGCGTAAGAATATTCCCCCTTTCAAAGTAAACATGGGCATGGCTTTCCATGGCCGCACCTTCACCCTGGCCGATCCCTCGTGTACCGAACCCGGCTGTACCTTTCTCTCCGGCGGGGATGAAGGCGACTGCAGTTTGTCTGCAGGCACTCTTTTCAACAGTGAAATCAACCGGATGATCCATCAAGATAATCTTAACCCCACTCTGAACAGCGACGTGGCAGTCAAAACCATTGTCTGGAACACGGACCAGTGGGTAGCATATGACGATCAGGACACGTGGAAGATCAAGGCGAATTTTGCCAAGTCCCAGTGTTTGGGGGGTGTTTTTGTCCGCTCCGTCGATGAAGATGATCGAAACCATACCTTCTCCAAAGGACTGATGGAGGCATTGGGTAATGAATACAACTTGGATATCAAAACCGGCTTAACCAAGGTTGCGTTCAACGAGTTATCTACGACCACGGGCAGCAGAAGTCAGTCCAGTCATAAACAATATTGCCGCTTTGTCAACTGCGGCGCTTCCTGCCCTAACGGCTTCACGGAGGTTACCCGTGCCGATCAACCGTCGCAGATCATGCAAGATTCGACATCTTGTCCTTTGGACTCGGATCAGACACAAAAACTGTGTTGTCCGACCTCCAGCAAGGTACCAATTTGTCAGTGGCGAGGTTTTGACGATTCAGGTAAATGTACTGGGGGCTGCAGTGGTGACGAGACCGAATTAGGCACCAGCACGGATGGTTGCCACTCTGGCTACCAGTCAGCCTGTTGTAGCATCACCAAATCCACAGAGCCCTGGTCTCAGTGTCAGTGGACCTCGTGCGAAAACGACGAAACCTGTCCGTCGGGCTACCACTTTGTGGCGGGCTCGCGCCAGGGATGGGGGGGTCGCAAGTCATGTAGTGGAAAGCAGCAGTACAACTACTGCTGTTCGGGATCGGTGCCGGGTATATTCTCCAGATGCGAATGGACACACCCCAGTGGGGACTACTGCAGCGCCAGCTGTCCATCCGACTCGATCCGCGTTGCCGGGCAATCAATTTTTTCGTCTGGAACCGATCAGACAGTGGATACGCTCGGCTGCCTCCATGGTAACGAGGCGTACTGTTGCTCGGGTGCGCAGCAGGTTTCGAGTCCAAAATCCTCTCTCTCGTCTGTTAGCCAAGAGCAATCGGCCGAGGAGTTCAGTGGCTATCTTCAGAAATTCCTGGCCAATCCTGTAATTCCCGAGGGCTGGGCTGGTCGGATGGCTGAGGCGCTTTAAGTGTTGCTGGGATGCTCTGCATCAGTGTTTAGTGCGAATAGATGCCTCCTGACCCAGGGGCGTTCTCCCTACCAAAAACTCTATGTGAGATGCTTGATATATTGGGTGCAAGGTGTATATCGCTCATGATTATAACGACAGTACTCCAATAGCAAAAAAGAGAAGTTCCTACAGCCAATGAATGAAGCAGCACTGCTCAGTCAGACCAGTCCTAGCCATCAAAAAAGATGAATCCACCCATTAAGCAATTGGGTCACCCTTTTATGGAAACATGTAGCTTGAGGCTCCAGTGCACTCGCCGATACATTCTAGCATCTAATTGGCTGACCAGTTTTCGAGATATCCAAATATGTGTTTATCGCCCAAGTCAACTTGTAAGGGTCGGGTTGGGTTGGGTTTGGGGTTCAACCTTAACCCACCGTACCGGTTAACCTGACCTGATGGGTTGAACCTTTAGATAGCGCCCCAACCCAACCCGCTGGTTCATCAAGTAAGCTTGGGGAGCTGTTGTACGGCATATACTTACAATTAGCAGATGGATCAGAAGAATCACTGTTGAATTATTATTCGTATGTTATGAATTTCGGTGTCATTTCCATGCATCACATTGGGTCATCTAGCTCAATCCTACAAGATATATATCTCAGTCCAGAGCATACCAATACTCGTATATGTTAACATCAAAAAGTGATATCTGTAAGCTCGAGAACAGTGATACCGCCTGCACTAATGTAATACTAAACCACCATCTCCAAAATTTACCGTTATCATCATCTAGACAGTGAATTACTCAGACACATTCACAGTGGTTGGTGATCCTTAACTGAAAAT